GCGTTTTTGGAAGCCTTCCCGGGGAGAAAAAGTTCGATATAGCCAATATGTTGTTCGTTATAGAACATACTTTTTACATGCATTTTTATTTAAATTTTCCGTGAGTTCGATGTCGACAATAATTCGCTGTACGTGGGTTCGTTCTGAACGGGTTTCACTGTATTTAGACAAAAAGCTGAATCTCGTGTCATAAAATTTGCAATTGATTGGGCGACATGTGCTGTTGGAAGAGGCACATATCTCGTACAACTGTGGCACAGATTGCAACATGATAGTTTTCTTGCTCAGTGCATCAGAACCTTTGTTGTTTGTTCACACCGGTCAAAACACATCGAGAAGGCAATGTTTACTTTCATAATACCTTATTTGACATCCCAACCATTTCGTAGTTAACCCACGCATTATACACAAACCAAAGATAAAAACTGAACTAAAGGAACTCGGGTAAAAACATTATGGGAGCCAGATGCAAAGCGAGACTTTGCAACCACATGAAGACGCGCCCGCACGGTAGTGGAGATGCGGAGGCACAAAAATTGACCGCATCTCCACGTGGTGAATGATGTTGATTGGGGCGAAGCTCTGGTGGTGCTTGTCTGCGTAGACGCTGAGCCGCAGCCTGCCGAGCCTTTTGTTCGTTTTCATCCATGTCAGAAAGAGAATGTGTGGTATGGAACGTGGTTATATATGCATGGTGAGCATTTGACCGCAGCGCCTTCTCGTCTATAAGCGTTGAGCCAATGCATGCGAAGTTTAAAGCAATTATATACGCATTTGACCGTAGCGCCCTCTTCTATATAGACCAGGGGTGGCCAAACCGCGGCTCGCGAGCCGCATGCGGCTCTTTGCTGGTCCAAGTGCGGCTCGCGGATCCCTCGTAACCCCCCCCCCCCCCCCCCCTTTCTGCGTTTCCCCTGGAAAAAAAAAAGGATTTTAGAATAAAGCACAGCTCGGCGGTTTGGCAGCCTTGTACCCCCATACGTACAGTCGTACAGCCTGTGCCCCCATACGTACAGTCAGACTCTCAACACAATCTAAGTTTGCCCCCCCCCGCGGCTCTTAGAAATTTTGTGATTTCGTTTGCGGCTCTTAGGCCGGGTCAGCCTGGCCACCCCTGATATAGACGTTGAGCGGCTACATGCAACATTTCATCCATGGCACCCCCAGCACTTGAGTTACTACCACATCTCAGAGCCCCCTACTCGTCCCGCAGTCGTGGCCGAGTGGTTAAGGCAATGGACTAGAAATCCATTGGGGTCTCCCCGCACAGGTGCAAATCCTGTCGACTGCGCAAACATTTTTTTTCATCATTTTCTTTTTTTGCTTTACACGAGCACGTGAGCTCACGAGCACGAGCACCAGCAAGATCAAGCTGAGCACGGACGCCGGATGGACAAGGCTAGACCCTAAGGAGCTTCGCCCCTAGAAGGCGTACCAAACTCTCAGTGTTACGTAGTACAGTGTAGACCGCATATAACGTATGTCGCGGGAGTCGCGAAAATCCGCACTATAAGCGGTACCGCGCTATAACCAAAACATCAATTTTTCAGGCCAAAATACATGCCATCAGACAACTTACCTTTGTAAAAGAATTTATTTCTATATTAGATGAAAAATAAAGCTTAGTTTGAGGAAGGTCTTTATTTCACCAGACTAGTACAGTTCTGTCTCAAGTGTGTCACACATTTTGAAAGAAATGAGCGGCTTTTGCCTGGCGCGGCCTTTTAACGGCGTCGCGAGTTGCGTACGGACGTTGCGAGCGGTCAGGATTGCTAACCCTAATCACTTTTCTACGGAGATGAAAACACGTGAAAATTCGCATCCTTCATACGGTACGCGCCAGTAATACCTTGAACTTGAGCACACGCATGAAATGCGCCAAATAAGAAATCCGGGCGATGTTCGAGGACACAAATGCTTAGAAATCACCGCTGTAGTCGAAGTAAACAAACACGACGACGCGGGCATTTCTGCCGTCTTGACAGCGCCGCCACGACATCGCCGCACGAGTAGGTGGATCTTCCCTTTTAGTACGTGCTGGGTTACCATAGCGACACACAACGAAAATTCACAGTCAAGGATAGCGCTTTTACGCAGAACAATGAGATGACCGCCGTCTACGACGACGATCACAACCGACGCCATGTTCGCGGATAGAAGTGATAGAAACAGCCGACCCGCGACCGGTAGACCGGCATGCAACGCGCACGAACACTTCTCCTCGATCTGCGATTGGTCTGTCGGTGCGGTTGTTTGTTTCTTTGTTTCCACGCAGCGGAGGGGCGGAGGAACGCACGCACGTGAACGACATGTGCGTGCGTCCCTACTGAAGCCTCTCTCTTCTCTTCTCCCCACTTCTTCGAGCAACATCCTCGCCCCGAGCCGTCAGCGCCGTTATCTAGTGTCGCACAGGGAAGCGTGCTCGCTGCTCCGGTCGTCGGCGCGGTCGGCGGGCTGTGCCAAAAACCGTACTATAACCGGTATTTCCCTTGGCGCGCCTGCATTTTAAGTGGTATGTAAATACATGGAGTTCTATGGGAGGTGAACCGGTGGTTTAAAAAAACCGCGTTATACCCAGTCCTGCACTATAAGCGGTTACGTTGTAAGTGGTCTATACTGTATATGCTCTTACATTTGCGACCTGCAGGTAAGATAGAGGTATATCCAGCTCGCCTTTGTTGTGGATTCAAAATTTTACGCAAGACACCTGACGAAATGACGTGCGAGAACTCGGAACATCGCCGCCGGGCGTGTCACGTCCGAAAGGATCAATTGTCGAGTCGGTCGAGCGCACACACGCTGAATAAGGCATTTCCAGTGCAAAGTACAGCCAAAACATAGACATGCGACACAGCGACACGTGACTCTGTCAACACAACACCGACCGACAACACCATCAGAAACTGAACAGAACGAAACCGACGGAACCACGAAACAGCTACCACTGCTAGTACCACTGCGACAGCTGCACTGACGGGGGACGTCGAAAAATAAAGTCACTATTTTGATGTTTTATGAAAGTGACGTCACAGATGTCGAAATAATTTTTTTTTTTTTAATATTTTGATGGTGGACGTTGAAATAGTTGCTGCCGTTCTTGTTTCCCTGTATCTACTGTATCCTTGCCTTCTGTTTTCCTTGTGTCTACTTTTTTCCTTCTGGAAGAGGCTAGATAAGAAAGCCTTCGACTGCCACATTGCCAGTGTGAAGACACACCTTTACGTGCGATGTGTACTGGCACACACACATTGCGCGATTTAAACACTGGAAGGGGGGATTGCCCGCGGGGAGATGCGCTCCGATAAAAAATTGAAACTAAGAAGCGCGTCCAAATTGAGCGCATTTTTTCGGAATGCCGTAAAATTATGCGAGTGTCTTATATCGTCGTAATGTGGGCGTATTCAGCATTCTCGATGATGCGCATCAAAATTCTAATCGAAACCATCCCTTTAGAATCAATAATTAACAATTTAATTACTCAAAAATTATTAATTACCCTATTATATTGAAAGCTTATCATTTTCCCTAATGGGCCCTTTGACACAGACCACTACGGCCTCAACCTTTTTCTGTGCGATTCGTAGTTTTCGCAGGAGCAATCTTGCCCGCATTTCTGGAAACTCGCCTGTATATTACTAATCACAAGCAGGTATGCCACACGTGAAACATTGGTGAAATGTATGAGATAGCTATACTCAATCACTCAAAAATGTTGTCTATCATGAACTGTATAGACAGCATGTGACACTTCAAAACAAAAGTTTGTTCATCCAGCAAAAACGTTGTCTATTGTGGACCCTTAGCCCCGTCGAGCGCACTTTTTACCAAGCACTGGTGCACCGTAGAGGAGCAACACCCGTGGAAGCGAGCTTCATGGGGGTTGCTTCTCCGCGGTGCACCGGTGCTCGGTAGGAAGTGCGCTTGACGGGGCCGCGAGAACAAAAAGTATGAATCACACGAAAACGCCGTTCGAATTAAGCGACTTATCAATTCATAAAAAACATAGTGGGACACATAAAATTTTAAAATTTTGTTTTGAATTAACCAGAAGTATGAAATATCCGAGTTTGAATTATTACAAGTCTACCGTGTAATCCGTTTCAAATTAGGTCCAGCAGCAGTTAATGCCACAAACCGACATAGCCAATCGGGTGGTGCCAAAAGTGCGTCGTCGCGGCACCCGTTGTCTTTGTGCATCTGCCATCAACAACTAAGCCGATAATGCGCGGAAAAAAAGTGCGAGAGGTTGGCACATTGGCCATGCGTTATTGGTTTAGCTGGCGATGGCAAAGACGACAAGCACCTCGATGACGCACTTTGGGCGTCTCTCGATTGACGCCATGAGATAGTGGCGTCGGCTGCGTTTGTACTTGGAGGGAAACAGTATGGCAGCGTTTGCAATGTGAAACGGAAAAGGCATTCTAAACGATACACATTTGGAATGCCTCTCGTTGCTGCCAAAGAGACGGCCAACCTTTTTTTGCTGGTGCCGAGAGGCAATTGTTTCCTGGTAGCTCGCCAGAGAAAGGCCCAACTCGCCCCAAGTTTATCAATCCTAGGGGCCTAACTCGGGCCTAATATGGTTTCGCTCCGAGTTGTTAGTTTGTGCCAAAGAACTTTTCTTTTGACTTTTATGTAGCTTTTTTTTCTGGTTCACCACATAATTGCGACAGTTCCACATTTCAGCCAAGGATGTCACGAATCGGCCGAACAGCCAAGCAACCACCGGTGAAGCTTGATCCTAACACTTTTTTGGCGATTTAAGCCCAAAGACGCCATTTGACAGCCAAACAAAATTAGCAGCTAAGCCTAACTTCGGCACTTATTGGGCAAACTACGGCCAAGACACCCAGATTCTGCCAAAAGAAGGTGAAGTCGGGCTCTACCTCGGCTTCTTCAAGCTTCGTAAGGCCCAGCATTTTCGGACAAAAGCCAAATTTCGGCCCGAGGAGCTGCGCCACCTGAGCGGCAACCTGAGGAGAGTCCCGGCATCCACGCAGGAAGCGGCTGTCCCAGCTGTGGCAAGACGCAGTCGACTTCCTCGGCCGCAACGAGTCCCGGGTGCGGACGGAGCGGCAGCACATCGACGGCGAGAGCTACCTGGTCTGGCGGTGGCTGGGGGGTGCGGCGAGTCCGCCCGGGTCCCCCTCCGCCACTCCTCCGCGTGCCAAGGTGTGGCAGGGCAGGGCCTTCGAGAGCCCCGGCAGTGGCCTGCCCGGTGGAGCCGCCGGCGGCGGCGTGCTGCCCTACGTGCCTGCCACTTGTCTCAAGATCCGCAACATGTTCGACTTGGAAGTGTGAGTGGATTCCTCGCTCGCGGAAGAATATGAGCGTGACGTCTGACCGCACGATATTCTGGCCCTTTTGCGAGGGCATTTGTTGCCACTTTGGGGCCACTCTCGATGTGTGGACGGAATAGGACTCTAAATGCACCGGTCGCAGATGTGTTTCTTGCACTGCAGTTTAACGTGTCGCTTTGCTCACGAAACCTATCCCTAAACAAGGGTTTTCAAACTTTTCAATCTCGAGGAACTCTTTTTAGCCGAGAAAGTTCTCGGCGTTGGTGCAGTAAAGCAGTTCGGGAGCCTACGGACCTTGCAAACACCAACTCACTAAGATATGTTTTCTTTCCCGTAGTTATGTATCAATGTATGGCTCAGATCTGCTGAAGTATAGCGCTTAAACTGGGAAAACACTCAACTTAGGCATTGGGACGGTCGAGGAAGCTCGGGGAACCCGTGGGGGTGCTCTGGGGAACCCATGGAAGTACTCTGGGGAACCCATGGAAGTACTCTGGGGAGCCCACAGGGGTGCTCTGGGGAACCATGGGGGTGCTCTGGAGAGCCCGTGGGGGTGCTCTGGGGAACATATAGGGGTGCTACAGGAAATGCTTGGGGGTGCTCTGGGGAACCTATGAAGGGTGCTCTGGGGAACCGAGGGGGTGCTTTGGGAAACCCTACAGGGTTGCTCTGGGGAACCCATGGCTGTGCTCTGGAGAACCCATGGGGGTGCTTGGGGAACCCCCATGTTCAAGGAGCCCATTTTCAGAACCCATGCTGTTACACATCCCGCGTTAAAAATTTCCCTTGCCGCGTCCTCCAAATGAACTGCGGCAGAAAATGCATGAATGAACTGTGTCGTGGTAGAAAAATGCATGAAGCATTCCCCCGCCAAATTTAGCGGGAAAGTTTCTTCGCTTAGCTTAATGGTGTGTTCTGACATTACAAATTGATGTGACATTGTTGTCATGGTAGTGTGCAGTCTGTGGGCAGGACAGTGTGCAGTGCGACAGCTGTGACATCACGTCACGCGACAACACGGCGTCATGGGGCACCGTGATGTCACAAGGATCGCAATTCTGCAATTTATGCCTCCTTGCGTCGTCGCGTGCGAGGATCTCCGAGAGCGGACAATCGGCTGAAACAAGAGTGGCGGGTCTTTACGGGTTATAATTTCGCTTGAAGTACCAAACTTTTTTGGCTTAAATAAAGGTGCAGTGAAACACGTTTGCACAGAGTTCGAGGACCAAGAATCATAGTCATTGGATGTCTCTAGAGCAACGACGCAGCAGCGCTAAGAGTCGTAAACTCTCACGTTGTCTTTGACCGTTGCAATTTTTCGTCCCGCAGAGAGTATGAGTGTGACTGGCCGGTGCAGATCCGGAACGCCATCCTGGAAAAGTGCGAGGGCAACCAGGGCATAGTCCACCTCCAGGTCGACACCGCCTCCAAAGAGGTACGGCATCGCCTCATATTCGTCTCCCCAATGCACCTAGGGCCGCCACGTGTTGGCACACCTACCGCGTTCACTCTGACGAAGGCCACACTCTCCGAAAAATTGGGTCTGCATGTCTTACTGCGAACGACTCTACTCCGCTTCGCTTCATCTGCATGCCCATAGTCGCGGATGGGGTGAGAAAGGCAGGGAGGAGTTTCCGTTGCCCCGCCTCCAGCGCAAACTTCCCACCTTCGGCAACGCTTCAATGTCTCGTGCACCTCGAGCATGCGTGCACAGCGCATTGGAAGGCACGAAACGTGCCGGAGGCCAGGCGTTCAAAATACGTGCTCTGCCATTCTCAATTTGTCGACGACTGTAGCGGAAACCACGAAAGTGAGCTCCAGGCTCCCAGCAACCCTGCTGAGCACGCGCACTCGTGCGGCAAAAGCGTCGTTCAGGTTGGGGTAACGCACCAGGTAATGTGCTCCGGCATCAGTTGCCTGTAAGGTGAAACGGGCTGTATTCGTCGCATTTCAGAGTAAGAGCGGAAGAAGGGATGAGGCAGAAGAAACGTTTGCACGAAGGCACTGCCTGTGCTTCAAGGATATATGTAATTGTGTGCACGTTTAGATTGCCGGAAGTTAGTCTGCTTCAACGAGCGACCTGTCTCGGCTGTAGACGAGAAATTAAGCCAGTGCGGTACAACCACTAGCCCGGAGTTTTTAGCGTGCACCACGCAGTAGTGACACGCGCCTGCACGCCGGTACCCTGCTCACCCAGATCGCAACGGGCAGGGTTGAGGATTTGGTCCAGGATCCCTCCCTCTGCGCTACGGTGCGTCGATGCATTTGGATACCGAGTATCTTACCCGTGCTCCAACATTGAGCCTGACTTTTTGCGTGACTTGGGTCCACCATGGATTGTGCTAGACTCGGGCTCGGTGCGGTCTGAGAGAAGGCAATCCAGTGCAGGTTGCCTTGGCTCTTACCGGAAGCTGCAGTCGGATCTGCATTCTTTAAATGAAGGTTGACGCACAAGTCGTGTTATTCTAAGAGGGGCCGTCATTATGCTAGTGCTACGTAGCAGGCTGCAAAACAGACGTCAAAAGCAAAAGGGTGGGTAATATCTTTGCTTTTGACGTGGCAGACGTCGGTGGTGCGGAGAGTGCCCATTTGCTTTGTATTCCCAAAAATACTGGTGCTTGCTAAGATTTGCTGGCTTGTTGTTTGCCAAGACCAGCAACAACCAGGAAAAGTAAAAAGAATCTACGATTTGAACCTCTGGCTTTCTTTTGCGAGAATATGAGCTGTCGAAGTGGGACAGCGATCGCTCGCAATCTTGCGACATGACCTGGTCTCGATGTCGCCGCGGTGTTCGATTGGCTCCCGTCAAAGTGGCGACCAGTCCGGTCACGAGCCAGCTCTTTAGTGACTGTAAAATTACGGTACTTGCGAAAACAAACACCAATATTGCCGGGACCCCCACTGACGATAGTCGTGCATTGTCATTGCGAAAATGACGTGAAATGGCAGCCCATTGTGACGTGCACACAGTACAGTAGAACCTCGTCGAAATGTTCCCGGTTTTTACGTTTTCCCGGCTTTTACGTTCAAAATCACCGGTCCCGCCGATTTCCCAGCCCCCCTACGAGTCTTCTTGTTTTTTAAGTTTTCCTGGATTTTTCGGTTTTTTATCCTCGGTCTTCTGGGAAACATATCATTGAGGTTTGACTGTAGTTGCAGACAACTTAAACGCAGCATGGCAAGTCTGAAGCACCTCATTGCTCCGCAGCCGATGAGAGCGCAGCATCATTCGGCGAGAACGTCGAAGATTTAATCGAAAAGCGTGGACGTAAGAAGGCATGCCCCGCGTTTCTTCGGGAGTCAGTGACCATAGTTGCGTCTTTGTCTTTTGGTGTTTACGTGGGAAGTTGGCACGTGGGTGACTCTGAATTCCACAGTAGGAAATACCTTTCCTTTGACTTTTTGACCTTTTCTTTTACTTTTTCTCTTTGCGTGCCAGGGCTGTGTGTACATGAAGTGTAGCAGCTTGGAAGCAGCAGGACAGGCGTACCGGGCGTTGCATGGCTCCTGGTTCGACGGTGAGTGCTCGTCTGGGAGCGCAAAGGAGGCACGGGTCGTCAGAGAGTTGCCGCACCCAAATTGAGCTCCAACCAGATCCTCTGTCCGTTCACTGGGACAGTGGGCTTTCGGTGGCGCCCTTCGGTGCTTGCATTGTACCTCGTGACCCATCTAAATGACCGACTCCTTGGTTCCCCAATGCTTTTAAATTAATATCCATTCTTTCTCAATGCGAAAGCATTAACTGTCTCATGGAGCGAGCCGACGTCGTCAGCTTGAAACACAAAAACGGCACCTTAAATCCCTTCTCCAAGTGTAGCCAGCTCCCAGCTATGAAACCACGCGAAAAGTCTAGACACGGCACCTAGTTTTCCCGATCCCAAATGAGCGAAGTAAAGCTGAGGAATTTTCGGCTTCAGTCCCATTGGCTGGCGCGCTTCGACTATGCTCCCATTGACCGCTGCGCATCAGTTTCAACGATGGCTCACCCGATGGCGCTGCGTGTCTGCGAGGCAACAGCTGCACCATTCCACACCCAAGGTCAGCTCGGCGTGCGCCGCAGACGAAAGAAGGGAGTGAAGAGCAGCGTGCGTGCTTTCGCATTCACAACTCATAAGAAGTGCTTAGGCGTACCTTGAGCCTTTTTTGCAGCGGAGCTGTTAAGGGCTAGTTTCCCCAGGATTGTGTCCCCCGCAAAGGAATGTCGACACAAAACTTTCGACAGCTACCGCCATCTATAAGTGACGGCGGCAACCAGACAACCGGTTTACCAGCCTCGCTCATAGATGGCGGCAACCTTTCTAGCTTTTCCATTCTGGTTTTCACCAGAGTGGAAAGGCTGAATTTCTCTAGGCGTCGTCCTAGATGTTGTCCTAGAAGTCATCCTTGAGGTACTCCTTGAGATTGTCCTAGAAGTTGTCCTTGAGGTCGTCTTAGACGTCCCTGAGGTCGTCCTAGACGTCGTCCTTGAGGTCGTTCTAGACGTCGTCCCTGAGGTCGTCCTAGACGTTGCCCTTGAGGTCATCCTACACGTCATCCCTAAGCTTGTCCTAGAAATCGTCCTTGAGGTCGTCCTAGACGTCGTCCTTGAGGTCGTCCTAGACGTCGTCCTCTAAGCGTCGTCCTTGAGGTCGTAAAAGAAGTTGCCCTTGAGGTCTTCCAAGAAGTCGTCTTTAAGGTCATTCCACCTTAGTACAGCTTTGCTGGTCTTCCTTCTTCACCAAAGTGGAAAGGATGAAAGTTTTTTTTTTTAAATCTTCTTTTAAGTAGGTCAAGGGTCGTGAAACTTTTTGATCTTGAGGAACCCCCTATGTGCCTTCAGTGGCATTGATGCGAAGAAGCAGTGCTGAAGCCCATGGACCTCGTAAACAAAAATGCACATACAGTCGTGCCCGTTTATAATGAACCCGGATACGGCAAATTACCGTCTATGTCGACCGCCCAAATATTTCTAACGAAAATGCATGTAATATGTAGTTCTATAACGAACATTCTAGTGACTTTATTGTACTCTGAAACGGAAATTGACCCTCGGAAACGCTTAAACGCCTGTCCTATTTTTAAATTTAAAAGAAGGGGGGGAGGAAGCTGTGATGTGACTCGCCGTGCTGACGCGCTATGGTTTTCGAGCCAATGGAACGACCCAGTGATGTGATTGCTGCGCCATTTGCGCCAAACTGCGCCAATCTGCAGTTTGGCGCAAATGCTACATCCTGCTACATTTTACCAAAATGTGAGGAATATGCGCCAACGTTGCGGCAAAACTTAATTTCCCTTTAATAATACTGAAAGTTTAAAAGCCCAGGCCTCGCTGCCTGGCCAGAGCGTTACGATATGCTTATGCGAGTTCTCATAACTTTTGACTATCGTCTCGAATAACGTACTACTATTCGATCACATTTTGTATGAAAGGCTGACAGTATACTCGGAAGTTTCGCAATAATTCTCATGTTCGTCGTCTGTTCTGCTAAAGGATTAGTTAGTCTCGTTGAGTGGGCTTCTTTTCGCACACTGATGTACTGCAGAGAAGCGAAAACCGCAAAGTACAGTAGAATCTCAATGATACAAGCCCCGCGGGATCGCGAAAAATATTCGTATAATCCGAAATTCGTATGAACGAAAAACAAGTTACATATGTACATGAAAGCAAAGCGGGGGCTACTTGCCGTTTATTGGTCACACTCCTCCCGGCCAAAGAAGTCAGTAATATTCTTCTGAGTCTTCTTTTTTTCAATATCACCCAGGAGACAGTTTTGGAATGTGTAAGAACGTTCCAAAGCTCCTTCGCCAAATCTTTCCGTTTTCTTTAGGGTCCTTGCCCACTTTCCTCAGAACTTCCAGCTTCTCTTTGAAGGACAGCGATTTTCTCTTGCGAGACATGTTAAATCAAGTCGCAACTCACGCTGGACAGACGAGGCAGAATGAGGGATATCCTCCCGAAAGTTCATTGATAAAAATCACACAGAGTTCTACAGACGTGCACATGTGCGTGCAAACAAAAGATGTTTGCTCGTTGACGTTCACGTCATCAACGCCGATTTCGAATATTGTTTCTCGTGTTCGCTCGAGTGACTGAGAATTGCTAAAACCCGTTTACCGCGCGACAATAGAAATAAAGCGGCAACCCTGGAGTAGGTGAATGCGAGTTACTCCAGCAATGTGAATTCGAATCACGTGACAACACAGATAGTGCAGCAACGGTGGACGTGGGTATGTTTTCGAGTTTTGGAACGCAGCCACGGTTATTATGATTGCGGCGCGTATCTAGAAAGAACGTCAAGAAAAACAACGCAAAAACGGCGGCTACGGTTGTCGGAGCCGAGGGATGCCGCCCTAAAAGATGTGTAAACGTTGTCGATCATTGTTCGTATGATCCCCCGCGGCCCGATGAAGCGTTCGGACTATCCCAAAACATAATGCATTAGTCTTAAGGAACTTTGGCCAGGGATTTTGAAAAATTAGTATCATCCCGAAATTCGGATGAACCGTGATCCTATCATCGAGATTCTACTGTAAGCATCGCGATTTTGCGTGTCTTGCTTTGCCACAGTGCACCCCTGTGCTAAGGGGAAAGCACTCCTCCAGAGCGAGACGAGTCACAATTCCTGAATACAACTTTGGTTCGTATATATGACAGACTACGATATCCTGATAGACTAGGATATGCTGATAGACTAGGATATGCTGGCGGTACCTTTTTCCTATTTCAAGTACATTTATATGCGCTCTTTCGTATGTTTGTTTATTTATGCCAACTCATTTGTTTAGCTATGACTTTTATATACAGGGTGATTCAAGGAGACGCCAGGCTCTTTAAATCGACCGCAAAATTCGGTTTCTTAACCTATCACGCTACAACTTTGTGCAGCGTTGCCGATAGATGGTGCATTTTTTTTGTAAAATTTGCAAAGAGCAAACTTACCTGAGGAAAAAGTAAAGAAAGAAAAAGGCTTAGCTCGTATGGAAATGCAGCGACGCCACCGGTCTTCAAACAACACGGCGCCGTTTCGCACGGGAGACAAGAGATGGCGCAACAAACACCGCCAACGAACGAGCATACGGCGCCGAGAGCCAGCGTCTTTAGCAAACAATCTTTTCGACTCAAAAGCGGCGCGCGTTCCGCAGGCGGCGACAGTCGCAGAAACAGAAACAGGCACGGTAGCAACAAGGAACTGCAGTTCCTTGTCTGCTAAATACGCCGGCTCTCGGCGTCGTATGCTAGTTCGTTGGCGGCAGTTGGCGTCGCGACCGCTTGCGCCATCTCTTGTCTCCCTTGTGTAACGGTGCCATGTTGTTTGAAGACTGAGGGCGTCACTGCGTTTCCATAGGAGCTAAGCCTTTTTCTTTCTTTACTTTTTCCTCGGGTAAGTTCGCTCTTTGCAAATTTCACAAAAAAAATGCAGCATCCGTGGGCAACGCTGCACAAAGTCGTAGCGCGATAGGTTAAGAAACCGAGTTTTGCGGTCGATTTAAAGAGCCTGGCGTCTCCTTGAATCACCCTGTAGATCTGAGTAAATTGGCACTAAGTTGGCAGGAGCAGTGGATAGAAGCTCGGAAAGAACCTTGTTGAATTCAGCGGGATTGTTTTTAAGGGGATACGCTCCCCGAAACAACTTTTTTTTTATTTCTTTCACTAGAGACATAAAAATTCAGCCCTTGGTATAGTTTTCCATGCGGATTTCAAATATGTATTTAGTTTTCACCTAGCTACTATAGTTATCGAGTTATAAAATACACAATGCAAAAAAAGAGCACTTTTTCCGGGAAGGTTTTGATATACTAAATTTACAAGAAAAGTATCGTGCTGTATCTTATTTTGACTCTTCAGAGATTGCAGAGTGCTGATATCTAGCCACACTTTGCACAAAAATACTAGAACTATGCAAAAAAAGTTTGTACTCTGTACCTAATTATTTTCAGTCTACCTTGAAACAATAAATAAGAAGTTTCATAACTAATGCTGATAGAAAATTCAGTTTCAATTAGATATCAGCCCTCTACATGTCTTGAAGAACATTTGTACCAAATTTCGTTACTATAGGTTAACTATAAGTTCACAAAAGGCTGCCCGGAAAACGTGAAATTTTCAAAAAACGTGAAAATGAGAAAAACAAGTTTGAAAGTTTGTGAAGTTTCTATTCATTGAAATGCCACTCTATTTGCATAAAATCTGGCCATAATGGCAAAATGCACTGACAAGTTTCTAAAACCCTCCAGCAAAATAACTTTGTCCCTCCTGGCTCTTACGGGTTGTTTCCTCACTCCGGGCCCTCTTCACTGTGCTGCGTACTTGTGCCCTGGCTTCCACTGTTTGCTTGGTGTTCATTTTCTTGATGCGCATTTGATCGCAATGGTCACCATGCATGACCAAATCTTCAGAAGGAAGTACTCCAATCTCTTCCAGCACTCTTTCAAAGCCTGTATGGCCTTTGTGGTACCAAAGTACAGCAATCGCTGTGGCCGTCTCCACAGTAGTCCTGGAGGCGAACTTGGTTTTTGGGCACAGCAGCCATATTTTACTATTGAGCGGAGGAGACGGCTGCCGCCGCATGCGAAATGGCGGGTGGCGCGTTACTTTCGCGGCAGAAGGACGCAAACCACACAAATTTTCGCGACTTTTGCTCGGTTTTCACGTCACCACTGCTCACTTGGACGCACTTTTAGATATTTTCTTGTGCGATTTTCAGCTTGATATTTTCAGAAATGAAAGGTTATAGTCCAAGGTCGGCAATGCAACAAAAAAGAAAAAGTAAAATTTGTTCAGAAAATTGTGACTTTTCGACTTACGTCTCCCCTTAAGTTTCGTTCGCATGCTGTTTTTGTTATGAAGTTCAACACACAAATTGCAATTGACGTTCATAATCAAATGACAAGTGCTTTGTTTTTTATTTCAATTAAAAATTGCTGTTTTATTACAACATTTAGAACTTGAAGGAAACATTAATATATGGGCTCAATATTATTGTATTTATTTCACTGGCATTTAGTACCTAAAATAACCATTCACAGCAGTTCGTGCTGTCCTTCATCACTCATCCTCTCACCCTGTCTGGTGCTTATCCACGCAGCTAAACGCTAGCTTTGTGTTTGAGACACTCACTCTTGCTGTGCAATTGATGGTAACAAAGAGTTGCACGTCAGTGAGAAGTCAATGTAGACGTTTTAGTTGGACACGCCGGCGCATTAATCTTAACATAATGTCTGCATTAGTATGAATAAAAATGATGCTACAAGAGTTATTTTTGCTGCTCCAAAATTGGCTTTTGGCTGGTTCAAGAGCTGTTCCGAAATGACTCGGACCAATCACATCACTGAACGACCTCTCCGCCAATGCTCGAGGCCCCGACTTGAGATTACGACGCGCGGACGGCCAACTTGACCTCTTTACGAGCAGCAGTCTCGACCAGCTTTAGCCTGAACCTTGTTCTTGTTGGAGTTTATTACGCACGCAAATGCACTATTGCGTGACGAGAGAGCTTTGTCGTTTCCTGTTGAACGAAGCAGGTGGCGTGCTCTGCCATGGTTCTGCTGGTTTCGTTTAGATTTTTGTATCGAGGGAGTAAAATCTCCTTCAATAACATGCCTGCCATACTGCCAGCCCTAAATCTAAAGCACGGGCGCTTATGGCTCACTCGTAATCGGCGCGCCTCGCACAGCATCTTGGAGATAAGGGTGAGCGACTTCTATTCGTAATCGGCGCGCCTCGCACAGCATCTTGGAGAAAAGAGTGAGCGACTTCTATCTACTTCGCGCAAGTCTAGATGCTCCATTCTAGCGAACGTCCCGGCAGAAGAAACAGTTGAACTGGAATCGCTTCCCGTTTTATCTATTAGCTCAACTAGCGCATTATCAGTTACGTTTGCTTGAATTAAATGTTTTTTTTTTGTGATCCTCCGAAGTAGCTGCATGTAAGTGTTTATCGCACATCTAACGTCAGTACGTTGCATTTCAAACTCCCGGCATTCAAATTTGCTATACGTGAGTTCAAATGTAACAAACTGTTTGATACATCGAACTAATATGCACACCTGAAGGAGTTTCTTAAAGACGAGTTCGACTGTACTATGGTCTGTTTGGTTCATAGTTATACGTCGGTCAGTGGCTCAGATCTGCTAAAATGGTTCTTAAACTTGAGAAACCCTTTACTTAGAGACGGAGACGCTCGAGGAAATCTCGGAACTTCAAGAAGCCCATGAGGGTAAACCCCTGGGTTAACCCAGTTTGAAAACCCACGAAGTAGGCTACCCTTCGTTCACCCCTCATTGGTGGGAGCTATGCTTTCGCCGACCAGTCGGCCGCCTCTCTTCCATTGCCTGACCCTGCTCTCTGTATCCGTGAGAGTGTAGTCACTTGGCTAAAGAAGGATGCAGAACTGGTCCAACGAGCACGCAGCCTCCACCGCCCTGTTATCTTAGGGAAGGACAGGGTATAGGTAGTTTTTGCGGTCATGGCGAGTGCACCCACTCTTCTGTTGGCCAAGAGCCAACAGAAGAGTGGGTGGAACGAGCAGAGCAACCGACTTACAACAGAAAGTTTAATTGAAGCATAATGTAGGCAAGAAAGTCCACTTTGTTTCTTATCGTGCACGCACATGAAAAAAAACCTCAGGTGCTATTTCACACTCGTGAGGAACAATGGATGGAGCACCGACACATTTGTGCCACCCTTTCGTCTTGACATGAAACGAGTTTCTGAAAGCGTGTACTATTTTAGGCGCATGTGTCAATACATCACAACTTACTACGTCCTAGTTGATTGTGCCCACATCGCCTGCCAAATTCAACAGATTTCATCGCATTGGTGCTTCTCGAACCTTGTGGTAAAGTTTAACTGGAATGACGTAATTTGTGTACTTGTGGATTTTCTGGATTGTGCTTTAGCAAACTGCATTGCTTGCAGAGTGGCCATTTAAATGTCCTTATTTTAATCATTTTCGTTCTAAAAGCACCCTGTATAAAAACTGCCTGTTTGCATCAAGAAGTGTACATTCAGATATTGCTTGCTCTATTTGGACGAAGTGAAAATGCTCTTGGATGTATTTTCTTCTTTGTTGAAGCTGCTTTTAATATGCACCTTTCAAAATACTGTGCCCAGGTTGTAGCAGTCACCATCCCATTAAAGGGTCACTCAAACAGAGTTAGCACCTATTTGCCTAAGGTTCGACTACCGTAAAATACCGCGGAGGCACCCATTTCGTTCAAGCACCCACTATTAACATTTCCTGAGCTTGGGGTTTCTGCAGACTATACGTTAAGCGTCCGATTCGTCCGGACAAGCGCCCATGTCTAGATTAACCCAGATTTTAGTAAAAGTGGTGTGGGTGCTGCCCCGGTATTTTACGGTAGGTTATAGTGACGCCAGAGGTACACCAATTTATTTGAGAAAAGGCGCTAAATCTTCATTTAAAATGAATAAAACGATTATCAAGTTTCGCCTGGTGGATGCTCCTAAAGCTGCTTGGAACGTATCTGTGTCAATGGTCCCCCAAAAGCAGGACGGCTTGGCGGAGGCACGGTGCCAAGCTCCGAGCGTGCTAAGCCTGTCAAAATTGGCCGAACGGGATTTTCCTTCTTTCTGTCCCTATTCATCTCCCGCGGCTGGGGAACAGAAAGGAAGATGGGGACAGGGGGAGGAAGAGGGAGGGCAGTTTTGGGACTTGGGTGGAATACTTTGCCTTTGTTCGTGTCGCCCAGTCAGGCATCTTGAACGGCTAGGTCGTAAAGTGTCGACGCCACCAAGTGGCGAAGCTTGCGGCCATGTCACTGCTAGCCGCAGGCTTGCTCATACTGGGACGAACGACGTCGCAAAGGTGCCGGATCTACCGAGGCGCATTGCGCTGTCTGATGGCTGCTCTTCGAGCGCTTGCCAGAATCGGCTAATTAGAACAAAAAATATAGCCATCCGTCGAAAATACGAGCCTGCGACCCGTAATTAGCAGGTATTGTTGATCATGTTTACCTTGCTTCTGAACGCGAGAGGTATACCGTGCTTCAATTGTCTGCTTTTCTCGCGTATCATCTGACTGTCTGATCACGGCGACGTACTGCTAGCCGAAGCACTGCCTCGCGTGATTCGTCGAGTTCTAACAGAGTCAGGGGATTGTGCACCGACCACATCGTGCGAGTTATCGGTCGAGCCGACATTTTTCTCGTTTCGTCCTTATTGACGCCGCACATTCCGCCCCGGACAGGAAACCTGATCACGGTGAAGTACCTACGGCTGGAGCGCTACCACGAGCGCTTCCCGGAGTCCCAGTACTGCAGGGAACCGCTCAAGCCGAGCAACTCTCTCCGACTCTCGCTGGACGCAAGCAACTGCCCGGAGGAAGACGCCCTCTGAGGAACGACGACGACGACAGCAGCCACGGACTACTCCGCAACTTCCTCCTCGTTTGTGCACGCGCATCGTTTCTTGTATACCCCTCGTCCTCCTCCTCTCGATGTGCGAGAGAGGAGAGGGCGACATTAAACAGAAAAATTGGCAGTCTCTTCGCCATTTCCCGAAGGCGTCGCCCGAGCGCATGGCGTTTACGGTCACTGACGAGGCGAGGACGGCGCTTCGTTTGTCCCAACTCCAGCTCGAGCTTTCTACGTTTGACGACGCTTCGGAGTCTTGTGCACTCGGAGTGCACGCACGCGGAGCGAGAACGGCGGGACGTTCGAAAGGCACGCCCCGCCGTTGTCACTCTGCCGGTGGCTATAGTAGAACGCCCATGCTCGCATCCGCCCGGAACTACGGCCTGCCTCACCAATAACGGCTGACCTGCACACTGGCGGCTGCTTATGATTAGACAATCTGTGATCCGGTTTTTAACCGTCTCGCGACCGCTCATGACCGTCTGTGCAGTGGCGCATTCGCAAGAAACTTAAAGGGGAACTCCGCCGATTTTTTTATAGTCTATCGATTTGGTAGTAAATTGGCAGACTGCATCAGTAACCCTTTCTTAACTGATAGCCAAAATATTTTATAAAAATTAATTTTTTGGTGAAGTTATTAAATTTTTTAGTTACGCCGGCCGCGAGGGTTCCAGGAGGCGACTCTCTACTGGCAACAATGAAAAATCGCTACTTTTCCCTACCCGTGTTTGTCACCGGCGGGCAGGCGGACGAGTGATTCAGGCAGCTGGAAGTGGCTTTCCAGGCGTCTGCGATCGAGATTATATTTTCACAGCTTCGAGGTTGAAAGTTAACTTTGTAATGGATAGCAATCTGTGCTCCGCAAGAACACTGCCAGGAAAAGCTTTTTTTTATCCTTGTTTTCGTGGAAGAAAAAAATTGCGCTCTCCGGCAGCTATGGAGGCCAGCCACATCAAGGTGCTTTTGCGTGAGCTGCGTGTCGAGATAACTAGTGTCAGATGAAACATTCTCACTTATGCTCAGAATATTTTATAGCCGCGTGCTGCGAGTTGAGTATTTTCCTGCAGTTGTAACAGCTTCAAGAATGGTAATCGCTGACTCAAGCTGGCTGTTACCACAACGGCATCCGTCCAAAGAGGAGCGCCAATGATGTCGAGACAAATAGTGCACATTCTAGCACTATAGTTGACATTTCGTGCAGTCATATTTGTTGTTCACAATTGCCTCAGTGATATTTTTATTTTTTTTCTTAACATTATATTTCTTTTGGACATTAATATAGGTCGGGGCTACTTTTGGAGTTCCATTCACACGGTCGATTAGGTCACAACGAGAAGTGAAACCTCCAAACAAAGTTTAAGTCCGAGTGTAGACATGACTTTCAACACATTGCTATTTTTATTTGGTATTACAAAGGTTTATGGAGCAGGTGTTGAGCTCCATTAATATATAGAGTCGTTACTTGGTTCGTCAAGTGGTTGGCAGGATATATTTTCTCACGGAAGAGGTGGCAAAAACGTCTTTATTTTATTCTATGGTGGAGAAATGTTATATAGGGCTGAAACATTCTTAAAACCAGAAAGGTATTCATGTCGTTGAGGGGAGGCATGTAAATTTACAGCTGATAGAAACTGTGCGCAACCAAAACCTTATTTTAAAAAAATTCTTATTGAGATTCATCTTCTTCGCATGTGCATTTATTGATGAGCGTTTGAGCATGTTGCATTGTACTCCGACAGTAAAAAAAAAAAAAAAAAAAAATTTGGGTACAATTGTTTTAGTAATTTTTATTAACTTGTTTCGAATTAAAAATTGTATTATGCATTTTTGTACCTTATGCACTATTGCATCTTCAATCAAATATTTTTATTTAAAAATTAACTGTATTTATGTATTTTATATGCCTTTCACGCACCTTGATGTTTGGCCTGGTGGTTGCGCAGTTCTTTTAATTGTCATTTTAGCACCACCTTCATGAAGAGTAACCTGCCATCTGGCCTACACGAATGCAGTTCATTCCATTCTATGCATTTCATTGTTTACGAGAATCACAGTCTACATGTGTTAGGTCACAGCCCAGCATACGCATGTTCGCCGCTTTGTAATGTGAGCAAAGTATGCATCATGCACACAAATGTTGAAAATGGCACCAACCAGAAGCGCTTTTCTGGAATGGTCTATAGATATTTTGCTGAATTACCTAAGCACCAAGGAGCATATGCATGCCACAAGAGTATAGTTACACATTCCGATCATTCTCCATTTTGCTTGAATAATTTGTCAAAAAATGTATTGTTGGCAATTTCTAGCAATTTGCTAGCAATTTCACGAAACTGACTAGCCGCGGCTTAACCGTACAGAGTTGCAAAAACGGTCTTCTCAAAATCCCAATTGCTTCCGTTCTATTTCTCACTTCCACATAGTTCAGCTCATAGGCCAAGGTCACACTTTGTGGAACTAGAGATCATTATCATTTTCAGATAGCACGAGTGCCCGTTTTTTTCGACATTGGACGCGAGCCGATTGTCAGCCACGCGTCTAGCAAACGTCACCTTTGGATGGCAGAGAAAACTGGGCAAAAATTAGGGAGAATGATGTTTCGGTTTCGGCAGTGAACAAAATATCAATTTTTAATGATCTAAAGTGAATTTGGAGGAACGGGATAGCATTTTGGAATTGGGAAGTCATCCGCATTCAGGCGCCTTTGGGTTAGGTAGCTCAAGTAATTGGCGGAGTTCCCCTTTAAAAGCAGTTTTTGGCCTTTCCGGCCGTAAGTGTGCGAACGAGCCTTCACGCGCCACACCGAACGGATTGTATCGCGCACTGGCCTTTAAACGGCAACATGCTTCCCGTCGCTGCTGGGGCCCGGCGCTCTCGTTCTGCAGCCACGTACCGCGCTTTTCTTTCTTCGCCCCGTTGAGCCCCGCCGTCGCCGCCCCTGCGGCGCTTTGATGGTAAGCAAATCCTGCGAGCCAGAGCCCTGGTAGCGTGCGAGGACGCTTTGCCGCAACCGAGTGCACGCCGAGGAAAGCCCCCGTTGCAGTAGCAATCGCCGACTGCACGTGCTGCGCTCCACGTTTTGTCGAGGCTATAGAGAGTATGCCCCAGACTCAAACACGGAGTCACCAGAGCTGCTTCTACAAGCTGTTTTCGAGCGCTCTTCGGGCGTAAAAAGAGTTTGTATAAATAAACTGGCGACCAGAGTGCAATTAAACCTTTTTGCGAAGGTGTTTTTAGGTGGTGCATTTATTATATACAAACTTTATAGGTGTAGGTTTCGGGGAAGAAACCATAACCTTCAAAAGTCTAGTTTTTTTTTCTAATGAACATCCAAACACAGATTCAAGCGTGTGTGGTGCCATCTGTGAGTGTCGGCGTGAACCAAAAAGTTTGTTTTCGGTTCCCTTCCGCGCCAAAAAAAAAGGACTAATTTAGGAATTTTTTGTTTCCTGAAACCCACACGTGAAATTCGAGTGTGACGAATGCGCACCGCCTGGGGGCACCGGTGTGAAAAGTTTCGGTGCTCTCCGATCGTTGGTTCATTTAGAAAACGTTTTTACACCTGAATGGCACCCAAAAACACCCTGTATGAATGCCGCGTGTTGAGGAAACGGAACGACCACCACGCTGTGTTCTTGGTGGTTCCGGTTTTAAAGCATCACGATGCGCCGCCGGTGCCCCAGGTAAAGGCTTGTTGGACGTCTGTCACCAAGACGCTGCACGATCAGTTCGGCGACGTGCAGTTCTTGAGTTGGCCCCGTCGAAGCACTGGCGTTGCGGTCCGTTTCCTTGGTGGACATCGGTCTCATCGCGCTTGTAGCTGGCGGAGTGATGGACTTGCTTGCTGGGCTGCTGTGGTTGCCAGAGTGCATGGCGTAGTCTGCAAACCAGACATGATTGCTCTGCCGTTACCCTTTCCTAGAGGTAGGCTGTCGATCGAACTTAGAATTTAAACAGTTACTGTAATAAGCTAAAGTAGAGCTGTCTCCTTTTGAAATTGTAACTGACATATTACAAACTGGCACTTTTAGCTACACTAATGCGGTCTGTGCAGGTGGAAAGATTGGGGAGACCTCAGGTAAGGGCTAATCATTGCAATAAGTTGGATAACTCAAATTTGTGAACTTTTTAATTAGTGAAAATAAACGTGGTTTGCCATCCGCATTTTCGTATTGCCAGCCTCGCGCCTGTTGTACGAGTGGTAACTTTAGTACACCACCGCACTTCCCACTTGCTCCAAATCTTTTAAAAATTTACAGATTTAATTGTTTTCAATGATGCTCAGCTAGTTTCTAATTGAAACCATGTTTATCTTAATTAAAAGGTTCATTAACAAATGTTGGTTAATTATCCGAATTGTCGTAACGATTAGCCGCCCATGTCCGCCTGGCCTTCTCCCACTCGCAGACCAGATTAGCGGAGCTTTCGCAGCTTTTCTTTTTCTAAACAATCTGTAAAGCCCATAACAGTATAACACCCTTAATAAATAGTGCCTTCGTTTAAGACGGTGCTATGGGGTTAGGCTCCGCATGTTCTCGTTTATGTTGTCGCCATGAACGTGGCAACAACATGCGTGTTGCAGCATGCCCTCACCAGGGGGCATGGAGAAAGAGTAGATAGTAACTGAGAAGCAGGCAAGGATCACGAAAGACAGCAGGGCCGACACCATGATGAAGCGGGACTTTGGAATGGAGATGATCTCTTGCTGGTGTCCCGGTTTAGTGTGGACCACGCTGCAGAAAAAGACAAACGGTAATTGTAGAAACAACAAATCGCCAAGAGGACTACAGGACTACAAAAATATTGTTATCTTTTAAATATCAATACCTATATCGTTCTGTAATTCAGTATGACCGTTCATTAATAATAATGCCAGAGTATTATTAAGAAGGGCTTTCTTAGGAACCGGCTGTTTTAAGTCTTGATGGAGTATTCATTAAAAAGCTAAACTACATAAACTTTAAAAAATAATTTTTTTTTAAAGTTGTAAGTTTCAATATTTTAATGCTTTTTTTAATGCAGTGAAACCGTTCACTAAGTGTTGTTACCCTAATAATAATGCCTGATTAACATTAACATTGACTTTCATTAACATTAATGTAAGCTTTTATACTATGTGAGCTTTAAAAAAAAAAGCCAAAGTTCTATTGTATGTGGTAGCAATATTTTTATGCTTTTGTAACACTGACCATTCATTAAGTTAACTGTTATTACTGTAATAACTGCCAGATTAACACTGATGGGGACTTTAATAGAAACTGTTAGCCTCTACGGAGTATTTGTTAGAAAGCCACTGTTATTACTACAATAAAATCCCTGCAAGTGCCCACTCAAAACTTTGAAATAATCATGTAGAACTGGGGGATAGGCACTTAGGTCCACAGTGCATAAAGATGTGTCTCTTGTGTATCTTCCGAGTGCTACAAAATTAAGGGGGGGGGGGGGGGGGGGGGCGCTTATTGCAGAATGGAAGGATGGTCGGTATTTTACGGTAGTATATAATTTATTTGCTATATCTGCTTCTAATCCCAATTCTGTCTAAATGAAACTACAAATGCGAGGCAAAAAGATATGAGGGCACTTTTTCAGGAAAGATCTATATAAAACTTCCTCCTTTGTTAAATCTGTTCAGGAGTGGAATACTTTTTCCAAAAGAAACAGCTTGTAGATGAGAAATCTTAGGGGTTCTACGAAGCAACCCCCAGTGTTCTCTAAGGAAGGTACTTTACAACGCTCATGCTTGATACCTTCTTTTGATGCCAGCATAAAGCTATTGTTCCACAGAGGCCTTCATATGTTATATTAAAGGGGTAGGGAAACGAAATTTCAGTGCTCATTTTTTAGCTTTAATGTGTTGCATGTTGCACCCCAACCTCAAAAACACCAGTCTTCCATTGAAAAGCACAAGAAAACTAATTTTAAAGCTAAATAAACAATCTTTCAATGTGCACCTGGTGGATGCATGCGGAGCCTATTTGGGAGGTAGTCTAGCAACGTTGTGGAACCTGCTACGTAGTCGTGACGTAGCAGATTCCTTCGGAGCAGCGCCGCCCATTGGAATTTCAACATTTTCCTTTTTAGCTTTCCTCCTAGCTCAACTCACAAATCGCGCATGGTACCAAACGGTCCAAGAAGACAGAAAGGAAGGACTCCCCTCTTTCTCAAACCCTCGTTCGTGCAACCGGAAACAGCCATTCTCCCCCTAGAAGATTAGCCCGTCACCCAAAACTCGAACAAAAGTTGCTTTCCCCACCCCGTTCAGCCCTAAGCTGACAGTGTTGTGGAAGCTACGTGCTCCTTGGGCCAGCCACACGCTCGTCACCCCACGGGTGCTTCGAACGGCTCGGTTGTAACGCGCTGACGCTATTGACACCACCATAACGCTGACAACGCCACCAAGGGCAAAGCTCATAACCGCGCCTGCCTTGCTACTCCACGAACGCGGGGAATCTTTTCTTTCTGTTTTTGTTTGCGCCGGATATCCCACGACGCATCGCGCTTTCCGCTCGCTTCTCTTCGAGCGCTTGCTCGAGTGCACCGTTTGGAACGAAAAATATAGCCAGTCGTTCAAAATACAAACGGGCGATTATCATTTATGGTTATTATCCGTCATGCTCGACTCATTTCCGAAGGAAATTCGAATATTTCAATTTTTGTTTCCGTACCCCTTTAAGTTAGGTTACTGGGTGTTACCCACTCCATGGAGTCGTATGGACGCCTTAATTAAAGGGCAACGCCAATCGAAAACGCAACCAAAATAATTGACTGGTATCGCTTTAGTGGCAGGAAATATGATTGCAGCCGAAATATTACGTCAAAAGGAAGCTGCGTACTCCACCAAAAACAGTTTTTAAAAGATGCGACCAGCTGCTCTTTAGCGAGTGGCAAATGGGTTAGCTAAGTCGTGGAACACTGGCGCAGCACCCCCGTGACGTCACGTCGTGGTGGAGCTGCGTTGGATTGGTTGCACTGCCACAGCCAGCAATCACCACGTTGACGTTGTGTTGCGGCTGGATAGATGGATGGATGGATGGTAATGGCTATACCCTTAGTAACGGGCGGCAGCTTGCGCCACCGAGCCAAACATTTCGTCATCTCTTCTTTTTTTAAAAATTTGTATACATTTTGTCATAACCCCCCCCCCCCCCCTTTTTTAAAGTGATTCCATTGCTTATTTTTATCTGTATATTTTTTTTACCCTTCCCTAAATCTTTTCTACCAATCTTCCAATCTCCTCTTAGTTACCGTAATTCTTTCCCTATCCATTCGTCCATCCGTGTCTACAAATCCCCAGTGCCCCCTCCAAATCCATAGTCATCCCCCCCAAGAGGGCGGGACCAAGCCCCATGCACTTTAAAATTACATGTTCTATAGTTTCCCTTTTGTGGTTGCATATGTTGCGTAGAGTGTCAATTTCCTGGAATTTAGCCCTATATGTCTGTTCTTAGCAGCCCCGTTCTAGCTTCAAACAGTAATGAGCTCCCTAATGAATTATCATACAACTGTTCCTTCTTTAGTTTTTGTCTTTGTGCCCTGTATGTTGTTAAAGCTGATTTCCCCTGCATTCCCTCTTCCCACAATTTCCTCTCTGTTTCCTTCACTCCCTTTTCTACTGATAGACTCTGATCAGCCCCATCTGGTTGAATGTATTTAGATCTCAGCTTGCGGGTTCGGTTTGTCCACCTAGTGTTTAGACTTTTCATTTATAGATACTTATACACCCATTTCGCTGCCCACCGCCTATCCTGAATTTCAGCTAGTCTTTGTTCAAATTTCACTTTACTGATCGCTTCTCTACTCTCGAAAGATACCCAACCGTATCCCCCTGTACTCCCCATCTGGTATATTTCCATGTACCCCCAATGCCAACCTACCCACACTCCTTTGCTGTATCTCAACCTACCTGGATTTCTGACCTCATACACAATCCCACGTTCCCAAATGACAGTCCTGGCACCATGACTCCCTTCCATACACCCCTAACGACTTAATATCTGCAGTGAAACCTGTTTAGAACGAACACAGATACAGCGAATTATTGTCGATATCGAACTCACGGAAAGCATAAATAAAAATGCACGTAAAAAGTACTTTTTATAACGAACAACATATTGGCTATATCGAAGTTTTTCCCCCGGGAAGGCTTCCAAAAACATGCAAACAATCGCCTTCTAGCCCTGTCCCTTCCAATCTACAAAAAAAAAATCTAGGAAAGAAAGCAAATTTTAAAAGCCGAAGCCGCAAACAAAAATGACAAAGAGAAGCGATTAAGAAATGTTGGCTCACCAAACATTTCTGTTTGGTGAGCCAACATGAGTCATTTTATTTTGTTTATTTTGTCCGTAACAGATATTGCTTACTGCTTTTGCCAATGGAAGTGTGTTTTTGATATTTGAATTTCTTGCTGAATGTTTTTTCTTTTTTTTTGTTTTGTCAGTTTGTTTTATTTTTGTTTGCTTTGCCCCTCCCCTCTACAATGCTTCGGCGCTTGAGGGTATGAACAATAAATAAATAAATAAATAAGAAGGGGAAAAAACAAAAGAACTGCACACACTAAAAAAAGCACAAAAAAACTTCATCCCAAAGCGGTTGCCTATGAAGAGAGGTGATTCGGAAGGGGAGATAAGCTAAAAAAAAAAAAAGAAAAAGAAATCTCTGCAAGCATGCAAAAAAAAAAAAAAAAATCCCAGCGCTTTGTTACAAGGTGGAAGAGAAGAGATGAGAGAAAAAAAGAAGCTCTCGCCTGTTATGTACGCACGAATTGGTCGGAGCCAACGATGAACGTTTTACTGTTTATTTGTTAACATGACTTTTGGCTAGGCGGGAAACCCGGTGGTCCTCCGGGCAGCACAGACTTGTCGAATGCCCTCAAATTCCCGGCATACAGGCGGCGGCGCCACCAGTCAGTGGCGAGTACACAACATCTCCCCCTTTCAGTCATAGCCATAACGGCACGGTGGTCGCAAGGGCCTTCCAGATCGAGAGGTTGGTCCGGACCTTGACTGTTGGAGTGATGCTGGCTGGCTGGCTGGGCAGTCAGGGAGCTCGGGCGAACAGGGCAAGCTGCCGAGAGAGATGAGGTCCTCCTCAATGTTGCATCGTCGACGATCGATGACGAGGAACTTGGCATTGCGGCGAATTATGCCCTGGTCAGTGCCAATCCAGTAGGAACGAGGTGTTTCCGCTTTGTTGAGCACTGTCCCTGCACGCTTCAGATCGGTGATCCACACCCTCTGGGACGGCTGGAACTCTGGTCGATCCCTTACAGCATGTCGCCTGTCGTAGTTGATCGCTTGGCGTTTTCGAGCCTTATGCTCAAAGTCTTCGACTTGATGATGATCTGGAACAGAAGGCCTCAACAGCTTGAGGCCTTCTGTTCCAGATCATCATCAAGTCGAAGACTTTGAGCATAAGGCTCGAAAACGCCAAGCGATCAACTACGACAGGCGACATGCTGTAAGGGATCGACCAGAGTTCCAGCCGTCCCAGAGGGTGTGGATCACCGATCTGAAGCGTGCAGGGACAGTGCTCAACAAAGCGGAAACACCTCGTTCCTACTGGATTGGCACTGACCAGGGCATAACTCGCCGCAATGCCAAGTTCCTCGTCATCGATCGTCGACGATGCAACATTGAGGAGGACCTCATCTCTCTCGGCAGCTTGCCCTGTTCGCCCGAGCTCCCTGACTGCCCAGCCAGCCAGCCAGCATCACTCCAACAGTCAAGGTCCGGACCAACCTCTCGATCTGGAAGGCCCTTGCGACCACCGTGCCGTTATGGCTATGACTGAAAGGGGGAGATGTTGTGTACTCGCCACTGACTGGTGGCGCCGCCGCCTGTATGCCGGGAATTTGAGGGCGTTCGACAAGTCTGTGCTGCCCGGAGGACCACCGGGTTTCCCGCCTAGCCAAAAGTCATGTTAACAAATAAACAGTAAAACGTTCATCGTTGGCTCCGACCAATTCGTGCGTACATAACATCGCCTTACAACGAACGCATCGTGGAAGTTCGTTGTAAATGGTTTTTGCTATATCAAAATACTTGCTATATCGAACTGATTGGAGCGTTTCCTGCTGTTCGTTATACACGGGTTTAACTGTATTTTATAGGGTGGTCCAAGTCACCAGGCTCGATCTAAAATGGACCGTAAAAATTGACACCTGCACGTAGCAATCTAAACTTTTCGTCAAAGGTGTATTTCACAGGTCGGTTTTTCTTGTAAAATTACGAAGCGTAGCTCTCTTTCTGTAAAAAATAAGGCCAAGAAACTTGCCAGGGTCTACGGTGGGCAGCAATGCAGACGACAAGCGTCCAGTAGCGGGGTGTGTTTGGCGTTCGTATTGATAGATGGCGCTACCTCCTTATCGCGACGGCTCGCGACCACCGTGGTTTATTAAAATGAATTTTAAAATGTACCTTCGGTTAAAAACTAAATGCGCAAAATAAAAGCAAAACTTAAAGTACAAAACGCGTCTGCATAACGGCGGTGCTTTTGCTGCCAACGGATTTCGTCTGCGTGTTGTCTGCTATCTTTTGCTGGTCGGCTGCACATTAAGACGCTGCTCCCGACGCCATCTATCCACACGAACACCAAACACACCCCGCTACTGGACTTGGTCGTCTGGGTCGCTGCCGCCAGCCGTAGACCTTGGCAACTTTCTTGGCCCTATTTTTTATTAAAAGAGAACAATGCTTTGTACATTTACAAGAAAAAACCAACCTGTGACATACACCTTTGACGAAAAGTTTAGATGGCTACGTGCAGGTGTCGATTTTTACGGTCCATTTTAGATCGAGCCTGGTGACTTGAACCACCCTATAGTTTCATAGTGCCCTGTGTTTCATGATAGCTGAATCTCGTTTCCCCTTCTTTATTGCAATATCTTCATGGTCTTTTAGATACTGTTTTCCTTCACTTAACCATACTCCCAGATATTTGTACCTTTCTACGTGTTCTATCAATGTGTCCTGTATCTCCAAGGTTTCTCCCTTTTCGTTGCTGACAGCTATTATACCCGACTTGTTCCTACTATATTTTAGTCCCAAACTTTCCCCTTCCCTGCTGCAAATCGTAATCAGTTCCTGTGTTGTTTCACGACTTTCTGATACGAGTACAATGTCGTCTGCATACATTAACCCTGGTAATACTTGATCTACTTTATGTCCTTGCTCCATGTAAGTCAGATCAAAACCTAGGCTGCACTGCTCTAACCTTTCTTCTGTCTCACTGAGGTATATCATAAAGAGCAGGGGAGATAATGGGCAACCCTAAGTCCTCTTTTTATTGCTGCTGATCTTGTAGTTTTGGCTTCCCATGTTATAAACACCCTATTCTTTGTATAAACCCGTCTGTTCCCTCTAGCCCATATCCCTTCAGTTGGTTTCAGAGTTTTTCCTGATTCATATTGTTATATGCCCCTTTGATGTCTAAAAATGCTACCCACCCTTGACTTGTCATTGCTATCTCTATGCAGTGAGTGTTTATGAATAAGGTATCATCTAGTCGTCTATCCCGCCTGAAACGGTTTTGATTTTTGAAGCTCCCCCAGAATCTGCTTTCTCGCCGGATGGATGGTAATGGCTATACCCTTTGTAACGGGCGGCACCTTGCGCAACCTAGCCTACGCCAGGTGGCGCAAGCTGTACGGCTTATGATCAGTGTTGCCATCCCTCTAGCAGATAGTTTCGGTCTTGCCGTAGACGCCTAAAACCAAACTTTGAGCTGTGGTACTTATAAAACCACACAATATCGAAAAAATATACCTTGTAATTTAGAGACACTGCCTTAGCTAAAAACAGTCATAATCAAAAATTAAAAGAATGTTGACAGGAGTACTGAAAGAATATTCACTGGATAAGCAGCGCTTGCACCAGGCAGTTCAGCATGGAAGCTTCCATAACTCACCTCTCATTTTTTTTTAATTCTCTTAGATTTTTATATTACAATGGTCACACAACAGTTATTGAACTTCTAGAACACCATGCTGTTCTTGTCCCAAACCCAGGCTTTAGTATGTGTATTCCTTATTGTCTATTTCAGTGGCTGGGCTTCTCGGTGGCGCAGCAAGAGGTCGGTTTGGGTGGCTCAAATTCGTCTCGCACTAAAAGCATGTGTATGTTATTTCATTGAGATCAGTGGTTATTTCCAAATCGGTGATGTCTCACCTGAGTGCCGAACTGTCGTGATGAAGTCGTCTCTCCGATAGGGTCTTGTGCATGCCACATGAGTGGTTGACCGTCATGAGGACCTCGATGCTCGCTGGGAAGCTGCTTGGAAAGTTGCTGTTGTGGGAAAAATCCAGAACTGTCAACATTGGTCAATGCTGTACGCTGACTACTACTGTAAGCGCAACAAAGAAAGGTTGCATTTAATACAAACAGATTTCAATGCTGAGTTAACAGTGTAGATCGAAACCGTGTAACAGGTAGAGCAGGAACAATATTTTATGCCGAATTAACCAGTGACCTGCTTCTCCTCCTAAAACTTTAGATGTCTACAAGAGATTCTCTGAATTTATATTGAACTGTTCGCTCAGTGATGTCATAGCACCAACCGCAGCAGCGCACCTCATGTTGCAGTGCCGCTGTGTCACGTCCTCGGTGGTATGCAAGCTTTTATCGTCGACAGCTGGCTTGACTGGCACAGAGTCTTGCTGGTCCTTGATCTTCATGGATAGGCAGTGCTTGCCACCAGGGCACAGCTGGCTGAGCAGCGAATCGAGCGACTGCACTGTGATTGGTCGCTGAGGCTCGCACGCCACGTCGGAAGGTCCTGGAGACTTGTCACGGCACCCCGGAAATGCTTGCCTGCACGCACACATGCACACAATATCATCATCTTGCCTGAACCAGCGCTAACAAGATGCACAACCTAGGTGGCGCAGGATTATGAGCATCATGAAGATGTCTATGGTATGTTAGGACATTCTAAGGATGTTGCAGAACCTTGCATGCTCTGTTGATCACATAAAACCTGAGACTATGGAGACAACTCGAGTAACCCTATAGGGAGTGCAAGTTCGTCTGCTTCTTGCGCGGGGAGTTGTGGTGACGTAGGAAAGCGGAGCTCTGACTGGCTCTGTTTGAAGGATAGTGGGTAGACCGCAAGGCAGCTTGCTTTGAGGTCTACCCACTATTCTTCAATCGGAGCCAATTGAAGCTCTGTATTCTGATGTCACCACAACCCTAGCAAAAGAAGCAGACAAACTTGTGCTCCATATAGAGACAGTAGAAGAGGACGGACAAACTCATAACTTCTGGTGTTTCGATATGATGTCCCACGAGCCTTTCACACATTATCCAACAGTGCATGGAGCTAAAAAAGACAAAAAATTGTCATGAATGCTCCTCCCCCTGATGGGATATCTTCAATATTAAAAGCCAATGCAAGAAAAGTTTTAAGTGACCTTTGTAGTGCACAGCGCACTATCAGGCTTGTACCTAAATGGGCACTAAACCGCCTACTGCGATTGTCTATCTGTAATCATAACTCAATCTATGGGCTAAAAGCACCCTAGAAAACCAAACATTATACCCATGCATGGCCGACTTCTCTATCAAAGTCAGTATCAAGGATTGATTACCTCGGAACTATTGCAGACACCAGAGGGACACGAGGAGACGATGGTGCCCTCTGGTGTCTGCCATAGTTTCGTGGTAACCGATACTATTCGCGACTCCAGCGACCTGGAGGGGATGCCACTATCGGGCAAATATGGCGGTCGAATCCAGGTCGTGCCGTGCCACGTGCCAGCTGAACGCACAACACTGGGACACCAGCAGGTGAGCATTGGACTCAAAATTGGTTCCCCTGTGTTTTATCTTCCACGTTTCGAACCTGCGGCGATGTGTTGGGGTAAGCGAACTTCCAGAGGCTTGACTTCCTTAGAGGAAACGAGGAAAGGACTGCCCACTGTTCTTCCACGGTGCTGAAGAACATTGATAAACGCAGAATGTCTGACTCGCGCGGTTTCATAGGTTGCGTGCGGAGCAACCTGGGTCACAAGGCGATACTATGGTTACGACACTGTCACCAGTAGAACTGCTCTGTCACGCAAACCACCGACAACATGGAAACACGGAAGCCAGAAGTGACGAGCAGAAATCGTGAAGGGACCTGTTCCGGCCAGTTCTGTGTTTTCCCCGCGAGGTGCCGTTCGTTTTGCTGGAGTTGCGAAATATTAGAAAAATCCGCCATGCATCAATGCAATATTTGGTTATTTCTAGGATGCTTAGAGCCCATTGATTGAGTTATGACCATAAATATATAGACAATGACAAAAAGTGGTTTAGTACCCTTCTAAGGATACCGACTTTGGTTCCAGGCTTTGACCTGAAACTTGCATTCACTTTGTCGAAGAGATAAGACTGACCTTGCTCGTTCAGCGGGGCACAAGGGCCGAGTCTTCTCGGAAGCTCGCAGCGGCTGACACGACGCGTGTGTGGAAGGTTTCGTTGACACCGTCGAAACCATTTTTTGCTTATCGGGCGCAGGTTGTATTCTGGTACGGGTGCTGAGGTCTTCGACCAGTACAACGGGAGGGAGCTGTTGTTCCAACACTGTCCTGGGCTTATGTTGCTTCTGCTGCGGCATTGAGGGTTCTGTGGCAGTGCTCGTGTCGCTCTTGCGACTGCGAAGTCCTTGGGAATTCTCGTTGCCACCTTCATAGTCTGGATCCAGGAGCTGGGCTTCGTCATCTTTGTGGCGTTTGCGACGGCACCACTGTGTGTGAGCGAGAATGAACACTGCTGCGCAAGAGGTTTGAGGCACACATGCCTACTGTTGTGAAGTTATGCATGTAGCGTGTTTATAACATCAAGGGTATGAAGTATGACTACCGAGCTTAAAAATGCATAACGTTTTTCTGTGTTGAAATAAGTCCTAAGCATTACTAAATTGTTGCTTCTGCATAATTACTTACTGATCAATGAACACTTAATTTTTGTATATGATTATATGAGACAATAAAAGAAGAAAAAACAAAAGGCGTGGTGGTGTCTTGGGAGAACGAATAGAACACATTTTTACAATCAATTTACGACAAGACGTATTGAGGTGCAAATCATAACTTGAATCAGGTAACGGAGTAATGGAACCTTTGCAACTGGTCCGGGCAGCGCTACATTTGGGTGAAAAATAACAATTCGGCAATGCATATTTTTTTTAAGAGAAAAAAAAAGGGGGGGGGGGGGGGGGACTGTTACCTTGCTGAGTGGATTCTTGAAAGCATGCTCGTCGTTCCCGTGTTCGCTGCGACACTCCACGTTGTGGCAGCGTCTTGCATGTCCTCTGCGCGGCTCTTTCATGCTTGCCCACGCATCAGGGTGCGTCTTGTCAGAGGATCGGGTAGACAATCATGACGAGCACTGAGGGCCTGCAAATATCATGTCAAGAGAATATATATAAGAAAAAAAACCTTGAGGTGTCTCCACTTTCGCGACAATCTAACTGTCGAGGAAAGATGTGCATGAAAAGAATCGGCGATTCATATTCCTTACCAGCAATTGTTGGCTAGTTGCGCGAGGACATTCAAAACCGCGCACCCGCAGTTTCGGTTTCGGCTTCTTCGAAACTCGTCGGCAATTAATTATGTAAAAAAAATAATTAACTTACTTTATCTAGAGATCTAATAAATTATTTGTATACTATTGTTTAATAAAAAAATTGGATCTGCCGCGTTTGCTTCTTTTTAAAAAGCCTGGCCTGCTGTCGGTTAGCTCCATCAGCGGGGACATCGTCACTCATGCGTCGTGCGCATGCGTGCGTCTGTGCACGTTTCCCGGCGCATTTCTCGCTTCTGTGCAGTTTTCAATCGCGGGTTGGAGAGTCGTGTTTTTGACGGGCTTTGCGTGGTCGCAGGCTGTCCGCCATCAACTCACCATGAAACTGTCCCCAAAAGGGGACCAGACACAGGTCGTCAATGAGATCTTGAACCGCAAGACGACGATGCAGACCACCAAGCGAGCGCTGCCGTGGGCTGCTCTCAACTGCGTTTTCGCCTTACTTGTCTATCTGGATTTGTGAGTTGACCCAAACGCTCGCCGTTTCCACAAACCTCGCGAACGTCTATTCGTCGTTGGCAGAATGAGAACGCCAGGGAAGCTCTTCAGTCTTCCCGCTTTGAGCGCGAGCTCCCTAACTTCCATGACGCTTGGTCTCTCCTGGGCCTCGAGCGCGCGCGCGCGCGACAACCGAAGCACGACCGACGGCACCGAGCTTGTGCTGGAGGCCGGACAACGGAGAGAGGCGTCCTGCCGCTCTCATATATAGTGTAATGACATCACATGCAAACCGTGTATAGTTAATTTTAAGTTAACCCAATTGTATCAGAGTCTTTACTCAATTGTTAATATTTCTTTTACAGGGGCCAAGGATCCGTGATGCGCTTTCTTGGAGGAGAGCTAGCCATCCTTTACTATCTTGGTAAGAGGTTGCTGCCCCGAGCCGGCGAGCACATACCAAGTCTACAAATACTTGCAGAGTGCTTTGTCGGGCTCGTGTTTGGCTACAACTGCTTGGTCCACCTGATCAAGTACGCCTGGGTCCATCTCTACCAGAAACCCGTACAAGTGAGCACGCAACAGAAGAAGCTGTTCCGCATCTTGGACACAGGTAATTCGGGACAGTGAACTTCCCTTTTTGCGTAGTGACGTCGCTGTGGTGCTGCTTGCGGGGGACTTCGTTTTCATCAGCGTTCCTTTGAGTCACTCGTAGCATTCAGACTAAATGAACCCTGCTTTGCTCTTCTCATTTTCTGTGGAACTGCATTCTTGCCGAATCTAACTTTGACTTAGCCATGAAAAGTGAAGTGTGACACAGCGACTGCAGTCAAAGGGTGTTGGCCAGCTGCCTAAAGCCCGCTTCAGACGGGGCAACTTTTCCAGCAATTTTGAGGTTGCTGGCAGTTTGTTCACTAGCTTTCCCTAGATCGACACGAATTGCTGAGACCAAGTCCGGCTCGAAACGGACGAGCAACTCGGAGACGTTTGAAGCGGCAGCAGCCATTCAGGGACGCAGTATTTTTCACGTGACACCCCTGTGGTGGCGATAGTGACAGCTAAAGACTTGGTTCTGGTTTGAAATGGATCGTTTTTGGAACTAAACCTTTTCAGAAAGATGAGTTAGTATTCTCAATGCCATTCAACGATATAAAAAAACACGTTTTGAGCGCGTAGGTGTGTCTAAAAAGTGCAAGAAAAATCGCATTGTATGATGATGATGGCACCGAAGACATGGCGATGCTAGACGCGGCGTCATGTGCCTGGAAGACAGAGACGAGTTAGCGTCCACTGTGTTCCTCATAAAACGCAGTTCTGCATATGACAATTTAATCGATAGATCGAAATTGCAATTTTTTTTCTTACAGTAGCTTTTCCCTCAATGGGCAGTGACAAACACTCACGCATGATGCTCCGCTTCGGCTAATGAAATTACCGTAATATTCCGAGAGATAGCCCACCTAAACTCGAAAGGAATTAGGGTGAAAATGAGGAGTGGGTCAACTTTCGGTCTGCGGCCAAAGAAAGTTTAAAAAATGCTAGTTTTAGGTTTTGTGGCCCGTGAAACTTGTGATCGCAGCCAGGGACGATGACTGTCCTTCCAAGCCAGCAATGCTTGCTTGTCTTCTGTCGTAGGTAAATAATGCAATTTCCGCCGAGGTCTCCATTGGCCAGAGCCCTGTAGTTACTAGAGGTGGGCTACCTTTCGGTGTTTTTGAATAAGTAGGTGATCGTGCCGAAAATTCTTTCACGAGTGGGGCATCTCTTGGGATATTAAGGTAAGCAATTATCTTTGTGCAAATTGACTAATTTGTATGCAGAAAAGAAAATTTGTGGGAGAACCAGAAGAGCGATCGTAAAAGGGTGTGGTCTGTATTTGTGCAATGTTTGTTTTGCGTTATGCCAGCTGTTTTTAGCTAAAAAAAAACACCGTAAAAGCTTTCAGCCATTCACTTATGAAGTTTGGAGAGATTGTACCTTGGCTTTGGGCTTGTCTTCTTTTTCATAAATATTGAAAAAAAGCCTCATTCAGTTCATTGGGTTATTATTGTCATGCAGATACTGGTTTCGGCTTGAAGACGCCACCCCCGGTGGGTGCGCCGGAAAAGCGGCGAGACTTCCTCGGCAGCTTTGTGCTGCCTTCGGCCTCTACGCCCCTCTCTTGCTCCCTTCCCAACAGCCCACTCAACGCTTCAGCAGCCAGCTGGACATCCGCAAGGTTTGAACTGAGTCGTGCATCAGGTGCCGGTTGGACAACAAACAAAAAAAATGCCATGAACTACGCACCACGCGTTTGGAGAAAAAAATGTGACGTTTTTTTATAGCGAGACCTTTATACGGGCCTCTCTTGCTTGGGTTGGCCTGACCATATAATGCCACTGTGTCGCATATCGTCTATTTCCCCCTCTAAACTTGGGGGGGGGGGGGGGGGAATCAATGTCACAATTTCAAGTCGTGGTGTCGCTTGATATTGTGATGTCACGTGGCCTGATGCCACACGACGTCAGATCAGCTGACATCAATTTGCCCGCTAAATTTAGCGGCAAAAATTCTTGTGGGTGTTGCACGACACAATCACGGGGTGTCACGTTTGACGTTGCACTGTTCCCACTAAATTTAACGGGGAAATGTATTCGCAAAATGTTTTTAAGAAGTTGCCGCTCGTTAAAATACTGTTTAAGTGCTATTGTGTTTTTATTGTGTGTGACAGGATGCAATTTTATACTACAACGATAAGCTATGCATAGCCGAAAACCCAGTTTCTGCCCGAACATAGCGCTAGCGGTTTGGAACGCACGCCAAAGTTTTGAAGCGTGTCCTTATCTGATTGAAAAGTTACGGGTGATTTTTGGAAATTTTCAATTGGGAAAATACCAGCCCACCTACTGGTTAGCCGGCGCCATTCATCTCGGGGCGTTCGTGGGCTACGTCGGCTTTCGTTTTCTCATTGAAAAGTTTTAAACGTCGCTTATAACTTTTGAATTGGACAACGGCAAGCTCGAAACAGTAGCATTTTGTCCAGTCTGCCGGTGCCACAGTCGAGCAGAGACTGAACGTTCCGCTATGCATCCATTGTTTTCGTGGGAAAAAAATAACACTTTAAATTTCTCTTGGACACACGGTACAGCAGTCTTAAAGGCAAAACTGTGTAAACATGCCAAACGACAAAGAATAGAGAAGGCACAACACAAGGCGCACTCGCGTCGAAGGGTTGCAAGTGCAACTTCCTTGTTGCGCGTTGCTCCAAGCCAGCGGTTCTCAAAAGGGGGCCTGCAGACCCCTTGGAGTTCCTGAAGGCCTCAGAGTCCCCAAAGCCCTTGACCGTCAGTCAATTCGAGCAATAAAGCTCTTCTTTTTTTTATTGATGCCGGCTGTCCCACAAGGCTAGACCAAACCATATGCACTTAGTGAATAGTTGATTATTCTCCGTTTAAGAGCTTCGAAGCTTGTTTGCACATATTAAGTTAGTATTTTCATCTACCCTTTTGTCATTCTAATCGCCCAATACCCAGTGGATCACATCTGCCAATCCGGAAGGGGTTTTAAAACATCAGCGGTTAAGAACCACTGCTGTATGTATTTACACTTGCCAAAGCCCAGCCATTTGATTCTACTCTTTCCACAAGTTGTTGGGAAGGGCTGCACAATAGCACAATGTGACGGTTCCGATTAATTGTAGTTGGGGCTGTAGGCAGAGAGTGCGAGGTCCTGGTTTTTGCTGTTTTTGTTTCAGCTCGGGCTTGGGTGGCAACGTGAGCCTCTCGTCCAGCTCGTGGGACTACTACGCCAACCCTGCTCAGCGACCGCCGCTGGACACGGTAACGACGCCCCGCTTCACAAACCTGCGTCCCCAAGTGCCTCTGAGGAATGGGCGCAGTTTCTTAGCACTGGTCATGGGCAGGGTTGTAAAAGTTACTTCAAAAATGTACCTAAGATACAGTTACTCATACGAAAAGGTACCTAGGTACAGGTACAGTTACTTCAAAGATACTATTTATTTTCCCCAAATTTGTCAGAATATATGGGAAGTAAAGCTTTTTATACAAGGATATGCACAAAAACGAGTTTGATAAATGTGGTTTATTGATGTCAATGCGATGTCCACATCGGAGTTAAGTCCTCACGCGCCTTATCCCCACGCTCCAATTGGTTCACCAAGGCCACAGCTTCCACTGTTTACCATGTCACGCCGAAACTGCCGGAACTCGCTTGTTGACGTTCTTGCCCTCAGATCCGGTGCTGACGTCGACAGGCCCCGAAGACGTCGGCCGCATAAAGAAACTCATGAGTCAATTGCATATGCACCTAACCTTTGTGACGAAGACCGAAAGGCTTCAAACTTCAGTTTTTTTTTTTCTTCGTTAGAAGAAAAATAAGCTTTTTTTTTTCTTTCGGAACTTTTTCAGTTTTGATAACTGCAAAATTTGAGTCCCATTTATTGAGTGGAAACTGTATTATATACGCGATGTTACATTACTTTACGATTGTAATTTTAATTTATTTTCAGTTATATTTTATATTGTATTTATGGCAGAAGAGGGCCACCACCAGGACAAGATACAGGCAACAGAAACTGCGCACATCTTTCAAGTTATTTCCTTCCTTGTATAGCTGTCAGAGGAGCTTCAAACGCGCAGTGAAGTCTATTTCGGTTTGAGATGAAGGAAGCGGGTCGCTATTTTTCCTAAACGGAGTTCCGAGGCGATTCAATAAATTTGTTTCGCTAGAACGGCATCGCTAATCCACCATTCGCTCAAATGAATATTGCCATTCGCTAAATTGTCGTTCGCTAAAACGTCGTTCGATCAAGTCAGTGCCTTCCAGGTCGTACCCAACTCAACGTTAGTCACGGCACACGGTAGCGTGCTAATACTTCAAGATTTGTAGTTTCTACCATTTTGACGAAGTGAATAGAAAAGTACCTGTAAAAAGTAACTTCACTTAGTTACAAGTTACTGGAAAATGTACCTAAGATACAAATACAGATACAGAGAAGTGAAAGTACTTAGGTTTGTACCTCAGGTACAACAAAAATACTTACAGTTGAACACGGATATATCGAATTCAAAGGGGAGTGTAAAATAGTTCTATATATCGGTAATTTGATATACAAAAATATGTTAACTTGAGCTCCAGTTGAAATTTCGGCTCGTCTCTGCTAATACCGAAGGCCGCGACAAACGGGACCTTACCAAATAAAACCTCTAAGAGCCGCTAAATGCAGTAGAGCTTAGTTGGTGAAGATCGCAAACACTGCCGCCTTTACGCGACCATGCTTGCGATCGTTTATGCCTGGCCACGATCTCCACACAGCACTCGCAACAAAACACGAAAATAATTAAAAAAAAAATGAAAGCAGAAAAAGCGAGCAGCATAAAAAAAAAAAAAAAGTCAATCCGATTTGTATAATGAAGTAGAGCTAGCAAAAAAAGAAACCATTAAATTCAGGCAGCAAAAAGAAAACGGGCAAAGCAAAAACGGCAAAAGCAAAAGGTAAACAAAGATAAGGTGTTCAAAGTATGATTGCTCAACCATTGTCATCATGCTCAACTTGATGAAGACTATTTTTTTTTTTTTATTTTGGGTATCAGGAGTCGCATAGCGACAGTGGTGTTTGAGGAAAGCGCAGGCTACCGTTCCAACAACAGCGGGCACTCTCTGCCCTCCCTACGCATCCACGCTTGCCCTTGCTTTTGCCATCCTTCCCTTTTTTCTTTTTTACAACACTGCTTTTAGCTGCTTATCCCTGTACACGTATGCTGGCTTGGCGGTTTGCCGCCCGTGCAATCCGCAACCCAACCGTGGGAGAAGCCAGGGGAGGCCGTGCTTCCTTCGCTAATTGAGTGTATCCGCTATGGTAGTTCGATATAGAAAAAAAGGCTCCTATACTGTTACATGTGATATTTAAAGGGATGTTTGGACGGTTCGATATAAACAATAATTCGAAATACAGTAGACTCATTAATTCAAACTCCAGGAAGTCACAGATTTTAGTTTGAATTACGAGAAGTTTGAATTATCAGAAATTCATCTAAATATGATAGGCCTAATTATAAGCAAGTACAGGCATAACACATTGGTGAAAGAACTGTGACGTTAAGTTCCTTCATCCGGCAAGAAAGTTGTTGATTGTGGACTGTTTAGTCAGTACATGAGATCTCAAAACAAAATTTTCAATACCAGCCAACGCAAGTAGCTCTTTACGGGACTCTTCCTTTGCAGACAGAAACTTCCGGAGCTGAGCGATGAGCTCAAAGGCCTTTGCGGCTGTGACAGTTGGTAGTGAATCATCCCTTTCTTCATCATCATCTTCACTCTCACTGCTGCACTGTGCTGGCATTACTTCCTTATGTCCTCTAATGAGTCATCACGACAAACACACACATCGTCGTCAAGACTAGCATATTTCGCCAGCTCGGCGTTCACATTATGTGCTTCAAGGCCGCAAAGGATGATGCCAGTGAGCTGTTCCTCATCCTCGATGTCGTCTTGGTCATCATTGCTAGTCTTGAAGCACATAATGTGAATGCCGTTTTCCGCTAATGTGTGCCTGCTTCAGCCCCGTTGAGTGCGCTTCTTTTCTGAGCACCGGTGCACTGCGGAGAAGCAACACTCGCGAAAACAAGCTCCGCGGGTATTGCTTCTCTGCGGTGCACCGGTGCTCGGAAAGAAGCGCACTCAACGGGTCCTCGAGAACAAAAAAGTATGAATTAAGCGAAAACAGCCGTTCGAATTAAGCGGCTTATAAACATAGCGGGACAACCAAAATTTTCAGATCTGTTTGAATTAACCGGAAGTACGATATATCCGAGTTTGAATTATCGCGAACCTACTGTACCCTGATGTGATATAGCCAAGTTGGTAGATGCCAATTTTTAATTTCTTACACCTAGGTACTTTACAACCCTGGTCATGGAAAATTGAGGCCGGTCCACAAATTTATCTTTGACTGGGATTGATTACACTACATCCACTTGTGATAGCTTCCTGGAACACTTGCACTACGCGTGTATCTGGATTGAAAGATTTTTTTTCACCGTATTTGCGAGATCATACCTACGCATTATCCATGAGAAGTGGTCTCATAACGTCCTCGGAATTATTTTAACTTCACGGTCAAAGACTGTTGCGCGAAATGTGCGAACGTCGTAAGTGTCCGGGGCCACCCGGCAGTTGGTGCTGGCATGTCACTGTTAGGGCGCCTAGATTTCAGCTCTTCCAATTGCCCGATCGGGGTCGTGGGGCTTACGGGCCGAGTTTGCAACACAGGTAGAGAAGGGGAGGAGAAAGCGTTGATTCGTCAAAAAGCGTCTTTGAGCTCTGACCGGCTTCTCCACCCGCAATCCCCCTCGCCACGCGACAACTTGCGCTCATTCACCCGAGTTGTGCAAAAGGCACCCGCCTTTAAATTGCAAATGCTCCACGTGGTTCGAGTTGCTCCCTCTTAAATCTAAGCTCTCTACTTGTCGTATGTCGTCGCGAGTGGCTATAGCATAGTAAATGACAGTCAGATGAAAATGTGTGAACCAGCCTCTCAAATAACAGGCTGAAGTTGAGCTAGTTGGTACATAACGCAAAGGGGAACGGTGAGCTAGAACGATAGGGGAAAGACGCAGACAGGGAGAAGCAGCGGTGTATATGTTCCTGTTTCTCCCTGTCTGTGTTTTGTCCCTATCGTTCTAGCTGACAGTGCGGCCTTCAGGTGTCGCAGCACAGTCGACTCACGTTAATTCAACTTATCGTTTAATTCAACAAATTCGAAAAGCTCATACATTCTTACAAAAAAACAAAAAAACTCATTGTTTCGATCTTGAAATATAAAATGTTGGTTAATTTGACCTAGAGAGAATTGGCGGCAGACAAATTACAAGCAGGATTTGCCGTACGTCACATACAAAAACAAGCCTTTTCTTTTACCAGATTATGCAGTGGGCAAGTACAAGCGCAACCGACCGCGCCCATCGGCAAAAAACATTGTTTTAAAATTTTAAGGTGCGCACTGAAGTGCGAAGGGAGAGAAGAAGAGAGCACATGTTGACGCACTGTACACGGCCGGGTCTCAACACAAAACAACCATCGCTACACCGCTCTGGAGCAGCGAACGCTGCTCCGTAGCAGTGTTGCAATGGTTGCCGGCAACCGGCGCACACTACCAAAACAATCATTGCAGCACTGCTGCAGCAGTGTTGCAGTGGTGCCGGTCACCTCTGCTGCCACCGCCTTGAATGCGCGAAGGACATTACCACCGTTGTGCAGCGGTATGTGGCGGATCATTATAAAAATGGTAGCCCGCCTGATCTAAGGCGCTGGATGTTCAGAATTCGACTTTCGAATAATTCAACCCAATTTCGCATGTCCCATCAAGGTTGAATTAGCAAAAGTTGACTGTACGAGTATGAATTGTCGGTCGGCCTGACTGTCGGTCGGGTGTTGTTGCTTAATTATTTGGTTGACTTCAAAAGTAATCGGGCTTTGTTTCTTACGATGTGCATTGACAACATGAAGGCGGACAACATTGCTACCCTTCGGTCAGTAGTCTGTTGCAAGTTAAGAACAGCAGGTAAATCTCCTCACACAAGGCCCTCCACCTTTCCCTCTTTAGCAGAGCGCAGCAAGTACTTTACCAGGAGGATACGTTGTACTCTGTTCATTTGCATCAGACCAAATAATCCCTTGGCGGTGTTGACAAATGGCGTTCGAGAGAACGCGCGTGCATCGGACTGTCCACTTTGTCGCGATTTCTCGCTGCGCCGGGGGAGAGGACTGCCGCCAATGCACCGAAATACTGGATTCGCCAAGACAGCTGAGACGGTACAACCGCCTCTGCCGTCTCAAAGGGTGCCCATGATGACCCATGGCGGCAGCCACCCCTCCCAACTCGAAGGGGAAAACCCCAAGGCTGTGTGCATCCAGATGCAAAAGCCGCTGGTGGGCCGCCGTATTTCCGCTGAGTGGGACGCGTTTCCTAGTCAAGTATTTGAGAGAATGCTGGAAAGGAGGACACCACCAATCACGTCGAACAGAGAGCTTTCGGAGGGGGTCCTGTCCCGCCATTCTATACCTGCAGCGTACTACAGTGGCACCTCGTTGGTTTGATGCAGACGAGCGGATCGGACCGGTCGCCCAGTTCGACGCAGGCCACCGCCGGACCGCTGAGGTGGCGGCATGGAACCTTGGGCACCCGCCGCAGCCCCAATTGTTCGCTGCGTATGTTGCCCTTTATTTTTCTATTAATGAATTGATGGTCACTCATTCGCGTCAATACAAACCCTGTAGGGGTGGAGAGAGAGTCTGTAGATATATTATTGTGAAAGACTTTTGTGACTTCAAAGCATTGTGTAGTGATTATGTTTACAGCCGTCCTTCATTCAGAGATGGCACCACCTACAATGCGTCGATTGCACGTGTCACGTGTTGTATAAAACCACGGGCCGCGTGGCGGCAAGACATGATTCGGCCACCAAAAATATGAAAAATAAATCTGCTCGAGGCGCTCGCCTCAGATCTGCCCTCGTCACCGTCGAGATTGGTTGCCTGTCGTCTCGTTCCCATCGGCAGGTTCTGCCCCGGAGCCGGCCGACACCATCCATGTAAGCGCGGATCTAGTGAGGTCCAAAGGCGTTCAAGGCTTGTTTGACCCCACAGCACCGGAGAATTACAAAACATTGGTAAACCGGTCAGAGTATAGGCCAGATTAATTGAACCTGCCTTAAAGGGGCGGTGCAACGATATTCAAATAGAATGTTTTTCACTTTACACGAGCTTACTGGCACTAGTGGGACTCGAGGATACTCGCACGCAACGCCACTGACCAAGAAACTCCTTTGTTGCGCTGTAATTTCAAGGACAAAACCGAGTGTTTTCATTCAATCTCTCCTTCGTAAAACCTGATGACGTTGGTGGGCGGTAGCAGTACCGCCCAGTGACAATATTTGAATGCGGCTCACTGATTGGACCCGAGCATGGCGTGGACACTCGATTTGGGCTCGTGATAATCAATAGCTCGAGAAGCATTCGGGTAGTGTCCCGTGTCCAATCGCTGCAATGACGACAATAGCCGAGCCATAACAATGTCTGGAACTCAGCGCGTGTCCTGTGCTTTGCCAACCCCAGCGCAGGGCTATGATCAACATTGGCGGCATATAATCGGCTCCAGATCACTTGGCCGCTTGTATTTGCGCAAAATACAAAAATCGTTGCATCGCCCCCTTTAAAGGGGGTGCTGCGATGAAATTCTAGCACCTATTGTATTGTCTAAATGGCAACCGTGTTCCAGGCGCACCACAGAGACACCAATCTTTTGTTCAAAAAGGCGCCAAAATGTTTAGAATGAATGAACCGATTACCAGATTGCACCTAGTGGACGTTCCCGAATGTCGTTGCATCGAACTTACCATGAAAGCAGCACCACTCCACAGAAGTGCGGCGCTGGGCCCTGAGCGCACACAGGCCGTCGAACTCGGCCGAATCAGATTTCCCCTCTCTCCCGTGCCTATTAAGGTGAAAGCCTTACTTGTCCCATTACGCGAAAAGGTGGCATCGTTGCGCCCGAAAGATGTCGTCAAGCGCAACGCTGTCCTTGGCGTCGTTCTTGAGGTCGTCCTATAGGTCGTCCTAGGCGTCGTTCTCGATGTTGTCCTCGTTGTCATCCTAGGCACCGTTCTTGACATCCTAGACGTCGTAAGAGGTCATCTTCAGTGTCGTCCTAGATGCCGTCCTTTACATTGTCCTTGACGTCATCCTTGAGGTTGTACTAAACACCGTACTTGGTGTCGATCTCTAGGAAGTCGTCCTAGAGGTAGTTTTTGATGTCGCCCTTGACGTCCTCGATATGTGCACGGCAAAGCAAATGTTTTGTCATGGTAGCTGTGAAGCCTTTAATATGTGTACTACACATTACTCGAAAACATTTCAGCGGTCGTAAGTGTCCTGTAATTTTTTTTTAACTCCTGGAGGGGGCAAGGAGAGGGGAGCTTGAAGCGGAGGCGAGTCACTTTGGTGTTAGTTATTAGAAACGAAATCCGCAATAGATTCAAGCAAGTAGACTTGTTGCTCCTGTTTGTCTTGTAACTTGTGTTCTAGCCTTGGTTGGTGAACTCACTTCAAGTATATATAGCGCGTACTGTTCTCTTTATATATATATATATGCAGTCAAACCCACTTATAACGATCCCACATATAACGACCGAACGGTTATAACGACCAGTTTTTAGAAAATATACAAATTCAAGGCCCTACCCATTAAAATTGGTCCGGATAAACCGACCGTTTTTCAAAGCATCGTACTGTTACAACGAACTCTCCAAATCCGCTTTCGGAAGAAGAAGAAAAAAGAAGATCGAAAGAACTACATTTCGGGCGCGGCGCTCTGGGAGACGCTTAAAATCATTCCCACGGCTGCGCGGAAAGCAAAACTACAAAAGCCAGAATGCCCTCCTGGCTCGCGTAGGCAGAAGAGGGAAAGAAGGAGCAAGTCAACTTTCCCGCCGTGCTGTGTTTGTTTTATGTCTGCAAACTCTAACTCGATGCTCGGTATAAGGTGGCTAGCCCCATCATCATTGTGACCGTTTGTTTACGTTCGCCATTTTGGCATTCGTATCAAGCACATTCTTTGGCATCTACAGACTCGTGTCTGTCTTTTTTAAGATAGGGAAAGAAAGTCCATTAGGAGGCTTTATTTAAACAAAAGAACATCACGCTGGCGAAAAACGATAACAACGGAGCAGCGCTGCTCGGCCTCGCAATCCCAGCCACCCTGCCAGAGGCGACGGCCGTGCACTCGTACATGCGCAGGAAGCGCGGCACTTGAAACACTTTAGACCAAAGCAAGTATTATTTAGCTCTATGGACAGCGAAGAACCATCGTCGGACTAGAGCACGGCATTTATTTTTGTGTTGGCGTGCGTTTCGTAAAATCTGTTCTAATAAGGCATCTGGCCAATCTTCATTATTTTAGTTGCGTGGTAGAACTAGCAGCAATTTACTTTTTCATTATCTGAAAGCGAAATCTGCTTGCACGTTAGAATTGGGGGCGCGGTAGAGTCGTGCAAATAGTTTCTTTAAATAAAGAGCTGGCAGAGTGAAACTACCAATACCAGCTTCATTAGCCTTATTTATAACGTGTTTTAAAGGCAAGTCCAGATATAACAAACTACTGATAACACAACCATTTTTCGCGGAACTATCGCGTCCATTATAAGTGGGTTTGACTATACGTGTGTGTGTGTGTGTGTGTGTGTGTGTGTGTGTGTGTGTGTACACACACACACACACACACACATGTTTTCCAGCATTTCAAATATTGAAATTACTTTAAAAATATTCAAACTTGCCAAATATTCAATTTGAACTTTGAATCGAATGTGAAATTATTAGCTTCAATATTCGAAAATTTCAAATATTTGCAAAACCCTACGCACAACGTAAGAAACTCGGTACAAAATACAAGCACTAGTAGGAGAATACAGCACAGGTGCTGTCCTGTCTTCTTCAAATATGGCCATATCCCCTGGGCAGCAAAGAGAGAGGCACCCCGGTCTGCTGCTAGTCGGCACGACCTGCAGCAAAAAACGGTAACATTGGGAAGGTACATCGCCCCCAGTCAATGGGACACGATTACTGCGTTGCTGTTTGGCAGAACATACTGGAGCTCAAGCTCGAGACCGGGTCCAAAGACTGCGGCCACGGGCTGTCTCAGAGTTGCGGGAATTCCACAAATGACGGCGCTACCCGTTGAACCATACTTTGCCGCCCTCCTAGCGTAGGTCACCAGTCGAAGGGAGGGAATTTGTGGCTGTCATTGTCGCAAGTACTTCATATAGAAACTCCAGGGTATGTTCACGAGAACGTTTTGTGTTCTTGTTGCAGTCGAGTGGAGTGTGGAAGACGACCGCAGCCTCGAACGCTTCTTGGCTGAGCACAGAGAGAGCGACCACAGCTCCGCCTTCGGTACGCCCCTTTCCACTGTGGCTCCTTCCTCTGCCCCCTTGTGCACGTCATCATTCTTCCTGTTTCCTTAACCCTTCGACGATCGTTGCTGTACATGTATGATAGCGATGACACGTTTGAAAGTTCTTGCCGAAATGCGAGACTGCATGCACACCCAGGAGATGCTGCTATTGGTTGTGTCTTTGGGGAGCTACAAGGATTGTATTCGCACCGTGTTTGGCCTTGCTGGGGCTGCTTGTATTATAGCGGAGCTGTTAAGGGCTAGGTTCCCCAGGATCGTGTCCGGTATGTCGACACAAACCTACCTGGACAGCTGCCGCCATGTACAGTGTAGACCCATATAACGTACGTCTCGGGAGTCGCGAAAATCCGCACTATAAGCGGTACCGCACTATAACCAAAACATCAATTTTTCAGGCCAAAATACATGCCATGAGACAACTTACCTTTGTAAAAGAATTTATTTTATCTTAGATGAAAAATAAAGATTAATTTGAGGAAAGTCTTTATTTCACCAGACTAGTACAGTTCTGTCTCAAGTGTGTCACACATTTTGAAAGAAATGAACGGCTTTTCCCTGGCGCAGCCATTTAACGGCGTCGCGGGTTGCGGACGGACGTTGCGAGCGTTCAGGATTGCTAACCCTAATCACTTTTCTCCGGAGATGAAAACGCGTGAAAATTCGCATCCTTCATACGGTATGCGCCAGTAACACCTTGAACTTGAGCACACGCATGAAATGCGCCAAATAAGAAATCCGGGCGATGTTCGAGGACACAAATGCTTAGAAATCACCGCTGTAGTCGAAGTAAACAAACATGACGGCACGGGCGTTTCTGCCGTATTGAGAGCGCCGCCACGACATCGCCGCACGAGTAGGTGGATCTTCCCTTCTAGTACGTGCTGGGTTATCATAGCGACACACAACGAAAATTCACAGTCAAGGATAGCGCTTTTACGCAGAACGATGAGATGAACGCCGTCTACGACGACGATCACAACCGACGCCATGTTTGCGGATAGAAGCAGCCGGCCCGCGACCGGCATGCAACGCGCGCGAACACTTCTCCTCGACCTGCGATTGGTCTGTCGTTGCGGTTGTTTGTTTCTTTGTTTCCAACGCAGCGGAGGGACTCACGCACGTGAACGACACGTGCGTGCGTCCCTTCGTCGCTATGGCAACTGAAGCTTCTCTCTTCCCTTCTCCCCGCTTTTTCGAGCTACCTCCTTGCCCCGCGAGTGCAGTTTGCGGCTCGCGCCGTCAGCGCCGTTATCTAGTGATCTAGTGTCGCACAGGGAAGCGAGCGCGCTGCTCCGGTCGGCGGCGCGGTCGGCGGGCTGTGCTAAAAACCGCACTATAACCGGTATTTCCCTTTGCGCGCCTGCATTTTAAGCGGTATGTGATTACATGGAGTTCTATGGGAGGTGAACCGGTGGTTTAAAAAAACCGCGTTATACCCGGTCCTGCACTATAAGCGGTTACGTTGTAAGTGGTCTATACTGTATAAGCGACGGCGGCAAGCACACAACCAGTATGGTTTCCGCCTTCGCTCGTAGATGGCGGCGACCTTCCCAGCTATAATAGAAGAATGGATAGTTGGGTGCGTGGGTGGGAATTCATCGTAGGAAACAGCACGCAAAACAGACGACGACGAAGAAGAAGCACACAGTGTATTGAGTACAGCTCTGCTGCTCTTCTTCACGAAAATGGAAAGGCTGAACGTTTTCTCTTCTTTTTTCCTTTTTCTTTATTTGGCAGGTTTTATTGACAGAGACTTTGCCCCCAACAGTTCGACAGTCGGCAAAGCATGGCTTACTAATTAAAAAATAAACATAAAAAAGAAGGCACAATGAAACAGCTAGTTCAACATTCAAAAGTGTGAAGGATACATTCAGTAAAATGAAATACAGGAAATAAAAAAGTTTGAGGTACACCTAAGCATTCCTTATGAGTTGTGAATGCGAAAGCATGCAAGCCGCTCGTCCGCTCTCTTTTTCGTCTGCTGCATACTTTTTGCGCCAGTCAGCGCGTGTGCGCTCCGTGCCCAGGGCAGCAACGGCGCGCTAATGGACACTCAGTGCCATCGGGTGAGCGGTCGTGGAAACTGACGAGCGCAGCTGCCAGTGGGAGCTCCATCGACGCGCATTAGCCAATGGAACCGAAGGATTGGGGAAACTATCTGCCGTTTTTGCTTTTTTAAACTGATGACGTCAGCTTGCTCCATGAAACAGTTAATGCTTTCGCATTAATAATGAAATAAAAGGGCACAATAAACCAACTAGCAAAATCGCATGTTACACAACAAGCATGATTCATAGCTTTTAACAAATGTAACGTCGTATGACAGAGAAGTGTCATATCGCTAATATGGACATAAAAAAAAGTCTGCGGATAAAAAGTTAGAAATTATATACTTGCATGTGATGCGTGCAAGATGCTCTCTTCGCATGTCAATTGCTCTGGTGGTAGTGCTGATTGGAGCGTAGGCTCTTCTGACTGATACTTTTAACATTTCTCGGAATTCAATTCAGGGGATGACGGCACATCGTTTGATGGGGAAGCTCTGTAATAAAGTGCCTTCAATTGGGAGTCGGACACCGCCGGAATGTCGCAGAAGCGGATGCACCAAAATGAATTCAGTTCGATGAAAGGCAGCATCTTTTTGTCCTCAATATTTTAATTTGATGCTTCTCATCCTGAACAGCTTGCAAGCACACTATGCACTCCCATTAGATAACTAAAAAAAAAAAAAACTAACACCACATATTTTTTGTATTATCCTCTAAAAAAAACAAAAAAAGAAAAACGCCACTGTTTTTTTGTTTAATTGAAAGGGTTGAAGACATTGCTTCAAAAGGAAAACTTTTAAACCTGTTTGTCAGGTCTGTAGGAAATTTTCGGGGCATATTTGTAACTGAAAGAGGATGCCTTACAAAGTTTCAAGGTTATAAATTAATCCTTTGAAGAGGGTATGTGAAAGTTCATGATATGAGCACCCACCCACCGAGAAAATCTTTCATTAATGGCCAGTTCATTTGATGAAACATGCAGTATAACACCTGTGTCACACGACTGTGGAAAGAAATGACAAAAAGTAAGCAAATTGAAATAGAAACAAAATGCTAAAACATATATATACCCTTTTTAGGTTAAGTAGGTTGATTAAAACGCAACTTCTTTTTTCATAACGGGGAGCAAGAAAATACAGAACTAAAGTTCACAGCCACATTCGTTACAAAATTTCAGTATAGAACCATTAAAGGTCGACTTCACATAATTGTTTTAACATGAACCTATAGCTTTCCTTAACAAAGATTTGATGCCAAAAAGTGAAACTGAGATAAATGCGATTGTTGCGCCATTTGTGCCAAGCTGCGCCAAAGTGCTTTGCCGGAGCGTCGTCGTCGGTAGGAAATGCCAGATGTGGGACAATGGAAGCTCCTCCTTTTCGTTCTCACCCTGACCATAGCAGCTTGCATGGTGAAGGCCTGTTAATAGATGGCACTACCTTGGCGCCATTAGTTGGCACTGGAAATAGCGCCGACCTTGCTGATGCAGCATTCCATGGGTGCCAAGTTATCGATTTAGTGCTGCGACTGTGTCTGTGTGTGCGAACCTGACCTTTAATTTCGTATGTTTAAACCTCGAGTTTTAAAAGTTTATGCTCTTCGCTAGCATCCTTCCTCATCCATGGACACTTGCATGCTTCTCTCTTTCGAAACGACCAGACTCTGTGGGCGCCGACATCTTGAGTCCCCCGCTCGGCGCTGCAGACTCCGTGCTCCCGCGCGCCGGCCACTACCAGACGGCCACGCGTTCCCCGCAGTCCGCTCACGGGGATGATCCAGACTCCACGGCCACCTTCACCGGAGACAGCGTGAGCCGCCTGTTTCCTCCGTGTTGCTCCAGTTTTTTGGGGAGGACCTTCAAAGAGATACAATCTCACCGTCTGCTTGATGTAGCGTGTACCTTTTAGCATAAAGTTGTAATGTACACTCAAAGTTCAGCTGGCGCTAGTGCCTATGGGACTTTCGGTTTCAAATTGAAGCATACAGCAACCAGTCCACTGGTTGTTGTCTGCTTTAAACTCTCATGCATTTTGTTTCTTCACCGGATAATAACACGAATCACCTTTGTTACTTGGGTCATGGCGAATATAGTAGGTAGCTTTATTAACATTATAAAAGTGCTATTGCTTTAGTCACAGTATATTTCAGGTCAGTGAGCGACATTTAACTTCGCAGAATTCGTTCCAGGCCCGATTCTACGTTCCACAGGAGATGTGTGAAGACAAGTGACTAATTTAAGCAAGAATTGCAGTTGAAAAAAATGCAGGGCTTGGTTAAGAAGTGCCTACTAACGATCACGCTAATATTGATGATGTGCCAGGTTTATGTGCATTATCTCCTCTAAAATTACCCCTATATAGGAGCAATTAGCAATGCATTAAACGGTAAAAATACAGACTATAGAAAGTGTTTCTCTTTTTATTATTGCACTGATTTTATCGGACAATAAGAGTCTTCTGGCTTTTTCTTCATTTTCAAAGTTTTCGAGCATGCAGATGTGATGTTTTGAACGCCAGAACAAAACTACCTTTGCACCTATTCATGAGCAGAGGGAATAAAACGAGTATTATTTATATAAAAAAATGGCACTAATTGCTTGGTTTTCACTTCCTTCGATCGCCTACATGCACAGCTAATTACTGATCCGGCGTTAGTGCATAGTTCTTGATGTCTCTCTTGATTTCTGAGATGCCGTTCGCTGCTTTGGCGCATAAACCGCCCTGCAGAAAAGAGCCGATGCCTCGTTCGCACTAACGGTGTCAAACAGTGTGCATACATGCACATATGAAACTATTTTTGCCCAATGTTTAAAGCCACAAATTTGAAAGAACTGACCAATGTTTTCGCCTACGCGACTGAGAAATGTTCCACGCAGTCTCTCGCAAAACAATTCTTCATAACATTTGCTTTAATAATCGAGCGCAGAAAGAAAATGCACCCACCCTTTCTCACAGAAGTGCATTACCAGAAGTAAATTTCGGACCAGTTGCCATCCGCTTCAGTTTGAAACCGCACGTTAGCGCCAGTCGAACCTCTAGCGCACATTGTCATAACTCTATGCCTTTTAGCACAAAATACGTGATAGGGCTGGCTCCTAGCAATTTCTTGTAACACACTTCCCGTAACATTCAGCTTATACCTACGCATCAATGGGCGACTTGGATCTTCTATAATAGTGCTTAAACTGTAAAAATGTGTGTTTAGGGACGGTTGGGGATATTTGGAAGCTGTGGGAATTACAATGGTACTCTGGGGAACTGAAGAACCCCTGAATCCCTAGAAATCCAGTTTGAGAGCCCACGGAAATTTATTGAACCCTACTGCTTCATTACCGTTCAGCCACAACTTGTGTCTACGTCCTCCGACGGGCGACGCAGAAAGTCCAGTACTACGTCCTCTTCGTCTGGGAGGCGTTGAATGAGCTCGCTCACACACGTGGTGGGAGAATGTGCAGAGGGCGAGGGTGAGGAGGACAAGCACGTGCTTCGGAGGGAATGGGGACGCGTGAAACAGCGAGGTGAAAACTGAGGTTTGCGACTTTGAGGAAGCGAACTTCGCGTTCCGCTTCGGCAGGGCTTCCCTTCGGAGACGCGGTGCAGGACAGTGTTTGTGCTGTCGAGACGCAAAATGCTTACCAAGTTCGGCTGTGCAACTACCCTGCAAAGCAAAAGACAGAATATTCCCTTTTACCTGGCGTTTGCCGCTATGGTGCGGGAAGGGGGCGAATGTTGGCACTGTCTGGATCTTATCTGTTGCTGTCAAAGTTCTAATTGATGCGAGCGACTCTACTCACTGTTTGTATGTCTGCTGCATTGTTTCTACTTTGACAAGAGTGCCATAATACTATTAAACATGTGCCATGTCTGCTTTACTGTTATTAGCTGCCCAAGCCATAAAATTGGGTGCTTTTAGCAAAATAACTAAATGTCTTGCTTGCTGAAACCTATTTAGCAAGAAACACTTTGATTGCATGAGGGATCTTTGGTATTTAAAAGATTGTTTGTAGTGTCACGAAAAATAATGTAAACAATTCAGAATTATGTTTTGGGGAGGTCTGTTTTCTTACATTGGAAGTCACGCTTTTCTGCCTATGTCTGTAATGTGATGAACCAACTAGAATATGCCGTGTTACATATTCTGTAAGCAGTTACATGTGTGCTGCAGTATGTACAGTTTGGAATTATTGAATCGGTGGTGCACGCTCGCTGTCGAGCCTGGAAAACCAGTGATTGAGCATTCTAGTTGCAAAGATCCTTTAAGATCCCACTCCTCCGAGGATCACTAGATAGGCAGTGATCCGGATCTTTTCATTACTGCATCTAGGACTGGAGCAAGTGGTCCGGAGACAAGCAACTGGATCGCTGGGTTGAGAATCTACGCAAGGTTAGTCTACAGCCTGGGTTTTCTTATCCCTGTATTAGAAACAAGGAACAGCCATTTATTCATGAACTGGGAAGATCAGGTGGAAAGATATAGGGCTAGTCAAACCTGAGGCCGTGTTCTTGAAGTGAAACTGAACATCAAAAATGCTTATAAGTGTGCATAAGCACACTTATAAGCATTTTTGACAGGCGAAGATCCCGGCGGCAAATGCCTCTCAAAGGGATCAATGTCGCTCCGCCAGCCAAATGCGTCCACTCGTTTCTTCGACGTCACTGACGTCGCAGCCCTACAAACAAACTTTTTTTAATACACGCTGTTTATGGCGCCAGCGTCTCTGAGAGACGCTGGGTTCTTGCAGCAATTTTTCTGCTCTTTACATGCCCAGATTTAAAATTAGCAAGATGCACAAAAACAAACGAATCACACCTGGCCTCTAGATGATGTTTGCTGCTTTCCGCTTTCCCGAGTGTTTCCAACAGTGCCACTCGGAGAATAACTGCTGGACACATCAGATAGCCAGGAAATAATAGTGAGAGCAATAAACATCTGGAGGCCAAGTTAAGTTTTTTTTTAATTTTCGTGCACACTGCCTATTATAAATAAATTTTCCTGGCACATTTCATGGAAAAAAACTGTGCCGAAATCACTGGTATCGCTATGCCGATTCTCGACGAAATGCATTAGCATTTAGGGAGGGGGGGTGGGGTTCTGACGCGACGAAGGATGGGAATTCCAACCTCGCAACGGTCTGCATACTGTTGTGTTTGGAGAGCCAGTCTATTCTCCCGGGCGTTGGCGGTTTCCAATGCAGCCGCCACAGCTTCCCTCGATCGCCGCATACGGTGCGCATACCGTTGTCTTTGAAGAGTTAATCTTTCCTCACACGTGTCGGCAGTTTCGCTCAAAAGGCGTCATTGCTGTGCCTCGGTTTTACATGTTCACGTATGTTGTGCAAACTGGGGAAACGAAACGATATGCGTACGCTCCGGCTCCATCATAAAAGGACTGTGTGTCAACAGCGGTGCGTCGTTAGAAGCGTGCAGGAAGTCTCTTTCCTTCAAACGTAAGGGAAAGTGGACATAATGAGCGAATGAAGTGAAAGAGCATATTTGGGAACCGCGCTGCGGCCTCGCAAAACCAGTCCGGTTCAGTCCAAACCAAAAGCGGCAGCATGCTCTGAAACGTTAAATGCTAATGCATTTTTAAAAATCTGTATGCAGTGGGTTAGCATTGTGGAGAAAAAAAATCACATCTCCACATGGTGAATGATGTTGATTGGGGCGAAGCTCTGGTGGTGCTGATGATACAGATTTTATTGTTCATAGGTAGTGCTGATGGTGCTGATTTTTTTTTTCTTATTGCTCATAGGTAGTGCTGAGTTCCGGGTGGCGTTTCAACTTCATTATTACTGCTTTATGATCGGTGAAATGCAGAGCCAGTGGTTCTTCTAGTGGATCAGCTTGGATCCGCTAGAAGCCGTGGGAACGCGTCTCCACCGCTTAAAGTCAACGGTCCATGTCAGAAAGAGAATGCGTGGTATGGAATGTGGTTATATGCACATTTGAGCATTTGACCGCAGCACCCTTTCGTCTATAAACGTTGAGCCAATGCATGCAAAGTTTAACGCGATTATATACGCATTTGATTGCAGTGCCCTCTCCTGTATAGACGTTGAGCGGCTATATGCAACGTTTTATTCATGACAGACAGATGGGATGGCAATCGATGTGAGCACGGACGCCGGATGGATGGACAAGGCTAGACCCTAAGGAGTTTCACCCCTAAAAATAAGCCCCGAAACCCCCCCCTGCCCCCCCCCCCCCCCCCCCCCCCCCCCAATTCGAAGAAAAATTAAATTTGAAAACACAAAACCATGTCATGTTGCTCGTGCACGCTGTGTTGAGACTGCAGTGGGCTGCGTGCAACACCTGTGCCACAGTTATTCCTCGTTTCCAGTGGATCAATCAGACCATCCTGGCCAGGCTGGCTTCCGAAGTGGACTCTGTGAACAGCACGCTGCAGCGGCTGGGCTCATCTGACCTCCGCGTTGGGGGTGAGAAGCCGTTCTGTTTGCACCGGGGTCGGGGAACCTCGGCGCTGTCTTTAGGTAGGATCTAAAGCCTGCTAGGCTGGTCATGTGTTCGTTAGCAGACAATGAATGTACTGCTGGTGGTTTGTTCAACTCTAACTTTCTCACGCATGGGCCACTGTATTTCATGTGAGCTCGACCCGAAAACTTGTGGATGCCACGGTAATGAACTTTCGCCCAACGTCTTTCTAAGCGCGGAGGCAATATTTTCTAATCGCTCGAGTTTGTTTGCCTTGTGACAGACTGCGCCAGCAAGAGTGCTCAGGAACGTAAAAGAGAGTCAGCTGGTACTGAATTTTCATACGTGCCAATCTTCATTCAAACTTAACATGCTGGCACATCCTGGGACGCTTCTGACTTGTGTATAACTGAACTGTCATCTTTGGAATGCTCACAAAATCAAACCTACTTGCTGTCTATGAGAAACGGTCGCTCCTAATATTGTCAGAATTATGTCTTGCCCACGGTGAAAGAACAATGTCTAGAAAAGTTAAAAAATATATATATACGGGTCGTACTTGTTTCGGGACTGCCCGATAGGTGGCGCCGGCATGTTGAGCGGTCACGAGAGAGAGTTATGCGCTCGACACGAGAGAATGCAAGTGCGTAAACGAGCCTTAATTCCTCGGTCCCCGTGTTTACTGCGGTTTCAGAGGCAAGCCAGTCGACACTGCGTCAGGTGTCCCTGAGCAAGGGTCCCCAGGTGCCCACGCTGGCTGCCCTGCTGCCCTACCTGGACCTGTCTCCCAACCAGGAGTACCTCGTCCAGAGGATCAAGGGTAGGCGACGTCTTTCTCTTTTTCACGCGGAACTTGCTTTATCGGGCAAGTTTCGTGACAAAACTGTTACAAAGAACCATCGCATCAGTCCTCCCACTAAATTTAGGAAATTGAGATCATCTGGGGACCTCCCGTGGCATCATGAGAAGTCATGATGCCACGGATGAGGCAGCGCTTTGTCCGTGCACTTCTTTCACACGTCCTTTGTCAAATTTTTGCGCTGTTTTCACGTTTGAAAAATGAGGTAGTAGTTTGCGCTCAGCACATTCTGTTGTTCGTAGTCTTCGTCAGCACATTCACGCTTGTGTAATTTTTCCGTTTGTGCTGGTACCAGCTATTGTCCGATTGCCTTCCATATAGCTTCTCTCGAGCAACCCACAGCTTGTCAAAGCGAGGTTAGCTCGTTGTAATGTGCACAGGTCTTGGATGGCTCCCTAATTTGCAACAGGCCCTAAATGATTTTTAATGCAGAATCCGTTTTAGTGCAAAATTTTGTAACGAAAATTGTGATAACATGGCTGGTAGTGTTTGCAAAAAGAATGTTATCCGTCCCTTGGCAAGAATTGAACGAACGAGCTTGCGGTCAGTAGTCTACCGTAAAATCCCTTAAGGGCACCCTCTTCCGAGAGATTGCCCATCCCGTTTTTCTGGCTAAATACTTGTAACATAAAAATTCCGAAACATCGCCTACCCCCCGATTCCTGTTGGACGTCAAGCGATGTGCGATGGGAATCGTGCATCAACAGCGTGATCGGCGGTACCGGTGCGTCTGAGAAGCGAGTTCATAGCGGGTTCCCGCCTTTATGTCCGATCTGCGCGCGATATCGGCTCGCGTAGCATGCTACTTGTTCCCGCGTGTATATTGCATCGTAAAATGCGAATCTGCTGCGTTCGCGATTTGCGGTATCCGTTCCCGAGTTCGTACCGGATTCCTGTGTTTTTGCTTGTGATCTGTGCATGCGATATCGATTTTGAGCTGTAAGTAATACGTGCGAGTTGTTCCTGCGAGTATTTTGCATTGTGAAATGCGATTCTGTTGCGTCCGCGATCTGCGGTATTTGTTCCTGTGACATGCGGGTTTGTAGCGTATTCTTGTTTTTGTCTGCGATTTATCTGCGCGTGCAATATCGATTTCTGTGACAGGCAAGATTGTAGCGGGTTCCCACGTCTTTATTGCACCATGAAACTTGAATCTTCTGCATCCGCAGTCTGCGGTATCTGTTCCCGTGAGATGAGAGTTCTCGGCAAGTTTCCGCGAGTCCTTTGCACCATAAAATGCGAATCTGCTGCGTCGGCCACTTGCGGTATCCTTTTTCGTGACAGGAGTTTGTAGCGAATTCCCGCGTGTTTATCGCATCGTGAAATGTGAATTTGCCGTGTCCGCGATCTGCGGTATCAGTTCCCGCGTCACGTGGTTTGTAGCAGGTGCCCCGGCCCTTATCATTAATTTTTGATTAAGTTTTGCAGTGGCATCCCCAAAAATAGCCATCCCCAAAAATAGCCATGTTTTTCACTATTTATCTCCTAATTTTTGGGTGGGCGTCTTTATGGGATTTTACGGTAGGTCTCTACCCCGTCCAGGAAAGGGGTTATTTCGAATGTAATTTATGTACTCGCACGGCGCCACAATAGTGCGTCTACGAGGAAGATGAGCTACGAACGTCTCAAAGCTTACCGTCAGTGTAAGAACAGAGAAAAACTCATTTATTTTTTTAAGCAGGATTGAGGAACAGACTTGTGTGGTTCAATCAATTCTCGCTTCAACGTGAATTGTGCTGCATTCTTGTTGCTTCCAGAACTGTCGAAAGGTGGCTGCATGAGCGGCTTTCGCTGGAACGGGGGCAGCAGCAATTACAAGGGCAAGCCCTGGGGAGACTACCTACCCACCGATTCCGCCGTCAGTGTTCTTTTATCAGTTTTAACACAGTCGTCGGGCTGGGTGTCGTGAGAAGTGCTACACATTACGCTATATGACTGTAATGTCGCTTGATGTCGCTGAGTTTAGTGATTCACGACGTAACGCGACTTGTGACATGCACACAGCATGTGCCCTGTTCATTTGCAATACATTCTGTGCATCATGTTTTAGGTAACATGACTTTACTTAGATCAAAAGATAAAAACGAAAAAAAATCTCTCTACGAGCCGACGTCCACGTAAGTCTGGTAGTATCGTCAAAACAAAAACTGATGTTGCGGACGCGTCTGGCGTTGATTCCGGCAGAAAACACTTTACAGTCCGAAGGAGGACGTAGTTTTCTTTCTTTCCGACCAGCTTTTTAACTGAAATGGATGCTACAAGTGCCTGAATGTCCCTTCTTGTTTTGACGACAGTGGGCTTGGGTGGAAAATTAAGTCTTTTATCTTTTGATACAGGTGACGTCATGTTCTCAAACTTCCGCGTTCCCTTGCAAACGCTAGCGTCACATTCCTGCAGAGCTTAAGCTTTCTGTGACTCATCATCTATTTGACCAGACCGAAAAGCATGGTTCTCTTTTCTTGCAAACACCTGGTACAACAAAACATGGCTCTCTGATCTAGCGGAGAGCGCGTGCAGGGAATCCTCGACCGCTTTCTACAGGCACGATAAACGTGTGCCCGTAATGGCTCGTGTTATCTTTTTTCTTGCGTGTTACTTTTATTGAGTCTAGATATAATGAAGAAGCAGATATGGCGAAGCGATTTCAGGTTTTCGTTGAATTCGTTGTAACCGGTCGTGATGGTACAGTGTATTTGTAGAGTTTTTGGTATAACGCCAATAAACCTCGTAACTTTCTAGCTAGTTTTATCAAAATCTGGGGGCGGGGCGGGAGAGGCGGAACATTCCCAAATCGTAGCTGTCCTCAAATAAGGAAGGCACAAGTTTGAAGGAACTAAAATTTCTATCTACTCCTTTTTTTTGCATTGATTTGGAACACAGCCCAAACTATCCGTGAGGATGCTTCTCTCTTTGGGAGCCAAATTCCGAACACCGAAGGTTGAAACCGAGAAAACACGGAATCTGGAAGAAATATGAAGCGCCCCCCAAAAACACGTCTGAAAGCACAGAACATTATCTATAATTTGTCGCACATTTGCCTTTTCTTTGAGTTGCGTTGATTCTGTCACGCATCAAGGCTAAACAAACAACCTGTCCAACCCGGAGTCGTGTGCGAGGCGACACGCTTTACTGGTCCTTTTGCACGTCCCCAGATCGTGTTGCACATGTTCTGCACGTACCTGGACTCGAGGCTGCCTCCCGACCCGCGCTTCCCCGACGGCAAGACCTTCACCTCGCAGTTCTTCAGCAAAGCCCCCGACAAACCGCGTAAGAAACGGTTCCAAGTACTTGTTTTAACAAAGGTTTCTGGTTCACAAACAGTTCCTTTCGGAAAAAGTAGTGCACTCCTCAAAATACATAAGGGGATCGGTAGCCGAGCGTGTTGGTACACCGCATCTTGGAGCGTGTGGAACAAAAGCTTGCACTGCAAAACCAGGAATCTCAGGTTCAATCCCCACCGCTGCCTATTTCGATCCGGACGGGCATCGTATCGGCGTGCGGTCATGTGCTCCAGCTGCGTGATGTGTGTTAAAGACCCCAGGCTAGCAGTCATACTGCACTGCCCATATTTCTCATCTACAGTGTGAACACGTGTCGCTGTACCTGAAAAGCAGACCGACCTTACGCCGTTTAAATTTTTTTGAGGAGGGAGGGAGGTCATCAGGAGCATGACCACTATCTAATTTGGTTCTCACGGGGCGAGCCTATATTTTTTAGCGGATGACTTTTTTGTCTGCTATAAGGTATTCTCAGATGAAAATAAAGCGAGAAAGCACCTTCAAGCCGTCTGCTAACCGAACCGCAAAAAGCTGGATTGTGTGCTACAAATCGAGTGCCGCGGCAACGTGAAATCTGACGCAAGTTGAAATCATGATTGTCTCCTATTTCACGGTTCGAAGCGATCGACAACCTATGCTTTTGCCGTCATACAAGAGCTGAAATCCACCGGTGGATAAAGGAGCACTCATAACGAGCACACTCACTTAGGCCGTCGGGCCTCTCTCACCATACATGTGTTGTTGAGACGTTCTCAGCAAAATAGCCCGATCTTGGACTTGCAAATTGGTTGACAACACTTGGCGAGCCACGTCAATTAAGCCATGTCTTAAGCAGCCAAGAAAGCTCTCGCTGTCACCAGGGGTCAAAATTGAATGCCTGAAGACATTGGACACTACTCCCAGAGCACCTCGTTTTGTAGCATCCACCGAAACCAAAGAACAAAGCTAATCAAGCTTTCCGATTGGGTGATGTTGGCCATTTTGAATCTAGGAGAGAAAAGAAGGCTAAAGACATACTGAAAACATTATTGGGGTAGCTCAGAACATCTGGCGAACTGCAATTTGTTGGAAGGTAATATAAACATGTTGACGTTTTCTAGCTACTATATACTCCTTTTTCGTGTAGTCTTCGCCACCTTGAATCGTGGAACCTCCGGTATTGGGGAAGGCATTGTTTGGCTCCTGCCAAGCAACTGGAAGGTATTCACGCTTTAATGACAGTCGGTCCTTGTTTTGCCTTTTCTATATTTTTTTACTCAATCCAGATTGTCTTGCATTTTTTTTGTTCTCCCATTCCGGACATGTGAATTATGTGGCTGAGGACAAGAGTAAACAGGTAGCTCATAGTCTGAACTGCATGTGCAGAATATATTGGCCTGTTTTGTCCACTGGCAAGCAAGCTCTCCCCAGCCCATTATGATTGCATGGGGCAGCCACTTTGAAGCTTTCGTTTGCAAAATTGGGGTGTGTGTATGTTTATACAGTCTAGAACATACGGGCGACTTGTCTCCCAGCTGTAGACGAGAAAATTAGCCAGTGCAGTACAACCGCTACCCTGAGGTCTATAACATGCGTCACACAGAAGTGATACACGACCACACACCGGTACGATGCTCATCCAGATTGAAACGGGCAGGGGTGGGGAGTTCGATTGCAGCGCTGCAACGTGCTGGGTGTGACAATCAGTGGCTTCAGGGTCACCGAAGGCTCTCAGAGTGGTGCACCATGGAGCGTCTGCTTGGTCTGTAAATGAAGGATCCCAGTTTGTTGCTTGCAGACCTCTCTGCCAAGTTGTCGTAACTGTCGGCCATGTTGATGCTCGCTTAGTAAGCTGGGCGACAGTAAATAAAGCTGGGGTATCTGCTGTAAAAACTGCTAGTGAGCCGTTTAATAAACAGGCAGTATTGAGCTTTTTCTGCTTTTTTACTGCTATCACTAGCACTTGATTGGTTGGTAATAGGAAAACTAAACAATTGATCATCTACTGACGGTCCTGCATCCTTTTGTGATCTTTTTCAACAGACACGGGGAAGGACACTCTTTGCATTCACCAGAGCAGCTTGTTTCCACCGCACTACAAAGTGGTCGTGGGTGAGGCTGTCTGGGACCTGCCCAAGGTAAGATAGCTGAACAATTGCCTAACATTCTCCCAATCGCTTAAACTATGTCTGAATGCACACCTTTTAAGAAAACTGTCCATTCTTTTTAGGCAAGCAGCATTATTCCTTCAGCAAAAATGTGATAATGCTGATGCACTGCTGCTTCCTTACCCACAAACCGAAATGGTGACGACATGAGCTTCACTATATAACTGGTTATGGTTAGTGCTGGATCAAGGCAAGGATCTCCAATATGGCTAATGCTTGAAAAGATAACCATGAAAAGACCAGGGTGTCTAGCGACCGGTAAATTTTAATTACCGGGAAAAATAGGGGAATTGTCAGGGATATTGTCAAAAACCGATCCCAGTCAGGGAAAATGAGCCAAAAACGCCATCGGGTGCCCCGAGCAAAGACTTGGGGACTTGGGGGCTTCTGCCCCCAAGTCCTCAAGTCTTTAGGTGATAAATTCTGCTTAGAGCGGAGCGCGGGCTCTGCTCACCTGATGTAGAGTGTGCTACCCGATGCAAAGGAAACAGCCGACAGATCCAGTCCAAGCCTTGGATTGGATTGGATTGAGGACGGGACACTAGGCTAGCTCCAGTTAGACCTACTAGATTTAGGCTGCAGACCCCAATCCAATCGAAGCCTTAAGCCGAAAATATCCGAAAGTGTGCATCTGGCGGCCATGCCGCCGTTTGGTTATTGACGTGTGTGATTGAGCGTCGGTTTTCATAGTGTTTTCGGAAGTGGTCTCTCCTCTGAAGATGTCGGCGGCAAGAAAGTGCTTGTTTAATCCGGACTGGACGAACCCGAATATTTTGGAATATGCAAGTCGGATTAAGCCCGTGCAAATTGATCCTCAAAGTACTCAATGCTCAATGCCTTGTGTGGTAATGGTCTTATATATTTAATCGCCTCTACAGTGGTCAGGGAATTTCCCTGAAATTGTCAGGGAAAACCTGGAAACGTTTGTGAGGGAAACCTGGAAAGTGTCAGGGTAAAGTCACAATAATAATTTACTAGACAGCCTGAAAGACATGGTTGTGAGGCCTTCCTCCCACTGGTATAATTCTGCAATTCTAGAATTTTGTTAAGGGGAGACCCTATTGTTTATCCTGTCATTTCTCATCTGATTTATATTAAATTGTTGCATCTATAATTTTTTTGTGCTAAGCAAAAACATAAGCTTATTGTTTTCTTGCCTAGGTGTTATGGTTTTAAAAGAAATCTAAATTTTATCACATGGTTCTGCCCAACTTTTAACGCGATAGCGTTTAGGAGCTTCTGTCGCAGAAAATCCTGCATTGGCGAGACAGGAAAATAAGGTAATGACGTCGCAGCCACACACTTCGCGCGGGAATTTCGAACAACCCACAACACTCACGTGACGTCTTGCGTGGAATGAAAGCGATTAAGACATTTAAAGGATGCAGCGTGTTTCAAACGATTTCACTTTATAAAGTAATTCATTTGCCTTAAAATGGCAAATGAAAAGGGGATTTGAACCCACAACCCTTCAGTTACGGTCACGCAGACATGCTTGCACTGCTTGGGAACGAGCGGGGGTTTATATGTTTAGCTATCACATTGCACTCTTAAAGGCAAAGCTTAAGCGTCCTCCTGTAATTTTTTTTACAACATTCCCAATTAAAAGAATATGGCACAAAGTACGCTGTATTATAATTTTAGCATTCTCCATTATAATTTATTATTATTATAATTATCCATTTTATATATTATATATAACTATTATAATTTTAGCATTCTCAAAAAAAATTGTCACAAGTTGAAATTGTTTTGCTTATAACTAGAAATAAGTCATTAAAGTCTTTGCAAAATAAATTTTCTAGTTAACATTTTCTAGAACTATTAGTCTCGGTGCACTCTCTAATTATGAGGCATTAAACCCCGAAAAAATAATTCAGATCTATATTTTTTTAATATAAAGATACCGTGAGCAAAACTTTGTGTTGACTAAAAAATCAATTCCAAGAAAACAGGAAGCTTTTCAAAATGTGCTTGCAACAAGCCTAGATATGAAACTTTAAATCGATGTAACTACTATATAAATGCACACTTCTACCAATACCACCTCGAAGACAAGGCCTGCGCACGACGTTTGGTTTGTAGATCCCCGACCCGCCCCAAGCGTATGACGAGAGTAGGAGCCACCTGCGGCTGCGACAGTTGAGCGCAAGCTGATAGCGAGCTTCCAGTTCACATGCAACGTGCATGCGAACACTCCTTCGGCCAGGAGCGCGAGCTAGCACGCGCTCCTGGTTTTGAGACATGCATTTCTAGCGCACGTGCATTCGTTCTGCGGAAGAACGCTTCAGAGCAGCGACCTTGAGCTTCCGCACTTGTGGCGTTGACTGCATTATCTGCTTAAGATTGAACGGGGCATAAACGGTGCCCTCAAAGATGGCGTCCAGTGCCAACGTAGGGCTTGGCAGCCCTTCACACAGCAGTAAGGCATTTTCACTCCTGCATTGGACGCTTGGCGTGAATGTCTCACTTCATCGTGTCCTATAGCAACAGACACTCGGCGTGAGCATCTGTTTCATTATCTGCTACAGAAACCACTGAAGCAGGCAATGGAGCAGACGATGGTGCTCATCCAAGCTAGCTAGGGGGCGCCGAGGGGATCTACTAGTGATGACGTCTAGAGGAGGAAACGCGCAGGCCTTGTCCTCTAGGTGGTGTTGCGTCTACTGCATTTCTTCATGGAAAAACGCATAATGTGGTTTTGGGTTTTATGATACTATTTTGTTTTTTTGAACCTTCACGTTGTATGCATAGAAAGATTGGGCCCTACTATAATCGCGACATTAGCCAAATACACATTTGTAGTACCCCTGGCCCAGAAAGGCATACATCTAAGCCACTTTTGCACGTGCAGTCCGTCACATTGTGGCGTGTCCTGCAACCAAATTTTAGGGGCGAAGCTCCTTAGGGTTTAGCCTTGTTCGTCCGGCGTCCGTGCTCACATCGATTGCCATCCCATCTGTCTTCTTAAAAAAAGAAAAGACGTTTGCGCAGTCGACAGGAATCGAACCTGTGCGGGGAGACCCCAATAGATTTCTAGTCCATCGCCTTAACCACTCGGCCACGACTGCAAGACGAGTAGGGGGCTCTGAGATGTGGTAGTAACTCAAGAGCTGGGGATGTCATGGATGAAACGTTGCATGTAGCCGCTCAACGTCTATACAGGAGAGGGCGCTGTGGTCCAATGCCTATATAATCACGTTAAACTTTGCATGCATTGGCTCAACGTTTATAAACGAGAGGGCGCTGCGGTCAAATGCTAAAAAAATCAGTATCATCAGCACCACCAGAGCGTCGCCCCAATCAACATCATTCACCATGTGGAGATGCGGTCATTTTTTTTTTTTAAGATCTAGGCTGTCTTAAACTTGTCGCATTCTTTGCTACCTTTATTTTCTCACATGAAATAATAACAAAAAGAAAAAAATCTTCTTGCCACGAAAGGGTGTTATTACATAAAATTCGAAAGTTGAAAGCGTGTGTTGCCCTTTAAGTTAGCGGTGTGCTCCTAGCATCATCTGGGGAGCTTCTTACAATACGACAAAGCGTCCGTGATCTTAACCTTTGCCATCCTGGTTTCTTGCAGGGCCGGAACAACCTTTTCTATGCTCTTCTCTTGTTCCTGCACCACATCAAAACCAAGCACGGTGGCATGTTGGGGTGAGAACTGCCCCGTGAGCTCATGGTCTTATGTGGTTACGAGCCCTTGCTTTGTTCATTGCAGGAGGATCAGCCTAGGTCTGTCTGGAGTCAACTTGCTGTGGGTAGTGGACGGATAGCAAGCCTCGAGACTAACCTTGCTCCACACGAAGAGAGAACACAATCGTAAATGTGGACGCCTGCATCCTTAGAATGACAGACAATCCTTTCAGTTGTCCTCCGTCCCGAACGACGACAACGCGGACGAACTGTGCTTTTTGCGTAACCGACGACAGGAAGCTCGGTTACGCAAATGGGACAGCCGAGAGATCCGCCGTCACCCTAAAGCTGCCAGGGAACAGAGTGCCAGAGGTCTTCCACATTTGGAGGTTGTGCAGCAGATGCAGAATCTTAGGATCTGCCTTTTCAGCCACTGCCACGAAGTCCCAGCGAACTTCCACAAAGCGTAGTCATTGTCACGCCACAATCATTCATCGGTCCGAAAAAAGAATTGTAAGAACACTGACAAGTTGATATGTATAGAGTCAGTATCGACTCAATAGTAGAACCCCGTTGATACATTCCTTTTAGTCATGTTTTCCTGGCTCTTACATTCAAAACTGCCGGTCCTGCCAAGCTCCCAGCCCTTGGGGACCGTCCTGCTTTTAATGCAAAAGCATTAACTGTCCTGTGTCATGAACCAGTGTTACAATCTAAGCTCGTTATAACAGACCTTGATTTTGACCAAGATTTCGGTCTGTTGTACGAGGGGTATGTTGTATTCAAATATGAAGTTAAGTCAATGGTATGTAGAGGAAAACCAACCGAACTTCACAAATCGGTATGTTGTATCCAAATGTCTGTTGTAACCTAGTCTGTTGAAATGAGCTTAGACTGTATCAGCTTTCCAAGCCGTGCGCCAGACAGCACCTAAATTCCACTGTCCCATGGAGCGAAGCCTGTTGTCTGTAGCAGCGATTTGGTAGATAGTTTGCCATTGGCTGGCACGCGTCATAGTTTCAGAGAACGAGACTCCCCTTGGCTGGCGTACGTCAGTTTCAAGGACGGCCACCCTATGGTGCTGCAGGCCCTGCGCCGGCAGCACGCCGGTAAAAGGAACATGGTGGCGCGCGCTCGGCCGCTTCTACTCCTCGACGCAGAGGAGCATGGTGGCACCTCAAGTATTTACACTGTGGCGGCCGCTACTTCAGCAGTGGCGAAACCTGCCCGTCCACGCATGTACATTGGCCCAATTTTTTAATAATATGAAGCGAGCGTCGACCGCCGGGCCGGCCAGCGCCGTGTTGTGGAGGCGTGCGGCGATACGGGAGTCATTAGGCGCGTGCGCACAAAGCTCTCCGGTGTGAGCATCGTCTGCTAGTATATTCCGTTGCCTGCACACAACCCCTGCTGCTTATCTGCTGGCAGAGCTAACTGCCTTTAAGCAGAGACCTGAACAGCTCTTGCTTACGGCTCAGGTGTAGCATAAACTGCGCATCATTGCACCGCTGTTTATGCTGTGCAAGACGAGTATCACGCTAGCGCGCGCTCTTCAGACACTTGTTCTACGAACAGATAAAAGCAGCAGTGAGAGAGAAGTGGGCATTGGATAAATGTCAATCAGTGCTCTGGGCTCCTTTGCTACGGAGTAGGGGCTGTGTGCGGTCAGCGGAATAGCTTAGAGTGGACGCGCCTAATCTCGCCCATTTTGCCGCACGCCTCCGCGGCACGGCATTGGCTAGCCCAGCGGTCGACGCTCGCTTGATATTAAAAGCTTGGGCCACTGTACATCGAAAATGAACTAAGGGAGCGGCATAACGCAGCACAACGAGCGAGGAGGCAGTTAGCAAAGTCCACCATTGTTGTGAGGTCTCCGAATACACGGCGGGCAGAACGAGCAGTGGCGCAACGCATTAGGAGACAGAACAAAGCCTTTCAAAAGTGTAAGGTGCAAGCAGATTGCAATTCAAGGCGTCTCGGGCGGCATGCTTTCAGATTCACAACTCGTAAGAAGTGCTTTGCCCTTTTCCCCGTATAATTTTTTTTCCTGCGGTCCCCTGAGAAACATATCAACGAGGTTCTACTGTATACTTATCAATCTGATCTATCTGTGAAGTGTTTTGGCAAGTGCTTTGAAACTGAATCTTGTGCACACGGGCAGCGGTTTGAATGTTCCATAATCACTACCGAACATAAAATGCTTGAACTCATCCCGAATGGCTTTTGTTTTAATTGAACAGTGCATGTGCACCATACGCCTTCTGCAGGGTGTGCAAGGCTGGAAAAAAGAGCAACACACAAGTTTCAGTTTTTCTGTTGTAGCAGTGCTCACAAATGGGGGTATGGAAGTTTCATGAAGATTGCATTGATGCCATCAAAACGTCGCGTGCAAGATGAAGAAAAACATACTTCAATCACCTAGTGTTAACTGATCAATCTCGCCTCTGCACGGTGGCGCGATGTGGCAGCCGTATCTTGTTTTTGATCGAGCGGCCGTGGTAGCAGACAAAGAGCCCAGCATGGCCTTGCAGACTTGCTCTCGCGCGAGCCAGCTGTTGCGCCGGCATCTTGACCCTTGCTGCTCGTTCTTTTTTCTGGCACAAGTTTGCAGACTAATCCTTCATTTTTAGTTCTACGTTTGTCCATTCTTTTTCATCCGCAACAATTTGGTGGTACATAAGCGCTGTTTCGAGTGTTGAATGAGCTTTACGATGTACTATAGTTGCTTTATCAAACTGCGATACATTTTATTTACAATGATGCGCACAAAATAGAACAAACACGAAAACGAAACAGACAAGCTTATTCATCACAAAGCCTCAGGCAGACTGCCCTGGCCACGTTGACTGGATCGTGCGGCGTCCTCAGAGGCTGGCAAACAGGTTGTTGGGGTCCCTGCTGTGATAGACGTCGTCGAGCGGGGCGTGCACGTGCTCCTCGGACGCTTCCAGCTCCATCTGGCGCTCTTCGTGTGCCACTTCATCGTACGGCAGGATTTTGCTGCCACGGACGTAGCCTGCAAAGAGAGACGCACGGCGAGTTCAGTCTCTTAGGTCAGCTCTTCGGGAGCTTGGAACTCTGCTGCCAGATTTAATAGCCTGTAAACTTAGTGCTACGTTGTTTGCCATAGTTTACACAGCGCTGGTTTTTAAAAAAGAAAAAAAAAAAGCCGCATAAAAATAAACTTGATTATACAATAAAATTAAGCAAGCAACAAAAAAGAAACCTCACTAAATTCAGGCAGCAAAAAAAAAATGCGCAAAGCAAAACCGGTTAAAGAAAAAGGAGGTAAACAAAGATAAGGCGTGCAAAGTGTGATTGCTCAACCGTTGTTAGCACACTCAACTTGACTTTTTTTATAAGAGCGCACGCTACCTGCTTTCCCTACGCGCCACTGCATGCCCTTCTCTTCCTTTTGCCATCCTCCGCATATATATATTTTTTTTACATTGCGCATATTTTTGTGCGGGTATGCTGGCTTGGCGGTCTGCCAGCCCCGCAACACGAGCAATGTGCTCACCGCGAGCTGACCGTGGGAGAAGCGACCGGCCGCGGTGCTTTGTTCACTATATCGAGTGTCCCCACCATGGGAGTTCAACACAGAAAAACAACACTCCTACACAATTACATGTGATTTGCAAGGGGATGTTTGAACTGTTCGATATAAACAATAAATCGAAATACCGGGTGTGATATAACTGGGCTCGACTGTATGTGTCTTGTGTCAAACTAGCTTCCTAAAAACCCAGGGGTACGTACCCCAGAGCACACCCAGGTGTTCCCTAGAGTACACCCAGGGATTCACTAAATACACCCTCAGGGTTTTCCGAATGCCTTCCGAATGCCCTTATGTGAAGTATTTGCCATAATGTCACCCCCTAATGTGCCCTAATATTTGTCCTAATATCGCCCCTTAATGCGCCCTAATATCACCCCCTAATGTGAATTCTGGTTTATAGGGCCTGTACACTTCAGCACTGCTTTACTGCATCAATGCCCTAGATAGGAAAGGGCTCCTCGGTCATCGATCGACAGAGGTGGGGTTCTTTGAGATTGAAAAGTTTGAGAGCCCATGCTGTATACTAAAGTCACATTCACACATGTTCCCACATAATCACACACTTCAAATTAGTAGGGCTCAGTTATAAATTGGCAAGGCCTCATGTTTTACCCCAGATTTGCTGCGGAAAGGAAACCCAAGTTGGAACACTGCGCCTCTCACTCCCAAGTTCAAAACGGAACTCTGGCACCATTGAAGCGATCATGTAAAGGGCTGTTCTCTAGCACTGTTCGAGCGTAAAAAGATTTGTATAAATAAACCAATGAGCAGAGGGCATTGATACTTTTTACAAAGGTGTATTTAGGTGTTGCATTTAACATACTAAAATTTTATGTGTAGGTTGTGGTAGGGTTGCCTTGCTGCATGCCCATCCGGGAGGAACAACACGAAGCCGGGGTTTCTATAACGAGAAACTACATTTATTAGAGTAACAGGAATGGGTTGTATCAACGTAAAACATTGCCGGAGCGTTCGAACTGCACGCCTCCGTGACCACGGTCCGTCTCCCCCCTTCTGTGGGCGTGTGCCCTCTTTCGTAGGCTTCTGCGCCTGTCCCATGTGCGCTGTTGCGCGCCTCACATGTTCTCCAGTTTGGGTGGCCGGCAGCGGCCTCTGGCCGTGGTGGCAGACTCTCGCTCCCACAAGGCTTAAAAAAAAGGAAAAGCCTTAAAAACAAAAAGCTTTTCTTTCTTCTATGCATGGGGAGGAAAAGCAGAACCTGATTAATACTGCTGGTCAGATGGCAAAAAAAAAAAACGATGTAAGCAGCAATTTGATAAAAGCGATAGAGCCAAAACAGCGCCAGCAGCCTTCGAGGTGGACATATATTTAATCAAACAAACCTTGGTTATGAAGAACAAGCGGCAGCTTCACCAAGTAAAAAAAATTGAGTTTGCCGACAATTTCATCTGGGCATCAGCTCTCCTCGAACTGCTCCAGGCATTGCAAGAACACTGTCACTGCTGCTGCACTTCACTTCGTTGGAAGCAGCCATAGGGTGTTTTGCACCTCAGCAGGAAAAATCCAACGTGTGCGAAGCAGCTGGCAATCTTTCATTTTCAGGATTGCGGGCGAGCTTTCTCTCGCACGAAAAACTCCTCAAACCCGTCCATTATGCCTTGCTTGTTCCCTAACACGGTGAACAGTGCCGAACAGCCGAAGCCGGAATGTCGAATTCTTTGGCGATTTCAGATTTAGGCCGGCCGCTTTTCTTAACCTCAAGGATCTAAGCGACTTTTGGTAAACGCTCAAATCCCACATGACAAATGTTTGCGGGTAGCGTGTGGTATGCCGCAAGCGTGCAGGCGCACGCGTTGGGGCATCTCGAAGAAGCGACCTCCTCCAAGCTCCACCCTTCCCTTGACCCGATTCCGACAGGAGTGGGGCAGCGTCGACCACGTCCACGTTATAACAAAATCACTTTTTTCGAATTATTGCTTTTATCGAAGTTCAACGTGGTCCCAACCAAAATGCGCACAATTTGAACCGGATTACTCTAAATGCATCAGCGGCCGACCAGCCAAAACATGAAAGCTTCATTGAGATGAATTCCCCTAAAAGCAGATCCGAGCATGTGTAGTGACATCTGTAAGTAGCAGTGTCAACCAGAAGGTTTTTCGCCGTTTTCCACTCTGTGCATAGAAAAAAAAAGATTTTCTAGACAATCTTTTTTTTTTTCTGCTGAAGCTTACATTTATAATATTTGATATGATAAATACACCACCTCAAGACACTTGTGAAGTTTCAATACACTCCTTTCATTTGTTTATTTACACAAATCTTTTCCTAATGCCCGAATAGCGCTCAAGAACGCTTTGTGTTGCTCATGTTCTGCTACTTCAGACACGTAGCTTGACTGTTCGTTGTCGAGCTAAAGACTTGGCTCTGGTTTGAAATTGATGGTTTTTTGGAAATAAACCGTTTCAGAAAGATGCTTCAGTATTCTCAACGACATTTACATGAATAAAAACATGTTTATAGCGCGTAACTATCTGTCAAAGTAGTGCAAGAAAAATAAAATTGAATGATGATGATGCAGCAACGTGGATGGCCCGTGTTGCTGGTGTTGCGACGTCAAGTTGCTGGGCGAAATTGCCCTGTCTGAAGCGGGCCTAAATGGTTGTGTTTTGTGGTGCAGTCTCCCAATAGCTGCAGTGAGCAGACAACAGTGTGTGTCGTCTGGTAGCTGCGCCTTTCGGGAGATGGTGCCCCAGGTTACATCCACCGCTAACTCGGTCGTCTACGTACACATCTGCCGTAGACTTTGGCAAGTTTGTTGGGCATACCTATTACAGGAAGAGAACTCCACCTTGAAATTTCCCAAGATAAAAATGAACCACCTCGATGCATATTGGGTGAAACTTTCTATGCGCAGCCGCCAAATTTTCCGGCCCGTTTTACAGCACAAGATCCACCACTGCAGCCACCCTACATATATTTCTATGGGTGGTCAACGCAACAGCCAAAAAAATGATTCGACCAAGACCATATCAATGAGGTCGTTCCACATCAAAAGGAAACGCTCACAAACCTGGTGGGTAAGGGCTTTTGTACTTGTCCACTTCTTCGTCACTGTCCACAATGTGGTCTAGGCTGTACCGGATGTAGCCAACCTGTCGAAAAACGGAAAAAAATGAGACATTTACAAATTTCTGTAATGCGAAATTAGAGTGCAGCCCTTAAGGAGGAGGAGGGGAGGGTATAGCCCTCATCCTCCTCTTCCATCCTCCATACCCTCCCTTTCTCCCACAATTTTCCCGCTAAATATAGCAGAAAAATTTACGCCATGTGACCTCAACGCCAATTCAGTTTCTCTGCTAAATTTAGCAGGGAAAATTACGTCACACGACTTGGTGTCACGTCCCCTACGAACAAATTCAGTTTCTCTGCTAGATTTAGAGAGAAAATTAACGTCACGTAACCCCAATTTTACCCGCTAAATCTAGCAGAGTAACTGAATTGGTCCACTAAATCTAGCGGAGAAACTGTACTTCTAGTAAGTACAGGGCCCTGGCCAATGGTGACCTTGAAAGAAACGGTGTCACTTAGCCCAGGCGGGACATAAGTGAACACTGCCGACTGTGATCCCAAGTTTCACAGGTCACAAAAGCTAAGACTAACATTTTGTCTACATTTTTACACACGAAAAGTTAGCTTGCTCTTTATTTTCATCCGATTTTCTTTTGACTTTAGGTGTGCCATCTCTTGGGATGTTACGGTAGTAACATAAATTACGAGCGCTTTTTAAAGTGTCATTAACTCTTTCCTGACCGTGCCCACAGGCGTTCGATCACCGGTGATCGCCACCAAGAAATTAAATTCAGTGCGGAGCATTATATGTTTCACAACCGTGTGAATAGCCGGAGAACCCTAGTTTCAATTTCAATGTAGGTTTGAACTTTATCACAAGCTGGTGGGCTGTCATAAAACAGTCCTGGGAATGGTGGTTGTACCTGTCAAACATGGCTAACTACTTGCATCAGTCTTCATAACAAAGATGGCATTATTTACATAACCCAACTCTGTTGTTGCATATTTTTTAGACCTCAAGAGTTCTGGGAACACTTTAAATGATGTTACAGGCGTCACTTAACAAATCTTTGTCGGTAAGCATGACTATAGTTTCTAATGCTGTCCTGAGCCAGCGTGCACGTTTTATGTTCCCAACAAGGCGGACAAAAATGCTAAATATGAAGGAACTTCACATTAGCATATGAAGGAACAAGGTAGATCATAAAGAATTCTGCTGGGGATCTCACCAGTATAAGCTAGTAACAACTAATTTGACACATTTTGATGTGTCATATTGCTCCATACGCAAGTTGGGAAAATAAAAGCGTTTGCACCCTTCAACTTCCAAGGGGAGAACTCCCTTTTCCTGTCATGCTGCCACATCCTTTTGATAACCTTGGCATTACTTTTTTTTGTAATAACCGTACAAAGTTACTTTTTTAATTTCTACGACTAACACTCACTTCTTAGCAGTGACTGGCCGATTCGAGACTGAGCAATAGCAATACCTTTTACGCGTCAAAAAACGAGTCGGTCGTTGCATGCCGACACCGTCGAAGTCGACGGTCCATCATCACTCTCCTTTCTGTCGACGAAAGTGGAATTAACGCCGCCAAAGAGGCCGTAGCGAGCGTTTGACCAACAACGGCCGCCATCACAGGGCGTGGGGCTGTCTGCCTGCCTCATGTCCTGTCCCCGTCAAGGCGCATCTCGAGAACCGTGCTTACGACCGTGGCTGCACCTTTCCCCCCAAATCCGCCATTGCTGTATCTGCGCAGCGCCACCTAGCTTGCGTCAACGTTGCCGCCGGTGCGTTTTCGCAGCGTCTCGCAATGAGCGCGACACTGGTGCACGGCGATGCCGAGACGGACGCGTCTGCTGCTTTGCGGCGACTCTCGTCCAGCTACGGCGTGCTTGCTGCTTGGGGAGGGTCAGAAATCAGCCAACGACGATGTTTTACGCGGTCCTCGTCTCATAGTTTGCATCGGGTGAGCCACCCACCCTGCAGTGCCGATCGGTGAGGTAGTTCCAGGTCTGGGAGGCGACCGCCTTGACCAGGGTCAGCCGCAGAGCCTTGGCCTTCGGCTCCAGGTTAGAGGCCTTGGGCAGGATCGGGGCGTGCAGCGTCTCGTACGTCGCATACTCCTGGCCTTTCCACTGGAACCTGTGGGAAGAGGTCGGAGGGAAGGGGTAAAGACGCGGGCAGAACGCGGCAAATTGTGTCCGCTGACTTCGGTGGTTCCGAGGGAGAGCCGGAAGTGGGGAAAAGTAAAGCGGATGAAAGGTGCAGCGTGTTCGTTCTGTCGCTGTGAGTATGTTGGAGCCCTTGTCGACTTTGTTTTACTGAAAGGGGTGATGCAACAATTTTAACTTTAAAAGAATTTGCAGTTTTAATTTACACTGTTAATCTTACCAAAGGAATGGACTGTACAATGTACTGTAACTGTACTCTAACAATGAGAGGTGGTGTAGAGAAGGGTTCTTTTTCCTTCTTTCTTTTTTTTCAACCCTATATAAAGCGTTCTCTCCTCAATAAAGGTTTAGCTGTGTTTGAGACGTTCTGCTTCTCTTCCTTGTCGTTGTTGTCTGTCAATATTTCAGTATCGGGTTCTTCACTAAAATGTTTGATATACACCAGCTCACTTGTGCCCTTACGTTCTGCCCATTACTAGGTACAATAACCGCAAAGTGTAAATAGGTTTGTGTGCTGATGTTTTCTATCAGGACTGTTTTCTGCGTCAGCTATTTTTGTATCAGCTACTTTTGTTTGTTTCTCTGAGCTGTTCTGTTCTGCCAGTGTAGGGGGGCGGGGACCCGTCAAGCTGTGTTCACAGCTTTTTCCCCCGGCCTCCCTTTCATCGAGTGATGGAAAAATAAAGGCCTTATTATTATTATCATTAATGCGAAACCATTAACTGTCTCATGGAGCGAGCCGACATCATCAGCTTTGAAACCATGCAAAACGGCACTTCAATGAAACCACGCGCAAAGCTAGCCTACGGCACCTTTTACACTTCGGTCCCATTGGCTGGCGTGCATCGACGAGGCTCCCATTGGCCGCTGCGCTTCAGTTTGTGTGGTGTCATCCTGACTGTGTTATCACACTGTTGTGTTATCACTGATCACCGCGTTTGCTCGCCTCTTATCGGTTGTACGGCGCGTGGCAACATATATGGCACATGGGATAAACCGAGGGGTTCGTTCTGCTGGGAACTGCGTTGCTGTCTGTTCTTTCCTCGCGACGCGAATCACACGATAGTTTGAACGATCGTTCACCCAATGGCGCTGCGTGTCCGCGAGGCAGTGGCTCCACCGTTCCACGCCCAAGGTCAGCGCGTTGTACGCCAAAGATTAAAGAAGGGAGCGAAGAGTGGCATGGGTGCTTCCGCATTCACAACTCATAAGAAGTGCTTACCGTAAAATCCCGCCAGGACGCCCACCCAAAATTTAGAGAGGGATGGTGAAAAACATGGGATGGGCTATCTTTGGGGATGCCGCAGCAAAACTTGTAAAAAAAAAACGTTGTCTTTCCACTATCGTGAAGAAGGAAGACCAGCGGAGCTGTGCTCAATACACTGCCGCAACGCGCACGTGCCCGTTTCCCGCTTCTTCTCGTCTGACACGCCGCCAATCGTGGATACGTCTCCGACGAACCAGAGTTGGTCGCATACGGCGCACGCGACGCCAAACGGGTTCTCCACAAACTCCTTTCGGAACCTCGCCGTCGCGCCCGGGAAGTGTTCAGCCCGGGAGGAGTGCAGTCGCCGCCGGGCCTCGCGCTTGCGCTTGGCCTCCGTGGCACGATCGTCGTCCAAGGCGTTGGCCCGCCGGCACCCTTTACATCGCTGGTTCTGTTCTCGCTGGCGGCTTTCTAGGCGAGCGATGTGCTCTTCTTTGGCAGGAGAATCCGAAGTGCTCGACGCAGTGGAAGTCGAGGCGACAGCGGCTTTGCGGTGGTTACAGACCCATTCGCGCTGCTGCGTACGTCGCCGCTCCTTCCGCAGCCAGTCTTCTTTCCCCAAAAGGGCGTGCGGCCGACCCATCCTAAGTCCCAACCGAAACTGATAAGAGCGAAGGAAACAGCGTGCAAAACAGACGAGGACGAAAAAACACACATGACGAGCGCTGCGCTCGTTACGTGTGCTTTTTCTTTGTCGTCGTCTGTGTATCACTCTGTTTTCTACGATGAATTACCACCAACACTCCGCCCAACTATCCATTCTTCTATGATAGCTGGAAAGGTTGGCGCCATCTACGAGCGACGGCGGCAACCATACTTGTTGTGTGCTTGCCACCGTCGCTTATAGATGGCGATAGCTGTCCAGAGGCGTTTTTGTCGACAAGTGTACCGGACACGATCCTCGGGAACGTAGCCCTTAACAGCTCCGCTGTACACACCATGTGACGCGGGAACTGATACCGCAGATCGTAGACACAGCAAAGTCGCGTTTCACGATGCGATGAACACGCGGGACTTCGCTCAAAACTCCTATGTCACGGGAAAGGATACCGCAAGTGGCCGATGCAGCAGATTCGCATTTCACGGTGCGAAGGACTCGCGGAAACCCGCCGAGAACTCTCATCTCACGGGAGCGAATAGCGCAGATTGTGGATGCAGCAGATTCAAGTTTCATGGTGCAATAAAGACGCGGGAACCCGCTACAATCTTGCCTCTCATGGAAACCCATATCGCACGCGCAGATTGCAGACAAAAACACGGGAATACACTACAAACTAGCATATCGCGGAAACAAATTTCGCGGATGCAACAGAATCGCATTTCACGGCGCAATATACACGCGGGAAAAACTCGCGCGCTCGATATTGCGCGTGCAAACTGCGGACAAAAACACGGAAATTTGCTACGAACTCAGGAACGATACCGCAAGTCGCGAGCGCAGCAGATTCACGATGCAATATTTACGCGGGAACAACTCGCGTGTTACGGGAGCCGATATCATGCGCGCAGATCGCAGACAAAAAAGCGAAAACCCGCTATGAACTCGCTTCTCGGACGCACCGGTTCCGCAGATCGCGCCGTCGATGCGCGATTCGCGTCGGACATCGCTTGAAGTCCAACGGGAATCGGGGGGTAGGCGATGTTTCGGAATTCTTATGTTGCAGATATTTATCTAAAAAAACGGGATGGGCTACCTCTCGGGGAGGGCACCCTTACGAGATATTACGGTAAGTGTACCTCGAGCCTTTTATTATTCCTCCCTTCCTTTCGAAATAGAGAGAAACTCCTCTCCTTTCTGCGGAGAGTAGCTCAGAAACCCGCACCTGCGGGGAGAAAAGTGGAGAGGAGTGCGAGGGGGAGTGGACAGAAGGAAACTGGAAGCCGGTTTTCTGGCCGACAAAGGACCATTCCCTGTAGGTTGACCTTCAAATAAAAATTCAGCTGTTCCCAACCTTCCACTTGTCTACTTCTAAACTCGGTTAATTTTAATATAACTGTATGAACTGTGGCATGTAAATCCCAAATTCGTCGCACGTCTTGACGGGATATATAATCGATCGAGGGAATCTAGAAATCTGATCATTTATTTACAATCCAGGGGATTTATAAAACTGCTTGTTATATGCCAATATTCTTTCTTCAATTTCAAATTTGGAAAGAAAAAAAAAAGCTTGAATGATGAACGCGGGTTGTGAAGACATTGCTGCCTAAAATATACCATAACATCCCAACTCATCGCCCGTCCCCGAGTCATCACCCACCCCGCTTTTTGGGTGAGTATCGATTCCCGAAAAAACACAGAGTGATTGCCCACCCCTACAAATACCCCACGCGGACTCTGTGCTCCGCAGACATTCATTCCACCCGAAAGACGCAGACCGGAGCTTACGATGGGAGGACGTGCGTGACAAAGTACATCGAAAAAGGAAGAGTCACTTCACTTTGTTTACGCATTTCCTCCCTGATTTCCACGACCCCGAAGCCAGAGTTCATGACTGCCAAAGGAGAAAACGTCCGTTACCGCCGAAACAAGGTCGGCGTGATCCCACTCCTTTCCTCGGAAAGTCGCGACCACAGTTGGTAAAGTTGTGCAATGTCCAAGTTGTGATAGCACATCTTATGTGCTCGTATCACAATCATTATGACCTAAAACACCTGATTCGACCTTTTTCTGTGTCTGTGGTCCCCACGCAGGTATGCCAAAGAATCATGAAGGAATGCTTCAACTCATATTGAATGCGATAGTACATACAACCCTCCTAGACCTCCCAGCCGTATGGGGCACAATAGAACAAAATTGATTGATTGAAAGAAGGTCTACCGCTTCCACCACCCAGCAATCTCTTCTCACCTGAGATAGAACGAAGTGCTGCTCAGCTGCAGCTCACAGTCCCTTGTCCCCTCAAAGCGAACTTCCACGTAGACCTGATGTTTGTCCTCCCACCACCACAGGACAGGCTGCCGTTGCCTGCGCAGCAAAGGACGTCATACAATGATACAAAAGAAAAAACCCCACAACGTTTTAGAAGTGCTATTGTCTATAATTTGTTCTAGGAGAAACGGCATTGAAGTCTCACGAGTCACATTCAAAATTATAAGGAATACACAGAAAGAATAAAACACATGAATGACAAAAACACACACACACGTTTTTTTCAGTGTATTCTATAGTTTTCAATGCGCTCTGCTATGTGTACGAAACATAAGGGTTTTGATCTACAGATTTATTAAGAAAAAAAGCAAACTCCCTGCCGTAATGGGTTAGACTGTACCTCCCGACACAGAGGCAGAAAAAAGGACTTGACATTTTGTCACCTCAAGATATTCAGAAAAAAGAGTATCCCTGTGCCCTTTAGGGCTAAGCACTAAGCTTTAAGAATAAACTAGACCACTCTAGATGACTGAGAACAATTGTATGTTGTTAACAAGCATCTTGCAAAAGCAGGATTTTTTTATTAAGCCTCATTAACTAAGACTAACTTGCTTGTTTGAGCTTAGGTCCCAATGGGGAGAGGTGTAGAGCACCTCGAGAAACATACAATTGATGTGTTTGCGACATTGTACATTTAGCGTGCTTCTTTCTTCTGACCTAAAAAAAAAAGTGAAGCATGAGAAAATTGGCAGTGCACATGACCCAATGTCACGGCGTCAAGTCGTGTCAAGTCACCAAACGTCGCATGATGCCATGGCGTCACGCAACATTGTCACCTTTGCGCCCAGTATTACTAAATCCAATAACGTTGTTGACCGTTATAAAGCGCTCCGCGCTTTAAAAATATCACGTGATATCACGCCTGTTGAGACAAGGCCTCGAAGTCCTGTCTCGGACATTGCGCCAGAGATGGGGGCCAAAACCTTGTTCCTCCAGAGCATGCCCGAGAGCAAGGGAATTGCGGCACACGAGTACATCGTCGTGTGCTTTCATTTTATAATTTGCAGGCCCAGTGATGTGATTGGCCTAAGCCATTTTGGTGCACGTTTCGAAGCAACCAAAACAGTGTTTTGGAGCAGCAAATGTGGCCTTTGGAGCAACCAAAACAGTGTTTTGGAGCAGCAAAAGTGGCTTTTGGAGCAGCCAAGACAGTGTTTCGGAGCAGCAAAAGTGGATTTTGGAGCAGATATTCTTAGGAAAATAAAAATATTTGTTTTAAGTGCTGTACAAACGAAGGGCACTTTGTGCTGTGTTGCGTTTTGATGTGACGTGTTGTGACGGAACTCGCTGCTTCTGTTTTTACTGCTCAGACGTCCCACAAGTGTACAGTGCTGTAGGCATTGCCAAGCAATTTCGAAAAACTGCTTGCCACCGTTTTGCTGGTTCCCGACGTGCCAGATTTTCGTCAAAATAAGCAAATGTAAAACAATGAATTGCAAGCGTCCCAGCTGGTGCCTCAGTCACGCAACCATGTTCACATGCACGTGAGGCCAACTTCGGCAGGATTGCTGTTGGGCATGCTTCGTCACACGAGTGCAGACAACGGCTGTCCGATCGAAACCGAAACCATGCCCCTCAGCTCCGTCGCTAACTTATCCCCAACATTTTATACAAAATGTAACTTTCGAGCATGCGACAAACACAGTCCAGTGGCGCGTGTTTGCCAGGCCGGCAAACAAGGTACAAGCTAAACACAAAAAAAAATAAAGAAGCTGAGTGCATTGATGCAAGACACTGCGAGCTAGCCTCAAAACGTTCTTGGAGCGCTTTGTGCAACTACTGAACTCGAGACAAACAAGCACACTGCGCGGGTTCTGCGTGCAGACAATGCCTTCTTTGCTTTAGCTCACTTCTCTTCATCAACTTTCTTTCACGGCAGATTTTTCATGTACCGGGGTCCCTCTCGAAAGAAGGCCTAGATAATCAATACTTTGACAGAGCAGTCTTTGAATTAAAGATGAATTTTTTGTAGTAATGTACGATTTAAACAAGAACAGGAATGTTGATGAACATGCGGCGGTACTTAGTTTCATTTTAGAAAGTACCATATCCGCAGTGATGTGGGAACAGCAACATTCGACGTCGCGCGACCACGGTGACTGAAAGGCAGTGACCAAATGTAGTTTTCCCACGGCCATTGCTTCAGCTCACAAAGTAACCCCTGCCGCGCAAAAACGTGGTTTCGTTTCACAGCATGACGGCATGGCTGGTACCCCGCACGCTAGCGTCGGAGTGTCTGCACACATCCACGTCTATCGCTGGAAATATAAAAAAAAAAGAGACGAGAGACAAGACCCACAAGACGAGAGCGCGAAACGCAAGACGCCGGGAAATTCATGCAAGACCGGGTGTACAATTGATGCACGGTACTTTGTGTCAGGTGGCCGCTTACGCCACGTAACACACGCCTGCTCAATTACAGTACTCAGCTTAGTTTCGGTTTTGAAAGGCGACTTAAATTGGTCCTTTGGTGCAGGCTTGGTGCAGATTACCCATATTTTGGCGAAATGTAGCAGGATGTAGCAGGGTTAGCCCCTTGGCGCAATTGGCGCAGCAATCACATCACTGCAGGCCCGTGTCTCCCCATTTTAACTGGACAATTAAGCTACATTTTTTTTAAACTTGGCATGCATGTTCACTGGGACACCTTATATACTAAAGTTCATGCTTGTTGCTGGAAATATATTCTATTGTACCCCCCTCGGAACTTAACACCGGCATGCCTTTTCACAAGATGGTGCTGCCAAACTCTGCCACCCTGCGACCCATCAAAAATAAAAAGCACTGCATTGCAATCCCGCCTGCTTTCCGTGACGCCAGAAACTTTTCGCTTTTGTCACTCAAAAGTGATGCTGAAATTTTATTTGGCAGTTCAATTATTCAGAATGAATTAGCTGGGCTAGGAACCATGGCAAAAAGGACAATATGTATGCCGGCAGGAGTTGCGGGCTCCTAATGACTAAATTCAGCGGGTTGTTTTAGAGCAGGGGTTCTCAAACTGGGTTCCGGGGAACACACGGGTTCCACGAGCTGGTCTCATGGGTTCCGCGAACACCCATGAGACCAGCTGACTTTTGAAAGCCCCGACACGCAGGAGACACGGAAGCGTGGTTGAAAGTAGGAAGCTCGCACCGGACGTATGACAACTTCGCTGTTTTCATCTTGTCAGTGACTATAAAAACAAGGACCGTGCGAATCTTTCCCTAAAAATCCCAACAAGGGCCAATGGATTCTTGGCTAAATTACCCGATCCACCAGGGAGCGCGCTGCGAGCATAGTCAGACGTGCTACGTGTGCTGGCATCTTCAACAGAAAATTCTCACTAAATAGAAAATCTAAAACGCACGGCACTTTGCATGTCCATTCGTGAATACCTCACTTTAGGAATATCTACTTTGAATCTTTGACACGGGTAAGGTGCATGCCTTACCCGTTCTCAGCACGTGTACCCACATTCCCGGCATTCTATGCGGTGCTTGAGGGAGTCGACGAAAGATCAACTGTGAAGCTTACTTACCTGGAAGGCAACAGAAGCGCTGACTCCAGCGGTGGCATCTTGGAAGCGGAGCTTGTTTTCGATGCTTCAGGTTCATCCCTGGTCCGTTGGGTGTCCTTATTAGCTGGAGTGGTGGGTGCAGGTTTCTCCCCGAGAGCGGTGGCTGCCTCTTTTTCGGCGGCGGACAGTTCGCTTTCCATCTCGCGGAGCAATTCTTTTCGGATGTGTCCGTAAAGCTGGTCCATGTACTCCTTCATGTTCTCTTCGCACGAATGGTTGTCGGACTCGCTCGCCGACGTTGAAGAGCCCTGACGAGGAGTGGAGGACAAAAAAACTTGTTGCACTAAAAACGTCGGTCGGAAGAGCTTGTAATCTGCTGTAAGAACTTACCTGGCAATATGTTCCTACAGCAGTAATTTTACAAATAAGCAGTTCTTTACAGTTTCTGTACATTCAAAATCTGTTTGAAATTCAACACTAATTGGGCAAGAACACCATATAAGTCCGGTTTTCACGTGGAAGAGGCTATGCACATGTACAAGAATCGGAAAGCCCGTTCTGACAGAACAGACAGCTGAAAATAAAACCGACATTCGTTTGCAGAAAGTCATGCAGGTTTATCTGCTTCGTTTCTGGACGATGCTTACCCCGCCCACAATTAGTGATGCAGCTTTGTGTATAGACCATTTGCTAAATCCTCCAAGCACCACGGCATGCTCCCGAGGAATCATGGGAACAGTAATCAGTAATTTTCACCAATTTTATGCTTATTCTAAAGTTCCAAGAAAATGCCCGCCCCCGAGAGATTGCTTATCCCGTTTTTCTGGCTAAATATCTGTAACATAAAAATTCAGAAATATCGCCCAACCCCCGATTCTCGTCCGACATCGCATGACGTCTGAGAGAACCGCATAAATTGCGCAATTTGCTGTACCGGCACGTCTGACAAGCGAGTTCGTAGTGGGTTCCCGTGTTTTTGTCAGCAATCTGCGCGCGCGATATTGGCTCCCGTACCACAAGGGTTGTTCCCGCGTGTGTTGCACCCTAAAATGCGAATACCGCACTGCGGTATTTGTTCCTGTGACATAAACTTTGTAGCAGATTCTCGCATTTTTGTCCACGATCTGCGCGCGGGATCTCAATTCCATGCAAGTTGGTCTTGCGTGTATATTGCATTGCGAAATAGGGTTCCCCTGTGTTCGCTATCTGTGTATTTCAGGTTTTACTTGAGCTAGTTGGTACATACTTGAATATGATCAGCTGAACAATTACAAATTAGAAAAAAACCGTGAGAGGAAATACATACACACTGCTGACTATCAACTTGTTGCTTTTAATACTTCGTCTTCCTTTTTTTCTCTTTACTACAGCTAGTGATGACAGCCATCCGCCATGTCCGCGCGATGCCCCCATCACGGTGTTATGGTGTTATGCGGCTCGTGCCACGTCCCAAGTATTGTTTTTCTTTCGGGTGGATTGTGAGAGACATTTTTTTTTTTTTAGAAAAAAACCTCCCACGGTTTTTTTCTAATTTGTAATTGTTTAGCTGACCATATTCAAGTATGTACCAACTAGCTCAAGTAAAACCTGTAGTACAGTTTATTTCTAGTTATATGAGCATGCCTTATTTATGCTTTTCATCTCTCGCCCCGCAAGCGCTCACCCACCTTATCGCCACTACTACGTGCCAAGGCCGGTTGCTAGCGCGGAGCATTAAAAAGAAGATTATTCTGGATGACATTCGGCAGTTCTTCGGGATGATACAACCATCCCAGGCGCACGCCATGCGAGTGACCAAGATTCTTTGCTCAGAAACATGGCGGCAGCAGCGAATGTTAACTGACTTTCTACGGGTCCAATGTTCAGACTACGTCTTCAGGTATCATATGTCGGCGACAAGACGCTCAACAAAGACAATCTGGAAAAGCCGGTTTCTCCCCTCTTTGAAGTTCCATCTGGCAAGGGAGGCCAATCAAGTTCCCCAGAGACAGCCACTTCAGATGATTGGGGATGTGGATCTTTCTGCCAAGGCCAAGCAAGTTCTTGAGCGAGGCCCGAAGTTTGCTCTACAACCACGGCTGGAACCCATCGACAAAGTGGTCCTAGTCAGGACCATCGCTTCCAGAACTCACGAAAAAAAAACGGCACATATCATCAGTGAAGGAATCGACTGCCTAGAAAACCAGAGACGTCAGAGGACCTCGACTTCCCCTGGCATAAGCTTTGGAGCAACGATACAGGAGATACGAAGCAAAGATCTTAGGTTGTGTGTGTCGGATAAAGAAGGTGGCTTTGTCGTCCTGGATTCTGGGTCATATGGTGAGAAAGCCTTAGCTGCTATGAAGAAAAACTTTATCCAAGTTGATGGCAGGAAAAGCAGAGAATCAAAACGGACCGTCATACGGACTCTCGCGAGGAATGAGCTTAGCAGCATGGCCACCAAAGTTAAAACAACGAAAGAAGGTCATCTTGAGGTTTTTTTCTCGGCCAAGACACATAAGGAGGACATCCCTTTTCGTGCCATAATTTCGGAAAGGGGAACCTGGCAGGCGCACATTTCGACCTATTTAGCCAAGCATTTATCCCAATTGCAGTTCAAAGACCTGTGGCGATAGCCACTGAGAAAAGAAGAAAAAGATTGCGTGCGAATAAAAACGAGAAGATCAGTTCGATTTTGGAATGCGTCAGACGTAGTCGTTTTTCGTCTGTCTTTCTCTACATTGGTGACCCGGACGTGATCTTTTTCTTCTGATCGCTCAGCCGACCGATCTTCCCAGCGTGCAAGCCGCCTCGAGCTCAACAGTAGCACACGCGACCCGCATCAAACACTCCAGGACAGTTCACTGGGACGACTCCGTCTCCAAAGGGGGGCTATGTGGCGATAGCCACTGAGAAAAGAAGAAAAAGATCGCGTGCGAATAAAAACGAGAAGGTCAGTTCGATTTTGGAATGCGTCAGACGTAGTCGTTTTTCGTCTGTCTTTCTCTACAGACCCCTACAAAATTCAGAACTCAGAACAACTAATTTCCTTTCTACAGGAAAATGGAAAAGATGTTGCCTCTGGCTTTTCTATTGACGTAAAAGACATGTATTATTCAATTCCACACGCGAGCATCATGCCAATTCTACGGGACAGCATTGAGAAGCAAGGGGTGTCACCTTTTCAAAATGCGGCCGGAGTGAACGTTGATTCCTTTTTGGAACTGTTAGGGTGCTACCTGACAGCTACAGTAGTGTCACATGAAGGCCAGGCATATGTACAGAAAAGTGGAGTATGTATTGGATCCCGGGTAGCTCCTCACCTCTGCGATGTATATTTGGCAGCGTGCGGAAGGAACATTGAAAGCAAACTAAAGGATACCAGAATCAAGGCCATCTTCCGATATGTCGATGACTTTTTTATTCTGTGCAACACTGAAGTGAATGAAGAAGAGGATGGGTGCAAAGCAAAAGGTATACAGTGCTTCCAACAATGTTGCCCCGAATTGGATTTCACATATGAATTACCCATTGAAAAATCCATCAGGATCCTTGACCTGGCGCTTCAGTTTAAAGAAGGCCATGCGTGCTGGAGATATGAGGTGCGCTCGTGCCAAGGGTTTCTTCCATACAACTCGGGGCATTCGAAAATCATCAAAAGGAATGTTGCCACAACTGCTTTTATTTCCACCTTAAAGAAATCATGTCACCATCAACTTGAACCAAGTTTTGAAACACAAATGAAGCATCTACGTGAGTAGTTATCTGGAGTCTCTCCTGGTGACCGTCTCTGAAACCATTTGCCAGAAGTTGAAACGCGAGCATGCAGGGAATGAGGCTTCATCGCAAGCTACAAATCGAAGAAACGTAGCGGTCATACCCTACATCCATGGTCTCACACACAACCTAAAAAAAATTGCCGGGAGGCATGATATTCGGGTTGTGTGCTCGGCACCAAACAAGGCCTACTCCATGTGCCGGAGAACTAATCAAAAAACAAATCAAAAGAAGCAATGCACAATTGCTCACAGGACGCAATACACCCCGTGCCAAAGCGGCGTTGTGTACAACATACCGCTTTCCTGTGGCAGGTGCTACATGGGGCAAACGGGGCGGTGCGTGAACAATCGAGCTAGGGAGCACGCGGCTTCTGTTAAAGGAACATCAACAGGACATCTTTCTGCACATTGCCGGTCCTGCAAGTGCACTTCTAATTTTAACAACATTACCATTATAGGGCGGCACCGGAACGCATATGCACGTGAACTAATTGAAGCTCTGGCCATCGAAGACAGTGCTCAACTGTGTGTGAGCACCCCGTCTCTCACAATCCACCCGAAAGAAAAACACTACTTGGGACGTGGCACGAGCCGCATAACACCCTGATGGGGGCATCGCGCGGACATGGCAGATGGCTGTCATCACTAGCTGTAGTAAAGAGAAAAAAAGGAAGACGAAGTATTAAAGGCAGCAAGTTGATAGTCAGCGGTGTGTATGTATTTCCTCTCCCGGTTTTTTTCTAATTTGTAATTGTTCAGCTGACCATATTCAACTGTGGTACTTGTTCCCGTCACATACGAGTTTGTAGCGGATTCCTGCGCTTTTGTCAGTGATCTGCGCGTGCGATATCGTTTCTCGTGACAGGCAAGATTGTAGCAGGTTCCCGCGTGTTTATTGCACCATAAAACTTGAATCTGCTGAGTCCACGATTTGCGATATACGTTCCCGCGAGATGGGAGTTCTCGGCGGGTTTTCACGGGTCTTGTGCCCCGTGAAATGAGAATCTGCTGCATCCGCAACTCCCGTGACACAGGAGTTTGTAGCAAAGTCTTGAATGTTTATCACATCACGAAATGCAAACTTACTGCGTTCGTGATCTCCGGTATCAGTTCCCGCGTCACAGGTTTGTAGCTGGTGCAAGGATGTTTATCAGTAATTTTTGATGAAGTTTTGCTGTGGCATTCCCAAAGATAGCCCACCCCATGTTTTTCACCATTTATCTCTTCTTTTTGGGTGTGCACTCTTTCGGAACTTTACGGTACACACTTTTGAGCGTAATCCGGAGTAACCCTGACTAAGCGTCATATAGGGTCCGAAGACCTCTGATAACACTTTTAAACTTTCTCGTCAATGTCAGCGTTTTTGCTATTGTGCTTGCCATCAACCCTTTAACCTGGCCCTGAGCTGCAGAAACCTCTTACAATATTATCATTCTCAGGCAGCTTTAAAGACGCTGATATGAAGATAGAGACGTTAAAAAGCTATAAACAGTCCTGCTGACTCCAAGCTAAATCCTGGTTTTGATCGTTATGAATTCTCGGCTTTGCAATTCCCGCTAAAACGACAATCATGAGAATGATAATATTGTAAGAGATTTCTGCAGTCCAGGCCAGGTTGAAAGGTGGATTGCATGCACAGTATCAGAAATGCTGACATTGACGAGAAATTTTAGAAGTGATGCGACAGGTCCTTGACTCTACACGACGCTTGTTCAGGGTGACTCCAGACCACACTCAAAAAGTGTGTAACCATTGAATTGGTCGAAATTACCGATCACTAGGAAGCTGAAGGAACACCGTTCCCATGATTCCTTGTGTGCAGGCCAGGGCACTTAGGGATTTAGCAAGTGATCTATTGCAAGCATATCCAATTCCTCACTTGTTTCACAACCAATGTCCATATGCTAACAACAAAATGACACTTGAAGAATGTGTTCAAAGCTCGGACTCACTCAGAAAAGCCATAAAAGAGATTGGATGTAAGCAGAAGGCAGCACCTGTGCTCTTGGTAACTTTTAGTTGCTACCAACACCAGTAAAATCAAATGTAGTGGTGTGGAAACTTCAAATAGGTTTTTCCGCGGTTTCCCTTTTTTGCAACAACTTTTGTTTTAGGAAATCTATAACTTCAATGAATTGCCAAATTCATTCTTCGCTGTGGAGGTTTATGAACCAAACTTTAATGAGGAATGTAGACAGGTATTTTTCTATCTGAATGGAGCTCTTACTGCCAAAAAGTAGGGTTTTGATGAGGAGAAAATGCCCCATTATCTGGAATGCTATTCAAACTGCCATTTTGCATAGAAAAAAAGCAGATTTCAGGATAAAAAATAGACAGTTGCACCCCCCATATGTTCTAGCTAAGGGCAAGCTTCGAAATGCTCAATATTTTGTGGCAATTATATACGACAGATTCTCTCGCTAAGTGAGGCGGCCTACGTCAATAGCTGCATACCTCCCCCTGCTGCTTATTGGAAAATAGTCCTACAAAGATGAAACGTCATAAAGTGCATTTAAGCAAGGAGTTGAATAGACCCACCAAATTTCATCAATATTGAGCAACTGGTTTAAAATTCGACATTTGAAGGTGGTGCCACCCCTTAAGCAGAAGTAATAATTTACTCCGGCATGTTAAAACTGCTAAGCCCGAACCCCACGTAAGCGATTTGGAGGGCGGCAGACCAAGTGACGGCGACGAGATTTGATGATGTCGGCTGTCCCATGGAGCGAGCGACATCTGATGGTGTCGGCTCGCTTTATGGGACAGTCAATGCTTTTGCATTAAAATCAGTCGTGCCAAGTTTTTTATGCTCACACTCTGTTCAAACCTTACTGTAGACTGATGCACTTCTAGTATTTACAATAAAACTGCGAGCTCAAGTGACTACATACTACAGTAGCAGTGTCCCAATGGAAACTAGTGTCATGACCAGAGATGAACCAGCATAAAAATGTTCCAGCTCAAATTTTGGAGCGTAAAGGTTTGCACGGGACCAGGATTGGATTGTTAAAATATGAGTCCCGGAGAAGTCCAAAAACAGCTGAGAGTAAAAAAATGTGTGGGAAAACAATTATAGGAATTCAGAATGCTACAGAAATGCTGTCCTGCTCGTGACGCTCGCATACTCACAATCTCTTCCTTCTCCGGCAGCCTTGCACCTGGTGCACAAGTGGTAGCTTTAATGAACCTCAAGTCTTTCTAAAGTTTATTGATTTAGTGGTTTTCCATGATACTCACAAAGTCTAATTAAAACCATATATTTACCGTCACTAATTAAAAATTTATTAACAAATCTTAGTTAATAACTGACTTATTATAACGTTTAGCCCCCTGTGTTCCGTACCCCGGGCCGCATAGCTCAACCACGCAGACAGCATTAGTCGAGCTTTCACTGCTTTGTATTAAAAACAATCTGTAAACCCCCCCCCCCTAACCAAGAATAAAAAATTTTTAAAATACTTTGTAGGATGAAGCTTTAGCATGACAAGACCATTTAAAAAATGGTTGTAATTGCAATTCAAATTTTTCAATTACTTAGTTAAAAAGTAATTAAATCACAAATTATGTAGAATTACTTTTAGTAAAAAGATTACAACTACAAACCACCACAATCACGACAACCACAAAAGTAATTCAATTACTGTAATTAAAGTACTACCCAAGTAGTATGCTAGCAACACTTGAAGAGAGAGAACAGACCTGCACCTCCTCCAACGGTGGGGGCTGCAGGGCCTCTGCGTCCAGGTCGGGCACTGGAAGCTCCGACGCGCGTGCCACGCCGCACTTGACGAGTTCGTTGGCGATGTTGACGTTGTCCTCTCCGCACTGGTCGAAGAGGAGCACCTCGTAGCAAGAGGAGCCTGGCTTGTGTCCTTCGGCTTTTCGCAACACCTGGGTGCCAGTGTTGCCAACTTAGCGCTTTTTAGCGTTGACTAGTTAGATAAATTGCCCTTTTGCGGGCGGCGAGATTTTTGTATTTGTTATGTAGAGATAGAGATTTTTAATCATGAATACTTCCGGCTTTAAAAGCATTTTTGTAAAACAATTAATAAAAATTGGCGGTGAACTTTAACTTCAAATATAATGCATGGAATACAGTGTTTACGAGCGACTGTTTCAACTGTTTGGTAGACATTAAACAGTCGTTCCGGGAGTAAAGAGCCCATATTTTTATAAATTTTGGGGAACCTAAATTGGTGCATCACATGACCGAGGAAGACAGAAGGTGAGGCAGTGCACCGTACGGGAATGAGGGAGAGATGGGGGGAGGGAGGGGAGGAGAAGGGGGAAAAAAGAGGGAGGGGTAGGGATTAGAGGTAGGTTGGGGAGAGAGGGAAGTGGAAAGATAGGGGCGGGGAGAGGAAATTTGTGCGTCACATGACGCATATTTCCCACAACTGTTGTATAGGTTGTGCAACGTCGATTTCCCTCCACTAAATTTAGCGGGGAAACTGGATTGGTGTTTAGGTCATGTAAAGTCGATTTCCCCGCTAAATTTAGCCGGATATGCACGGGCGGACGGGCAAATTCTGGGATCGGGAAATTCCGTTAAAAAGCGTTTCATGCTTTAATAAATAAATGCACCCACCCTGAGCAGGAGTATCTTGTTTAAGTTATCCGCGTTGTATCCGAAATCCTCGAGGGCGGAAGATGCCTCGAGGGTCCACTGGTCCGAAGCCGGAGCAACTCCGGCCAGCCGACACTGGATGCCTTGCAGCGGAAGCAGGAGCATCTGCGGCGGCAGAGCGTACAGCTCTTCCAGCCGGCACACTGCAGTGTCCCCGTAGTCTGGGAAGAACACCTCCACGTTCCCGTCTTCTGCTATCTTCTCCACGTGCGCCCGGTACCACCTGGATCGTCGGCAAAAGGTGCAAACGCACGCCGCCGTTGGCAAAGAGGTGCAAAAACACGCCATCCTCGGCAAAGGGTGCAAACAAGCGCCGCCGTAGGCGAAGGGTGCAAACCCACACCGTCGTTGGAAAAGGGTGCAAACCCGCACTGTTGTTGGCAAAAAGTGTAAACACGTGCTGAAACTCTGTTAGTCCGTACACGGGACTGGTGCTAGTTCAAATTCTAAAAAAAATGTAGCATCAAGCCAAGTGACACAGGATGCGTCGTGTGTTTCTGTTAGGCGTGTGCAAATATTTGAAATTTCTAATACAAATAGAATCTGCTCTACTCATATTCGAATTTCCTATTCGGCACTTCGTGAATATTAGGCTGCAGTTGAACATTCCAAAAGGTCGCAAGTACTCCAAAAAAAAAATGACTAAGCGCCGTGCAGGGTGCACAGCGCTTAGCCATTTTTTGCCCGAATACCTGCGACCTTTTCGAATACTCGACTGCGGCCGAATATTCGGCCGCACCAGCAAGGGATTTATTAAGCTAGCCTCACTTATCCGGCAACCTCAAGCGAAAAACCCACCGACGACACAAGCCCGTAGGTGCCTCTGGGCTCGTACCGTTGGGTGCGAGCCTGGCCTTTATACACACATCAGTTCGGAAAAAGCGTCGACCCAAAATGTACCAAAGACAGATCTAAAAAATGAAAGCCGCTTACAACTCCCTGTAACGCCGAATTAGAGCGCAGCTCTTGAGGAGGAGGAGGGAAGGGCACGGGGGGGGGGGGGGGGGGGGGGGTAAACTAACCAGGGGGGGGTCACGTGACCTTGGGGGTCACGTGACCCCCAATGCCGATGATGTCATCACTGACGTCACTGATGACGTCATCCGTGACGATGACGATGCGGGTACCGATGACGTCATTAGTGACGTCACTGATGGCTTCACCAGTGATGATGACGATGACGATGCGAATGTCGGTGACGTCATCAGTGACGTCCCTGATGACGTCATCAGTGATGATGACGATGACGATGCGGATGCCGGTGACGACATCAGTGACGTCACTGATGACGTCATCAGTGATGATGACGATGACGATGCGGATGCCGGTGACGTCGTCAGTGATGATGACGATGTGGATGCCGGTGACGTCATCAGTGATGATGACGATGACAATGTGGATGCCGGTGACATCAGTGATGATGACGATGACGATGGGGATGCCGGTGACATCAGTGATGATGACGATGGCGATGCGGATGCCGGTGACGTCATCAGTGATGATGACGATGACGATGTGGATGCCGGTGACGTCATCAGTGATGATGACGATGACGATGTGGATGCCGGTGACGTCATCAGTGATGATGACGATGACGATGGGGATGCCGGTGACGTCATCAGTGATGATGACGATGACGATGTGGATGCCGGTGACGTCATCAGTAATGATGACGATGACGATGCGGATGCCGGTGACGTCATCAGTGATGATGACGATGTGGATGCCGGTGACGTCATCAGTGATGATGACGATGACGATGTGGATGCTGGTGACGTCATCAGTGATGATGACGATGAGGATGTGGATGCCGGTGACGTCATCAGTGACGATGACGTCATCGGGGGGTCACGCGACATCGGCGGGGGTCACGTGACCTCGGGGGGTTACGTGACCTCGAGGAGGGGGTCACGTGACCTTGAGAAGGGGGTCACGTGACCCCCCACGAGGTCACGTGACCCCGGTGGGGGGGCTTGCGCGGTGCATTATGGGACATTTCCCATGATGCACCGCGCGGTTACGCCGACGGCGACGGCGACGCCGCTCAAGCCGGAAACGGGCCCCTAAGAGCTGCGCTCTAAAATGCCTTCAGTGGAAACACCCATCATGAAAAGTGAGAGCATTTCAGTGGCACCTTTTGTTCTCGAAACGAGCGATGCAGGGGTCTCCAACGTGAGCGGGGTCCAGCCACTCCGGCCCTCCCTGCGACATGTGCTTCTCAATGGTGTCCTCCAACTCTTCCAGGCTGGCACACATGGGAAGCAAGGTGCAAGCAATATAATATCCAGCAAGGCGGTTACTATCTAAACATTTACTGGAGTGAAACAAGCTAAAAAGGCACGTTGCAATGTTTGGTCTCTTCTCAATAGAGAAAAGGCCACGCGTGACTACTTCTGGGTTTTCCAGGGAGCGTAGAGAGAGTCTTTTTTTTTTTTTTTTTTTTTGTGCAAGGCTGCCAGAATTTGGTAATGCTACGAAATTTTTCTGAAAGTTATGAACTCAGCCTTCGTAAGAAAAGCAATGCACATGGGGCCCAAGAAGTTCAGAGTTTTGCAGTCTTACTCGCTGAATTCAACTGACTGCTGCCCTCGGCTAGGCCACGCCTGCAGATTCGCAAGTTATAGGAACGGCCCCTAACAGGGCCTCTAAGCTGGACACTTGGCAAGAGAGAGTCGGCGAGATAACCGAAGGCTGCGAGTGGCCATGGACGCGCTTGACCTTGGCACTGGCTAATTGCAGCACAGCGCTGGCGCTATTGCAACGGTCGGCAATCTCGCCGAGTTTCCGAATTGGAGCCCCGGGTAAATTCAGATGGCACACATGCTCAAAGATGTGAGCGACGGGCAGAGCGGTCTCACCATTCAGCAAACTTGGCAATCTGCACGTAGAAGAGATCTGGGGAGACCACCTTCCAGAGGTACACTTTGGTGTAGCAGTCCGGTTCCAGGAACGCGTAACGGGGACCACCAGCTCCGTCGTTGTAAGTGCCACCAGCTCTTGGTTTTCTTGCTGGAGTAAAAACACTGGGTGAACACACAAAATTGTTGCCAGAATCGTTGCGCAGATTGTCCTTGAAATGCGATACCATTTTACACCGTCTTGTACTGGGTAAACGTCTCTTTACAAAACCCCTTAATGCCTGCTGGGGAAATCCTAAGAATATTTTTTGTAGGCGTCCGTGAAGTGTTCTAAAAATAATTTTTGATGCAAGTGTCTACGCCCTGCAGAAAGGTCTCCCACAACCTACCGACTTTTGTTGCAGCATTACTGAAATTAAAATGTTTCTCTCTAACTGTATGGGTATGAACACAAAAGTGAAAGATACCTGCATCTTTATAAAATACACCCTTATAACTTTCACCCCTACTGTGACAACGCCCATTTAACGAAGTAAAATAAAGCCCCTGTCAATATCCTACGTGTTCAATGTGTTTCTCCAACTGCCGTAACATCGCGACAGATTGCCCACCTAAAATCGATAGCAAATCGAACGAAAATAAGGGAGGAAAACTAACTTTCAATGTGCCATAAAAAAAAGAAAAAAAATGCTAGTTTTAGATTTTGTAACTTTCAAAACTTGGAATGGCAGGAAGGGGCGAGGAACTAAAGACAACTGTCTTTCCCGGTCAGCAAATGTTCGCTGGTCTCTTGCCGTGGTTAAGTAACACCGTTTTCGACGAGGTCACTACTGGCCGGGGCACTGCAATCATTAAAAGTGGGCTATCTTTCGGTGTTTCTGAAAAAAAAAAAGCAAATCATGCCAAAAATAGGGGTGGGCTATTTTTTGGGAGTGGGGCATCTCTTAGGGTACTACAGTACTACAATTTCCGTTTAACGAAGCAATTCCTCGGCCCCACAAAGCAAAAATGACCGGTTTTACAAATTTTCTAGGAGACTTCGAGTCACATAAATTAGAGGAGATACTCAGGCCATACCTCGGACGTGCACTAATCAAAGCATGCTTAATAACAGCATCGCCAACTAAACCTGCTTCGACCGTGCTCGAGGTGTATCTGAAGATAATTCTGTTGCCGTGCCAGCGACGAACACCACGTCTTTTGCACAATGTATGAAGCAGTGTGACTGCAGCTTTAGAAAACATATGCAAAGGCAAAAAAAAAGTTTTTTTAACAGCCTAAATGGGAAAAAAATGTCAAAAAAGAAACTTACAATAAAAAAACATTTTATAGTTGTATATACAGTGTGAAACTAATTCGTAGTTAGTGCCCACGGGAGCCCGTGGAAAAGTGGCCACTAGCAGTCACGTGACCGACCACTATAGTCACGTGGTGCTTGCGCTAAAAGTTATTAATAATCTTGGTTTTTTTTGTTGCACTTTTTTTTTTTTTTTTTTAGCAAAATATTTTGATGTATGAGAAACAACAAGTATAAGAAAATCGTCACTTTCGTTTTGTCTCGTACGACTCGAGCGAGAGCTGCGACCCGCTGGCACCGCCGTCCGTGGGCATGTCGCCAAAAAAAAAAAGAGGTTTCCGCGGGGAGGTTTGCTGGTCTTTGAGGCGTGTCCTCGTAGGGGCAAAGCCCCAGCCACTTGAGGCGGACGACAAGTTTACGCTTCGATTCCGTATCCGTCGCAAAAGACGCAGAGACTACCACCGCCACCACCACCGGCACAGAAACCCAAGAACACAGCGTGCACCGAAGTTGAGCGGAGGTCGTACGCAGGGGGGGGAAGGAGGAAAAGGGAGCGTGGCGCAACACGGAGGCGGTCATATTAAAACCGCTTACATTGCCAGCATAGGTTTTGCAGCGAACAAGTTGCTGCCGTATACGGCGGACTGAGTTTTACTTTCTTTTTCGTTTTGGAAAGAGAATGTATTGTTGTGTTACATAAGTCCTTCTGCATACAGACAACGAAGTTTAATTATATTTGTCTTGTTTACTTGGTTTGAAACCCTAAGAACGGGTGTTTGACGACTTAGGTACTGCTTCCATCATTTTGGAGTAAGCAAGGCAGTTATCTCGCTGCTCTGGTTTCGGTTACAAAAGCAAGGCTAAACGTTGATCATGATGTAAAATACTTGACCACCAGCTCGCCTGTGCACTCACTGTTTTTTCAAGGCAAAACGCTCGTAGAATTCCCACCCTCAGCACACGTTGAATATCTTCCACACTTTAACACCGGATAACTAGATGAACAAGGATTTACATTTACTTCAGAGGTCACTCTCGCCGCTTCCCCACCGTCGAAGAGCCAGATCAGCTGGCGGCAAGCCGCGAATGAAAGGTGCTAAGTGCACTCAGTGCCGATGCGGGCTTCTGTCGACCGGCAGCCCATCACAAACCATGACCGTTCCAGCTTTTCGTTATGACACGTTGCAGAAAGCAGGGTAAAATACAACTATACGGACCACCGAATCAAATGCACTGTTGTCATAAATCTTGGCTTGCAATTGCGCCTTTGTAGATCATCACAAGGATCACCAAATCAAACACACTGTTGTCGTAAATCTTGGCTTGTAATTGAGCCTTTGTAGATCATCTTATTCATTTTGCTGGAGAAACGCAAACGACGGGCATAAAATCGTTTGCATATTCTGCATACCTCGCAAAAGCACTTACCCAGTCACCTTGCGAAAAGCGCGAAACACGAAGTCCGCACCGTCCTGACTTACCAGTCTTTTACCCGCTTTAGGGCAGATTGTACCTGCTAGTAGGCATGAGTGTACAAACTGGGGGGGGGGGGCAAGGGGGTGCTTGCCCCCCCAGTTTTCAGAGTGGGAGGGCAAGGCATGTGTTTTGCCCCCGCTGAAACTACTGGCAAACACTGGCCGGCGGCACCCAAGGGATACCAAGGGCACCGCCCCCCGGTCCTGGGAAGGGGGGGGGGTCTAATTTGCCCCCCCCCCCCCTTCAAAAACAAATTGGTACGCCACTGCTAGTAGGTATGACTACTGAAACTAAAACTTGAGGGCAGTGCCAGAGAGAAAAGAGACAAAGGTGGGAAAGCTTGCTCGCTCTCCCGAATTTCTCAACTCTCAAGTGATTGTACCATAATAAATTCACCAAAATAAAAAAAAAGCACTATGTTCACTACGTAAAAAATGGTCTCAGTTCATGCATCTGAGGGCAGGTAGGAAATCTTGCCCCAATTTATTCACACCGCATGATGAGCGCAACAAACTCGCACGAGATTTAAAGGAAAATACTATCAGTGGTGACTTAAAGGGCCGATGAAACGATTTTTGGGTTGGGATAAATCATTTTAGATTGGGATTTTACTAATAGCACATCGTTCAGTGAACCAAAAGAAAAAAGGTAGAAAGTCAAAAGCCTGACTTTCAGTGCGAAAATTTGAAAACAGAGCGGACTATTTCGTACCTCCTCCCCTTCGCAACCTCTCTGCCTTTTCACTGTGATACATCCGCGGTCCCAAAAGCGCGTTATCGGGTCCAAACTGACGTCACACGCAACCGGACCTCACTTATTCCCTTCACCCCTAAGCTGACATTGTGGTGGAAGCTACGCGCTTGCCGGACCAATCAGCCGCCTCCCTTTAATCACCTGACTTCATTCTCTGCAGCCACATTTGCCACGCTCACGTGGCAAGTGTGGCTGGCCCAACGAGCACGTAGCTTCAACAGCACTGTCAGCTTCGGAATGAACGGGGTGGGGAAAACAACTTTTGTCTGAATTTTGAGCGACGGGCTAATCTTCTAGGGGGAGAATGGATGTGTCCGGGATCACACAAACGAGAGTGCGAGCAAGAGGGGACTCCCCCTTTTCGTCTTCTTTAACTGTTTGGTGGAATGCGCGATTTATGAGTTGAGGAGGAAAGCGAAACAGGAAGAAGTTGGAAAAGCGTTTCATGACCCCTTTAAGTTTCCCTGAAATTCTGTATAACCGGTCATTTGCAGGACCAAATCATCTACTCGAGCGGTGTGCGTCGCTGTGCAAACACAGCAACAACACGAAGCATAAAAACGGCCGATTTAGGACAACCAATCCGGACTCCACTCTTCAATTAAAACGACGTCATTTTGTTGAAAACGCCTGCAGCTTTTCACTCACATTATGCGTCGGGAATCTTCCACATTTTGAAATGGAACAAAGAAAGATTTACTTTTAAAAAAATGACCGCATCTCCACGTGGTGAATGATGTTGATTGAGGCGAAGCTCTGGTGGTGCTGATGATACTGATTTTGTTCATAGGTACAGTCAAACCCATTTATAACGAACAGCAGGAAACGCTACGATCAGTTCGATATTCAAGTAATTCGATATAGCAAAAACCTTTTACAATGAACTTTCACGATGCATTTGTTGTAAGGCAAGAGCTTCTCTTTCTTTCTCATCTCTTCGCTTCCGCCCTGTAACAAAGCATTGAAAACTTTTTTTTTTGCATGCGTGCAGTTTTTTTTAGCTCATTTTCCTTTTTGAATTGCTTCTTTTCGTGGGCAAACAGTTTTGGGATGAAAGCTTTTTTTTTTTTTTTTCGTGCATGCGTGCAAAGCATATTTTTCAGCTTTCTCTGCTTCTAAATCGCTTCTCTTCGTTCAATTTTGTTTGCAACTTGAGCTTTCCAAATTTTCTTTCTTTCCTACTCTTTTTTTTTTTTGGGGGGGGGGGGGGGGACATGCTAGAAGATGATTGTTTGCGCGTTTTGGAAGGCTTCCCGGGGGGGAAAAAAGTTTGATATAGCCAATAGGTTGTTCGTTATAAAAAGTACTTTTTACATGCATTTTTATTTAAATTATCTCAGAGTTCGATATCGACAATAATTCACTGTACAAGGGTTCGTTCTAAACGGGTTTCACTGTAGTGCTGATGGTGCTGATATTTTTTTCCTTCCTCATAGGTAGTGCTGAGTTCTGCGTTGCGTTTCGACTTCATTATTACTGCTTTATGATTGATGAAATGCAGAGCCAGTGGTTCTTCTAGCGGATCAGCTTGGATCCGCTACAAGCCGTGGGAACACATCTCCACCGCTTAAGTCAACAGTCCATGTCCGAAAAAGAATGTGTGGTATGGAAGGTGGTTATATACACATTTGAGCATTTGGTCACAGCACCCTCTCGTCTATAAACGTTGAGCCAAGGCATGCAAAGTTTAACGCGATTATATACGCATTTGACTGCAGCGCCCTCTTCTATATAGACGTTGAGTGGCTACATGCAACATTTCATCGATGACATCTCCAGCTCTTGAGTTACCACCACATCTCAGAGCCCCCTACTCGTCCCGCAGTCGTGGCCGAGTGGTTAAGGCGATGGACTAGAAATCCATTGGGGTCTCCCCGCACAGGTTCGAATCCTGTTGACTGCGCAAACATTTTTTTCTTTTCTTAAGAGGGCAGATGAGATGGCAATTGACGTGAGCACGGACGTTGGATGGACAAGCCTAGACCCTAAGGAGCTTCGCCCCTAAAACACTCGCTGCGTCCTCCCGGATGAGGTGGACTGGATCAGCTGACGTTGACGGGACTGAACCCGTTGAACCTCAACCCCACAATAGCCAATTTGCGCTTTGTGTTAGTGTGGGTTTCTACCTCCAAGCACCACACCACACACCACGAACGTTTCAGGTCTTTGTCGCATCGCTGGCATAGCCGTGTTGCACCAGACAGAACGAGGTCGCCGAAGTCAACGCAGCGCTGTAGTGAACCTTGGCTTGTGGTTGCGCACTCGTGGATCCTGTGACTCCCTTCGCTTTCAAAGCACACACAACGATTACGAATGATACTTTCCGTCTTCCGGGAACATCACAGGGGCACCTTCTCCGGTCACGTCCTTGCTACATGTGCTCGCAAACCGTGGAGCGGAGTTTCTCGCGTGGCTTTAAACCAAAACAATACCGGCGCTATGTTGAACGTGCGTTGTTGCTAGATTTTCTCCGACCAAACAAAAACAACAAAAGCAAACCGGCTCTAGCTTCCAGCGTACATTGATGTTGATGTCAGCTCTAACTTAAAGTCGACCTACAGATGCAACAAGACTGGTATCAAGTTTTAATATGGCGGCCCCCACGGAGCGCCGTAAATTCTAAGGAGGGTGCATGGGAACCGGTCGCGTGGCGACACCTTCTCTTCTCCCTCCCTCCCTCCCTCCCTCCCTCCCTCCCCCCCCCCCCCCCCCCCCCCCCCCCTGGTTGCACGAGGCTCGCGTACGTCTTTCAGCCGGGCAGCCGAGCCCAATCCCCAGGCGGCTTACTTCTTCCCGCAGAGCGCGCAAAGGCGAGAGAGAGGAAAGTGGAAAGGAGGATCGTCACACCTCGCTTGATTAAAAGTCGTCTCGCGCTGTAAATAAGCTCTAAAAAAAATTTTTGTTGTAAATTTGTTTTATGACATTCTTTTTCCATCCAGGCTGTCTAAAAAAAAGGTTTTCCTCTGCATATGTTTTTCTTTTTTTAAGCAGTGTTCTGTTGAATCCGCACATACCGGGTGCGATGGGCGGCAGGTCGAGGCCTGCGTCGGCCGCCAGTTTTCGCAGCTGGGTCACGTGGTCCGGGTTGTCGCACGCCATGCCCTGGTTGATGAGGCAGGACCGGACGTGGTGCTCGTTCACCGTCACCCCGATCTGGTCCAGGTAGGTCCTCTTCACCAGCGGGTCGAGCCACAGTGTGTTGCCCAGGCACAGCACCACCTGCAGCCGAGTGAAACAGACTCCTCTCGTTCTCGGCGGCGATGCGTTTACACGATGAAGTTTGTTTGCAGAATATGTCACAAATTGTCGCGAACGTGCGACAGAGATTTCGGAGGGCAATCTGTACAAGAGAGCAATGAACTGAGAAGAAAGTAGGAAATCTTAATCGCGCCCCGAACGGGAGCTGAACCCCCGACCCTGTGATTGTGAGCTTGACGCGCTGCCACCATGCCAATCAATGGGTAGACGCTGTTTCGTTTTACGTTCTTTTGGCGAAGAGAACACACAGACCTCCTTTCGTGCCAAAGTCAGGCTGAAGACTAATTTTTGTTTATTAAATATAAAACGAAATAAAAGAAAGACGCCTCTGGTACGGGGGAGCTCAGGTTACGTACGAAGCAGAGGAATGGATGTTTATATCTCGGGCTGCACGCAAACGGTGGTTCTCGGTCGCTTTGAACTTTGGAGCTCGCGAGCAATGGCGCGTCGGTGACCATAACAGACGCGAGGGTGGCCGGCTTTCTCTCTACCGGGGCGGTATCTGCGAACTGTTCAAACGCAAACGCCGGCGTTTGCGTTCAAACAGCTCATGAGAAAAATGAGAAATCCAAGACGTGCCCACTACCGCATAAAAAGGACGAAGTTTGAAAGAAAATAACATGCTATAACAAAAAAAAAAAAAAAAAAAAAAAAAAACTTGCAACGTCTCTTACTAAATTTAAGGAATGCCGTGGAAACGGATGCTGTGTACTGACTTCATCCGCAGGGTTGAAATAAATCTAGCATTTTTTCTCCACGAAGGGAATTAAACGTCTTCTAAATTTTGAGGTCACGGGCACCGCGTTGCTGATGCTTCCTCATCCCCCGAGCCCTCGGGGAACTGCAGAGAACCCCTGACTGGCCCACAGAATATTCGTCGTCATGTCAGAGTGACCGGTCCCCCTCCCTATCGAGAAGGATAACAGTCAGCAGCATTAAAATGCAAAATGCCTTCCTCTTATTTATTTTTTTTTCTCTGTTTTTTCTAAAGCGATAGCCTTAAAGAACTCGTGTCCTGATTGATCCTGATCAATCCTGATTAATCAATAAGTCCTTAATCGTGACCTGATTGATCCTGATCAATCCTGATTAATCAATAAGTCCTTAATTTGCTTTAAAAAAAGAAATTCAAAGAATTCTAGGCGAAGTGAGGTTGAACCTACAACCTTTCAGTAGTGAGCAAGACACGCTACCGACCAGGCAATGCAGACATGCTTGCACGGCTAGGGAACAAGCGGGGGTTTATATTTAGCTGCCGCGTTCCACTCTTAAAAGCGAAGCTTAAGTGTCCTCCTGCAATTTTGTTTGGTGAGCCCGTGAAGGTCACAAGGAGGTACGTGAAAAACAAGACCCTGCCGACTTAACTAAACGCGACTTTGTCGTGTTTAGTTAAGTCGTGTTTAGTTAAAACTACTACACTGGTGGAAAATGCTAGGTCAATGTGCTAACCCAAGTGGTCAATTTAGATGTCTGCCAGTACGCTTTCAAAGTAAAATGCGAAAAAGTGTCGAAGTTATGTATGTGGTAACAGTGCCATGCAGTGTACATTTTATAACTCTCTGAAGGGTTAATTCATAAACTGTAAACTCTCTATGGCATCCTTTTTGACTACTACAAGTATTACCCGTAAGTTTCGCACAAAGGAGACTGATGATTAAAAATTAGCCTTTCAGAATAGTGTTTTCTGGGCAACACTGCTTCTAAAGCTTTTTTTATATAACGTGTCATTCAATTCAAATGAAATTTACATAGATTATTTGCCATTAATATCCGACTACAAATATGTACTTGGTTTTGACATAACCCAATTAGTTTTGTTAATATTGAAAATTTCATTCCCAAAAATTATGGGAAAGATTAAGACAAGTTGAAATATTGAAATAAGAAAATAAACATATATCAGTGAGCTAAAAGGTATGCGAAAAATAATAAGGCATAAATGAAAGCTCTAAAAAGCTTCATTTAGGACACTTACTTTGCAGTTTCAAAATTATTTATTGCAGGATGCCTCAAAGGCACCTAAAAAAGCCTGATATCCTATTCAACATATCTGTACCCCTTATTGCATACGTCACACATACACCAACCAGAGAAAGAAAAAAATATTAAGATTAGATACGTGCAAGTGGAGACCCCCCCCATGGCTTCCATAAAATAGTAAAGGGTGTAAATAGTTCACTCAGAAATACTATAAAAAAACATCCACAAAAGTCAACTTCTGTACCACTTGATTGATTTCAATCTAATTTGCAGTGGAAGATTGAGTGGCAAGCCCATCCCTGCCATATTTCATTATCCTATGTCAATTCTGAAACTTGTTACGAATGCTACAATATGGAAGTCAGCGTGTTCGCTTAGAAAAACTAGTTTTAAAATAAAATAAAAGTTCACGATTCTTACGCATAATATAGTCACAGGAATACATACCCATAGCACATACCCAGCTAGTTATTTTGCTATATTGCCATGTTTTTCATGAGTGTATAACTTCTAAAGAAGATCAAAATTATTTTTTCATGTCTGCGCTTTTTTACAGTTGTAGTTTTCTTAGCATAAAAGAATGTTAAAGTAGAAAAACTAACCAGCCAGGCATGTCCCTCACAAAATTCTATCTCAGAATACCACCTACGAATAATTCTCTATTGTGCAATAGGAAAACGATAGTCTTCCTCAAGTGAAATTTATGCCGAAAAGTGGAACGGAGACAAATGCATTCAAAGTGCCCCAACCCTTACCTCTTCTTTAGGATTGGTGAACCGAAAATAATTTATAAAAAATTAACTATTTCTGGAAATACTCTCTAGATGTTGGTGGATGTAAATAAGGCATTTTTTCAAAATCAATCTTCAAAAAACACGATTTCAAAACTTTTTTTTTTATATTTCTGCCTCAAAGAACAGTGTCTCCCTTTAAGAGAGAACACTACCCAGAAAAAATATATTTCTGCAAAAACAGCTGATTTTGGGAAATGCCATGTTTACATCCACCAACATCTAGAGAGTAGCCCCAGAAAGTTTCATTTGTTTACAATGCCTGGTTATTTAATTATTTTCGGTCTATTGATGCTAAAGAAAAGGTAGAGGTGGTGGACGCCGTTCATCAACAAGTTGGAACATGGCTTGAAAAAGTGAAAGCCGTTTACAACTCCCTGTAACACTGAATTAGAGCGCAGCTCTTGAGGAGGAGGAGGGAAGGGTACTGGGGGGGGGGGGGGGGGTGAAGTGACCTGGGGGGGGGAGGGTCACGTGACCTTGGGGGGTCAAGTGACGATGACGATGCGGACTCCGATGACATCATCAGCGATGATGACGATGACGATGCGGATGTCGCTGACGTCATCAGTGACGATGACGATGACGATGCGGATGCCGGTGACGTCATCGTTGACGTCACTGATGACGTCATCAGTGCTGATGACGATGACGATGCGGATGTCGGTGAGGTCATCAGTGACGTCGGTGAGGTCATCAGTGACGTCACTGATGACGTCATCAGTGATGATGACGATGCGGATGTCGCTGACGTCATCAGTGACTTCACTGATGACGTCATCCGTGATGATGACGATGACGATGCGGATGCCGGTGGCGTCATCGTTGACGTCACTGATGACGTCATCAGTGCTGATGACGGTGCGGATGCCGGTGAGGCCATCAGTGACGTCACTGATGACGTCATCAGTGATGATGACGATGCGGATGCCGGTGACGTGATCAGTGACGATGACGTCATCGGGGAGGTCACGTGACCTCGGGGGGGGGGGGGGGGGGGGGGGGGGGTCACGTGACCTCGGGGGGTTACGTGACCTTGGGGGTCACGTGACCCTGGGGGAGGGGTCACGTGACCTTGGGGGTCACGTGACCTTGGGGTGACCGTGGGGGTCACGTGACGTTGGGGGGGTCGGGTGACCTTGGTTACGCCGACGGCGCCGCCGCTCAAGCCGGGAACAGTCCCCTAAGAGCTGCGCTCTAAAAAGGCAAAAAGCCATTTTGTGAAACTGCCCTATAGGGGAGGTACCCGCTGGCAACCATAGCCAAGTGCACAGCTGCTCAGCATGTGTCCACGGCAAGCTTCCACTGTACTTTTGGAAGATGCATTCCACACCATATCAAGATTTGCCGGTCACAAGTGTGATCTCAGTCTGAGCGCGCCCAGCGAGCAGTGTGCTCAAATATGGCGTCCCGCGGAGTGGGATCTTCGCCAGCATGTTGATGAACGTGTCTTTCTCCGTTCCACTTTTAAGGGCGAAGATCCTTAGGGGCTAGCCATGTCCGCATGTCCATCTGATGTCTGGCGTCAAGTGCTCGTGTAAGGAAAAAAAAAAAAACGCGTCTTCACGTGGTGAATGATGTTGATTGGGGCGAAGCTCTGGTGGTGCTTGTCTGCAAAGACGGTGAGCTGCAGCATGCCGAGCCTTTTGTTCGTTTTCATCCATGTCAGAAGGAGAATGTGTGGTATGGAACATGGTTATATACGCATTTGACCGCAGCGTGACATGGATGAAAACGAACGAAAGGCTCGGCATGCTGCGGCTCAGCATCTACGCAGACAAGCACCACCAAAGCTTCGCCCCAATCAACATCATTCACCACGTGGAGATGTGGTTGTTTTCTTTTTGGCATAAATTTCACTTTAGGAAAACTCATTTGGTGACAGGACAAAAGGAAAGGTTCGCTCATTGTTTTTTCTCATTGAAATTTAATCAGCAATGCATCTGTGGCATTGTCTTTTTCCACCTTTTGGACGTCTTTTATGAGACGTTAAGATTTTGTCGACGACATGAAACGCCGAAAATTCAGTACATTTTCCAGCACGATTTTAGCATAAAAAAAATTACTTTTAGAAATTTTATTTTCACAGTTCCACTTTTCGGGCATTCTGCTGCGTATGTGGTGAAGAAAAATGTTGGGTATTAAATTAGTTTTCTGATGATAGTTTTCCTAAACAATGTCAGTGTGTTCCCGATAGAAACAACTATAATTTCACAATCCATGTACACAGATATAACTCTGCACTGCATTCTGCCTCCCAACTGCCACTGTAAATTTCATTCATAATATGCCAAGGTTCAAAAGTTGACCCTGTTGGGTAGTGTCCTCTCTTAAAGGGTCCCTAAAGTGAATGTTAAGAGTGACTTTCTATGACGCAAACTCAATCTACATGTCCTAAGCATTCTAGGAAACCGAAGACAACAATTATGTATGACCTGTTCTATTCTAATGCAACAAAACATTGTGACATGCCCACTGCCCTAAGTATCCCAGAAAGCCCAAAAAGTACAATTGTGAGAGACTTCTTTTATCAAACGTCTTGACACGCTTCCTTTTTTATATGCTGTAAACGGCCTCATTTTCACGAAAACCTAGTCTTCGCGAGTTTTGCAGCTTGAAAGCCATCGTAATCCAATCCAATCCGGAAAATAAAAATCTGGACCGACCTTTCCGACGAGCTCTTTCTCGGTGACCAGGGAGTGTGAGGTGCACTCCGCCTGGAAGGTCCACTCCAGGTCCCTGTCCTGGGGCTGCACCCGGCAGCAGAACACCTCCACCGCGAAGGGGGGCAGCCGGGCCAGGCGCTCCGGCAGACAGAGCAGGCGGCGCAAGGCCACCTTGGAGCTCCCGCCGTGGTCCATGTGGAACACCTCCGCACGGAGCGGCGAACATCCCGCACCGCCGAACTCGGGCACGATAGAAACTACCTGGATGGCAACCGTTGGGAATGCTGTGGGGGGTATTTGCTGGGCGCCATAATTGAGTGCACCGCTCGCCGAGCGTGCTCAGATTGAGCTCACGCTTACGGCTAAAAAAATCTTGATGATGTGGAATGCACGTTTCAAAGCTACTGTGGAAGCTTGCCGACAGCACGCATTGAGCAGCTGCACACTTGGCTACGGATGCCAGCGAATACCCCCTACAGGGCAGTTTCCACAAAACGCCTGTTCCATTTTGTCAAGCCGCGTTACACCACGCTGATGAACGGCATTTCCCACTTTCGCCATTTCTTTAGACGCAGAAGCTGAGTTAATGGCATCATTTTGGTTCTTGCTGAGGCGCTAAAGTGTGGCGAGCGGCTCCGTCGACGACGAAACCCAGTAAGTGCAACCAAGAACGTATTTGGGTCGCATAAGCCCGAGTTTACACCGATTTGTTTCCTTTCGGAGTTGCCCTGGCAACATCTAGTGGGGCTTTAACGGCCGTCGCTGAGTCAACATCTCCATCATCCGCTCGTCTTAAGTCCGGATCAAGACCGGCATGCATAAAAATAGAGTACCAGACACGTTCCTTTGTGTCGCCAACGACCCCAGGAGACGCCGTCGACCATGACGTGAAAAAACTAAACAGAGCTGGTAAACAATGCCTGTTGCCACTGCAGCACTCTCTGTGCAAGGAGCAGACAAACTTGCTTGTCCCGATTGAAGGGCACAGTTGGTATGTACAAAGGTGGAAGCCTTTTTGCTTACCGATTATGCAATCCAACCAAAGCTTAGTGTCGTGACATTGCTGTACCTCTGCTCAAAAAACTTTCAGCCTTTCCACTCTGGTGAAGAAGGAAGAACAGCGAAGCTTACTATGGTGGAACGACCCCAAGGACGACTTCTTGGAAGATTTCAAGGACTTCTTTTACGGCGTCAAGGACGACGTTTAGAGGACGTCTAGGACGACATCTAGGACGACGTTTAGGACGACCTCAAGGACGACTTCTAGAATGACCTCTAGGACGACTTCTAGAATGACCTCTAGGACGACCTCAAGGATGACTTCTAGGACGACCTGGAGGACAACCTCTCGGACAACATCAAGGACAACCTCAAGGACAACTTCTAGGACGACGCCTAGAGAAATTCAGCCTTTCCACTCTGGTGACAACCAGAGCGGTTTTATGTTGACATTTCTTTCGCGGGGGACACAATCCTTGGGAAACTAGCCCTAAACAGCTCCGCTGCAAAAAATTGTAGAGCCCTTCCATTTCACGTGAAGATAGAGGACCAACGAAGCTGTTACCTCCTTGATGTCTAGGACGATGCCTAGAGGACGACCTCTAGGATGTCCTTAAGGACGACGCCTAAGACAACCTCGAGGACGATGCTTAGAGATCATAACAAGGGATCAGGACCTCACTATCTAATAATGCCAAGGAAGGCTGACTCATTATGGTTGCCCCCTCTTTTCATTTTTATTATTCATACTTGCCAGACCAATGGGAAGTTTTCTGTCGACATGTGAGGACATATTTTTTCCCAGACCCCAGCGTATAACAGCTTCGTTGTAAAAGCATAGAAACTTGTTTGCAGTATGAAGCAAGGCTGTCAACCGCTGTTCCGAGTACTCCGTGTTAACTGGCAGGAGTGATGGAGGAACCCGTCCATGGCAAAAGGGGTGGGGTTTTCTTTTGCGACTACAGTGACAACACGACAAAAGAATGCCACAGCCTCATCTCGGTAATTCGGAATAGCATAATTCGATTTCCAATGGACTTCTTCCAAAACCGACGCGCCCCATCGCGGCAAAGTATCACGCAGTGCACTCTGGGAACTAGTTGGCCACTCAGTTTCGGTTTCGACTCAGCAGCTTCATCTCACGCTATCACGCCGCGACCGAATGCGCTGCATGCGTCTTCGATTATCTGACTTTTCACGAACTTACAATACACTCATTCTCGAGCGATACAAAATGAAGACCGGGCCCTTTCCTTGCTTCCCGAAACACCGGATATTATGAGTGCGTATGCAAACGTAGTAAAGCGTGGCTTAGTCACCTCACCCCACGAGTGCATCTTTGAGTTCAATTTCAATAATACTGTCTTGTACCAGTGAACTACAACTGAAATTTGGTCATCTGGAGTCTTACACGTATTTCGTTTGCCAAACGTCCGCTTCTTGTTACTTCATCGGGCGAAAAGCAAGCTGCATCCTTACAGGAGTATCAAAGTTGAGCCCAGAGTTGACTCATGAATTTTTAAGGAAACTCAATAAATTCGACCTTACTAGTGTACAAAAGTGACTATGATTTCCTCCTCGTGTCATCATATATTTCCCACTCAAATTTTATGCTGATAGAAGATTAAGTTTTCGCAAACGCTGAGATCGGCTAGCTATGACGAAGGCCCTAACAAGTGTCCCCTGCCCCTCGCTAAACCGTCTTGGACGAGCTTTTACTGACGCCCAGGATCTGTGCCTGTACGGTGTGCCTGAAATTATCTCCGCATACTCAGGCAGGAAGAAAGCAAACACATAACAAATGTTATGGCCATTAGCAAATGTCAAACGCGCTTTGAATAATTTCGTTCGTTTGGCGCATGCCAGTTCGGTTCACTTCCGGGAACGGTGCGACATTCTTCAGACAAGTGCTCGACTTTTACGTTCTGAAAACGGTCTATATGTGCGAATGTGGCTGTACGATTGCAGGATAACTTTATTTGTATACGCGATGTTTAATATTAGTTCAATGCGGGAACTTCACTTCGTGCAGTGCTGTGGGGCAGTAGAGATAAGAGATAATAAGTGTGTTCGAATGGAGGTTTTCAATGGCGCCTCTGAGTTTTACCTCGCGTACTCAGGGTTATTAAGAAAAACTATAATTGCAAAAAAGTAATAGTTCGTCTATGGACTCACGAAAGAAACAAACTTCCTGATTACCAACACTAAAGTAAAGGCGCGAGCTCGATGTATGCATACTTATTGCTTTTTAATTCATTCATTCATTTAATGCTTTATTTTCAAACTTGCTTTCAAAATACACAAAAACAGTTTGGACCCATAGCCGTTCAGCTTGTTGATTCGTACATAAGAAAGATCCCCGAGCTTCGCAGCATCAAGATTCGCAGCACTGGCTCGTCCACATACCTCGATTGGAACGCTAACAGAAAGGCTCGAGTGCAAAAATTCAATAAGCATGTCTTAAGCCAAGCTATACGTCTCAGGCATGTGCTAAAGCTTCGAGGTCTGGCCATTTAGGTTAGCTTAGGGACCACAAATGACGCTCTCGGGACCAGAAAACATGATGTAACGGCCGTTAATAGTCCACGCTCTGTGTGTAATCTCTCGTCGACGTGTCGATCGAAACCGAAACCATGCCACCCTCCTCCCTGGCCAACTAGTTCCCAGAGTGCAATGCGCGCCGTGTTGCATGCAGGGCTTTATGGAAGTAGTCTATTAGTTCGAAGTATGGATGCAGATCCCGCAACCATATATACAAGTCTGTGGAAAAAGAAAATGAATAGTAATTCGAAGCTTAACCTGTGGCTCTGGTTAATTCTGAAGATTTTGTTTCAAGACTCCCGAAATCTGTTATTTTTGGACTGCTGAAGAAGACTAGCGATTATGCCGAGAATGCCTAAAAGGCAACTGTGCACACTTCATTGCTTTTAAATACCGCTTGCTCAGTCAGGAATAGAGCAAACGTGCATGGCCAAGCGATTGAGCTCCTAATCCAGCCAAGCCGCCAACTCAAACCAAATTATGGCAGCTGTCTTGGGCACCGCCGCTATGGAATTGAGTGGGAGCTTGTGGTGCCATCTCGGGATAGGCGGAGCTACCGGACGACAGTGTCTTTTCCTTTCAACCAAGCGTGTCATCTGCTCATTGTATTTATTCGGAGATGGCCTAACAAGCTCAAACCTCGGGTAACTTGGTCGTCTGTGTTGGCCGTTGAAGGGGTGTTGTCCTCACTTCTCGCAGGAAGAGAGCTACGCCTTAAAATTTCGGAAAGTAAAATCCACCCCTCAAATGCACCTTTTCAAAAAATTTAAGGCTGCTACAGTAACTGAAAAGGTGAGAACAGCGGAGGAGAGGAGGTCAGGCTGTCCACCTTCGGTGCCGACTTCCTACTTCGACGACGCTTCAATGTCTCGTGCACTTTGAGCACGCACACAGCACCAAAGCACGGTGAAAGGTGGGGAATGCCGGGCATTCGAACGACACGCCCTGCCATTCTGAGTCTGCCAGTGACGACTTAAATTTTGCAGGCTCTATGCATTTCGCAAATTTGACTGAGTCCTATTCAAAATATTTTGCGGGCACGAAATTTCGCAAATCAGGGTGGTACGGTAGGTATCTGTCACCATAAGAAAACATATTCGTGGGTCCTTTTTTAAAGCGATAGCTTTACGGGCGACACTTTGCAGAGATTTCGACCTCGTGGGCTGTTGTCGCCGCACATGCGAAGAAGGAAAACATTTTTTTTTTCTCCCCTCTTGACGCGAAGAGAGCGAAGTCGGAACTTCCCGTCGGTCGTGCCACGCGAAGAGAGCGAGGCGAGCGAAGACGGCAGCCCTGGCGCCCCACCAAGAATGGCACAACAAAGAAAAAATGTTCCCGACGTCTGCTTGAAACAGCAGTTTCCAAACATTCCTTGCGTTATGCGAAATCCCACTTCGGCAGCATCCAGCTGCTACGCAAAATGTTGGATGGTTTTAGAAACTTCCACCGCGCTTACCCACCTGCTTCACGGATCACTGGTGGCAGTTGTCAGTGGCATTCACGATGCCAACTGTGATGGCTACGAGAATTAACCATGTCGCACCTCTGTCCTCAGGTATGTGATAGCGCCATTCCACCCGCATTGCACGACCATGCTACAGCTATCACTTTCGTTTCTTTTTATAAAGTATAGATCCTCGCAAAAACTAAGTCGTTTGTCATTTACAGTGCGCGGGCAGGCGCTGGTTCTTCGGACCGACTTCAAAGCAGGGCCCGGCACCGACAACACCCTGTAATCTTCGGACTTCGGGAACGCCGCGCTCCGGCCGCCGCTCCGACCCACCTGCACCCTGTGAAACTGGTCCGCATCCACTTCCACCGCGTAGACTCCGCCGACCACCGGACTCTCGTTCTCCCCGAGTCCAATGTGTCTGTCGCCGCCCGGCACCGCAAAGTAGGCGTTCATCTCGAGCATGGCCTCCTGGAACTCCGTGTGGACCACCGCCGCGCCTCCTTTTCCCGCCGTCGGATCTGCCGCAGGGTCCCAGTGCTCCAGCACCCAGGCGTAAAAATGTGTCGCGTCCACCATCTTGGTCACGAAGATGCGGACTTCCCCGCTTGCGGGTAGGTGGCACCAGCCCCGGGGACGGTCCAGGGCGGCGACGACGCCGTGCCGGTCGCGGCACGCGGTGCCGCTCGTTGTGGGCGGAGCCAGGCACCTTCCGAAGGACTTGAGGTGCGCACACAAGGGACGCTCGGGGTTACAAGCGCGCCTCTGTAAAGAGAGGCAGACAAATAGGGTTACCAACTCTTCAATTAAGGAAGTCGGGAAGCCTCGGACTAATCAAGTTTGGTGTGACACGTCGCGCCATCTAGCTCAAAACATTTGCAACACTGGGAAGGCCCTTTGGCCAGCCTGCTTGCTCGTGGGGCTGTTCACACATCAATTTGAAGGTGTGGATTCGTGCGTTTTTGGCTTTTTATTCTTAACATTGCTATTGGATGTCGCAGGAGACCAAACGCCGAAGCTGTAGGCACTGTTGCACACCGGACTGTCGCAACAGCCAGAAGCTTAGCAAGTGTAAAGCTCCACAGGTTCCCATCGAGGCCATGGAATATAAAACGTGGTCAGAGACGAGTAAATTCCGTAAAACATGTAAAATATGTATTCCGTTCACATTGCCTGACTTGAGACGGATTTCTAAATGTGCTATATGACTCGACATTTTGAAAAATGTGCTCAAAGCCCGGCGTTGTCTTTGGGTTCAATATAATGACTCTCTAAAGTCAGACCAGTCGTTTGACATTCTCGCTGCTCTCTGGTCCGCCGATTTGGAACGCAAATGTTCCCAAAACAATGTTTTTGTGAACGTTTGAGTGTAGTTGCTGAAGTGAGTGTTTTCTTTGCTTTGCCGGTTGCAGAGCGTACTGCCGTTTGCACCTTTAGCATGATCGTGTAGCTACCCAAGATAATTGCTTTATTTTGACCCCTGCGTATGAAGTTCTACCTTCGTCCCCGCCGCAAGAAAAGGATGTTCCTGCGGCATTTATTTGTGCTGTATGTCAAAGAGAACAGCATATTCAATGGACGAAAACGAGTGGCAGCTTGCTACGAGCAACTGTGTACGACTCCGTCCAAACTACAGTCAGCTTGCACAAAAAACGCATTCCTTTGGCACCACAATCGTCTTCAACAAGATGACAAGGGGACGGGAAAAAAGCTGATCCCAGAAACAAGGTCAGCTATTCACGCAGGAATCGAGGTGCACCTAAGCACGTCTTATGAGTTGTGAATGCGAAACCATGTATGTCATTCTTCCGCTCTCTTATTTCGTCTGCAGCGTATTTGCGTTGACGGCAGAGCGGCGCACTCTGCCGCCGAGGAGTGGGCGCCTCTCCTTGCTGCTCTAACCTTGGACGTTTCGTGTTAGCAGCGAGCTGAGGGACACGCAGCGCCGTGGGGTGGCCATCGTTGAAACTGATGTGCAGCGGCCAATGACAGCCTCGTCAACGTGTGCCAGCCAATGGGGCCGAAGCAAAAAATCCATCAGCTTTATTCTGCTCCTTTGGGATCGAAACTAGGTGCCGTTGGCCAGGCTTTTCGGGTGGTTTCATAACCGGGAGCTGGCTTCACTTAGAGAAAAGATTTAAGGTGCCGTTTAGCGTGGTTTCAAAGCTGATGACTTTGGCTCGCTCCATGAGACAGTTAACGCCTTCGCTTTAAAAAGGGTAGGTGGGGATGGGGCACTTTTAGTTCTGCTTTTGTAGAGGGAAGCTCGACGAAATCTTCACTTTCGTAATTTTGAGGCGTGAAAAACATTGTAAAAAGAAAATTGCCCTTGTCTATTTTCTTTCACTCAAATTTTGCTGTAATACCAGGACGATCAATTCTGTGCTGCTAGTTCCCATTATGGGTTGTCTCAGCTCGAGGAAGGCACCTACTAAAACTCCCTGATGCTAGGACCAAACATCCACGCATGCATACACATCAACATACTGTAAACAATGTATTTTTCGCGGGCTCAGTATTTCACAATTTACGTCAAAGCTGAAGTTTTGGAATAATTTGTGGGTCCTAATTTTCACGACGCGGTAGGATCTCAGTATAGATTACAATGCGTTTACCTTTTACCGGAAGTGTTCGCGGGGCCTATTTTTCGCAAACTGTTTGCGATTCGCGAAAACTAGGTCCTTGCGAACATTGTCGTTTACAGTATTTAAAATCCAATACATTTTTAAAACAGTCGGTAGTGTATAGCGCGAAAACAATCAGTTGGTAATTATGTAATCTCGCGAGGGCACGCCGGCTGCACTGACCATCTCAGCCGCCCCAGTGTTGCCTCGTTTGGCCACGGTGGCGCCAATGATTAACCGACGGTGGCGCGCTCTGGAACCCTGCCCAGCGCACGTAGCTGTCCTGAGAAGGACGACACGGGACCCCCGACGCTTTGTGGAAAGTCGGGACAGTCCCTCGAAATCCGGAACAATTGGTAACCCTACACGTAAAAGAAGTTTGTTGAGAAAGCGAGACAAAAATGTCGTTCAACACCGGTTCCTGGTACGGTTTTCCAACCAAAGAGTTTGCCTAATCCCAGAAGGTGGGCCCCCAATACACACCCAACGATGTCGTACAAGTCTCGTGTTATCGCCAGCCGTGATCCCGGTGGTGTTACGGTGGCGGTAGTGGAGGTGGAGGACATGTTTTCCTGCAGGTCGCTGTCCAGCTCGACAGCTCGCGGAAGCTTTGGCGTCCGGGAGTATGTTTTCCGCGATGACAGTGATACCCGCAATCGCTCATACCGTATTTACTCGCATAATGAACAGCGCATTCACGAATGGTCAAGGGCACGTCACAGTAACCATGCTTTATAAATTGCAAACCTTTTTAGGACGCTTTCGGCCCTAAAAAGCCGAAAGAAAAGCGCCCTACGGAGCTCACTCAGCATGGAGAGCGACGGGACCATTTTTAGGCCTAACGACTTTCATGCTTTCACTGTCCAAAAGCGGACCACAGACGACGGCGTGTATGTTGACATCAATGCATCCGATAGGTGAAGAATGTCTGGGGCTGGGCAATTCCTCGACCCAAACTTCGTCAAGTGTGCGTGCCGCTCAGTTTCAAGGCTGATCACTTCTGCAACTTTGCACTTGCAGCCATTACGAAAGTACCTTGGCTTGGCTTGACTTGGCCTGACCGCTTGGTGGCAAAAGATAATTGGCTTGGTGAGTTGGACGCGATTCGAGACTCGCGAAGCCGAAAATTGGAGGTGCGTTCATTACGGGAGGAAAAAAAAAAAAAGTCCAAATGTTGTTACCTGTTGTAGAAGTTGCGTTCATTGTGCGAGAGCATTCACTATGCAGGTAAATACTCTACTTTTCGCCGAGATTTCCGGTGCCAACTGCCGGATAGCGACATCCGACGACGTGACACGCCGGCTTCTGCGACGTCATTCGTTGCACCTTCTGAACCACTTTTGATGTATGGGCGGAACGGGACGGCAAACGTGTTGGTCGAAGATGCGTTCTGGGCATGTCACCGACGACAAGCACCCGCGTTAACGGCATCGCACACAGATGCATCACTCGCGTTGCCACCCGCCCCGAAAGAGTGTAGGAGGCCCAGACCTGGAGTTCTTGGTTGGCCAACTGCTCGAATGCGGGGGGAACCTTGGCCCCGACCCTGGTCAGAAACTCTGCCAGCTGGACCGACAAGTGGGCGTTGTCCCGCGTCAGGATTAAGTGGGCCAGCGGGCTGTCCCTCGGATCGGAGTCTCCCTGCAAAAAACACCCCCCCACAAAAAAAATAAAAATAATTGAGACGTTTGCGTTTAGATGGCACACGGTCGGTTTGCCTTTGAGGTACGGCAACGCTAGTGTACGCCGTGGGCGAGAAGTTTAGCTGGTGCAGTACGGCTGCTAGCCTGGGGGCCTTTTACGTGCATCGCACAATAGTGATACATGATAGCAAGCCGGCACGATGCTCGTCCAGTTCGAGACGGGCAGGGCTGGGGATTGAAACCACGACTCTAGGGTTCTGCACTGCGAGTTTTCGCTCCACGCGTTCCGAGCTGTAATGCACGAACGCACTCGGTCTCCGATACCCCTTGCTGCGAGGATCTGGCAGCAGGTAAGCGGTCAGTGGAGACACTGGTGGGCGAGTGTGTTCAAAAAGGGCAGAAAGCGTTTTACAAGTCATTTTCTATGAGAAAATTGTTACGAACGAGAGTCATGAGCAAGCGTCATGAACGAGCATCAGGAATGATCAAAATGAACGAGCGACACGCCTGAGGTGTTTCACAACGTAACGTAAAAACTGCAGCTTGGGCGAGTAAGTTGAGCGTGAACTCGTATAACCAGCATACCCCCCACATATGCTGGTCCTATGAGTCACAGGGAAACAAGCCGCTCCTACCGTTCAACTCTGCGCATTCTGAGCTGGTCAAGGGGGGTATTATAAAACTCTGTCTCAACAACTCACTTAACAAATCATGCAAACATACTATCCAAAAAAGCTTTGACGTGCAAATCTCTCGATTAACGTCAGCAGGGTACTCTAGTCATTTACTAACATAGATCACCGTAAGCCTCCTCAAAGCACTGTAAAAGGGTGGTCCTATTAAGACAAATCCCAAAGACAGGACAACTAGACTTGTAGTTGTACCCTGCATCCACAAGTTCTCTCAAGGTCTCAAAAACGTAGCCAATAGGGTCAATCTTGAAGTGATCTTCACCGCTCCGACCAAGCTCACGAGCCTATACGAAGGAGCGAACAATCCATCGCACACACAGTGTGATCTGCACAAAAAATCACTGCACCAGCTTTGCTCAGTGCACAGAAAAAGTGGTGTACTCCTTTCCTCTTTCCTGCGGAAAGATACATCGGGGTCAACGATTGACTCCGTGAACGTGACAACAATATTGCCAGTGCAAACTTGGGTCATCTAGGTATACACTGCCGGAATCTCGGGTGTGCGGCAAGTCGAAAAAGTTGCACCATCCTAAGCTGGCATAATAAGATAATGCCTTAAAATAAATGTTTGTCAAAAAAAAAAAAAAATTTTACATTTTATTCATGCTACAGTATGAAGTTTTCAATTTGCGTGCGAAACCAAAACTGTAATTCGATGGGATGATGATGATAGCGTTTGTACTCAACTAGTGTACGCCCTGAAGTCTAGCGAACTCTGAGCACACACTAGTCGGGTACAAACGCTATCATCATCATCCCACAGGGGTAGAGTTTTGGTTTCGCCTGCAGATAGAAAAATTTGTATTGTAACACAAATATTGGGCAAAACATTTTTTTGTTATTTCTGCAAACATTTATTTTGAAACTTGCCTCTCCCAACCAGATAGAAAAAATTGCTTCCCTAGGTTCAGTGTATTACCCTTTGATACCCAAAACTTTACTTGAAATACTGCAGACCTAGAAATCCTGATGTGGTTCTACAACACACAGAACAAAATAAATCTGGTCTTTGAAAAATACCTTTCTTCAAAATTATGTTTTCGAAATGTTGATTGTGAGCAACATTGAGCATTTGTAGCATTATTTTATGTGCAATGACCGAAAGCAATTACAACCTGGTGAAGGCATAGGTGCACTTTGCATTTCGCACAGTACGGACACTTGTAACTATTTGCAATATTTGCACCCGTTTTTCTTCTCGGCGTTTCAAGGTCGGTGGTGCACGCCATCACCCTCACATGGCCTGTCAGCTTTCGTTTTAAAGGAGCTGTGCAACAATTTCAGGGCTTTGCTTAAGTTATTGTGGAAGTTGATGCCTGAAACTTCTGAAGTGAACTACAGAAAACAGATTTTGCCTGGATACCCTAGTTTTTATTTAAAAAAATGAGAAAGATCCAGGTTTTCGCCACCTCTCAACTCGTACGTTGTCTTCCGGGTCACGTGCACAGTGATGTTGATGGGGTACGAGCGGAGTTCCGGAAAAGTTCTCTCTTTAGAGCTATCAGTGAGCAGCGAGAACTCATCCGCTGGCAACCGCGTGACCCCGTGCTGGCGGGTGCCGCGCGAACAATATGGTGAAAGGAGGAAAGTCTCGTCCGGGTCCGGCCATACCCGTCCGGCTCTGTCCCCCTCCGGCTTCTGGCGACTGTTTGCAGAAGCAGATAGAGCTGACGGTTTTGTGGACCTAGGATAGATGGCGCCACTAAAACTCCGTATAATAAAAGATTTGTCGATGATACCAGGTTTTTGATGCATTTATATATACAGTAAAACCTCATTAATTCTATCCCCGCTAATTCGGAAATTCGGATAATTTGAACTGCCGATCTGGTCCCGTCAAACGCATGAATTAGTCAATGGCAGCAAACGCTCATTAATTCGGAGGGTATGCGGCGCACTATGGTTAATTCGGACTAATTCGGCACGTGGCGCTAGTTACCGTCCGTTCCAAAGGGTATGATCGCTATCTATCCGAGGTGCACAAGTGGTTTTTCGCTTTTCCCATGGTTCTTTGCTCTTCCGGTTCTCCGTGCTTCGCACCAGTTTTGCTCTGGATCGCCGTGCTTCAGCGCGTCACTCTCCTGGCATGGAAGTGGCAGAAGCATAGCTGCAACGGAAAAAGGGTAGCACAAGTGACCGACGACCGGAATGGCAAAATCGCGACACGCGGTGCTATTTTTCCGGAGCGTGCCGATAGTGAGAGTGACAGTCACGTTTTATGCCTCAGCACGGGGATCCTAAAGCCCGCCATTTTAACTGCTATCTTATCCCTCAATTTTTCGCCGGCCACCCCCGCGTTGAAAACAACTGCAACGTGACTGGCACTCTTGCTATCGGCGCACTCGGGAAAAATAGCGCCGGGTTTTGCGATTTCGCCGCTCCGATTATTGGTCAGTTGTGCTACTTCTATCGGCGCACTCGGGAAAAATAGCACCGGGTGTTGCGATTTCACCGCTCCGATTATTGGTCAGTTGTGCTACTCGTTTTCCGTTGCAGCTGTAGTAGGCTAAGAATTTAGCGACGAAAGTGGAAATACTGAGGGCCTTGAAGGATGGCATCTCTCGAAAAGTGATGGAAAGTTACGAGGTCAAGAGAAGCAGTTTGACCACATACGTGAAAATTGAGGCCGATATCCTACGGGCTTTCAAGAGGGAGAAGTTCAACGCGAAAAGGAAGCGGCCGTGGAAGGTGGTGCACCCGAAACTAGAAGAGGGCTTGCTGTGCTATCTTGTCAGCGTGCGGGATGCGTAGCTCCGACAGTGCGAGTGCGGTGGAGCACTCGAGCGCGCTAAGGAAAGTTGCCGTCTCCGTCCAAATGTCGTCCAGAAAGCAGGCGGTAATAACATATTTCTTCTCAAAATAAAGCTATGTCACAGGTAAACGTTCTGGCAGTTTTCTTTGTCCTTTCGATATTTCGGATAGTTCATACATTTTTGCCGGTCCCATGAGATCCGAATTAACGAGGTTTTACTGTATGTTGGAACGACAAGATTCATAAAAAAAAGTTACCTTTTATCGAGCAGGTATTCGCGCAACTTGCTATCTCTCTACAAGATTCCCTATTGACGTCACGCCGCGTGTTTCTCATGGCCGCCGCTCGCGGCTGCAGGTCGGGGAATATTCTAAGTTTTGTCTCGCTATTATGCGGTGGAATCGCAACATTTCGATGAAAGGAGGGTGTGTTTTCTGTCATTTGTGACAAGGTGAACAATATCAAAAGCAGAAGATGCCAATTCTTTCAACAATAAAATCGTTGCACAGCTCCTTTAAGGGACAGTGATCTCTTTTAAAGAGGCAATTCAATTCTCCACCGCTAAGCGCAGGTATCCTTGCCCTTGCGATAGAGGGCACTAAATTTATTGAGGCGCACATGGCATGGGAGAAATTAGATCATTCTTGAGTTGTTGCTGCTCCTGAGCAATACTGGGCATCAAAGGGTTAAGACGTGCCTTCCCAACAGACAAGGAAGGAGACAGTCCCCAGCAAAGACTGCAGGCGCTCACCTTGGCGTCGAAGCTGCGCATGCGTTCTGCCAGGCACGAGAAGCGAAACCCAAAGTTGAACCTGGACAGCTCGGGGACGTCGTAGTGGACGAGGACGGCAGCGTCCCGAATACCGGCCCAGGACAGGATGTTGTCCTGAGCCACCAGGACAGGTGCACACGTGTCCTTGTGGGGGGCAGCCCACTCGTTCGCCACGCCTGCATTCACGCACGATGAGGCATCGTTGAGGAGCAGAGAAAGAAAGCGTCGCACACATACCGTTCCGGAAATATCCAACGCTCTACCGTCCTTAGATAAACTACTCACCTGTCTGGAAACTTTGGCAGTTTCCACCTTAGTAAAATTTGCCACAACAAACGGTGCCGACACAAGTAGTAGGAGCAAAGAAAAGTAAAAAGAGATTCAAAGTAAAAAAAAAAAAAATGAACCTCGATGCCAGTGTAACATTTTGAATGGATCCTAGCAAGTTCTACAATGGGGAACGCGATAAGCGCTATACTCCGTTTCGCCTTATGTTGTACCGCAGCGAAGGCTAGAAGTGCGTGCACATAGCGTTGGCAGCTGCTTTTAAGTCAAGAGAGCTTGTGCCGCCGAGATGTGCCCCAGAGCAAGGAGCTCGAGCTTGTAGCCTTTCCTGCGGTACATCATAAGGTGAAACAGAGTATAGTGCTTTTCTCAGCTAGTAACATTGATGGTAGCGTATACGGAGACGAGTACTAGTGGCTCAACTTTGAGACGTGTCGTAGGGAAGTTTTGGGTCACAAAGTTCTTGATCTCAGAGTAGCATGTTCAGGCCGAGATGTGCCGTATTTACACAACGTAAGTCGACCCATTTTTCAATTTTTGAAAATCTGAACGGGGGGAGGGCTGACTTATAATCGAATCAAAGCATTACCGCCGACAAAACTGAAACAATCGTGATATCAAGAACACCTCGGCTTGTTACGAGTTCAGCCATCTGAACTTGTAGCATTGTACAATTCTGTGCGCCCATTTTACAAATTATTTTTTTATTATTTGTAGAACGAGTATTATTGATAGGGATTCGCAAATTAACCCGAATATACGGAGGTGAACAGCGCACGGCGCGCCCGACTCCCAGGTGTGGCGGCACTTCTTGTAAGAACCACTCCGGAGGCTGCTGGGACAGCCTCACGGCTCACTCCCCGCTGCTCCTTTTTGCAGTTTTTCACACGATTTACGGTCGTACGTCGTTTGATGGAGTGTCAAGATCATGCTGAAGTGCTAATTATGCTTTTTTGTATTGACACGCGTGATCCGGGCAGTTAAGGTTTTCGGTGCTCGTTTATGGCCATTCTTCACCCAGGAGTAACCAACAACTGCACTGCTGGGCGCAAGTTCGACCTGTCGGAGCAGGTGACGCTCTAGTGGAGTCTGCAGTGGGATCTTAAACTGTGACGGCAAACAAAGAGGCTTCCGCAGGCCAAAATCTGGATAGGTGGTGATGCCTTCCGGAGTTAAAGGTCAGGCTTGGAACGTACGCCGCAAATGTACGTAATCGGTCCCTACCCGTGACGTGCAACGCGATCGCAGAGCAAGCGCGGAAGATGAGGTTGATGCTGTCATTCGCGAAGTGCGAGATTTCGTTGGACAACGCCAACGACATGCTTTGAGGATGTAGCAGTGATGACGACGGGACTGACATCACCAGTGTGGATGAGTCATAGTCTAGTCGCGAACATAGTGGAAACGACAGTGAACAGCTTCAGTTGTCCCGCCTCCAGCGTGAACTTCCTAGTTTCGACAACGTCTGGGCATCTCATGCACCTCACGCATGCATGCGCAGCCAAAGCACGCCAGAAGGCATTGATCGCGTGTTAGAGGCTGGGCTTTCAAAACAGATATTTTGCCGTTCTCACGTCTTCACACTAAAATACACATCTAAAGATTTTTTTAGGGGCGAAGCTCCTTGGGGTCTAGCCTTGTTTGTACGGCGACTATGCTCACATCGATTGCCATCCCATTTGTCTTTTTAAAAAAAGAAAAAAATGTTTGCGCAGTCGACAGGATTCGAACCTGTATGGGGAGATTACGATAAATTTCTAGTCCATCGCCTTAACCACTCAGCCACGACTGCAAGACGAGTAAAGGGCTCGGAGATGCGGTAGTAACTTAAGAGCTGGGGATGTCATGGATGAAACATTGCATGTAGCCGCTCAATGTCTATACAGGAGAGGGTGCTGCAGTCAAATGCGTATATAATCGCGTTAAACTTTGCATGCATTGGCTCAACGTTTATAGACGAGAGGGCGCTGCGGTCAAATGCTCAAATGCATATATAACCACGTTCCATACCACATATTCCATACCAACGCAACCCGGAACTCAGCACTACCTATGAGCAATAAAAAAAATCAGCACCATCAGCACTACCTTTGAACAGTAAAATCAGTATCATCAGCACCACCAGAGCTTTGCCCCAATCAACATCATTCACCACGTGAAGATGTGGTCATTTTTTTTTTTTGGTCGACTTACAATTGTGTAAATACGGTACACAGAAGTGACACTGATACCCTCGAGGGGTTTCGCGGCGCAGGCCTCACCACAACCGAACGCATGCAACGGCAAGGGAACGCTTGCGAGGTTCAAGACACAGTGCGTTCCCCTGATCCCACTGCCTCACCCCCCTTGGCATCCCTCGATCGAGGGGCGAACTACACTGGTTGAATGTGGTCACGCAATTCGACGTCACAAAGCTTTCTGCCTAGTAAAACGCTGACACCACGAAACGCGGCTGGGAAGTCCCCGTAACAGCTATCGTCATAATAACTGACTCAATCAAAAGCAGCAAGAAAGGGAAATGAGAGCAACTCACCACGAACACTGACCATGGGCAGCCTGTCGTGGAGAAGCAGAGCAAAGATACTTTCCGACTGGAGCAGCCGGTGCACTTTGAGTGCGCTCTCGTGGCTCGAGGTGCAGACTACTGCCTTGCGACCACGGCTGCCCTCCAGCAGCTCTGCGAAAGGACGGATTCAAGCGATTGATTACGGCTACAAAGCTACAAAAGCCACGCTGTGCCAAGTGTGAGACGGCAAAGAGAAACGCGACAGGTCTTTCTTGAAAGTGTGCGCCACGTAGCGGCTGCGGCGCAAATTATCCGAGCCTGCCATCGTTAGGGCCTGTCCTCCAAGCAGTATTGGGCATGAAAGGGGCAGCAGCGTTCGGCGTCCACTCGGACCCGATTGCGTGCCTGGTGTCCGAGAAATGTCGAACGCCAACGTTGCTCGACATGCTTTAAAAAAAATCATGAGCCATTCCACTCTGAGAAAGTGGATGACCAGCAAAGCTGTTTAGCACACGACACAGACCCGCCCTGAGGAGCCACAGGAAACTAGACACGCGCAACGGGACCGCCACCCGGCAGAAAGCAGACGCGCGACGAGACCGCCACTCCGGGAGAGCAGAAGGAAAGGAAACTAGGCATGCAAGCGCTTGGAACGATGACAAAGAGAGGGCAGTGCGAGCGTAGACATGGAAATTCCAGAGAACCCTAGCCATAAACAGCTTCGCTGCAAAGGGGGTCTGCTCAGAACGGCCCAACTACCAATCCCTACAATAATTTGCTGGATCGCCGACCTCCGCTTTGAGCACGTTGCGCGAATGCGGCCGCCGGTCAGCCATCTTACGACACCCGCTGAAGCGCTGCCAGGGCTGTGGTCACGTGACCTACAGATGGTAACCATGGTAACTGTCTAGGCTTGACAGCGCAAGAGTGGGTGACGCAAGATGGCCGATTGGTGGCGTCACATTTTCGGAAGGGGCAATCGGCGATTCAGCAAGTTGTCAGAGAGACCAGAGGACCCACGGAGGTAGGAAGCTTGTGGAGGCGACATGACGCCACCAGAGTTGAAGCCAGGAGTGTGGAGGGACACGTCTCCAACGATAACCAAAACAAAGAATAGGAGGTAAAGGAGAACTGACTAGGCACCGACTGCTGATTTGGTCGCCCCAAGGGCTCTAAGGTGACCGAAACAGCCATTGGCACCAAATTAGCTCTCCTTTTCGTCCAATAGCGTCTCTTGGTTTTGGTCATCATTGGGGGTGTGTCCCTCTACACTTCTGGCTTTACTTCTGGTGGCGTGAGGTCGCCTCCACAAGCTTCCTAGCTCCATGGGTGGACCCGACTAAAGCCCCTCGATGTGCTTGCATCTGTCTTGCAAGTAACGTCAAACGCACCACTGCACGAGACCCGTGTCTCAAGTGGCCCTTAGAGGCAAATGGCGGCAGAACACCTGCTTGTGGTATGTGTCTTGCACGCTTTCACAACAATGGCTGTCGGTATTGTAAGCGTGAATGTCATCTAGGGACTTTAAATCCGACCGGTGGGCGACGCAGAAAATCTGGCGCCGCAAAGCGGAAACACCTAGACGGCATTGCTCACCGAGCAGCGCAGCGTCACGCGCCTTGGGGTCGACATAGCGCACAAAGGTGGGCACCCTGGCGTAGACAGCCGCTTCGGCGAAGGAGGAGAAGAGCACCACGGGGCTGTGCTGGGCCCGCAGCAGGCGCAGGAGCGAGTCCATCCCCTCCGTCCACCGGCTGGTGCACACCACCACCTGATTGAGCAGGCAGCGGGAGGCGCGCCTGCACAGGGCCTCACTGTACTCCTGCAGCACCTGACGCACCTGCGAAAACGCCGTTTCGAGGCTGTACAGACTTCCCAAGGTCGACCGCAACGAAAGAGAACTCTTACTTTATTCATTCAGCCCCCTCAGTGCCGGTACGGCTTAATGGGGGGGGCGAACAACGATAAAAAAAGAACTTGTCGGCATTTGTGGCACAAAACCTCAAACTTCTCGCTGAACTATACGAAGAGACTGAGGGAGAGGAGGAGACGACAGTGTGCGGGGACACTGGAGCGCGGAGCTCCGATTGGAAGGACTTGTGGGTAGATGCAAAGACTAGCTTCTTTCCTCTCTACCCATCGTCTTCCTCCAATCAGAGCGAACAAGAGCGTTGTCTGCTCCTCGCATTCGAACAGTGAGCAGAGACAAAGGCCTTAATTGCGTCTACCCACTATCCTTCCCATCACAGCTCGGCGCACCGACGTCCCCGCGCATTCTCACACCTCCTCCCTCAGTTTTTCCCCTATAGCTCAGTGGTCCTCAAGTGGGGGTCCCTGAACACCCCGTTAGGATCCCCGAAGCCCTTGACAGTCAGGCAAGCCGAGTGCTCCCCCTGCCGCCGTCTTGGCCCTGCGCTTTGAGTGCTTCCTTCATATCGGCGGAAACTGTACATGCTATCGCCGCTAATGAATCCCCATAAAAGCACTGAATACCTTTTAAGACAATTCGGGTGACCTTAAAAGGGCCCTGCAAGGAATTTTTTACTAGTTTTTAATTTGCACCGAACGTGAGCGCACTGAACGTAGTAACTTAATGAAACCTTTCTTTTCTCAAATTTCACTTTATCTTAAAAGTTATAGGCAAATCAAAATTACAAAAACAAGCAAAAAATAACATCCTTCATGACGTCCTTGGTTGCTTGAGTGGCCATGAACTAGAGGGGTAGTGAGCTCAGCAAGCGGTCACGGCTGCCGCACTCCATGTAGACGGCTCAAGAGGACGCCACTAAAGCATGTTCTGGCTAGGCTGTATGAAGTGGGCAGCTAGGGTGGCTTGCATTGCATTTGCTGCACGATTAAACGCTAATTCAGTATGACACTTCATTGGCCACAAACGACAGCAAACATAGGATAAAGATCAGTTCAGAACGGGAACCACTTCGCCCTGCCATACCGCTAAAAGGCCAAACCACAAGCAAAAGCTGCTTGCCGAAGGCCTTAGGAACGCTTGGAACCGGTTAGATCCTCCACTCCATACGACCGCAGCGCCGCCACGTTTATCTGGGACCTTTCTACACTCGCTTTTCATCGGTGCCTGATCCCACTACACCTCTCTAGTACGCGCAGTCTTTTTTACCACTTGGTGGCGGGTATGTCGACGGGTCATTTCTTGTTTCCGTACTTTCTAAACTGCATTTGTTTCTTTTCTGATCTAAAATAGTGAACAAAAACTACTTTTATAAATAATTGAAACGGTTCGCACCACTTATATTTTGTATTTCGACTAAAATGAAGCTTTTAGCGGCCCTGACCAGTAGTAAGCGCAGCACCAAAGACGTCACATATCACACGGTTTTGGCACCGTGGGTCGCCCCCGTAGGTAGAGGAGGTTTCCGCATCGCTCGGTTAAAATAGGACGCACTGATATTTAGTTACTCTCTCCGTGCCCGCTGGCTTGCCCGAACCCCAAGAGACGTTGAAACTGCAAGAAAGGTAGACGCTGAAATATGATTACTGGGCCCCTTTAAGTCACGTGGAGGATAGCCCCACCTACCCAAGCGTGTGGATCTCATTTAGAACGCGAGCTTACTAAACGTGACCTATGTTCGTACAACGAGGAAGCACTCACCTCTTCGGTGAACTCCTCAATGAGCCGCTCTCCGTCGTCCAGCACCAAGTGGCAGCAGCGCTTCAGGTTCACCACAAGGTGGTCATACTTGTGCATCACTCGCAGCAGGCAGAGAGGAGTCGCTATGAGCACGTCCACCCCGTTAACCAGCTGAACCTGTATCACAGCGCGTCGGAAGACAAACGTCTCCTTTGTTAAAGGTGGACACTGTCGCCGAGTCACAATCACCTTGATCATACGTATACAGTCAAGCCCAATTATGTCAAACCAGGTAGTTCAAAATATCATCTATTTCAAACACACAAAACACCCCCTTGAAAATCTTACATAAAAGTATAGGCACCATGTGCGTAGGTATCAAACTTCACCACCTGGGACACTTGATACATTGAACAGCGTGCCATGCCCCTGGTAAGGACGCTTTCTTCACACACTGCCATCGAGGCACGGTTTGCACGCGCCGAGGACAAAGGACTCTGGCCTCTCAGGTCGCGGGCAGCAAAAGGCACGAGGCAGAGTAGAAGAACAACATCTCGTCTCAACTCCTTAGCCCCCCAGATAAAAAAAAAAAGAATACTTTGTTTATTTCTGTTTACCTTTTTCTTTTCCCTTTTTTGCTTAGTGTTTTTGTCTTGACGTTGAGTTTGCTGTCTGATTTTACGTGTCCTTTTTGTTGTTGTTGCTCGCCGGACTTTTTTTTCTGCGGATGAAGAGATTTTCTTTTTACGCATCCCTTTCTTAGTTTTTTCTTTCTTTTTCTTTCATTCATTTCGTGTTCTGTTGTCCACGCTGTTAACCCATTCACCACCATGGACGAGCTGGGTTCTTCCGCACTGAATAAGACACACGTCCCTTCCCAAAGACCAAGCGGACAAATCGACGCGTTTAGTGTTGCGTGCCGTCAAAAGATGGCGCAAGGGATGTATTTATAGATCGAGAAGGAAACCGGTTTGACACTGGCAACAAGGGCTTTAAAACTTGTGGTGTCCACTTCTGAAAGCGGTCTCCCTCTTGTCAACTGTGCAACGAGAACGTGGGGACACAATAAAAATTTTATGACACATCTTCCGTTCGGACGACGAGGACATAAACCTTTCGTACGACAGTGCAGCGACAGTGAGACCCCCCAGCTGTTTGACTTTAGCTCCGACGACTCAGATCTGGTGAAGACATAGTGTTGGTATGTCGGCATTGGATGAGAATCAATGTGGAGAAGCCTCCCTCCCACCCCTCAGCGTTCTCACTTCAGTGCTGTGCCGGGCATGAACGTTGACGTAGCAGGCGATGCCAACAGTTTACACTACTATATTTTTATGTTTACGCTATGCATAAATGTTTATGCTGCTAAACTCCATATAAAAAAGATATCTGTATATTTGGATTGTTTTTTAGTTATTGAGGCAGGCAAAGGGTTAAAGTCGCAACGATGCGAGTGCGCAAGCGGCGGCACCTGCCTTGTTTGACCTTGAACCATGTTTTGGTATGGAAACATGTGTTCTTTTTTTTTTTTTTTTTTTCTCCTGTGCCTCTGCTATTTTGCCTATGTAGGAGGTTGAGGACCTTGTCAAGCTGTACTTTACAGCTTTTTTTCTCGACCTCCACCATCAGTGTTGATGGGAAATAAACTTACTTACTTACTTACTTCTTTGCCAAGTATGTTTTCACAAGGTTCTACTGTATCTAGCAGTTCTTGGATGCTCTATTTGGTAAGCTCCCGTTTCTCACGATCTTCGGTATTAGCAGAGACGCACGCAAATGTCAATTGGAGCTTACGTTGACATACTTTTGATTATTGAATTATCAATATATCAAACTATTTTACAATCTCCCTCAAATTCGATGTACCCTGGTTCGTCTGTAGTTACAATCGTTTTTTCTCAAAGAGCTAAAACGCATAGTCTGAGACAGCGCCCTGCTATATGTGGCTTGGAAGCACCGTACGTGCAAACAGAACCTTTAGAAGAGGAAAGACCTGACCACCACTCAGATTCTTTAAATGGTATTCAAGGGTTATGAAGAACCTCAACTGTGACAACGCTGGGCGTCTATTATCACGAACAAGAGGTGCATCAATTACGAAGCCAATGTGAACGATTCGCATGCCCCCATGCAGAACACACCCCGTAATTTCCGACTAGACCACATCTGAACACGACTTTTGACAGACTTCTTATTCGTAAATATCACGCCGGATTACATTAAGCGTCCAGCGCGGTGTAGCAGCGGCAACTCCGTGGGAGAAAAGGAGCGCGTATGCTGTGCAGGAAAGAGTCACGATACGGCACAAGCAAGGGCGTTAAGAAAACCAAGACCTCCTCCGTACGACATCCAGCATGCAGCCCAACAAACTTCAGGCTGACAAAGAGTGTCTCGAATAAAGCAAAAACTAAAACTGATCTGAAAAAAAAAAAAAAAAAATGAGTAAGGATGCAGGAGAGCTCCCCTTTTACGTTTTGACGTTTCTCTTCTACCCAGTCTCAGGTTAATTCAACTGAAAATGAGACTGTTTCATCTCTTTTAAACAGACAGTTCACCGTTCGTTAGATTCGGGCGACTAAAGCGCAGTGACGCCGAAGCACGGGTCGAATGGTCACCTCCTTGCCGGCTTCCGAGCCCCCCGCGTAGAGGACACCGCACTTTGGGATCTTGGAGTCTTGCGTGAGTAGCTTGAACTGATCGTAGATCCTCTGGGCCCCCTTCCAGGTCGACGAGAGCACCAGCACCAGAGGCTGAAACATGGCACAGACAACTGGCATCATATCTCCGGGGCGTCTTTAGCTCGCACAACAACCTACAAATCTTCTACGGTTTTCTGATCCTGACCCACATAACCTCCGGAGCCACCCTTCCCTACCATACCTACTTTATAAAGCTTATTATTATTATTATTATTATTGTTATACCATGGCACGAGTCATGAGACGTGGCGAGAGTTTGAAAGGGAAGCTAATGCAATGGGTTTTAAGATACTCAAAGTGAGGCTCAATAAGTTTAATAGAGTTGTTATCAATAAATGGTAGATCATGAAAAAAACTAGCTGAACAAAGATATTGTTTTATATGTATGTTTCGTGTTTTTGCACTTGTGTCTTTTTACAGAAAACTACCAAGTTGCAGAGTTATCAAATTTGGTAAATTTAGAGCTCCTATATTCCTGCATGCCTGGTACAAAAAACGTGAGCCATCGTGAAAAATTGACAAGACCAAATTTTTCTTTGTTTTGGAAAATAAAATCATTACCTTTTAACACTGTCTATTGAAAAAGAAATTCCAAAAAAGACAATTGACTCGGGCTCAAAGCATAAACACATCTGTGCAAATAATTTGATTGAAATATTGTTACGAATGACAATTGATGAGGCAGTAAAAACAAAAGAAACTAAACGCTTAATGTGGTGAACTTGTTCCAAAGCAAAAGCAGAACAGAATAATGGAAGGTAACAAGACATCGTTGAGGCGTCGAATGTCGGCATGAATGCAGGGTCGAGCGCTGGCAAAAGACAGACTCCATACGGTGCAGAGCGGCTTCTCTTGAGCTTTCCCTGGGAGCCTAGATTATTCTACCTTGTTCGTTCTGGAAGTATACGTTCCGAGCATGAACAAGCTACAAGGCGCTCCAACATTCTAGAACCTTCTACTTACATAAAGAAAGAAAAAGAAAATGACAAGCGTTCAAGCCCCGGCCATTTGTATGGCAGCCAAGCGCGCTTCCTAGTTGGCTAGCTGCGCATGCGGCAATATAGACAGCCATATTTGACTAATAAAAAACAAAATTTTATTTTTATTTGTTTTTTGCATATTATAAAATTTTATAAGGACGCCAATCAAAATGAAGAGACAAATGGCGAAAAACATGGGGTGGGCTATCTTTGGCAATGCAACAGCAAAACTTTATAAAACAAATCGTAGAGCCCTTCAACTTCACGTGAAGATGAAGGAACAGTGAAGCCGTAGTCTTTAGGACGTCTAGGACGACTTCAAGGACGAATTCTAGAACAGCCTCAAGGACGACCTCAAGGACGATGCCTGGAGGAAGACGTATACGATAACCTGAAGGATGACTTTGAGGATTACCTTGAAGAAGACGCATAGGACGACCTCTCAGACGACATCAAGGACGACTTCTAGGACGACCTCGAGGATGACGTCTAGGACAACCTCAAGGAAGACTTCTAGGACAATCTCTCAAACGAGGCCTAGAGGACAACGCCTAGGACAACCTCTCGGACAACCTCAAGGACGACTTCTAGGGCGATCTAGAGGATGATACCTACGGATGATAACAAGGGACCAGAACCTCACTATCTAATAATGCCAAGGAAGGCTACTCATGCTGGTTGCCCCCTCTTTATTTTTACTTATTCATACTTGCCACGACCAACGGGCAGTTTTCTGTCAACATCCGCGGACACATTTTTTCCCAGATCCTAGCGGATAACAGCTTCACTGTAGAAATAGTGATAAAACACCGGGGTATCCGCTACAGGCCATGTGAAGAAAGAACCAATACTGCTGATCAAGGACATGGCAAGTTCACATTTCACGATGCAATAAACACGCAGGAATTCACTACGGACTCCCGTGTCATGGTAAAAGATATTGTGGACGCAGTTGATTCGAATCACACGGTTCAGTCTAGCAACTTTGATCCTCACAGTAACTAATAATTTTTAATTAAATGAACGCCGAAAAACGTCTGCCGATTGTCTTTCAGTTTGGCAACTTTAATCATCATCATCATCATTTCAGTGCCTGGCATTTATGCCAAACTAATGGCAGCCTACTTGAGGCTGGTGAAGAAGGAAGCTGAAGCTCTGCTACCAGGTGGAGGATCTAGCAAGTTTGTCTCCTTCCTTTGTAGGGGTTGCAGCGACGTCAGAACGCCGAGCTCCGATGGGCTCCAATTGAAGGATGGTGGGTAGACCTCGAGGCAGCTTGCATTGAAGTTTACCCACTCTTCTTCGACTGGAGCCAATCGGAGCTCGGCGTTCTGACGTCGCTGCAACTCCTACAAAAGAAGCAGACAAACTTGCGCTCCACATACGTTTAAGACGTTGGTACGAGACGACACAAGAATCAGATACGACGGCTGCGCGAGTGTTCATTTAGGAGTGTGGCCCACTAAATTTCTTGCCACAAGTTTGGCCCCGAGGCCTTTAGATGGCGGGCACTTAATCGAGGTTTTTAAAGGGCGATAGCTCTCAAGTTTCAAGTAGTGCCCTTGCGATCGAAATCAAACATTTGCAGGTAGAGTTACGGTCGCGCGTCAGCGCACTCACTCACATTGCTCACGGATGCTAAGCTGGCACAATCACACTGGTCGATATAAACTTCCAAACGAAAACTAGAACAAAACAAAAACTAGCAATTTTCTCGCGTCACCATAATAATTTTTTTTTTTTTCCCTTTAGGATTTTTTTAGCGGACGTTGACAGTCACCGACAGACGCTCGCATGCGACTGTGACTCGTCCATGGCTCCGTCTTGCACCCCCTGGCCGAGAAAGATGGGCCTAGGGTCTCTGCTTTGCACCGGTCGGTTCTCATGTCCACACCGTCAAAACCGAAGCCAATCGAGGTAGAATTACGAGGTGATCAAAGAACCACTCCTCATCTGCCGTTGACGCGCTTAGTAAATGACGGCGACAGTCGAAAGACCGCTTCGCGACTGCCCTCGGTTTGTCGAAGGCGAAAGTGCCTTTTGAGCCACCAGATGACACTGAACTCCGAAAGGGGTCCACCGCGACGGCCCAGACGAAGCCGGAGGGTCACCCACCCCGCTGCTGACGGGCAGGTGGCGATAGTCCGACTCCGACGTGAGCCTCGAAACGAGGGGCAGCAGGTAGGAGAGGGTCTTGCCCGAGTGGGGGGAGCCGACGGCCACCACCGTGCGGCCGCTCAGCACGGCGGGCCAGGCCACGGACTGGATGCACGAGGGGCCCCGAAAGCCCAGGGAGCACAGCCGCTGCAAGAGACGCCGCACGCGGTGAGGGCGGGAGCGATTTACGACGGCGATTCCAGAGCTATCTGCACTCCGGCTGTAGATCTTATTTTAATCGTAACCTTTCGAAAGCCGAGCCCGTCGCGAATTATCATGTGGGCAAAGCCTCGGCTGATTTGCAAATGCTTCGTTGCATTATCTACCGTCACTCGTTGATCCAATAGAATCGGTTCGCTCGTGTGCTCAATGTCGTCGTCGGACGTGGACAAAGTCAGGCTCCTTCTTAATGACTGACACTTGTGCGTCCTTCCTCGAACGTCTGCCGTAATGTGCCGAGAGATGCCCCAACCCTGAAAGATGACCCACCCCATTTTGGGCACAATATTCTATTTTTTTCAAAATCACCGAAAGGTAGCCCACTTTTAGTAATTGCAGTGCCCTCGCCAACGGTGACCTCGGCAGAAATGGTGTTACTTAGTTACGGCGAAAGATAAGCGAACAGTCCTGATTGGGAAGGACGGTCGTTCTTGGTTCATTGCCCCTCCCTACGATTGCAAGTTTCGAAGGTCACTAAATATTGAACTAGAATTTTGTCTAATTTTTTTTTTTTTCGCACACCAAAAGTTAGTTTACTGCTCATTTCCACCTGATATGTTTTCGATTTTAGGTGGGCTACTCTCGGCATATTACGGTATATCCATTCAAACACACTTTCTTGCGACAGCACGCTTCCTTTATGCTGTCCACAAAAAGTTTCTGTAACTATTGGCATCAGACACACGCTCAGACCAAAAACAATGACTCCACCACTTGGGCAAATCACACGTGGAATGGCCATTGTTTTTCACACCTCAGTCACAACTCAGCTGACTTAACAGATTCAAACCTGCACAGCAGTGACCGGAGAGACAGCAACCTTGTACGAAAAATTCCGGTAAGACAGTGCGGCCAACAGGGCTAACACAAGTTTTGAGGTAACCGAAGTGTGGATAATTTTTTCATCGCCCTCGTATACGGGCGGCTCCTGGATCACAAGGATGTAAAATTAGAAACCGGTTCACAAAAACAGAAAAAAATGCATAGAGTGCAGGTAAGCTGGCGTACAGTAAAACCTCGTTATAACAAAGTTGAAGGAGTGGTGGTAATTATTTTGTTATAACCATCAGTTTGTTATAGCCAATGTCCATTTCTTCCCACTATTAGCAAGCAAGGGGAATTATGATTGCTTTGTTATATCCATTAGTTTGTTATATCCCATTTTGTTATAACGAGGTTTTAGTGTATATAGAAAGTGATGGTGAACCCCGAGACTGGGGAAAAACAGATCTAAAAAAGTAAGAGGAAAGAAAGAGGGGACAGAAAGCAACTGTGTTCTTCTTCAGTCTCGGGACTCACCATTACGCTCCATGAAACGTTCAGCTTTAAAAAAGTTTGCCCCGTTTCTGCAATGTCGTGGCAAAGAGAGTGGTAACACAAAACGGGTGCTGCTATGCGGCAAAGTTGCACAGATGAACTTGGTGCACATGTGGTCAACCAATGGCGCTGACGCTGTCGTGCGTATGCCATCCCTCAGAAAAGAAATGAGAAACCTGCCAAGGCTAGCGCTCTGTCGGGGGGACTTGACTTCAATCACCGCAAATGTGACTTGCAGTCAAACGCTCACCCGGCACTCATGTACAGTCATACCCCACACGCTGGCCTTCCAGCAAGTGACCTAGAAAGTCCGGCACTATGGTCTCGTTATTAGGACCTCCTGTTTACACACCCTCCAACCTGACGACCCCCAGCTTGAGTCTTCGGAAATGTAGACCAACTCATGCTCAAGAGGCAAAAACGGGTGCTGAAACGCTTTTCAATTTATTCACGTATCTCCTTCCGATCTGGCACAGTGATGCATTTCTTGATGCAGATCTTTAAATCTCCGACCAGATTTAAGATAGCTTTTCTAAAAACGACGACATGGCAAGGTAGGAATACCTAGTTAGGTCATTTCTTAAAGGGGCAATTGCTCGTTCAAAAAGCCTACTGCTGACTATACATATATGGCGATTTGGAAGGGTCAACCATACATCCTACAGCTAATGAAATCTTTATAAAAAGGTGCTATACAATACATACACATTGAAATCTCTTTCTCTCTGAATCATCAACCCGTAGAAAATTAGTCCAAGTTCATTTCGTAAAAATTATTTAGCCCACGACACACTCCGCAGTAGGCTCATTACACATTTCCTTTATGTTTCCCCTAGACTTGACTATCAAGGTAAAGCACACTTACGGCCCTGAGCGTGTCTTGGAACGGAATCTGGTCCAGGCTGGAGACCAGGCGGGGCAGGGCACTGCCATGGCACAGCGCCCGCACCGTGCGGCCGGCCACGAGCGAACTCCAGTGGGAAGGTTCCTGAGGAAGCGGGACACGCTGCTTTGTTCACTCGGAACACACCGCACACGGTTGACCCAAAGACTACGGTAAACTCCCGAGAGACGTCCCGTGCCCGAAAGGTACTAAACCCGCCCATTATTTTCGACTCGACTCAGTTTTCTTTTAAACACCGAAAGATAGTCCACTCTTAGTGACTGCGGTGTTTGGATCAACGATGACCTCAGCGTAAATTTGTATAGTTAGTTAGCTATGACAGGATATGAGCGAACATTACTCGTCTTTGCTTCGCCGCCCCTCGCCGCGATAACAAGTTTGACAGAGGCGCGTGATCTAAATATGGCATTTTTTCAACTTTTATTGATCGCCTACCGAAAGTTAGCCCCCTCCTTAATTTCATCCAATTTTTTCTCAATTTTAGGTGGGCTATTTCTTGGGATATTGCGGTAGGCAGATCCGAAGCCTGGAACTGGAAGTATTCGAGCGATACGCTACGCTCGTCTACGCACGCATAAATCAGTTTGTTGTCAATATTCTTTAAACCCTCGGCCGCTAGCGCGACCACAAAGCCCGACTGCGAGTCTGGCTCGCGTTTTGGTTTCAGAGGCTGTTCCGTCCACTCTCCAACAAAAGGCAGTGCTACCCCCATTGATCCGCACCCTTGAAGCTATTTTGTAGCTTCTTTTAAATTTTCACCAAGAAAAAGCACCATTGGCCCCCCCTCCCCTCCCCTCCCCTCCCTCCCTCCCTCCCTCCCTCCCTCCCTCCCTCCCTCCCTCCCTCCCTCCCTCCCTCCCTCCCTCCTCTCCTCTCCCTCTCCCTCTCCCCCCCCCCCCCCCCCCCCCCCCCCCCCCCAAAAAAATTAACATCTGCAAATGTGGGGAAAGGTGACATGGCCCTAACGTCGGAGGTCCGTCTTGGCCGATGAAGAAATACGGAAACTTTTATGGGTGCACCACCGTTTCCGATGACAAGTCGCACAACCTCTAGGATTACTCTGAAACTTTATTTGATATTGACAATTTGCACGAAAATGAAAGGAAACGTTCACTTGGCCTCCAGATGCTTGTTGCTCTCCAGCTTCCCGAAGGTCTCCAAAAGTACCATACACCAACTGCACACCTCCGATGCGCACGAATTAATAGGGGGAGTGACAAACGACATCCAAAGTCTTAGTGAATGTTCCTTTTATTGTCCGTGAGAATTGAAAATTTTAAATGAAGATTTACGGTACGTTTTTAAAACAAAAGGGTTAGTCCTCTCTGGAGAATAGACGGTTAGTGAGCCGTACCATCGCATCAGTAATAGTGGTTAGTGAGACGGTTAGTGGATCATATCCTCGCATCAGTAATTACTCTAATTATTAAACTCCTTTGCTCCTCCGGTCAGCACAAGTGACTGAAGTGGCATTTAACTCTTTCCTTAATGCAGGAAAAAAATTGCTACAGAGTGGTCTCGGTAAACAAATTGTTGAGCAGCAAATTTTGCTACTAAGAGTACCAAAGCATATCAAAACATAGCTAAAGAAATTATCTTTTTAAAATAGGAAATGGAATACAAATACCTTACTATGCAGCACGAGAAAAACAAAAGTTTTGTCATATTTTGTGTAACTAGCACAGAAGTTCTTACTTAAGTTCAATGTTCCTTGCAAAGCATAAAGAGTAAAAAAAATATGCATGTTCTACTTTACTCTTCTAGAAACAAATCCTGCAAGTGTGAATAGCCCCCATGCAAAACTTCTTGTTCTGCAGAAAAAAAATTAAGGTCGGCACTGGGCTACCTTTTTTTTTAATAAAACTCAATTCATTTTGCTGCTGAAGGCATAAAATTGAGCCCATTTGAGGTTGACAACCTGCAGGTGAAAAATAATGTGTTCAAAACACGCCCATTAGGTCCACAGACACTCAGAGGCAATAAATGCCCTCGGTGCCATGGGCGTCCCCAGAACTTTTTTTTAAAGGGGATGGGCGTACGGATTTTTGTTTTACATGGAAGCAACCCTGGAATTATAGGGCAAAAGCTTCGCTGTTGCAAGCCACGATTGGTCAAGTGGGACCTACAATGCTTTAGTAGGATCGGAGTCCTTTGGACGTATCATTAATCTGTAGTCTTGTGCGAATAGTGGATTTTGAGTTTGAAGCGAATTCGAAGAGAATAGTGGTTTTGTCCGAATATTTTCGAATCGAATAGTTTTTCCACGCCTTTCACTACCATAACATAATGCTTAGACAAAACCCCAGCGAAACTTGTGAAGGTAGTTCCACCTGTTCATTTATAAGCCAAGTTTAATCTATTTATATTTATGAACTGTGACCTCAGAAGGTCTGATGTCTTGGGATGGTAAGTAAACAACAAGTATGACATAAAATCAATCCAATGGAAATGGCCAACTATACCCAATTGAGTGAATTTACACATCTTAAATATTCTTTCTTTAATTTCGAGTTAAAAAAGAATGACTCCCGCATGATGAACGCAGGTTGTAAGGGCATCTCTGCCCAACACATACTCTTGCAAAACAGTCAGTTTAATTTTAAAACTTTTACTACAATGTAGATACTGTAAAACCCTTAATGTTCGCAAGCCCTTAATTTTTGCGAATATCGTGAATTGAAAAATCCATGAAACTTAAAGGCATGCCAAAATTTCGCTCTTCAAGAATTTCAATGCAGGTGTCTGGAATTCGCGATCTTTAGTGGCTGCGATATGTCCCCTGTGACAGATTCGCGAAAAATAGGGGCCCCGAAAATAAAGGGTTTTACAGTATACACATTCACAAAGTTTCCATTTATTTTCATATACAGCCGGCACGCATGCACCATCCCGCTTTGAATGTATGGTTTTCATCCAAGCACGCAACTGCTCATATTCATACTTTTCCGAATGTTTATCGCGGCGGGTTACTCCGTTGAGTGCGCTTCTTACCGAGCACCGATGCAATGCGGAGAAGCACCACCCGCGGAGCTTGCTTCCGCGGGTCTTGCTTCCCCGCAGTGCACCGGTGCTCGGTAAGAAGCGCACTCAACGGGGCTAACCCACCGCAATCAACACTTCGAAAAAGGCAAATAGTGAAGTTCTTCTTGAAGCGAATATCGAATACAGTAAACCCCCGTTAACTCGAACACGGATATCTCGAAAGATCGCTTAAGTTGAAACTTTTGTGGGTTGAGAAATGAATCCCCATTGGCACCATGTATTTTGACATCGCTTATCTCGAAAAGTTTCCGGGACGGGCATCGGATGTCTCAAAACTTCGCCTGCAAAAATTAAAAAAAAAAAAAAAAAAAAATTCCTGAAAGGACACTGAGGCCGAAGGAGAAAGTTTATCTCCATCGCGGACGACGAAGCGACCGCGACCTAAAAATAACGCTAACAAAGGGAGAGAGAGAGAGAGAGGGGGTCTTCCGAGAAAAATAAACAAAAGAAGGGAGAAATATAAACAAAAGAGGGAGCGCTGGAGAAAAATAAACAAAAGGAAGCGCCGCGATCGCGTTCCGGGTGCACAGAACGCGACGAGCGTTCAAGGACGTTTGTTTTCTTGCTTTTTGCTTTCTCCCCATCTCCCGGGACTTTTCTTTCTTTCTTTTTCTCTACGCTTGTGCTGGCTTGTGGCGTTCTATCGGCTCTCCCGATCTCGTGGTCGCCGTAGTCGCCACGCCGTTGTCGCGTCGCCTTCTTTCAACCCCGTCCACATGGATGACGGCGGCGCTCCTTGAAGAATATGTGCGTGCGCTGGACCGCTGGACGCTTGTTTCTAATTCATTTTTTCTCGTTTTAGTAAGTGATTTCTTGCTTAAAACGAAGCTGTGATTGGTACGATTTTCGGAAGCGCTAGATTTTCGAAATCCGCGGTCGGTACTTCGGAAATTTCGGTACTCCGCTTATCTCGAAATTTCGCTTATCTCGAAATTTTTCCCGGTTTTTATGACTTCGAGTTAACGGGGGTTTACTGTAATGTATTATTCGGAACTACTGTTCAAAATTTCGAATATTCGCACAACCCTATTAATCTGCATTCATCAACGTAAGAAGTCGGAAGATGCTTAAACTTTGCTTTAAAAACGGAACACGATAGCGTTATCCAATCCTTGGCCCACTTGTGGCGCATTGCCTCTGCATGCCTAGCATTCTTCTCTGCCTTCTCATCTTCAGTCTTATGTGGTTGACCCCGTCGCCGAGCAGGAGCAGACGTAGATGCGGCATCCGCACTCGTAGCAGATGACGACTCAGAAGAGTGCCCCGCACTGGTAGACGACACCGCATCCATTGCACACGTGTTCTCTCCCAGTGGCCCCGCAGCGGGAAACGCATTCTCCACAGACAAACAATTACGGCAGGACTGCAGCGCCACTGGGCGGACTTGGCGACGGTCGGAAACTTTCTGCTTCTCCGTGACGCACAGAAACTGTACACTCCTCCAGACAGATGAGCCTAGGTCATGTGGCTACGACGTCACAACCCTAGTGACAAATCAGGATTTTTTGCGCCACGCTGGCTTTTCTAGAATGCTACCGAGGCCGGCGTGACTTTTCTAGCGCACCACGAGCTCCTGAACGCTATCGCGTTAAGAAGAGTAATGCCAGACTCTCAATTTTGATGGTGTTCATTTTATGAACACGATAGCATTAAAGGACAACTCCGCTCAATTCCGAAGATTTCAGGATAATGAGCGATTTTGAATTAAAAAGCCCTAGTAAAAGACACTACGTCGTTTGCTTCGCGAAAAATGTGATATATATGTTTAAATCTAATTTTAAACACGAGCGGAAATCGAAACCGAAACTTCGGCTCCGTCCGGCAACATTGGCCTCGGGCCGCCAAGTACATGGCCATCACGTGGTACGAGATGTCACGTGATCCTCGGCCCAACAACGGGCAGGATGGGAGCGGGCGTGCGGCAGGCGCGAGGTTCGTCTGCACCGCACTCTTTGCCACATTTTGGTCTCTACGGCATTCGACGACGTCTGCACAACTGCGGCATAAGTCTGCGACTCTGCGCACGTGGTGTCCATAGTGTGGCGAAACTCCGAGAGGCAATAATCACAAACGGTGAGACGACGATGGTGGTTGTGACGCGGAAGACGGCGGTAACGGCGGGACCACGGCGGGCGGTTGGTCTGCTCCCAAGAAGCGCGCTGCGCAGGCGCGTACGCCAATCACGTGGACACCGCTGAGCGCCGAGAGGCAACGTTGCTGACGTCATGCGCTACGCTCGATCGGAGAAGTAAAAACAAGCAAAAAAGGGCCATGATGATGACGTTTAGCTCAATGTTGGCTCCGCCCATGCCGTAGCCTTGACTGCGCTGTTGGTTGCGCCTGAATTCACCCGCACGAGTCAGGCGATTTCGGCAACTTGGCGAGTTGCAAAGTTTGCCGGACCGTTTAAGAAACATTTAAACAGAACTGCGTCGTAATATTTGACGTGTGGTCTTCCGAGGCGATACTGAAGAGGACTGCATTGTTTTTTCAAAACCAAAAATGAAGCGGAGTTGCCCTTTAAGCTTTTGCTGTGCTTGTTACACATACTGTGAAGCTTGTCGTTCACATTCGATAATCCTAGTCATGCCGTCTCAAGTAGTCGTGCCACCTACGCAAAAGCGTGGGCGTGAAGTAGAATGCATTTTTTTATCCCCAGGAAAGCATTTGATGCCACCTAGGATTGACAAAACGAGGCAGTAAGAAAGAGACGGAGAAAAGGTACTCACAAAGACGGTTTTAAAGTCGATCTCCGCTTCAAACTGCGTGTAAGGCTCCAGGTCAGACGGTACGTCGGAGAAGCTCTGCAGGTCCCGACACCTGGTGGCAATCCCGAGATCCAGAGCACTTTTCATCGTGTTCTCACGAGACAATGCATAGCCAATCCAGCAATTGTACAATAAAACGAAGAAGCACGACTACCCTGGATTGTTGAAGCTGTCTACAAAATTACAATAGTGCAAATATGCCTTCGCATGCATTCATTAGATAACACTGCAGAAATCAGCAGTACAGTTGTGCAAGAAAGTGCTTTTGCTGCTGCTACTTATTCAGCATTTTACTGCTTGACACGATTGTGCTGCATTACATACTGCAGAGGAGCGCAAAAATTCCGGTTTCATCACTGCTTGCATTTTCCACTCATAAATGTGCTATATTAGAACAGTCAAATAATGGCATTCATAATTAAAAAACAATAAACATTTTTTTTTTTTTGCTGTGTAGCCAATTATACGACTTCAGAGTAAGTTTAGTGTAGTTACAACACAATATTACTCTTCTATGCTATGGTAAGAGAAAGCTAAGAGCAAATTTTTATTTGTGCTATTCAGCCTGAGCTAAAACACCAACAGTATTTTATTATCATGAAAGTGGGACCAACAAGACAGACATATAAAAGGGAAAAAAAAGTATAAAATGATGTTGCCATATACCTAAGTACATACAAAAAAAAAAAAAAACAAGTGGCCTCACCATAAGAAATGCAATGGACAATAAAGGTTAAAAATCAGTTTTATTACAAGAATGTCAGCAGGCTGCATCTTAACGACTCAATATCTCTTTTGCATTGCTAGGCCCATTCCTTGAAACGCCTGTAGAGTTTTCTGTGCATTGCAAGTTCACTGGTGAGAGTGCAATTCGAAGTTTTCCCATGTACATGACATAGCTCATTACACGTCCCACAGTCAGAGTGTTAGTTGTTAATGGGCACAGAAATAATGGGATTATGATACCGATGGCAATCGAACCGAAACAGGAGCTGGCTTAGGACAAACCCTGTTCTCTGCTCAGAACTCCAGAAAGAAGCTGGCAAAGTGCAAAAAAGGGCTTGGTTCATCCTAGATTATGAGAAGCCTGTTTGTAGCACACTTCAACGTTTTGCCAAATAACAGCAACCAGTTACAAGCAGGTTTTCCAAGTGCAAATAATAAGGCGACAATCAGCTTGCTATTTTCAAAATATTTATTCCGATACGAAACTACCCTTGCACTCCTCACATTTTAATCCCAATCCAATATTGTGGCTGCAGTTAAAGTACTATGCATTGGTGTACAGTCGTCAAGATATGTTCTACTCTACTCTTACCAACCCCATGGGAACCGTGAATAAAAACAAGCGGAGGTTTATACTTTTGGCACATCACAGGGGCCAACATTTCATCATGTTTTAGGAGTCTTTTCAGTGGTGCGAAAATGAACTGACATTGAAACTAACGGTATGGACATATATTTCATCGAAAGACGGATGCCATTCTCAGATTGAGGGTAAAACATTAACTGAAGGTAAAAGACTAGATCCTGAAAAATTTTGAAAAAATTCTGGGTGAGAACAGCCAGAAAGTTAACACAAACCCATAAATAATGAAAACATGTAATTACATACCAAAAGTAAGCTCCTTTAGGTGACCACTCTGGGCCTACAGACCCGAAGAACACAACAACAATTACTCCCCCTCCCCCCCCCCCTTTTAATGAACGCTAGAATCTATTCTAGCGCTCATCCTCGGTGAACACTCTGAAGACGGAATTGTATCCAAGTGCCTCCTAAAAAGCAATCCTAGACTCTACAGATGTTTACATCTATGGGAAGGGTGTAGGTGTTATGAATTTGCAGCAACTTGTTGGACAACGCTGGAACACAGCTACGTCAACCAAACAGGCAAGATCGGCTCGAAAGACATGCATGAAAGCATTTCATGCCCACGCTGAGCCTCAGAACAATGCATTCCTGTCGAGATGGACATTCAGAGCCAAGCTGGATATCGAGTGCACTCTCCCTGCAGACACTGCACAATGATTTCGCCAAACACTAAGGTCCATGAAAGTGAAAACATTCCCCTGCTCTACGCGGAGCAACTGTCAGAGAAAACAAAAATGAACCTCCTTAGTTGGTAAAAAAAAACAGCTTACTAACCAACCCAAAGTCTGTCCAACGATCGCAGAAGCCGCAAACAAATGAAAAACCTCAGATGAAACTAGATCTTACACTTACAGGTGCCACACAAATCCCAGTTGCAACAACGGACGACACGATTCGCCCAAACCATTTCAAACCCCACCGAATTAAGCAGTCTCTAGCAGTCAAGCGACTCAATCAATTTCCTTGACGACACGGTTCGCCTGGATTAACTGAGCTTCGAGCAAATTGAACGGTCACTGGCACTAGCAGTCGACCTGGTCTACTTCCTCCACTTGGCCTCCAATCCAAACGTGCGTACTAACTCCCAGACACCCTCACCAGACAAAGCAGTTGCCCCTGCCACTCGTGATGATGGCAGATGGCACGATTCGCTCTAATTATTTCGGCTCCAAACGAATCAAGCTGTCACTAACAGTCGAGCGACACAATCGGTTTCCTCCCCCTCGCCTCCAACCCAAATATCGGGGAACGACGTCGCGACAAAGACAAACTTGACGAAGCACATTTCTGAGCAAAAGCACCGACGGCTGGCAAATGCAGCAGAGGTGGAGGAGACGGCTACCTGACGTCCTCGGCCCCCCGCCGGGCGTTGAGTGCGATCAAGTCCTGGTGGTGGTCTCCCCGAGCCGAGAACTTCAGGGACCACTTGCTCTCTTCCTCCGTCGGGTCCAAGTCTTCTTCGTCGGACACGTACTGCTTCATGAAGTCACTGTAGTCCAGCGGGGCAAGGTTGTCTTCGGCACGATTGCTGGGCGGTTCCCCAGAACCGGGAGGCTGCAACGACATTGTTTCCACACCTTGTCTCGTTGAAATGTTTTAAAGAACACAGACAACCCTGCATCTTCCGACAAAGGGGCACCCCCGATAGAAGGAAAGCACCTTTAGCGTAAAATGAATTTCTTGATACGCGTGTGGCCAACCAGACCGTTTCAAAAAAATGTTTTTTTCTTCTTTTCAGGGGCCCTTTAAGTTACTGGTAAATTACTTTCGCCTTTCTTCGAAAGAAGGCCGACGGTGACCTAGGTACAGCTCTGGAGGCATCGCTCTTTTGTCCATGGTGATATATCTTTCACCCCCAAGTTAGCACAAAGAAGCTTGTTCCTACTCCTTCCTACTGGAATTTTTTTTGTTTTCCGTAACAATTTGTAATTTGTGAGTGTTTTGGAAGTAACGAGTTACTTTTAATAGTTTTCAGTACTCTACTCCGATACTTTTCAAATTTGCGTACTTAGTACTCTACTCAACTACTTTTTAGCCTGGTATTGTACAAGTCTGCTTTACACCCTGGTTGAAAACTCGGGTTAGATGACCCTTCAAGGGTCATCTACCCGAGTTTAGGCGAGTCCGCCTAAAATGACCCTTCAAGGGTCATTTTAGGGCAGACTTTGAGATTGTCTTTTTATGGTGCAAACCGCGTCGTTGAGATAATGCAACGCCAACGCTCGACACTCGGGGTTTGCCAAACCACCTCGGACAGGCAGGCAGGCTGAAAAAGCGACCAGCCACCCTCTCCTCCTCCACCACTGGGCTTGCCGTGAAGGGGGGGGGGGGGAGGGGGGGAAGAGGCAGCTGAAGCCTCCTTGCTGGGCCCGTGATAAAACGTCGCTTGACCGCCTGCGTGCCTGACCGCCTGTGTGAGGTTTATGGCGAGGGTGACTCGGCGCCTGATACGTGGTGGGGATCCAACGTGAGGTCCTGGCCGAGCGTTCTGTTTCATAGACTGGGTCGGCACTAAAGATGTGTAACCTTTGCATCCCAAAAAATTTAAGATTATAATCACACGTAACCTTTCCCGCCCTTAAAAATGTGAGAGAACACCACAACACGCCCCTTGTTCTGAGATATCCAAGATAAAATGGGCGTGTCAAGGTATTTCGTTGCGTTTTCAAGAAGCGAAGAAGGTCTGAGCGTGACTGTAATTTTGAGCTTTATAAGATGCTTAGGATGCGGAGATTGACTTTGTGCCATAAAAAGACGATCTTCAAACCTACCTTAGAGCCCGTTCAAGCATAGGGCAGTTCCACGAAATGCCGTTTCATTCCTGGTAAGCCAGCGATCTGCCATGTTGATGAATAGCGTATGCCCCTTTCCCCGTTAGCTTGTTTGCAAACACACAATTACTGGTGTCTTTTTCGGTGCTGGTGAAATGCACGAACTTGGCAAGCGATTCTATCGACGACAGAGCTCAGTAAGTGCAACCAGGGATGTACTTGGGCTGCATAAACCCACGCCTACCCTGCTTTTTTTTTTTCTCCCTTTCCCAGTCATCAAGGCCTTTTTGGCCACCGACGTGTCGACTTCTCGGTCGCCGACCCAGTTTTAATAAGCCTGAATACAGACCACTATGCATAAAAATCGAGTACCAGCGGATGCTCCTTTCTGTCCCTGACTACTGCGGCTTGCACAGTTGAACATATTGCAAGAGCGACCTGGAAAGCACTGCTTCTGCGCACAGAGAGGCATAGGGAAAAAGTTCATGAACATGGCATTTGGGGAGAGTTTGAACCAGGAGTGCGTAACATGACACCACCCTATAGTGCAAAAAAAGCCTAAAGGCCCGTTCACACTCTTGCGACCTCTTAGAACTGGGTGCCTTGAGACCTCTTACAAGGGGACACACTGGCACCATCTATTGGGTGGCAGTGCAAACTTGGCGGTCCGGCATATTTACTATTTCTCTTGCGCATTATCCTTTCTTTCTTGGCTCGAAAAACCTTTGTCAACATTATAAACGAGCCTTTCTTATAGGTATCATGCACATTTGACCTTGGAAATCCCTCAAAACCTTCGCTCTTGTGAAATGCAGTTCCAGGGTCACCGCATAGATGGTGCCAAAATGCCAGTGTGTTCCCTCACCCTAAGAAATTTTAAGAGGTTTCAACAGGTCTCGTCTCTCTCGTGTGAACGGGCTGAACGGGCAAGAGTGTGAACGGGCTTTAAAACATTTTAGCGAAAGTTGAATGGCCGATTGACATACTTCAAGATCAATGCGCTTTCTTTACATCCGCTTTTTCAAACAAATATTTAACGTATTCCGAAATCCTCAAGATGCACAAAATGAGATGCGAAGCACCTCCAAAACTATTGCGCGAGGTTGAAAAATAGAGCTACAAAAAGTTTGTCACTTCGATTCTGTGTGTGTATGCATAACAACTACAAATTTCAGGGAAAAAAAACTTCTTAATTCTCCCTAATTTCACTCAACACAAATCTGCAAAAACCTAGGAGCATGCTTGCAAAAGTACACCAAACAGGTCAGCGAAGGTTGCACTACATAAAACGGGACACGTGAAATGTAAACAAAAATAATATAAAATAAAAAATTTCAATTTTTAGTTGTGCTTGAAAAAAATGAGCATACCACACGTTCGCTGGGAGCCTTGAGACTCAGCTGGCACCAACATGACCCCAAATAACCAGTCACCAAGCCACATCCCACCGTGTCGTTTCTATCAAGGTAGCCTTCGTGTAAAAAAGGAGAGAGATTTCTTAAAAATCCCACGCGACTACCTGCTAGCGGTTGGGACTTGTGTCCCCAGTGATTGAACACGAGTACCAGCCGAATGCTGATGCAGCGCCTGTGCGATGTTTTCCTGTTAGGAGTCTGTTACAGGGAGTGGCTAGGAGCAAGCCATATTAGACATTCCGCATTAAAAACATTAGAGTGTCCCAACGGACCGAATACCCAACATCCTCCGCAGCTCACCTGAGGTGGTTTTTCCAGGGAAGGAGGGGACGACGCAGAGCCTTCCTCGCTGCAGTTCGACCTCGTCGACTCGCAGGCCCTGTGCACCGACCCCGAGGATGCCTTGGCATACTGCAGAAGGTTCCTGAGCCTCTCGGCACGAGACGGCGACGAATCGCTGGGAGCCGGCTGGGAACTTGTGGGAGCTGGCTGGGAACTTGTGGCCTCCGGCGCCGGATTTTCCCATTTCGCTTGTTGACCCTTCGGACTTTGGAGGACGGTCGTAGCTGGTCGGACAGTTCCTTCTGGCACAGCTGGCGGCGATGCAGAGTCGCTTCCACTGCCGGAAGCAAGCGGCGTGGAGCGCCTAGCCAGCAGGTCCTTCAATTTACTCAATCTGGCTCCCCTTTCTGTAGACGTTTCTGCCAAAACCGGAGAGGGTGACAAACGGCTCACAATCGGAGCGTTCCATGATGCGTCTTCTTTGGAAGGAGTCTTCGCTGGTTCTTCGTGAATGTCTTCAAACTGTGACGGCGATGAACTCTTCGATACAGGTCCGGGACTCCTAGTCGTGGGGTGCAGGGGCAGCCTCAGGCCACGCCCCAAACAAAAGACCATTGGTGCAGCCGTTCCGGAAGAGGCGCAACTCCTACCGGGGTTGAGCACCTTCCCCGTACCGAGTTCGGCTTGCGGGAGATTCGGCGTCACGGACACAGCAGACGTGCCTTTGCCTAGTACGCTGCTCATTTCCGCAAGCACGGCGCCGTCTTCAGGTGCTGGAGCGACTGCCTTTGCGTCTTCGAGGTCTGCCTTGGAACTTCTCGGCACATACTTCGGCTCGCCGCCCTTCGTCCCGGCGCCCCGCCCAAGACGAAGTATCTCGGAGAGGGCGGCCGAAGGGGAGGTCCGCATGCGGGCCCGAACTCCGACGTCCAAGCTTGTTGCATCGTCTCCCAACTGACTCTTCGTGCTGGCGTCGGAATCCGACGCAACACGGTCGGCAGCACTGAACAGCGCAGAAATTCGGGTGCCGAGATTCGGGGGAGGCAGGGAATGGCTGCTGGATCCCGAATCAGTCCGAGGACGGCTCGACAACGTCTGCGCGACCGGACAGCTGGATGAGGCAGCGTTCGGACCAATTGGACTGCCAACGTCGGGACTAGGTGGGCTGCCGATATTGGGATCAAGTCGGCTGCCACTGTCGGAACCAAGTTGGCTCCCGACGTCGGGGCGGTGTTGGATGCCAGTGTCGGGACCAAGACGGCTTCCGGTGTCAAAACCGTGTTGGCTGCCGATATCGAAATGTAGCAATGAGGCACCGCCATTGCCGCAATCGGCCCGAAGACGTGGTGAGGCAGTCAGAGCAACTGAAGGTCCGGCACCGAGAAAAGGTAGCCCGTCGGACTGCCTGTTCTTGAGGAGGGCGGCAATGCCGCGGCCGAGGCCCTGGACGGACGGCACCACAGTTGACGTGTCGGAGAATAAAGTCTCGCTTGAGAGGGAGTGACACAGAGAGGGCGCGGGAGTGGGCGACATGGCAGGAGACAATTTCACGTCGGCATTCGCAGAGTTTTCACCATGTAAACTCTCCAGAAGGCCCCCCGTGGACACAGTGGGGGCGTCGTCCAACAGTTCCCTGATGTCGCACCTCAGGGCGCGCTCCTGTTCCCTGCGTGCCCAACCCTGTGGCGAGACCTTGGTGCTCAGCGACCCGGAATTGGGGGAGAGTCCCTCCTCATCCGCGCCAGATGCCCTGCTCTTCTCGGGGCTATCGTGCTCCTCTGGTTCCATTAAGAGCTCTGGGAAAAGAAGCAAGGACTTCTTAGGCCCACCTCAGACGAGGCAATTTTCCCCAGCGTCTTGACATCGCAACTCCAGGAACACGGTCCTTCCGCTTGCAGCAACTGTCAAGGCTCGGACTGCCAAGTTTTGTTCTTGTTGTTATTAAAAACTTAATTTTCTCGCGCTATTTAGATGCAAAGTTACCTATTAATAATGTGGTTTTGTAGGTAAATGACATGGGGAATACAATCTGATCTCTCTGAAACCATTTAGCTGCAAAAACGGTCTATTTAAAATGATAACACATTGAATCCCGTGGTCAGTTATCATCAACATCACCAGGAGAGGTTACGTAAAAATACTGTGTCTCTGACTAACTCCCTGCCACCTCAAACGTCTCGGAGTTGCTAAAGTCTATTGTCAGTTTTGAGCCCTATTCGAACCCAGCAAGTCAGGTTGCTGCGCAATGATCTAGGAAACAACTCGCCACCAAAGCCCAAAATTAGTGGGAAAATTGCTCCGTCCGAAAAGGGCCTTATTAAGGGACGCAGTTTTCTAACTGTAACGAGACAGAGGTTACCAGACTTTTCGACCTAGAGAAACACCCCTCTGCCTTTTAATGACAGTCTAAAAACTCCTGCACCCCAGTCAGCATTGTTGCAACAGAGCAGCAAATCCCAAGGACTCTCTTACATTAGTGCACACACAATGAAGTGTCTGGTTCGTACTTGTGCATCAATACTTCAACTAAGAAAAGCTTGAAATAGTGCCCGAACTTGGAACACACTTTACTTGGGAGCAGGTAAAATCGAGCAACCTTAGCTGCATGAAGAAGCCAGTCAGAGAAACCATGCAAAAAGGTACAAACTACATCCAGTTGGTAGCACCTTTTTAGAAACAAAAAAGAGCACTAGACATGGAAACTAGGGATAGGGCAAATCATCGAAGATTTGGATTCGGACAGTTTCGGAAGTTTCTAAACTTCTCGGGACAAATATTTTGAAGATTCAGTGTTTCGGCAGATTCGGCGTTCGGCGGTCAAGAGTCGAAGCCGATCCGCCAAACTCAGTCGAAGCATTTTAATATTTACGACATTACTGAAAGTAAGGAACAATTTCCCAAAGATTACCTTTTTAAATCAGATATTTGTCATTTATTTATACTGAAGCTAGTGGAAGCAACCGTGATCGGAGTAGCTTTGCAGATGAAAGTGGCACTGGTTTAATTTCAGATAAAAATGACAGCACTTTGGTTTAGCTTTGATTCTGTACACTTGTCAATTAAGTTTCCTAAACTTCGGTAGGTCACTTTTTACATATTAAGAAGACACTCTTACTTCTATACATTTATTCAGGTAATATCTATGATCAGGTTAAAGCTTATATACTTATAATGCAAATGAGGATTCTCTCTCCGCTGCCTGTGTCAAAGAATTGCGTGCCTTCATCATTCAATGGCAAAACCGAGACTAGGAGCCTTTTATTATTTATGTTAGAAAACAAGACAGGGTTGTCCAAGGCAATTTTATTGTTGCCAAATGCAAAACTCAGTTTCTTCAATAATAACTATAATACCTTTATTTTAGGGGTGTGCGAATATTGAAATTTTCAAATACGAATCGAATACGAATAAGACAAAAAACGGGGTTCGAATATCGAATCGAGTATCGAATATCTGTCTAGTAATAAAAGATTGCAAAACAAGAGGTAAGAGCAGGCTTTATTGCCTTTGTAAAATAAATCAATGCAACTGCATAATACTGGGCTGCAGCAGATACTTCTAGTAATGCACTCATTACAAATTATCGCATAAGAAAATTAACTGCTCAACGTGTTCAGAAAGGAAGCGCTTCCTACGCGCCGTGACAACATTTTCGCCAGTAGAAAGACCCTTTTCACTCGAGAAACCTGCGAAATTTAACTAAGTTCGTAGAAGTTCCACTTATGGACAGTGTTGCCCGGCTGCTACAAGAATATTTCGAATTTTGGAAAAAAAAATAATTTAAAAAGTACTTTATTTTATATTTCATAAAATGGTTACCAATGTTTATACCATATAAAAGCGAAAATATGAGCTTTTAACGCTTTCATTAGTTATTAATGTGAACCAGTGATGCCAATAAACGTAACAAATATAGTTTATCGCGCTTGCCTCCCACGCGAAGGGCTAGGGTTCGATTCCTGGCCGTGGCTACACATTTTGTTGACACTGTAATGTGATGTTCTGGTGAATTCGAGAACCGTCTAGCTGATTCGGGTTTAGAATGTTCTACACGTCGAACCTTCTACGTCGAACGCTCCAGAAAGCCAACGCGTGTACAAAAGCGGCTCCGCGTGGCAAGCCGGAGTCAGTTTCGCCCCAGCGTTCGACTGTGCTGGTACGCCGGCTTCGACGCCCGCGACGCTGTTATTACCTTTGTACCCTTTTATTTTTGGCACAAGTTCGCCACATTAAACGTTTATTTCCTGTTTTTTTTGGTCACCATCCGTGACAATATGGTGAATTTCGCTCATCATTTGAGTTCGAAGCTAAAACTTCATTTTGATTATGTCTCTAAAGTTGTGCCACAAAGGGCTTTCAGGAGAAATATTGCAGATAGTATATACTGTTTTTATTTTTTAAAGTAAAAGAAGTCTAGAATTTTAAAGTGTAATTATAAATTTCTGTGTTTTGTAAAAATAAGACAATAACATTTAAATCTTGTTGACAATATAGTCTGGCAATGTTCTGAATCTATCTGAATTGCTACGAGATTCAGTCAATTATCCCAACCATTCCGAATCTCGGTTTGGGAAAATGTTTACCCCATAACTAACAGAAAGAAAGGACAAAAGCACTGCGTGTCTCTTTAAAATATCCCAAAGGCAAACTAAATGCATAGCATTTATACATCACCTGTGACATCCCAGTGTGACGCGACGGGTTGCGACATTATGACATCAGGTGACCCCATAATGTATGTCACAGATGATCTATAAATACTACGCATTTAGAACGCCTTTGGGATACACCAAGGAGACGGGCAGTTGACGTTATCAGCGTGATATTCCCATCGAGGCTTACATGACACGCGACGCCAACACGAAAGCGGCAGGAGCTGGCACTATAAATCCTATGCAGGTACAAAGGATCTGTACCCAGCGCTGAAATGAAAGCTTGAGACGGTCCTCTAGGAGGCTGGTCAAGCAGAAAAGGCAGGCAGGAAGGGGGGGGGGGGGAAGGGGGGGGGGGGGAAACATACCCAGGTTAGGAGTGAGCGTGTCCAAGACGGCGTACTTCTGCAGCACCAGGTCGTCCGCAATCGACGTGAACGTGTTCCCGCACCGCACGAGCAGCTTTCCAAAGAGGCCCCCCGAGCGGGTCTTCCCAAACACCTGGACGTGGGCTGCTCCGGCCCCTGCAGAAATCAATGCGGGTGAGGCTCATGCGCCGACCCCTCGCCCACTCGGCCGCAAGCGTCACTCGTACTACGACTATCTGGAATGCGTCTCCAACTGAAGTGTTTACGGCATCCTAAACACTGGTTCCTCAATTTCCACCCCACGACGTCGCAGGAATATTGTCTCTATTGAAGCATTGAGGCCTCTATTGAAGCATTGAGGCATCAATCTTCAATGAGACATCAAGCTTCACTGTGGGCCAGAACACCAACCCCAGTCAGTACTAGAAAAGCATATAAAGGCTACCATGCAACCTTGGTTTCCAGCGAGAAAGGTAATCTTTGCAGTGTCTTCTCTCAGCCTGGGGGGGATCAGAAAGGCTAAAAATGCATAGCGAATTGCTGGGCAATTCTGTTGCACGTGAAACGTGTGGCATCTACACTATCGGCGCTCTTTATCGGTTAGCTTAGCGACTGGCTTGATGCTCGGCATGTGCACCCAATAGCAACTCCTGGAATGGATATACCGGCGCAAACCCAGGTTTTAAAAACGTGCGACAGAAAGTGAAGTTGCTATCAGCAGGACACAGAGCGGACGCCCCGCAGGGCTTTCCGCCAAATAGCACCTCAACTCACGGCGATCTGCCATAACATGCTGGAAAGACACTCGCTGAACAATTTAAATGGTCTGGGATAGATTCCTGCCCTGGGCAAAGGTGGTTTTACTGCAATAGCCACTTACGTCCCATTCAAAAGAAATCAGTGTCAAGCCTCACAGCCATGCTTTTATCCAGGCTTCACGAAATGCCAAACACCTAGCCAAAGAATGCATGATGTTAAAAAGAAGCCAATGAGCTGCTTAGAATGGGATAAATCAGTCCTGTGTGAGAAAGAGAAAAAAAGAAGGAGGGTGCAAAAGAGAGAAAAGTGAACAAGTAAGGAAGGTGTAAACTGTACTATGTATGCCGCAGCTTCAACGCCAAACAATATTGTGATGCTAGGAATGTTAACTTTGGCCTCCGCGAGCCGAGCTTGTTGATCTGGGCAGAGCATCTCACCGTTCACCAGTGACTTGACGTATTCCACGGCAGCAGTGTCCCAGGTTTTGCTGGGCTTGCTTCGAGGGGAGACGGAGAAAATGGGAAAAATAATCACAAACAGGACTCAAACAAATATCAAACATTTTGATACAGAACTTAAGGAATTTTTCGGGACAGCCATAAGCAAAAATGCAAGAGCTGTCAAGGACTCGTTCGTTCTAGTGGCAGAAAAATATCCTTATTCTTTGTCTGCACAATACTATTCAGTTTCTATGCATAATCCCACTTTATAGAGTTTGTTGATGATTTGCTTCTAACCAAACATTAAAATGTTCTAATACAAGTAATGAAAAAAAAAATACTTTGAATAGAACAGCTTATAAAAATTTTAAACTGACACCTAAAAAAACACAGTTGTGTTTTTTGTGAGGTATTTGTCTATGAACAATACAACACCTACATGGGTACCACCTTTGCAATAGACTTATCAGGCATAATCAATATTCGATAGTGGGGCAACAGTCAAAAAGCAGGTAGCTAATTAATTACCTTGGAGCTATTAATGAGCCGCTGTCTTGATGGCGCTCAAAAGTGCGGCTGGCCACCATGATCCGGCAAGGCACTGCCATTACGTGGTATGCGCCCGCGATCGCGAGCACCAGTACCGCTGATCCCGACAAACTATCGTGGACCAGGAACTTGGTTGGCATTCCCAATCGGTACAGTACCGACAAAGTAAATGACAACTACATCAACCGCGAGACGAGTGACCAAAACCGAAGACGCTTTTCGAGTTTGTGACGAAACGTTATGGGGAGGCATCATCGCACGAAATGGCACAACTTTGTTCTTACATCGGCGATTAAGTAGGTTGTTGCATTTTTGTTGGCGACGCTGTCCACATCGGCGATGGAGCCGCTTGTCGCGCCTTCGTTGGCAACACGGTTTACATCGATGATTAAGTTGCTCGTCACGCCATCGCTGCCGACACTTGCACCATCGCGTCCCTCATTGCGTCTTCGGCAGCAGTAAAGAGAACATTTGCTTTGGCGGCAGTGGCAATCTTCGACACAACATTCTTTCTTCTTAGGCCTTTGGGGCAAAATTAAAAGCAAATACTGTTGACTTTATTTTCGCGGCCTCGATATTTTACAAATTTTACCAAGTGTGAGTTTCGGGAACATTTGGCAGGTGCAATATTTTGCGATTTGCAGTGGCTACTAGCAACATTTGAGAGGTAGCCAGCCTGCCTAAACTGCTTCAGCCTATAGCCCCGTATATTTTGCGTTATTATGCTTTACCCCAAACGTTTTATCACAATTTCTCGGTTGCTTCGAACAACAGATCACTCGGGAAGGAAAACAATGGGACACCTGGCAGAAGACAGTACCCAAATTTTAGAATGGCTCATACGCCACACTGAAATAAAGTATCCTCAGGAAGAGCTATGTGCGTGTGCTCGTAGCTATGATAATTACTTTTCCTGCGCGAGCTCTCACAATGAATCCTCGTGCATGCACGCATATCCCGACTCAATTGATTTTGAGAGTAGGAAATGTGCAGCATTAAAAGCATTGTGGTCTATACAGACACATATTTTGTTGACAGCTGTATTTTTTGCAGCAAAAGAGTGAACCTCGTCCTGATTGAGAGGTTATCCTTCATGCCTTTCTGCTTGCATAGTGCCGCGCAGCAAAAAAAATGACCGCATCTCCACGTGGTGAATGATGTTGACTGGGGCGAAGCTCTGGTGGTGCTTGTCTGCATAGACGCTGAGCCGCAGCATGCCAAGCTTTTCGTTCGTTTTCATTCATGTCGCAAAGAGAATGTGTGGTATGGAACGTGGTTATATACGCATTTGAGCATTTGACCGCAGCGCCCTCTCGTCTATAAACGTTGAGTCAATGCATGCAAAGTTTAACGCGATTATATACGCATTTGACCGCAGCGCCCTCTCCTGTATAAACGTTGAGCGGCTACATGCAACGGTTCATCCATGACAGAAACCCCAGCTCTTGAGTTACTACCACATCTCAGAGCCCCCTACTCGTCCCGCAGTCGTGGCCGAGTGGTTAAGGCGATGGACTAGAGATTCATTGGGGTCTCCCCACACAGGTTCGAATTCTGTAAACTGTGCAAACATTTTTGTCTTCTTTTTTCTTCCCTGCACGAGCACGTGAGCTCACGAGCACAATCACGAACACGAGCACCAGCAAGATCGATGTGAGCACAGACGCCGGACGGACAAGGCTAGACCCTAAGGAGCTTTGCCCCTAAAAAACACATGTGGGAAGGTACTATGCAGACACTAAAGAGCACTGGCCTCTGCAACCGTATACCAGATAATGGTGGCCGCAGCCCCACTGGAGCAGTCCATGTGACCACTACCAGCAGGTGCGCATAGTTTGGAATCGGCGCCACCAAATGACGCAGCATTGGTAAAAGGGTATATTTTGTGCGGAATATTCAAAGCGCCCGGTGCATAGTCGACAAAATTTTCTTTTTTTATTGAAACAAAGATTTTTCTTAAATTTTACGATGCATAGTTTGCATATGCACAGCAGACCTTAACAAATGCCAGCTTTATTGGCTCCTAAAGAATGTAATATTCCATTTATTTATTTAGTACAGTAATGATGACTGCAAATCACCTATATGGTACGCTGTCATTCACAAGATCCATCCCGTCTCATCGTAATCAACGATTTAGGAAAACAAATCCTCGCATACTCGGCATAGAGTAAATAACACATAAACAAAGAGGCCACAGCCGAGTGCGCAGTGAGACTCACTGCGCCATGACAGTTTCCACGTCTATCGTGAGCTTCAGGGGCACGAGGCCCGGAAGCAAGAACTCGATGCACTGGAACGGCACAGCTGAGAACACCGTGTCCGGAACAATCCGTATCCTGCGAGAAGACAAAATTGAGCTCGTGTTCCATAAAACTGGACCAAAAATGAAAGACGGTTACAATTCCCTGTAATGCCGAATTAAAGCACAGCTCTTAAGGAGGAGGAGGAAAGGGTACGGAGAGAAGGGTATCCTCTCCTCCTCCTCCTCTTCCTCCTCCCTCCCCCCTCGTGTCCCTAGTGATCCCTGTGACGTCAGTTGTTACCTTTGTCGAGGCCTTCCAGAGTGACCTTCTTGACGTCACGAAGGTCACTCGTGAAGGCCTTCTGAAGGTCACTATGAAGGTTGTGACCTTCATGAGTGACCTTTGTGATGTCACTCTTGACCCTAGTGACATCATTATGAGAAACATCCCATAATGCAATATGCGGTTACACCGACGGCAACGCCGCTCAAGCCGAAAGCGCTTAAAAAAAAAAAACACACTTGTTGACACGTTGTGAACAACTTGCAGATGTCATAACGCAGATTGTGTTTACGGGCTGCTATCCCGGAGAAAAGCGTGACGGAATGCCACAGAAACCGTCATGAAATATGTCACATATACTTCAGAGGACCATCCGTATGAAAGAGTGTTATGTTAACCTTTTAAGCGCCTTTTTTTTTAATCAACCTAAAAGTGCCATATATCTGGACCCACGATCACGTGGGTTTTTCGAAACAAAAAAACGAAAAACCCACGATCACGTGGGTTTTTCGAAACAGTGGAGGCCAACAGGGGAAAGGCGGAGCGAGAGAGCCTTGTAGTGCACGAGCAACTACAAGGAGAGGGAGATAGGAGCCTCTGCTGTAAAATGAGGTTTTGCGTTTGTTAATAAGCATTTTTTACCAACAAGGGGCACTAACAGCTCGTAAAAAAACTCCAACGGCTGGCACAAACCCCGAAGAACGCTGTGGAAACAGATTCTGCATACAAAAAATTTACCCAAAGGATCGAGATTAATCCCCTTCCTCGGGATGACGCACAGGGTGCACGGACAGAGGACACGGAGAGCCATACAGGGCGACTTGTCGGACGTCGACGCGAACCAACACGCACGGATGGTCAGTGGCACAAGCGTCTAGCAGGCGGCCGACTCTGCTACCTTCCATAGCTGCCGGCAGGATGAGAACCGCAGGGCGCACATTTCGAACACCCGGCCTTTGGCACACCGTCCCCGTCTTCCGGCGTGCCGTGGCGGCAATTGCGTGCTCGGGGTGCCCCAAGCGTCGTTGCAGGTCAAACCCCGTCTGTTGGCACCACCCCGAATCATTGCGAGTACCGACAACCTGGGACCGTTTCTGATTACGGCAGAAGACCGCTACGAAAGAACATGGAAACCGTTTGTGGCGGTCGACGAGAGAAACAGGAGGAGTGTGCTCACAGTCTTCGGTCCGCCACGAAGGTCTCCCCGTAGTCCACCAGCGTGACCCTGCAAGGAACCAAGTCGGGATCTGCTCAAAATTGGACTGCCGGATGCGCAACAAAATCTGTACCAGGTACGGTCGAGTGATCGCGTGAGGAGGTAGTCTATGACCAGCTGGAGATAGGAGCGGCATACGCCGCGTGGCACTGTCAGCGTCCATTTAAAGTAATCACATTAGTGATCAAATTATCAATTGCCCCCCAAAAATTCTAATTGTATAAACAATTGTTTTTAGTTACCAAATGTGTAAGCGAAACACGACCACTAGACACAATAAGTGCACATATATATTGTGGATTAAATTGACTGACCCCAGGATTAAATTGTGTTGCACTAGGATTAAATTGTATGGCGCTTGGATTAAATTGAGTGACCCCGGGATTAAATTGGTCGTCACTTGAATTAAAATGAGCGGGAAAACCTGTAGACCTCCGAGGATTGCATGCTGCTCAAAATAGAAACTGTCATTGCCAAGGGGCCACTGCTGTTGTGTTGCTTGCGAGCTCTCATATACCTTCAGGAAATAAGCGTTCGTGCTCTGTGAGAACATGCAAGACGTCGATTAGCGGTGTTCTTCGTGCATATGCAAGGAACGGACTGCGTGGTAATAAAACATTGTCTCACAAACATTTTGTGCATAACAACGAACTATGCTATAATAAAACATTGTCTCACGACCCCCCCCCCCCCCCCATCTTGTGCATAAAAGAATAAAACGAAGTTGTCTTGAATTGACTATCTCCCGTGAAGCCCCACTAAATGCATACAAAAAAGTGGGCCTTTTTTTGTTTAGCTTTTTCTGCTAACTTTCTGAACCCATCCCTCTTTTTTATGAATTCCAGAGGGCAAATTGGGGTATTACAGTATGCATGATCAAAGGCGTTTCACTCAGTTTTGGTATTCTTTTTTTTGTAAAAACCACAGGTTCCATATTCCATATGGGGAATAGGTTCCATCTTCCATATGTTCCATATATGGAATATGTTCCATGTTTCATATGTAAAACCACAGGTTCCACGAAAGGAAATGTCAGCGATTCGAATGTGAATAAACAGAGCAATTAATAAAACTGATAATGTCTTTTCTGTACAAATCACCCTCACCATTTTCTAACCACTTTATCTTCACTATTAGAAACAAATATTGGCTTCCTAAAACAACTGTTTCCCCAGCCATCGCATGCAAAGAAACAGAAGGGAAAATTCTACATATTCCCAGATTAATAGCCTTAGGAACCATCAGTTGCCGCACCACTGATATGGCCCAAACCTGCAAGTCCCCCCACCCCCACCAATTTTTGCGCAAAAAAAAAAAAAAAAAAAAAAAAAAGCCGGAATTTGAGCAGCAAGCAGGTTTCCCGGGTAGATGTGTCCTCATAGATTTTGCTTCAGTAAAAACATTGTGTCAAAGACTCTTTACGCCACTTCCAAACTCCTAAGGCAGGTGCACCAAGGTCTCCTCGTAGATTTTGCTTCAGTAAAAATGTCGGCAAGCATAAACATAGTGTCAGAGACTCTTTACGTCACTTCCACGCTCCTAAGATGGCTGCCGGCAAGCTGCATACGAGATCTACTCACTCAACTTCGTAGCCCTTGACCGTGTCCAAGATGCGGCAGACACGAGCGCGGTACCAGTCGCTGTCCATCGGCTTCTTCACCAGAATGTTCTGCAGGCAACCAAAGCGAAAAAAGGGACATCCGACACCAGGCAGTCACTCACTCAACCGGGCTGGGCAGGAGAAAAACCCTCGGTTCCCTTGGAAGAACCCTTTTGTTTGCGGTATACGTAACAAACAGGACTCACTAAGTAAGCGATGCTTAGAGCACCAGCACTCCATACCCTATTTCTCTTGCAGGCACGCCATTTCGTTGCTAGTGCAGAGCAGACGCAAAAGACCTTCTGTGAAGCGCGCAGTGCCGTCTGCGGCCCCGACGGCAATGCCAGGTACAACCGGTTTTACCAGACGACAGAGGCGACGGCAAGCGGGCCGGGGCAGGCGAGCTACTCCGGTACCCTCTCACTCTCTCCAGTGTCACCTGGTAAATGCCACGAAGGTACAGAGCCCGAAATGAAATGCCACGAAGATACAGAGCCCGAAACGACTGGCGCATTCACCGCGTGCTAGAATGCGGACCCTCAATTTCTGCTCGACGATGTCGCAGAAGTGCCGTCTCCAGCCCCAATCCCGGCAATGTCGCAGCAGTGGCAGTGTATGCCACGGACTCCGATTCTGCTGCAGGTCACTCTCTCTGGCTTGGCAGTTCGCATAAAATTCGGCAGCCGGGAGTTGGAACCCTGCGATGACGGCAACGCTCCCCCTGCTTCTGCAACGTCATTTGCTGCCATTTCTGAACCCCTTTGAATGTGTGGACAGGATGGGACGCTAAATGCGCCACTCGAAGACGTGTTTCAGGCACCATGGCAGTTGTAAGGAACATACAAAATTCTGCGGGCGACGTTTAAAAGTTTTTGCAAGAGGCCCACTGCATCCAGTCACGACTCGAAAATGTGACTTCCCGAACTCTAGATATCGTATAAGAAAGCTCGAGAACCGTCGCTTCGTTCCGTCGGCAGGGGGGGGTTAAAGACTGCAGCGGAATGCGGCATATCTTGTTCGCCGATGTGGCAGTCAAGAAAGAAAGAACCAGAAACAGAGCGACGGAAAAGCAGAAAAAGAAGGTAGACAAAAAATTGGGCGCGTTTGTTTTGCCGCAACGAGTTGTAGTCACTTAAGCGCTCATCGGCTTTTATTTAGTTCTATACAATGTGCGATTCCGGCATTTTCATGCGAAGTAAGCGAGAAAAGAACACGGTACAGATCTTACGGGTAATGATCTGCCGCTTCTTTGTGCATACCAAGGTGTTGTCAGCGACAGGGGTTCAATGCGATTGCCAACTAAGACGGCAGACGTCCGCGTCCATGCCCCGCCGTTCCCAAGCAGAACCCCCATGCATGGGACCTCTCGCTCTAGATTATTATATTAACTCTTGTCCGTCAAAGACTGTTCCAACATTTTCGGAGGAAAAAAAGTGTTTCCGCAATTTCAAGTAAAGCTACAGACAACCGGCGACAATAACTTTTTTCAAAATGGCGGCCGAAGCGTCGCCACTTCGAACTGCAGCTTCTTTGGCGGGGCGAGTCTGGACAATGAACTAGCAGACGAGGTGAGGAGCACACAGGCCACGCGAGCGAAAAGGAGACACGAGGAGAAGGACAACTCACGGCTCCGATTTCGGGCAGCGGCGGATTGACAGGCTCCGCGTCGCGTCGACTCATGAACTGCTTCAGCTTCCTCTCCATTATGACAAAGTCCCTGCTCGACTGGGAAAGGTTGCTCGGCGCCTCCTTGACGAGAAAGCGATCCGGTGCCACCACCTGCAGAAAGTGGCACGCCACGGGCGGGAATCCTCGTGTGAAACGCCGAACGTCCGCACATGCGTGAGTGCGCAACCACCTACCCCGAAGGCTGGTTCGCACACTCGCGACCGAGTGCATTACTTCCTTTCGTGATACCTTACAACAACACCGAAACGCTGGCGCCATCCGCGAGGTCGCCCCGAAACTCCGCTTCACTGGAGCAAAGGTTTTTTGGTAATTGTGCAACCAAATGGTTGTGCCACTTGTGAGAAATTGTCGACGATAACGTCAAGTTCTTTAAACCAAAAAACTATGCACCAAAAAAAAGTTTTTTTACGGAAGTGTTAACTGTTTGACGGCGCTAATACATGCTCTCGTCGTAAGAGATCCTAAGAGGTCTTATGGCACTCGGTGGCGAGCGGTCACAAGTGCACAAACCAACCTCAAGCTTTATGCTACAAACCTGAATACGAGAGTCAATCGAGGTTGACCGGGACTTTAAATGGGGAGGAAATGGCAAATCCGACAAGTAGGGATCTATATTTTTAACATTTTAGACAAAACCCCTAGACTGAGGGGAAGGAAGGATAACACAACATGAAGTCTCAAACACAGCAGCTGTGTTTGAGACTTTGTGTTGCGTTGTCCTTACTTCCCCCAGTCTAGGGGTTTTGTCTAAAATGTTAACCCTTCACCAGCTTGCTTGCGCCCTAATTTTTTGTAGGAATCTATGTCTGCCATTCAAAGTGTTACCCGCAGGCATCAGGGTACCGCTGCTGTCCTTTAGGAAGCTCCCCGATTCCTTCGATGTGAAAAGAACAAGGTTGCGTGACTGCAGTAGAGCGAACGTGTCCACATGCAATTAAGTAGCCACTGGGCGTCATCCTTTGCAAAACTGCTGGCACCAATGGTACAAGCTTGTCCGTAACACCGTTAATTGCTGTGTGCATGGCAGAGCCGGCAATGCCCATGACTGCCATGCAAAGAAACGGGGTTGGAAGCCCACTCAGACTGGCTCTTTTGTATGTTTTTTTTCAATCAATGTTCTTCTGGAAAGTTTGAGCCCATTCTTGGCCATCGTCATATGTGTTGGTTCAGAATATGCGAAGATGGCCAAGAACCTAGAACCACGGTAATGTGCTGCTGCAAGACAGTTGCCCTTCCATCACCAACGCGAGATGCGGGTACCTAACTCCAAGTTTGTAGGCACACATTCGCCTCATTAAGCATTATTTTCAGTTTTACATTCACTCGCTTCGTTTATTTACGACAATACTGTGATTGCAAACTTAAAATTTCAGCTGGCTTAACCTTCTCCTTCGCCAGAAATAAGAATTTTCACCACTGCTCCACAGCTACAGACAGATTGCTAGCTGCCATGGTAGCAGAACTGCTGTGCAAGCGTCAAATATAACTATAACTATTCGTGTTCTTCATTTCCAACTTCTCCCCCCCCCTACTGTAATGCCCCATGGCGCTGTAGGTATCTGAATAAATAAATAAATAAATAAATACATTGTTCCGGGCACTGGATATCCACGGAGGATCACGTTAACACTCTCCACAACTTTCATCGTGCTACACTTGTTCAGGAATTTCTTATGAACAGAAGTCCAGGCCATACTTAAACAAACCTTGTACATACCTTGGTACTTCTGATAAAGACGACTGACGCAGAAAGCGCTGTGCGCTTACGATGACGTGCTTTGACCGTTTGGCCCCTTTGGCTTTGAGGCTAATCTGCAAGGGATGCTGACACAAACACGCACTGGCATCCCAGACACGCAATGCACTTTTGATAAAGCGCATTTTGTGTCAGTCGGCTTTATGCGAAATGTCGAGGCAAGTTAAATTTTTTTTCCTACCCAAACGTAAGAATGTGATCAAGTGACCACATTCTTACGGGGTGTTCAGCGGAAAAGCAAAAATTAATTTAGATGACCTGTCAATCCTCAACCCGAAACTGAAATCCCAGTGAAACAGCATCTTCACTGCATTAGTCAGCTTGAGGGTAGCTGGCTGAGATTCGAGACCATCCGTTGAGAATCCTGAAGTTCGGAGTCGGTCAGCGTCCATTTAAAGCCTTAAAGGCACGGTTCAGGTAACAGAGGAACAGCTGCCATTCAAAATGACTGTTATCTAAATGATTGACGTAGAACCATAGTATGAGGTTCTATCTGTTTTAAGTTATTTTAGACTCGTAAAGCGCCGTTCACATATATGCGACCGAGTATGACCGAGAGAGACCAGACCGGGTTTTAAGCTTCCTGCAACGTCTTAGGACCGGATGCACTGCAGCAGAGCTGGTCTTAAAGGCCGACGTACAACCTCGGTTTTCTGCAGGGAAGATAATCCTTTTACTGCTCCTTTCTCCTAAGCTGCGAGGGGGAGCCAAATTGGGGCAAGGTAAAGCGTGGAGAGGATATAGGAAAGGAGGTGGCGGGCAAAAGTGGAAAGCGCGAAGTGTACGTCGGCCTTTAAGAAGTCGCCAGAGGCTTAAAAACCGGTCTGGTCTCTCGGCCTTACTCGGTCGCAAGAGTGTGAACGGGCCTTTAGATGCAAATGATATTACAACCCTACGTTATACTTTCACGTCAAGAACATGTAAAAAACATATTGATTGTGAAGCCAATCATCCAGGAACTAGGGAGCACAATAGTCGCACCACAGTACCTTCATCGCTGGAAGTTGCAAACAGATGGCACAAGGTACCGCCCGTTATAAAGGGTAAAAACCAATGGTCACTGCCAAGGTGAAACAGCGGGAGGAGCCTCGCTTGTCGTGCTTCCAGCGCGTACTGGCTAGCTTCGACAACGCTTCGGCGTCTCGAGCAGCTGGAGTGTGCGTGCGCAACTTAAGTACGGCAGAAGGCATGAAGCGCATGGTGGCAGCCAGGTGTTCGGACACATCCTGATCCTCTCACCAAGCCAGTGACCATAACACTCAATCGGATAACGCTGTCTCAGGAGTTCAGTGCTGCTCTACACCAAAAGAAACTAGACAGATATAGTTTGATAGGTTTCGAGAGAATTTTATAAGGTATGACAGCGGTTAAGCTGCCTAATTAATGAAACAATTCATTAAAAAAGATTATCAGATAGTTAATTTAGAGTATGGCCCTCACCATGAGTTGTTTACTTTTAACAATCTTATTTGGTCGCATGAGCTCTCAGTGTAAGGCAACAAAATGTGGCCGCAGGTTCATGTTGAAGGCAAGGCAGCTCAAAATCTTGTATATAAACTGGCCTGCTCCAAACAGTATGAGGACACAGCTCATCCACGACTTAGCAGAATTGTGCATCGACGCCAAGCTCTTGAATGTTGCTTTCTTGTCACCTCTTTCCTGTTTCTTCTATGTTAGCTTTCCAGTTTCTCCACCCAGTCTCGGGTGTTTTTAAGGAAACTGGGAAACCTAAAACAGCTCGCCCACGCTATCGTATTATTGCTTGTGTTCTTCTGCACATGGCAAACCATAGCCATGCTTTGTTGCAGGCTGCCTGAGCCGGCCCTGTAATTTACTAACACTTTCTCTGTAGCTGCGCTGTATTTGTGTATGTGCGACAGTCAGCGCAAACATACCATCGCTGCCTCTTTGCGTTTTACTCGTGCGGTTTAATGTAAAACAACAAACTTTGCCACCTACGTTAATTGTCTACATTGTTACACTGCGCTACACTATTAGTTCTCATGAAAATCTCACTACTGTTGGAGAAAACTGAAGGAAGATAGCTACCGCGCGCTCGTGCCAAATGCACTGCACTCTGTAGTGCCGTTGTCATTTCGTGTTTGACAGCTTGCTGTCTCTTAAAATAAACTCGTCCATAAGTTAATTGCTTTCAGAGAAACATGCATTTCGCAAAGCATTGGCCTTCTGACTCAAATAAGACACTGCTGGCCCCAAACCGATGACAGTTCGGCGACGGCCTAGGCCTTTGATGAACTGATTACCACAGCAACGAAACACATTTACCTTCAAAATGGTCACGTCGGTTTTTTGCTTCCATCCTTCTCGAGTGCGGTACGCGTCCATTTCAGCTTAAATCATTCGCTGAGCGTGATCTGTCAAATGTTCCAGCGTGAAGAGGGGATGTACGCTCGCCGACTTCAAACTACCGGGACCTTGTCAAATTGTCACGTGGTGCTTGGGGTGCGTGGGGACGCCGTCAGAGCAGTAGTTTTCTTCACCACTAGACGTTGCGTACATTTGGCTTGATGAAGACTTCGCCTCGCTGACGTGGCTGGATCAAAAGGTTAGCGTCCTGGTTATCGTGGTTGCGTGCCGCGCCGTCAAGCTTGCATGCCCGTCGTTCAAAAGCATTCGAACACACAACAAATTCTCAAAACACAAAATGACTGTCTTTGCAGGATTGGATTGGATTGGATTATGTTGGATAACGGGATTGTACCAAGCGACGGCATGGACGGCGCCGACGGGGTTGAGTCGTTGAGAAGACTACTTGGACAGTTTGAACACTTTAAAGTAGAATTGGTCTTATTGTACACAGTAGCTTGTCAACTTGTCAACTATCCTTACTTCTGTTACCCAACCTTTGACGATAATGCAAGTTCTAAGTGTTGTTTGGCCGGTTTGATCACAATTTAAGTGAGCGTCTGACTTTTATCCAGAAAGGGGAATATCTTCTTCCGATGTACCCTGCAGTAAAATGAGTCGAATAAACAAATGTAGTACCAAGATTTCTGAAAAGTTTTACTACATATTTTTTGTTCCAATTCAGCCAGGCAGAGCCAAGTTCAGCCGTCAAACCGAATTCGATGTCAATTCAATCCAATCCATTTTGATTTCTGGAGGGTCTGGCGGCTAATCGAAACGTTAAAGGAAGGTGCGTGACAGTCTCGGGCGACACGATAAGAAATTTGATACGTTATCGGCCAGAAGAGTGCCGTATATATACGATTAGACGGTGTCGACAGGAGCCCTACAGGTGGTGAGTGTTGAGTTGTCAAGAATCAAAATGGGGCTTCTCTTGTGCGTCGCCTTTCTGCTCGGCACTAGTAAGTTTAGGATAGGTGCCGGGGGTCATTTTGTGCGTTTGACATATCTTTTCGTCTTTCTAGTGTTTTATATATGTGTAGACTTCTGAGCCAAGCGATATCACGCAACATTGTCATTATTTCGGCATTTAAATGGATAGCCTTCCATGGGAGGCATGTGTGGAAGCATGTTCTCAGTGTTATGTGGTTGGTTGTATTTTGCAGCTTTGTGCCTTGGACAGGAGCGTCCAGAATGGGGCGATGTGTACAAGGTCAAGGGGGTGTTGTACCTGCCCTACGCGGAGATTCGGGAGCCCTTCACCGGTTACTTCGACGCTTCGCAAAACCTCAGCCGCATAGACTACTACAGAGGTGGGTCAAGTGGATATTCATCGAGACGCCTCATAACCTCTGACAAGTATCTTTCACTCTCTCTGGTTTGCACCTTGGGAGGTCTCCTTCCTTAGGACGAAAACACTCTGTCTAGGGTACTGCGATTAGTTGCCGCCGGACAACGCAAGCCGAAACTCTTGACCTGGGCATTTGCCGCGTTTGCCGTTCCCACAAGCGTCATTATCTTTCGAATTTTCGAAGAGTTCAAAGACTGAGACATATGCTTCACATTCCAAGTTTGAACCGAAACTTGAAGGAGAAAGGAGCATGGAGGGCCGTTTCAACTCGGATTTTCCGCAGTAATGCATTCCGCAACTCCGTTAGTGTGTACAAGTCATCGCCAGTTTTCCCCGCTTTTCCCTCAACATCGGAGGATTGTCATCGAAACTACTATAGTGGTGCAAAGTGCTCTGTTGGAGCACCAATTTGTGGTAAATTTTCATGCCTTCCAGTGTATCCTTTCGAAGTAAAAATGTGGAAAAGCGCCACAGTCGTGTTTGAGCTAATAGTTTTGTGCTGTGTACGCCCCCACACTTTTCTGTTTTACTTGATTTTAAGTTTCTGTCTTAAACTAGCTACAGTCACCAACAGAGTGAAAACAGCAGGGCGTGTCCTTCGAACGCCTGGCCCTTCTGCCCTGCTTTGGCTGTGCACACACGTGCTTGAGGGGCTTGAGACGTTGAAATGTTGTCTAAGGTAGGAGGCTTGAACTGGAGGCGTTAAATTTCAAGCCCCTCCCGCCGTTTTCACCTTGTCAGTGACTTGTTTAGTGTCAAAACCGGTTACCGTATATATCTTCTTTTTTTTTTTCTCTTCTATCCATGATAATTTACTGTAAGCTTGTTGTAAGAGTTGTTTCTTTATTGCATTTTATCATTTTTTGTTATTTTCACTTATGGCAGTACGACAGACGAGCTTCACTAATTTGTGAAATGGGCTTGCGCCGAGGCCACGATGGTATACATCACTTGCACAAGACTTTAGTCTGCCCTCCCTTCTGGTGGCGAGAAGCATCGCATTAACATGCTCTTTCCCCTATTATGTCTGACCAAGTGACTTTAGTGAAAGCTACGTATATGCATATACAAGTCAGGAAGGTTATTCATTGATTTGATTGATTGATTGAATATATTCTTGCCACGGATGTTTGGGGCTCAGTTTTTTTTGTGACTAGTATTAGGACATTAATGTTTCAGATTGTCTTTGGCAGAAAGAAAAAAAGAACACTTTATATGGTCAATTACGAGCTAGACAAATTGATAAAAGTGCAAAATGAAATAATTCGCAGCAGCATGCATTTACATAATATCCTGAGAGATGCCCCTCCCCCAATACATAACCCACCCCTATTTTTGGCTTTAAACACCGAAAGATAGCCCACTCCTAGAAATCGTGTTCGGATCAATGATGACCTCGATGTAAATGTGGCTACTAGTTAGCTATGGTGGGATATAACCACACATTGCTGACTGGGACGTACAGTCATCTTTGCTTCGTTGTCTCACACTGCAATACCAAGTTTAGCAGGAAAACATGACCTGAAAATAGCATTTCATTCAACTTTTCTTGATTGTACGCCGAAAGTCCTTATTTTCGTCCAATTTGCTCTCGATTTTAGGTGGGCTATCTCGGAATGTTACATTGTTTTTTTTTTTTTAAATTCCCTCCTAAAAATCTTTTGGCCGAGGTGCCCGCAACTCGACGGAGGCTCATTGCTGGGAAGGTGCCATGTAATTGACATTTTGGTTGCTCATTACAAAATTTTCAGGTGGTCAAAAATTAATCTTCCCTCCTCCGTTGAGATGTGCTAGATGCCCTCAGTTGGTTTGGGCGTGTAAGCTCCCCAAATTTGCTTTTAATCGCTTCAAAGTAAAAGTAATTGGTTTGGACAGTTTTTAGAAGTTTTTCCTTCAACTGCAAACTCAAAATTTTTCATTGTGGCGTTTAGACCTTTTTTTCTTACCGCAAAGTACCAGGGCAGCGGCCACCCCGTTTTTGCTGAAAACTGGGTTAATCTAGACCCCGGTGCTTGTCCGGTTAAATTGGGGCGGTTAACATATAATTTGCAGAATTCCCAAGTTTGGGAAATAATTATAGTGGGCGCCTGAACAAAGTGGGCACTTCTGCGGCATTTTACGGTATATATGAGTTGCCATTTTTGTTTGTAATTTGTTTGCTTGTACAAAATTGTCACGGCTGCCCTTCCATGCTGAAGAAATTTAGGATTCCGATTACACTTGCCACCTCTTTTGTGGAATTAGCAGATCTCAGAATTGCCGAATGGGAACTCTTGGTTTCAACCTAGTTTTTATTTTTACTTACGGAGTGCGAGAGGAATTTTCTAACATGTTCCTTTTTGTCATGCTTCGCTCGAATGGCTGTCATTTGCCCAGATAATTCTATTCTGCGTACAAATAAGTGCTCTTGGTTTCATTCCTAGCGTCCTCGGTTCAGATTCGTCTTTACTCAGCGCGGCCCTTTGTCACCCCTCAACTTTCCCCCAACTATCGCAGCACGTTGAAGTGCTTCGTCTGGATCAGTGTATCTACAGATACAGATAGGATCTTTCGCTGGCTCGCTTCGACAGGTCGTGTTAGTCAGAGATACGGATTGGAGCTTTTGCTTCGTGGGTCGTGTTTATCAGCCGACAGCTGCGGGATGGGGTTTATCTGTGTGCTCTTGAAATCTGTGTGCTGCTTTCCGGTGCCGCAGAAGAGCTATCAGTTCTGGGGCTCTTCAGGAACAAGCATTTGTTTCAGTTCGAGAGCAGCATACAATGAGTTTCGAAACTGGTATCCCCTTTATTTTTCGTTGACGGTTATCTTTCAAAGAAGGACGAAAAGCAGACGAAAGGTTTCGTCTAGAAATGAATAAAAAAAAGAGTGTAAGTACATAAAAGGTACAAAAATACTAGGTAGAGGACAGTCACAGTGACATTGTTGCATTAGGTGCAATCAAAACGTTGCATTGTAGCTTGGAAAGAATTATCTTAGGAAGGAGGCACTATTCTTGGGTGGAACCAGCTGAACAAAGGAAAGAGGGAGGTAGGAGAAAAGAAAGGCAAACCGACCGCTGGACTACTATCTGTTTTATTAATACATCTTCCTCTTCTTCCCCCCTTCTTTGGTTCAGCTGGTTCCACCCGGGATGTATCAAAACCAGCTAGCGCAGCTCATTTCGGTTGTGAGGCACTATTGATCGCCTTGTACTGGGCATTGCCTGGGGTTGAAAGTCAGATTGTGTGGATGTTTAGATTGTATGAACTTAGTTTGCCGCGATAGTTAGGGATGGATGGATTTTAATTAGGAGAGGAGTGTGCAAATAGCAGAATATTTGCTCAAATAGAATTTAAACCGAATAATTCCAAATAGTGGCCATAAAGCTGAATGTTGAATATTGAATACTGTCAGAACTTTGATTTGAAATGCAGGGAAACAGACATAAGAACTCTGCTGCATGTTTATATAATGAAAGAGATACTATGTTACAAGAGCGACAAATGAGATGGTCTTGGACAAACGTCCCTCTCTTCTTTCTCACTGACCGCCTCATCTTCTTCTCTGCCATAGCATTACTCCCCTCTGGGAAGTACGATGTCTCGTCGGTCAAGGAATGGAAGAAAGTGAAGGATGTATGTGGGGCTTGAACCTAACGACATGCACGGCGTCGACTTCTTTCTGGCGCCCGTCGTGATGTGAACCGACTTGCTCGACGGGATATGTCGCGTCACTGGCTTGCGTGAGGATTACGTACGAGCTGTCGCGGCAGTAATTTTTGAGAAAATTCCCGCTCGATGCTGCGCCGTGCAGACAAGGTCGCCGGGAGAATAGGCGACGGGTCAGTGAAATTGAGCACACCGAGCACACTGACATTCTTGAGATTGGAGAGCACGAAGAAGCAACAATTGTCTAGCTTCCACGGTGAGACTTGCAGCTTGTGACGTTAGTGTAGTTCTGGAAGCCAGGTCTTTGGGGTGGAAGTAGAGAATCCAGCATCGCGGGGCCGGGTCTCTGCCGAAAAGTAAGGAAAAGAGGCGAATATCCTGTAGTGTCTTGTTGGTAAGAGGAGTTGTAAGGTGAAGGATAGAAGCAGGACGGTATTTTTTTAATTGCTCCTTCGCTTAAGTCGCTGGTTTCGCGGTGCTGACATAGTAGTGGGAATTGCCCCTTGCCGACTATAGTCGAATGTGACTTGTGGATTGGATGCGAGCACTGTGTGAGCACTGAACTTTGGCTTGTGACAGTACATGCCTCGGCGAACAAGAAATAGCGGCTCGTGTCTAATCGCAGACACACTGCGAATAGCCTAACTCTAACAGTGTCGCAATGTCTGAACCTTGGGTGTATCCCGTGGTGTGCCAACCTCGGCACATGGCCACAACAAGCATTGATGGCTTACAATTGACACCGGACTACACGGTCACTTGTTCTGTCGCGAGATTAAAAAGCCACTAACACCGCCGAAAAAAAATTTTAAAATTTTTTGACAGGCGATTTTTAATGCTGTTTAAAGACTACCCAATCAATATTTTGCTACAGTGTCACATATATTTTAACAAAGTAAGAAAACACAACTGCTGAAACCCAAAGGAATGGGGAGGCAGAAGAAATGTAGAGGAGGAGAAAGTTGTTAAAAATCATGTGGCGCCCGAACACACGTGTGCTGCGCTGTACATGTCTGTTTTTTCGTTCTTTTTTCCTCGGGCGCGTAGAAGCCGAAGTCCAAAGTCCACTCGTCGAACAGCGTTCACCCACACCTTCTTCAATTTCCTGTCCTTTGGAAACTTGTGAAAAACCACCTCCGTGTTGCGCAGTGGGTTGTTTGAGCAGCCCACAGCGCTACAAGTTGTACTCGGCATCTTTCGAGCAACAACTCGGCAGTCTTGGGCGCACCGACTTGCTCACTAAAACTAGTCTTGGAGTCCTCACAAGTAAATAAACAAAAGGCTATACCGAAGCTACACGGGCTACAGATAAAAGCAACGGCTAAACACGCCAATCACATGCTGAAGTAGCGGTGGTAGCGGCTCAAAGAAGCGCACCCCGCGCAACGCCCCGACCGGAGGAAAAAAAGAGAACGATACTGACGTCACGGCCCAATGTTGCTTTAGCTATCGGCAACCTGCTGGCCGCCCGCTAAGAAGCAGCGGCTCGCGGTGGGTCGCATTTTTATTATCGGCATTATGTAATTGGGAATGCGGCGTCCCCAGGACGTAATATTTTGACTGGGGTCGTATTTTGTGTCACTACAGCGATACCAGTAATTTATTTAATTTTGAGTTTTGGCCAAAGTTGCCCTTTAAGAAGGGATGAATTAACAATGAATACTTGAAAGAATAAAACATTGAGGACGAGGACGGAAACAAAACCCATGAAAGAAGTCCAGTTCCCGTCCTCGTCCTCCATGTTTTATTCTATCAAGTATTCGTATCAATTCAACAACACGCTCATTTTCAGTTATGAATTAACACTGCTATGTTTTCTTTTCTCTATTTTTTTTTTTTTTATTGCCATATTGCATGGACAGAAAGACTATAATCAATCTTTCATGGGTTATGAACATCAGGGACGTGCCATTGTATTTGCCAGACAATGGTCCGTGCGGTGCAAGATTTTAACTTTTAGATGTGTGCATGTCTGTGGACTATTGTGTGAAAAATGCGGTGGTTTGATGCAGTATTTGCTGAAACTACAAAAGCCAGTGAACTTCCTTTTTAAATGGAGGGGACTTGCCTTTCAACTCCGACGGCTTTTCTTCTGCGGTGCAGGAATGGTGCAGACCATCCAGGTGGCGCCGGACGCGGAAGAGGGCCGCTCCGAGACCCCTTATGGCGCCAACTACAAGATTGCCTACATGCCGGACAAAGAGACTTGGCAGCCGCGCCGGACGTGCTTCCTCGTCAACGGTACCGTTAACAACACCGTGCCCCTGCAGGCTGTGCTTCCTGACGTCGCCTCCTTTGAGGTGTGTCTCATTTATTAAAGGGGTTTTCGGTCTTCACCGAGAAACACCGATAAACAGGCGCCAAGGTCAGAAATGCAACCTTTCCCACGTAAGGACATCACCAAGCGGCTAGCACGCAAAATATGCTCGGTGGGCTCGGATAATTGAATATACAAATGCACACAGCTAATAAACTACTCGCTAAATCCCCATGCACCCCGGCCCTCACTCGAGGAATCATGGGAACGGCAGTGATGTGATTGCTGCGCCAACTGCGCCAAACTGCGCCGAGGGGCTAACCCTGCTACATCCTGCTACATTTTGCCAAAAGATGGGTAATCTGTGCCAAGCCTGCGCCAAAGAACCAATTTTGCTCGCCTTTCAAAACCAAAACTAAACTGAGCACTGTAATGAGCATACGTGAGCTAGGTGGCGCAAGCGGCCGCCCGACACTAAGTACCTTGCATCAATCGTTCATCCGGTCTTGCATGGTTTTTCCCGCCGTCTCCGGTTTCGCGCTCCCGTCCTCTTGTTGTCTCGCGTCTTCTATAACGTTTTCAACGATAGAAGCGGGCATGTGCGGACGCTCTGACACTAGCGTGCTGGGTGCCAGCCATGTCATCATGCTGTGAAACGAAACCATGTTTTTGCGCTGTGGGAGTTACTTTGTGAGCTGAAGCACTTGCTCCTGAAAGCAACGGCTGTGGGAAAACTATATTTTGCCCCGCCTGCCAGTCGCCGTGGTCGCGCGACGTCGAGTGTTGCCGTCGCCACGTCGCTGCAGATATGGGGCTTTCCGAACTGAAACGTAAGGAACGCCCTAATGTTCATCAACATTCCTGTTGTTTAATACGCTACTACAAAAATCCCTCTAGATCAAAGACTGCTGTGTCGAAGTACTGTTTACCTGGGTTTGTCTCGGGAAGCTTTCTTTCGAGAGAGACCCCGGTACGTGAAAAATCTGCCGCGAAAGAGTTTGTGAAGAGAAGTGAGCTAAAGCAAAGAAGGCAATGTCTGTTATGCTGAACTCGCACAGCGCGCTTGTTTGTCTCGAGTTCAGTCGTTGCACAAAGTGCTATAAGAACTTTTTAACCCTGGCTCGTGATGCTTGCATCAATGTGCTCAGGTTTCTTTTCTTCTGTGTGTTTAGCTTGTACCTCGCCAGCCGCTCTGGCAAGCATGTGTGGCTGTTTATTGTCGTGTGCTGGACAGTTACATTTTGTGTAAAATTTCGGGAGCCAGTTGGCGACGGAGCGGAGTGGCATGGTTTCGATCGAACAGCGATCTCCGCTCGCGTGACAATTTCGCATTGCACTGCAGTGGTCACGTGTATCAACAGTTGGAGACTGCTTCTATTTCTTATATAACTAGTCAACCTAATGCTGTGATATAGAATACTAAGCTCGTCATTTTAAGATAAAATTTAATAAATGCAGTTTGGTTTTTATTTACCTATAGCGGGTACATATATATGCATAATTTTACTGAAGCATTGCCAAAATGGTTTCATGTCAGTGGCATTTCAGTTACATGTTGAGATTCCCAGGTGGTTTAACTTGACTATAATATGTTTACTGCGGCGAGCAAAGTGTCCTTCGTTTGTCCAGCACTTGAAACAAATATTTTTGTTTTTCTACGAATATCTGCTCTAAAAGCCACTTTTGCTGCTCCGAAACACTGTTTTAGCTGCTCCAAAAGCCACATTTGCTGCTCCAAAACACTGTTCTAGCTGCTCCAAAACGGTTTAGGTCAATCACATCACTGGAACGGTGTTCTTCCAGCTCCCCAGTGATCGGTAATTTCAACCAGTTTGATGGTTACACACCTTTCGAGTGTAATCAGGTGTCATCCTGAAGAAACGTCGCTTAGAGTTAAAGAGCCTGTCATATCACCTTTAAAAATTCTTGTCAATGTCATCATTTTTGATACTGTGCACACAATCCACCTTTTAACCTGGCCTGAGCTGCAGAAATCTCTTACAATATAATTTTTCCCGTGAATGTCGTTTTAGCAAGAATTGCTTAAAAGCTGAGAATTCAGAACCAAAACCACGATTTAGCTCGGAGTCATTGGGGCTGTTTATAGCATTTTTTAGCGTTTCTAAGTTAATATCAGCGTCTTCAAAGCTCTATGAGAAGGATAATATTGTACAAGATTTCTGCAGCTCAGCCAGATTAAAGTGTGGATGGCATGCATGGTATCAAAAACGCTGACGTTGATGAGAAATTTTAAAAGTGATACGACAGGTCTTTATACTCGCTACGACGCTCATTCAGGACGACTCTGTATTAGTCGAAAGTGTGTAAGCATTAAATTGGTCGAAATTAATGATCACTGGGGGAATTGAAGGAACACAGTTCCAATGATTCCTTGAGTGCAGGCCAAGGCGCTCGGGGAATTCAGCAGACGGTCTATTGGGTATATGAGCCTGTCCCACCTAGTAGCTCTGTGGCAACCGTACGGTGTCTCAAACGTGTCTCCGACCGGTGTTTCCCTCCTCTTAATAAATGGTGCCTTGATTTCCACCCGACAACTTCGTAAAGGGGTCACGTCGTCGGCGGCCGCCATCACGGCGGTGCCGCATCAGCAGTGGCGGATGTGGCAAATGCCTGCTCTGCTGCAGGTCACTCTCCAGCTTGAGAGCCTACTAAAGTTTCGGCAGCCAGGAGTAGGGATGCCGCGACGACAGTGGCACTCGCTTTCTCTCATACTTGTTTTTCAAAAGTTCTACACCCACGGGGCGGGCATGACGTCAGCCACATAGCTTTCTTCAAGCCATCGTCCCGTGCCGCTCACTTCTTTCTCATCCTCCTCGCCAATCCTTCCTTCAAATATGAACCACACGCGACCATTGAATGGGATGTGGTTGCATATATCCGTATATGAAGCGAGTATCCCCGGGTCCTAGGTTCTACCGTCAGCCCCTGCTTGTGATTGCAGCAGCTGACTGCACTTGCTGCCTTATATTTGCTCGCGTAACAACAACACACTCGAGCAATTGCGTTTGTTACACTCCTTTACTGTCGTGCTAGTGGATACCAGCATTCTAGCGATGTGCGTGACTTCGTTCAGCTTGAGAAGTGTGTTTTGCATCGATAGAAATTTAAATATGAGTTTTTGATGACTATTTTGTGCACGCCCACGTGAAAGGTTTTGCGGAGCGTTCGCACAACTTCACAGTACGTTTGGGGGCGTTCTCGGTATGCATTGCAACCAATATTGGACCGTGCAGTTGAGTTTCCCTATGGTGTTTTATATATATGCATGGTGACCAACATAAGACTAACTTAGTTTGACTTGGCGGGGGCAGACATATACCTGGCGCGACCGTCGAAGTCATCAGATTTTAAGCGAACGAAAGTCCTCTTTGACAAACTCCAGTCACCGTTGCCACAAAGGGCTAAAATCCATCCTTTGAGCAGCTCGGTTGTTTTCAGAAATCTAAGAGAACCGCCCATATCAGCTCGCATTACCGCAAAGTTTAGTCTGAAATCCAACGGGAGCACACTCATGAACGAAACTCCCTGCAGAAGGTTTCTGCTGCCGTCCACACTGCAAACCCCATTTGGGTCTCGGCAACACCGGACACTTTCGTTTACTCAAATCGCATGGCGGCTCAGCCCGTCCTCTCGTCGTGGTCCATGGTTCCCCATCAGGGTCTCACCGGTTTCGCTTTCATGCTGGACTTAGCAGGCACAGTTCTCCGGTGCGTGCAGCTGGCACATTACCCACCTCGTCCGCTCCTCGAGTTTGGTAAAAACATTCTGGACTCACGGCGGATCGCAACGAGCCGATTGCAGTCCGTCGTACGCTCCCCGGGGCCTCGCCTCCTCGGCCTCACCTTCGCTTAGCTCGCGTACACCCTGCCGGATGCAAGTGCTTGCGACGCTACAAGCACATTCTATTTAACCAACCGCCCAACTCGCGCGTGACAGGGTCGCATGTTCCCCACATGGGTGCACGTGTCTACGCCCAACCGCCAGTATGTCAACATTTGGCAGCACGACATTCTGGATTTTGTAAGGTGGTTCGTGGCCACTTTGGGAGCACTTTCGATGCGTGGGCGGAATGGGATGCTATGACATACCCGTCGGAGAAGCGCTCCAGGAGCTGTTGCGACAGTCCCAAACTATGTTCCGGCAGTCTGTTCTTGTTTTATTCTAATAGGGAAAAATTATGGCGAAATGATTTTTATCGATCACTTCACCCTAGTTTCCAGTCTCTTTACGCTCTCTTATCGAGTGGTTTGGCAATTTTGTGCTGAAGTGACACAATCGAGAATGGACAGTCGTGGCTTGTTTCAGCCGTGATACTGAGGTCTGGATGGATGGATGATTATGTCTTGCAGGATGAGCGTTTTTTTCCGAGAACGTTGCGTTGCATGTAACAACATGGTGCTCATTTTAAACGAAATGATGCCACACAAAAAGAGAAGGTGAGGGTTAGCGCTTTATTAACCCTTTATTACCAAGGGGTCCCTTCAACAGTTTTCTTTTGAAAACTTTGGGACCCCCGTCTGAATAAGTGTACTTACCTAACATCTTGTGTACAAATAAAAACACATTTTGACTTGACTTGACTTGACTCTCTATGGAGCCTCCGCTTCCATCCACGAACCATAATTAGATTTTTCGCTCTTTGAAACTCTTTAAAAATAATGAAGGTCGGTGGCATGTATTGATATTATTTTTTAACCAATTAACTATTCTTAGTTTTTGGGGAATTTCTCACCCTCAGCTGCTTGTTTTCTTAAAAATTACATTCGTTGCCTTCAAGATACAGTTTTTAGCCACAAACAAAATGGGAGCAAAATTAAAAAAATATTCAGTGCTGCTCTTTGTTAGCAGGGTCACAAACTAAGCAATGAGTGAGCCTGGTTCATCCAAAACAATTAAGGGCCTGAACTGGAGAAAGCAGACAAGCTATACTTGTCCTAAACAGTTTGGAAACAGCTCCACATTGACGAGTTAGGCACGTCCAAAACACTTAGGGTGTTAACATAGTTGTCATTCTTTTCAATACAGGTCTTGCAGCTTTTAACCCTTAGGGAGTGCGTGAATTCCTGTAGAAAAACAAATCAATCAGTCGCGTGCGAAGCCACCCGCGTGCCGCATGTTGCACCTTTCAATCAGACTGGAAATGCTTTCTATCCATCGCCTCCCTGAGTGCTACAAAAATGTGGTAATCACTAGGGCGATTTCCTGTGCACCACGCTGAAGGCGTCATGCTGTTTGTGGGCACATATCAAATAAACAATAATGACCGACGTTGACAATTGTGGCCATTTCAAATACTGTCACTCGGCAATCTTTTAGGGGCGAAGCTCCCTAGGGTCTAGCCTTGTCCGTCCGGCGTCCGTGCTCACATCGATCTTGCTGGTGCTCGTGTTCGTGATCGTGCTCGTGAGCTCACGTGCTTGTGTAGGGAAGAAAAAATATTATAAAAAAAATGTTTGCGCAGTCAACAGGATTCGAACCTGTGCGGGGAGACCCCAATGGATTTTTAGTCCATCGCCTTAACCACTTGGCCACGACTGCGGGACGAGTAGGGGGCTCTGAGATGTGGTAGTAACTCAAGAGCTGGGGATGTTATGGATGAAACGTTGCATGTAGCCGCTCAGTGTCTATACAGGAGAGGGCGCTGTGGTCAAATGCGCATATTATCGCGTTAAACTTTGCATGCATTGGCTCAACGTTTATAGACGAGAGGGTAATGCTGTCAAATGCTCAAATGCGTATATAACCACGTTCCATACCACACATTCTTTTTCTGACATGGATGAAAACGAACGAAAGGCTCGGCATGCTGTGGCTCAGCGTCTACGCAGACAAGCACCACCAGAGCCTCTCCCCAATCAACATCATTTACCACGTGGAGATGCGGTCATTTCTTTTATTATGATCCCTTCAACTGCTGCAATATACTCTGTTTTGACTGCTCGGTATGTTCGAGCAGTCCAAGAAAGTGTTGCAGAACTCGGAATTTTTAATTTCCTAGTTCATTCGTGCACTTGCTGGACAAGCATCATCATACTGCAACTTCATTCGATAATGAGCTTCAAGAGCTTTCATTGCTTCACTACCTAAAAAAAACAATGAATGAGCGCTGCTGCTCTTTAGCGCTTCAAGGGGAGCGTTCATTTTTTACGCCGCCACTGCGATGTGATGCTGGTTGTCTGCACTGTGCTTACGCCTGTTGGACACCCTTTTAGTGATAGTTACGAAGGGTGCCAACTTATGGGACAATGCCAGCATATTTTAAAATGTTATTGCATTTTTGAAAAATGTTGTGCAACGGTATTGGGTAGGAATGTTTCTCGCTTTACACAAGCTTACTGGCACTAGTTGCACCTAAGTATAGTCGTACGCAGAGGTCGGCATTTAGGTCGCCCTCACTCACCCTCACCCCTCACTCACCCTCATCCTCATTCTCACAGCTACACTCACCTTCAGCCCCTCACTCACCCTCATCCTCACAGTCACACTCACCTTCAGCCCTTCACTCACCCTCACTGAACCTTACGGCCTTTATGCACTCACTCATACCCCTCACACCTCTCACATGCTCATGGCCTTCATGCCAGTTACGAACTCACTGCACTCACGGCCCTCACACCCCTCACACACTCATGGCCCTCACGCCACTCACGCACTCACTGCCCTCGTGTTCCTCACAGACTTGCAGCCCTCATGCCCTTCATGCACTCATCGCCCTCACACACTCGCGGCCCTCAGGTACTCGCTGCCCTCACACCCTCACACTCCTCACGTACTCGTGGCCCTCGGGCCACACACGCACTCACTGCCCTCACGCCCTTCACGTATTCACTGCCCTCAGCCTCTCATGTCACTCATGTACTCACCGCCCTCACGGCCCTTATGCGCTCATACCCTTCATGCACTCACAGTCCTCACAGCCTTCACGGCCCTCACTCACCCTCACACTCGTGAATTTTCCTGGTTCAGAAACTCGCTCACCCTCACCTCACTTGTGAAGATGAGGGTAAGCGAGGGCACTCATGAGAGAGGTTTCCCGGGTTATGCTCGTATGCAACGCCACTGACCAAGAAGCTTCTTCGTCGCCGCGTGATGTCAAGAATGCAAAGGCAAACGTTTTCTTTCAGTCTCTCTTTTGCAAAACTCAATGACCAAGTTGTTGGGGTCGCATTGTTGGCATTGTCACTTCAATGCGATACCCAGGATTTAGTCATTGAGCTTTGCCATCCCCTTCGTAACAATGTCCTACAGTGGACACGAGCACTGCACGAGCGCTCGACCGGTCCCCGTGACGATCAAAGCCTTGACTTGCAGTCAGGCAGTGACTTGTGCCTAACCGCTGCGATGACGGATGTGGAACTCGGCGTTCGCCCTGTGCTTTGCCAGCTCCAGCGCGCTGCTACGATAAATATTGGCAGTGTATAATCTGCTCGAGATCACGTGGTTGCTTGTTCCGGCTGCGGGTTGTGAGGGTGAACGCTGCTCGTTTTTCTCATTTATTCTGGGAGAAAAAGGTGAATGCGTGTTTCATGGGTTAGGGATGTGGGGAATAATTTTAGGCAATATTTACTGAAAATACAAAAATCTTTGTGTCGCTCCTTTGAGCCTCTTGTTTGACTTGCCCACGTTCCCACTTGGCCTGCTACCCCGGGCGTCTCAGTTCGTGCGCCAGGAGTCGTGCTGGGAGGGCACAACCGCGGTGGACGAGCCGGCCGAGAGGGCATCGTGTGAGCGTTTCCAACTGGTGGTGACCAACGAGAACCGGGTGAGCAAGTACACCCTGTGGGTGTCCCGGGACGGCCAGGGCAGGGCGGTGCCCCGCCGCTACCTCATGATGGGCTACAACACCCTGCTGGGATCCCACTTCGACAAGTACGAGCTCATCTACCACGGCTTCTCCCGCAAGCCACTCCCATCGTCTGTGTTTGACATCACCCACCTCATCAGTGAGTGGCCTTTCGCTCCCCTGCTTGGGGGCTTGCCATCTGAAGCTCCCGTGTGCAGGAAAGTGAAGTAAACCTGCCCTTCACTTGCCAGCTTCTCCACCCCATGGGGGGAGGCCCTTGTCTCCCTCTTTCCCTCCCGGCAGACGATGCTATTTTTTAGCGTGGCTGTGCAACACCTCTTAGGACAATGTTCTCAAACTCGGTTCCCCAGACTACCCTTAGGGGTTCTCCGAACTCCTAGGTTTCTCCTCAGTCGTCCCTGACCCTAAGTGAAGTGTTCAACTAGCCTAAGCACTGTTTAAGATCCAAGCCATTCATTCACTAGTGCGTAAGCACGGCTTGCCCACGAATCTGGACGAAGCCTTTTCAGCGACCGCATAAATCGGCTCAGTTACATACTGCGTTACGATTTACCACAGGGGTGCCCAAAAATGGTGGAAGCGTCGCATAAAAATTAAAAGAAAGCAAAAAAACTTACCTGAGTAAAAGAAAAAAAAACAAAAAAAACGATAACTGTTTTTTTTCATCCACAGTGCCCCCGTCTTCTATGCACAACAGATGGTGGCGGCAACCCCGGCGCAAGCTAGCTGCGCGGTCACGCCAAAAGCAGATGCTTTTAGTCGTAAACGGTGCCCACTCAATAAAACGAATTAACTGGAGACAAAACAAACGATTCCGATGGTTCGGCAAATAATATCAGCTAGATGTCGTTCGCTTTTGGTGCAACCGGGTGGTAAGCTTGCACCGGGGTCGCTGCTGCTGTCTGTTGGTTGTTTAGGGGTGGAACGGCTGTGCCATTTGCGTCATCTTGTGCCAGACGCATTTGTCTGCGCCATCCTGCGTCATGTTGCAGAAACTGCGCCACAGCCTATACCTCGTGCTATTACGCACCAAAGCGCAAAACATGCACCAAAAAAATTGTATTTTGTCTTGGTTTTGGTTTTTATCGACTCAATTGCCAACAATGAGCGCGTTTAGCTTGGTCGACCTTATAATTCTTTGTTCTGTTTGTTCACCCTGTGTATCCCGAGTCGGAAGCGCGCAAAAAAACTTGGGGGTTGGATTCTAAGTGCTACATCACCAGCGAATGGATTGTTATGCCGAGGTGAGGTGGATTTGCGAAGCGTCAGATTGTCCAAGGCTCTGTGGCCCAGGATCCGGACGTCAGCCAGTTGAAAACAATGGAGCAAAAGATTCCTTTCAGTACTCCATTGTTAGAAGTTGGAACCGCATTCCCGCAAGATAAATCGTGATTTGATAGAACTGGAACGCAATTTGATTCGAAACCTTGCCGGCCAGCAGTGCTTATGCAAGCGGTATATCTGCTCGGCATACCTTGCTCCTGCTTATCGCTTCAAATACGATAACTCACTCCGTCAATTGGAATCTGCTGCTTCGATATTGAGTTGAACAATAGTATAAACTAAAAATTTGTTGCCCTGTTCCTCCGCACAACTGCACGTCCGTTGCTTACGCACGTCACGTGGTTCGCACATATAATTACTATGTCAAGCACGTGTGGGTTGTGCGATAAGCAGTGCTGGTTTGCATTTTAAGCAGCTGAAAGCCACTGAGAAATTACTAAGAACACTATCTTCAAAAACATATGGTACTTGCTTTTTGGTTCTCATTAAGGCACACAAAGTTTAAAGTTTTCACGTCTGTTACACTGTTATCCCATCTACCTAGGTCCCTAACCACTCATGTTCATCTGTGCTGTGAAGCACAATTGAAATTGCTCCCGTGCTCGTCTAAGACACAAGCTGAAGCGCAATGAAGTTGATCTGAGCTGCCCCTATCATCCTCCAGAATGTAGATTTAGCTGCTCCCAACCTGCTCCAAAACAGCTGTCTCAGCTGCTCCTGTGGCTGCTCCCAAGTACATTTCATGAGTTGGTTGTTGCACCAGTCAGAGGGTGGGTGCACAGCAGACGGGCACCGTAAATAAAAAAAATTGGTTATTCTTTTTGTTTTGTCTTTCTATTCGGGGTAAGCTGGTTCTTTTAAATTTTGGTGCAGTGCTTCCACCCCTTTCGGGCAGTTCTGTAGTCAATCATAGCACATTACGTTACCAAGCAGATTTACGAGGTCACTTTAAAGGCTTTGTCCGGATTCATTGGCACGTTCTATGTAGCAGACACCCACTGGTCTCTGTGCATTGCTCTTTTCGAGCTCTGTTGATTTCTGTACTGCTTTATTGCATCAGTGCCCAGACCGGGAAGTGTTCCCCGTCTATCAGTCGAGAACAACATATGTTTTTCGAGATACAAAATTTTGAGAAGCCCTGTCCTGGATAACACGGCCGGGGGGCTGAATTATTGAATTAAAAAGCAAATGTTGCGTCCAAATTGAATGCAAGTTGTGCGTCGGTGTTTCGGCTGAAACTCTTCTTCCATCGACGACAATGCGAGTCTATGTCGAACGCCGATGCAGCACTCGTCTCAGTCTCTTTTCGACGCGTTCAGAAAGGGCGTCGTCTGCTGGGAGGGAAAGAAGAAATATTTGAGGGCGAGGGTGTAAAGCTGAATACGATGGTTGGCGTTGCTTTCGGTATAGGCGGGCTTTGTTTGCCTACATCTCCTACATAAGAAGGCAGTAGTTCTGGTTATTTTATGTTTGATGCCGGAGGCCGGCGCGGAGCAGATTTGACGTGAGTACTGCGTCGACATTTAGCTGTGACTCGCCAAACTCTGACTTCTTCCTTTATTAACTGAAAAAAAAAAAAAAAGACGGTTTACTCGGTTTTTGTTGACTCCTGCCTAGTACATCAGGTGTCCAAGGCCACGGAATGACACTATCGTGTTATTTCAAAGACAAGGACAAACTTTTGAGTTTCTTTTTCACTTGTGAAAGGATCAGACACTGTTGCTGCCAAAACTCATATTACCTACCCCATGTATACAAATCGTTTTAAACCAAGGCAATGCAATTTCTAGGGTAGGCTACGGTATTCTCCAGACTATAGTCCGCAGGGGCTGATTTCAGCTGAAGAAAAATTGTTTCTCCACGGCTAGTCCGCACTCCGTGCATAGTCCGCACCTGGTGCCTAGTCTGGACGTAAACCTTATCCGTAGCACACTTTGACAACTGCCTGCTTTAATAGCGTACAGAACAGCATTTTATATACACAGGGGTGGAACGGCTGCGCCATTTGCGCCATTTTGCGCCAGATGCGTTTGTCTGCTCCATCCTGCGCCATTTTGCGGAAACTGCGCCACAGCCAATACCTCGCGCCATTATGCACCAAATCGCACAACGTGCGCCAAAAAAATTGTATTTTGTCTTGGTTTCGGTTTCGATCGACTGGATTGGCAACAATGAGCCCGTTTAGCCTGGTCTGCCTTGCAATCCTTTGTTCTGTATATCCTCCTTGTGTATCCAGAGTCGCAAGCGCGCGAAAAAAAACTCGGGAATCGTATTCCAAGCGCTACACCACCTGCGACTGGATAGTTATTCTTCAAGTAAGTTGGCCGAAATGTGGTCGAGTCGTTAAGCGTCAAATTGCCTGAGGCTCTGCGGCCCGGGGTCCGGACGTCAGCCAGTTGAAAACACACTAGCAAAAGATTCCTTTTAGCACTTCATCGTTACAAGTTAGAACCACATTCCCGCGAGATAAATCGTGATTTGATAGAACTGAAACGCGGTCCGATCCGAAACCTTGCCGCCCAGCAACTCTCACGCGAGCGGTAAATCTGCTTGGCGTACTGTAACCTTGCTCCTGCTTATCGCTTCGAATACAATAACTCCGTTAATTGTCGTCTGCTGCTTCGATATTGAGCTGCACAATAGGATAAACTCAAAATGTGTTGCCCTGTTCCTCCGTGCAACTGCACGTCCGTTGCTTACGCACGTCACGTGACTCGCACATATAATTACTATGTCAAGCACGTCTGGATTGTGGGATAAGCATTACTGGTTTGTACTTTGCGCAGCTGAAAGCCACTCGGAAATTATCAAAGACACTATCTTCAGAAACATATGGTACTTTTTTTGGGTTCTCATTAAGGCTCACAAAATTTCAACTTTTCGCATCTGTTACACTGCTATCCCATCCACCTAGGTTCCTAACAACTCATGCTCATCTGTGCTGCTAAGCACAATTGAAATTGCTCCTGTGCTCGTCTAAGGCACAAGCTGAAGTGCAATGAAAGTTGATTTGAGCTGCTCCTAGCCTGCACCAGAATTTAGATTTAGCTGCTCCCAACCTGCTCCAAAACAGCTGTTTCAGCTGCTCCCGTGGCTGCTCCCAAGTACATTTCATGAGTTCCACCCCTGTATACATGAACTGTCATCACCATACCTTCTTGTTCACCAAATCTATCTTGCCATATTGATTGATCTAGAGAAGGCAAATCCTTGTATAGCCTGCACCTGTAGATAATCCGTGCCATGTGAAATTTTGACTTGTAAACAGGTATAGCAAAAAAATACTGTGCTTCAAGAAAAAATTTGAAAGGAAAACGAGTGGACCAACTTTCAGGGTGGTCATCTTTTGGAATACTATTACAATCTCAAAATTTTTATACAGCCCCTTTATAGGATGTGCAGCAGTCCGAAGTTGCATGCACACGTACGTTGCACATGGCCTGTCTTACTTTTGCAGACGAGACCTGTCGCCGATTCCCGGGCCCCGGCGCCGAACACCTGGCACTCCACAGCCCCATGGCGGAGTTTATGAACGGCCATGATGCTCACATGCATTCCGCCTTTGACAAGTTCAGGGAGGATCACAGCCGTGACTACGGACACCATACTGAGCACGAGAGGCGACGTGACATCTTCAGGCAGAACCTCAGGTTTGACTCTCCTTAGGCTCTCCTTAGGACTTGGCTTTGTGTACAGTTGCAAACAACACGAAAAAGCTCAAGCGTGCACGTCGCTTCGAAGACCTCCGGTGCTAAAGCCGTGCTATCATTGAGGCTATTGCATGCACGAGCGGCATTTCAGTGGCTGTACAATTTTTGTCAATATTCCCCACTTGGTCGGCAGACAATTGACGAGTCAACGCTGACTTCGGCGCTATATTTGGATCGGCTTGTGGCATTTCGGTTAAAAGTTGAGAGCGAGGAATCGCGGGATTGAAAGTGCAGTGTTTGTGCATTGCGTGAAAAGGCCTTGAGATAAAAAATGATAAGTGGTTTTAGCTTATTTCATAGAGCACTATTGTCATCTTTTATCTTGCAAACTTACGATCGTATGTCCAAAAACTGATTGATAAACTTGCCAACCTGGTGGTTCCAGCCACCCTTGATTTCATATTTTGTCATGCAACGGCTCTATGACAGGCGCTAAAATTACCATTATTTAAGCAACGGCCAGTGACGACAAAGATTTAACTACTGGTTAAGCCTTGATAACATCTAACTTGTTTTTGATAAATAGCGCTGCAGGCGTTCCAAGCCACACGCTCGCCTGGGCTTTTTCATATTGTCACGAATGACAAGTGATGAAACGACGAAAACTGAAGTAAACTAAACGTTTAATGGGGCAAACTTGTGCCCAAATTAATAAAAGGAAAAGGAAACAGAACAAAGCAGGAGAGGGTCGCGGGCGTCGATGTCGGCGAAACCGCAGGATCGAGCGCTGGGGCGAGACTGACTCCGGCTCGCCACGCGGGGCTCCTTATGTACATGTTTGAGCTTCTGGAATAATCGGTGTCGAATGTTCGACGCATAGAATATTCGGACCTCGAACAAGCAACACAATTCTCGAATTTACCAGAAGACTAAATTGCAGGAATAAACAAAAGGACGCGTAACTCCCGGGAATCGAACCCTGGCTCTTCGCGTGGGAGGCAAGCGCGATAACCGTTAGGCCACGGCCGCGCTGCCTACTTGGCGCGCGGCATTATTCTCCCCCTTAAAAAGTGTATCATTCCGATGCAACACAAAACAAAACAAAGCACATAAAAAGGACGGGAAACTAAAGAGTCATTTGAAACACATTAGGTCCACAGTCCTATCGGCTTCAGGCGCACGACGTGGGCGACTTCAGGTCGTGGTGGGCGGCGTGATGATGTTCTTGTTCCGTCGGGCATCACCTCTTAGTTCAAATCTCCTAATCGACAAAGTACCTTGTAGGGTCCGAAAAACTGTTATAGGAGTTTCTCGCTGAGACCACGGCGGCGAATCGGAGTCCAGACCCATACTCTGTCTCCGGGCTGGAAGTGGACGTCCCGGCGACGAAGGTCCTAAAACGGTATTTAGGACCCTACAAGGTACTTCGTCGACTAGGAGATCTGAACTACGAGGTGATGCCCGACGGAACAAGACCATCATGCCCCGCATGATGTTCTTGTTTCGTAAGGTGCTGAGGCTCAGCACCTTACGAAAAACACCGCTGTGCGTCACCCCAAAGAACTCCCCGACTCAGCCGCAGTCGCCAGGATATCAAAAGACCTCTCTTCGTGGCCACCCAAGATAACGCCGCTTTTGCAGTTTGACATCGACCCAACCTTGCCTGCCCCACAACGACGACAACTCAGTGACCTTCTCGCCGAGTTCATTAAGTGCTTCTCCACGTCGTCAAAGGTGCGCCAAACGACCGTTGCGAAACATGGAATTGTTACTGATGACGACGCGCTTTCTGTTTATCGGTCACCGTTCCGTGTCTCTGTGAAAGAGAGAGAAGTCATCCAGAAGCAAGTTCAAGAAATGCTCGACAACGACATTGTCCAACCCTCAAGCAGTCCGTGCGCTTCACCGGTAGTCCTGGTGAAAAAGAAAGACGGGACTCTTCGGTTCTGCGTGGACTATCGCCGATTGAACGCCGTAACAAAAAAGGACGCGTAACTCTCGGGAATTGAACCCTGGCTCCTCGCAAGGGAGGCAAGCGCGATACCCGTTAGGCCACGGCCGCGCTGTCTACTTGGCGCACGGCATCACCCCGTAGTTCTTTCATGCCCCGCATTAGGACCTTCAGCTTCTTTTCTTCTGGGGCGTCAGGATCCGCGCGGCGGCTCAGTCGAAGAACATCTTCGACAAAGCTGACGACACTCTCATTAGGGCCCTGAACCCTCGCTTGAAGGAGGTCTTCGGCGCGTTCTCTTCGGTGTTGGTTAGTGAATGTTCTTCCTAACTCAGCCTTAAATTGCTCCAAGGTGGTGATTGATGCTTCATGGTTCTCGAACCAGTTGCGCACGGTTGCTTTTAAGGCAAAGTAAACATTCTGAAGACATTGTTCCAGTGTCCACCCATTATGGCGAGCCACTTGTTCGTACTGTTACACCCGGTCATTGATGTCTTCGTGGCTCTCGCCGTGGAAGGAAGCCGGTGTCCGAGGAGCGACGGGCAGGTAGATGACGAAAGGGGCGGCCGGGTTCTGCTGGGTCATCTTGATCGCCCTGGTTTTCGAGTTCTCGGGTAGAAGTCCCAATTCCGGGGGTAGGCCTTGCTTGCGGCGACTTGACCGGGCCTTGGTCTGGTCCTCTGCGAACGGTGGCCTCCTGGGGCTGAGCACGTCACTTCGCTGGCGTGTCTTCGGAGGGGTACGGTTCACGGGCATTAAATGCAAATACCCCGCACTTCCACCCAAATGTCACGAATGACAAGTGATGAGGCGACGAAAACTGAAGTAAACTAAACGTTTAATGGGGCGAACTTGTGCCCAAATTAATAAAAGAAAAAGAAAACAGAAGAAAGCAGGAGAGTGTCGCGGGCGTCGATGTCGGCGAAACCGCAGGATCGAGCGCTGGGTCGAGACTGACTCCGGCTCGCCACGCGGGGCTCCTTATGTACATGCGTGAGCTTCTGGAATAATCGGCGTAGAATGTTTGACGCATAGAATATTCAGACCTTGAAAAAGCAACACGATTCTCGAATTCACCAGAGGACTAAATTGCATGAATAAACAAAAGGATGCGTAACTCCCGAAAATCGAACCCTGGCTCTTCGCGTGGGAGGCAAGCGCGATAAACCGTTAGGCCACGGCCGCACTGCCTACCTGGCGCATTGCATTATCGTCCGCTACCTTACACTCTGCAACGTCACTAGCACAAACAAGCCATTGCCAGCTTCCTCTATTTTTTTTTTTTCAGTATTGAAGAACTGAAAGAAGGAAAGTGCTCAGTTGAAGTATGCGCCAGTACCTTTTCAAAGCAGAATGTGAAAAGGCACTGTAGTGACGTTTGCTTACGGTGTCACACAGTGTACCTGCACAGTCAATTTTACCCCCGAAAGAGATTCTTTTTAATATTTATCCATACTTTTGTGCTCAGAAACTTGCATTTTTATAGATGCACGAAAGCAGTGCCACATTTTTGGCCCACGGTCTCGCAGGGTGAGGACGACAACGGTGCCCAGTCGTCGCTACACCCGTGTGTCTGTCAGACACTGCATTGTTCAACAGCAGCAATGGGCCACTCATCAACACGATGAAGCTCACGGTATTTGTGACGAGCAATCGCTACTAAGAGCAATGTCCGAGACTGCGAGATACCTTGTGCGTCGCATTTCTGGTTGGCACTCACCGAGGGTTACGCCTCCGAAGGGTGCACAACTGCACCTTTCGGGACAGGAATCCTCGGCGGTGCAGCCAAACGTTCTCCGCCTCCAGGGTCCCCCGGAAGGTGCTAATCAGAACTGAAGGTGCACGATTCACACCGCTCGGGATGTTAGACGAGCGTCGGCCCTTCGGCGGCAGTGGAAGGAGCGCGAGACCTGGGTTTCTGTATATCTCATTGGAAAGGGTTAATGCAGGGATTCTATACACCTTTCCAAGAAACACCCCTGGGCCGTCGCCACGTTGCCGATGATGGTGCAGCTGGTGCGACTCTCGCGCTTCCTATCGGCCGTAAATCTTCTGCCACTCCCTTGGGCTGTTGGAACCTGTTCAGCGCGATTCTCCGCCCACGTTTTGCGGTTTTACATTTCAAGTTTTTCAGCCCCTCTTGAAAGTTTCCACTTTATTTTCCGTATGCATGCTGCATGCACTTTTTGGGTTATCTTCCACAGTGAGAAATAGGGCTGGCAAGTGTGTGCCATTCAAGCGTTTCTGCTTGACATTCACAAAGAATGAAGGAAGGGAAGAATGGTTGAATGGCCCTCGACGAAATTTTGCGGACGACGACAGCCGATCTTTCCTCTTCCAGAGGTAATCTGCATAGAGTCCTTCTCAGTCATCGCCAAAAATAGCTGTCTGGGTTGGGGTGGGATCAGTCGCGTCCATTCCTTTGCCTTGGTGCTGGTGGTGTTGTGGATGAAGGATGCTCTCCCCAAAACGTGCCCCAAAACAAGGTCTTCTTGGATTCCATTTGATCGTCAAGATGTGACTGTCGTCGACACTAGTGCTGCGTTATTTGAGATCTTTTTCTAATAAATCCTTTAACAAACATTTTAGTCATATCCGTTCTGTTATGCACGTACCCAACAAAAAAAGTTAACATTTTTAAATGTACTAATACAATGCTTTCTCAATATCCTCAAGAAAATACATACATAATAAAACACAAAAAAACATCGGGAAAAGACAGAAGTTAGCCGCCTGCAGTGTCTGAATTTGTGCCCATCGAAATCGACTGTCTGCTCGATCAGGGTTAGCAGGGATGCCGGCAAGAGACTAGCCTCAAACCCAGTGAGTGGGCTCGAAAAAGGTTCTCTTGTCCCTGGGGACGAGTGTTTCTTGGAAAGGTGTAAACAATGGGGGCTTCATTAAGAGCAACTGTTTTGATAGGAGCTCCCGGGTACTAGGAACAGATTGAGCTCCTTTAGTTAGTTTGTGGCAGTGTGCAATGAATATGCAGCCAGATTACATTACAGTTTTTGTGCTTGCAGCTGGGACACAATAGGCTAATTACTAGAGTCACTGAATGTTCCCAGAGCACCAATTTCATTCAGTCCGCTTACCGAAAGTCAATCCAGTTCTGGTTGGCTGGTTTAGCTCATGGCAGAAGTGATCAGTCTGCGATTTCGTGGATCGGCCCAAAACATATATAAAACGTTTTCATGTTACACGGCTACGGCGGGTACACACGGGTGAGAACTCTTGGCGTCAAGGAGTTAGGACAGAACGGAATTGATTTTCTAGTTTTTTTGTATGTCGAGTAGCTGCTAATGTGGTTCGCTAAAGAAGATTGCCAGATTTTTTTGCTCGGTCCAGTTGCGCTGGTGCTGCGTTTCAAACCGTACGCCTTAGATGCTAATCCGAACACTCGACTTCGATGATGTGTTTTGAGGCGAGGGAGAGAGAGAAAGACAAGACAGCGAGGAGCAAGTCACGCATCACGCATAATGAAGGAAAGAGCTCTAATGAAAACAAACCAGTGTCGCCACAGGCCAGGAACGTGGATTGAAGAGCTCACACTAGAACAAACGCTATACTGTATTCGCTTCGCTTAGACCGCACAGGGCAGCACCATATCTCAAAGATTGTGACGGCTGCACCGCGACTTGGTTTCAAAATGAAAAAAGATTGAGTTTTGGTACTCTGGAAACATTCAATGACTCTAGACTAAACATTAAAGGCCCTCATGGCTTTGGTGCCCTTTCTTACCTGTGTGGGAGATGTCAATGTTTGTTTTCTTGCATGTTTTCTATATTTGCGTGAAGTGGTTTGTGGCATTGATTTTGTTGGATACAAATTGAATATGCCTTTGAAATCGGACAATTTGCAAAGAATGTAAGACTTGTCCTCGAAAAGAATCCCATATCTGACTATAGGTTGAAAAGTGTCTTGCCTACACTTCCAAATCTTTTTACGGGTATTTGCGCTATGCTATTGAAGCAATGTTTATACGCCAAAGTGGTTTATATTTTCTTCAAAAGAAAGATACCAGTGCAGTCACGATGCTGAATGTTTTTAAAGCACACAGCGTTCAATGTGCTCGCGCAATGGCACGCATTGCATGGCCATGGAGGCAGTGCGTGTTTAATAAAGCGTGGAATGCTTTTCATTGGTATCCCCTACCCTCTGAAACTTGCTTGCCCATCGATACATTTCCCCACAAAACATAGCGGAAATCAATGTCACTTGATGATGTCACGTGTCGTCACGGTGTCAAGTTGCAGTGTCGCATACAATATGGCATTACTTCTCCATTCCACCGAGACGACCAATACAAATCCCCCCCTATACAAATTTGAACGTTTGCTCTTTAAATACTGCATTTCTTACATCATGGGGTAAGTGTTTTTATGGTTTAATCGCAACATTGGCACATCTGATTCGCCCATTGATGCGTAGCTATGATTCGAACACTCCCTATTGTCGCTAACAAGGTGGGAACGGCAGGAAGGGGCTTCAGTTGTCTCCTCTCCAGCGCGAGCTTTCTACATTTGACAACGCTTCAGCGTTTTGTGCACCTTGAGCGTACGCGCGCAGCCAAAGCACAAGGGAAAGCCAAAGCACAGCGGAAAGCCACAGTGCTGCAGAAGGCCAAAGCGCAGCAGAAGGCCAAAGCCCAGCGGAAGGCCAAAGCACAGTGGAAGGCATGAAGCACATGCCTTCCAGTCATTTGGCAGACTTGCCCTGCCGTTCTCACTCTGTGAGTGATTATGCGGAGCGCAAGCTTGTCTGCTTCCTGTACTGGGGTTGCAATGATGTCGGAATGCCGAGCTCTTATTGGCCGACTGAAAAAAAATAGTGGGTAGACCTCAAGGCATCAAGCATTGAGGTGAGAACCCTGCGCCTTTCAGACGTCACCATGACACCTGCGCAAAAAGCAGACGACTTGCTCTCCGCATAGTATGTGCATTAGTTTTTACAAGGTCTGTAGGCTTCTGCACCGCTGTATTACCTCAGAAAGGGGTTTGTCAAGAGTGAGAAGTTTAGGAACGTCTGCAGTATGTTGTATGATTTTAAAAAATAAAGGTCCCTGGCGAATTTTTCTTCTAGGTTCATCCACTCTACGAACAGGGCCAACCGCGGCTACACCGTAAAGGTGAACCACCTGGCTGACCGTAGCAGCGACGAACTGGGCTACCTGCGTGGGCGGCTGCAGTCGCGGGCGCCCACCAACGCCCTGCCTTTCCCGAAGGACAGGTTCAGCTCGGACTTGCCCGACTACGTGGACTGGAGGCTGTATGGTAATGTGACTCCCAAGTTGGATGTCTCCTACCCGCTTTAGGCGAAACCGGGGTTTTCCTTTACAAAGAAGCCCACATCGCCGTGAGGCATTTTAGCAGCGGGTGGGGTTTACGAAGCATTCATAAAACATCACTGAAATATGAATATATAAAAAAATCTGTCAAACACAACTAGTTAGAAACACAAAGAAGCATTCCTGTAAACATATCTGATCGATTTTGTTTAAATTATCTATCAGCATAACCAATGTAAAAAGGCCATTATCTATTGTACAATTGGATTATAAGAAGCACTATCAAAATTTGCTGGAAAGATAAAAGCACCATCCATCAAACACGAGCCAAAGAACTATTCAAAAGGCTATTTTGAAAATTTGTCAAGAATACATCTTTATGCTGCCTATTCCACTCTTCAGTGGTTTTCGGGATATAAGAAAAAATTGGGCAGGCTGTATCGAGGATGCAGCTGCAAAGGGGTATCTGAAAGGTGTTGTGCTCGCTGCAGAGGGGGTATGGACACTAGGGTACAGAAACAATGTAACCAAATATGCAACTTACATTTATTCATGCATTACAAAGCTTACATGCTCAAGTTATGCTGAAGCCAGTAGGGTTTTTATGGTCTAGTTGTGCAAGTGTGCTTGCTCCCTATTCGTAATAGTGGGCCCGTTTGTTTTGCACGCTTGCTCTGGTTACTCTGAGGGGGTGACGATGGGAGTGGGCCACCTTCTGTCTTGCTGCCCGAGTTTCTTCGCCATTTTTGGGATCTTCATATCGAATGTGGGGCACCGCAGCTAAGCACCCGGAAAATTTCTGCAGCAAATTACACGCTTGTAATCCTTGTAACTCCTGAAGACCACCGGTTTGAGTTCGATGGATTATACCTTCTATGGCAGAGTGAGCTCACTTGAAGGCAACCACATCCGCTCAGATAGTCAAACGTACTGCCGATCTATGCCTCTGTGAACACCGCGGACGAGGCTAAATTTATCTTAGATTGCCTCGAGCGTGGTGCGACAACGACACAAGTTGTGCGTGCGACACATGCATGATCACGTAATGGCTTCTTTCCTGTACACAACGATACCAAAGGAAGGTGCGCAAGTAGTACAGTTGCAACAATATAAGCAATATTAGAGTTACACGTTTTAGTGAGCGAAAGCCTACCGACCAAAGTGAAAGACATTTCACAACAAAAGCAAACTCATCAGCGCGACAAGAGTGTGGTCGGATTTTGCTCGTGTGATCCACTCTTCCTGATATATAAAGCTCTGTAATATCCGGAGAGGGTAGTTGCAGAATACTGCTCTGTCGCCACTTTCGACGGAATTTCGATTCCAGCAACTCTGCTGGAACTTGAGATTGCGCATAATTAATTCTTTGGTCCCGTTTGCCTAGGTCTTAGGAACTCGCTTAGAAACTCGTCGTGTGGAGAGATTGCTTGGCTGAACATCGTCTTTTCCGTCATCTTTGTTTCCTTGCGATCCAGGAGCGGTGACGCCCGTGAAGGACCAGGCCGTCTGCGGATCCTGTTGGAGCTTCGGCACCGTGGGCGAACTGGAGGCCGCACTCTTCCGCAAGGCAAGACGCTTTTCCATGTTTGTAATTGAAGCTGTTGATGCCATCAAAAAGAAAAAAAAAAATGATTACTATTATAACGAGAGCCTGAGGCCGCGTAAATTTCCCGCACTCGGGGGCATAGCATAAGTGAAAAGGCAATGGAAATAGGAGAAATATCGGTTTGTTTTGACTTCACTCATCTTCACTGCACAGGTCCTTCCGCTTACAATCCACTTGGGAGCTACACAGATAAGCAGCAGCACAGGGCGGCCCCCGTCTGGTAGTTCCTTTTCCTTTGACGTGAGCTCCCCAGCAGTCCACAAGCAAAGCAAGGCGGGAAGCAGAAACACCAACACACAAAACACCAGACCACTCTAAAGCGGAAACTAAAAAATGCGCAGGCAGAAAAAAAGACTACTGAACTTGATACACAATCACACTTATTCTTGTTCTTGTCCCTTTACATAAACAAACACGTTGTGTTGCACGATTGCGTAAACACGGTCAATGGTCTTGGCTTGGCTTGTGTTGACTTGACTTGACCTGGCCTGGCTTGGCTCGAATTGGCTAGTGCCCGCATGGCGCGCTCCGTTTCTGCGGCGTGCGCACGTTGTACAAACACAAAAGCGATAAAAATGCTTTTTGGGTTTTCTATTTGCCCCTTCATGGTGGCCCATTAGCTAATGAATTCCCTCCCACACCCCCACTTCTTTTCCCACCCAATCTTTTTCATTGAGCCGGAAGGATGGCTTTCTCCTCTGGCTTTGTCCAGACTCTCGCTCCTCGTGGCTGAACTCGATTCCGAATATAACGCGACGTCCGTTTTGGAGCACATAATTTCGAGAAAAAAAAAGAACTCGCGTTATATTCATGCAAATACGGTAATTATAAGCAGGTATGCCACACATGAGACATTGGTGAAATGTATTCAATAACTTTATTCATCCCTCAAAAATGTTGTCTATAGTGGACTGTTTAGAGAGAACACGACACCTTAAAACAAAATGAAGTTTGTTCATCCAGCAGAAAAGCAGTCTACACTTCGTTTCACCTTATGTCCGAACGCAGTGGATGCTACGAGCCATCGTCGCAGCGAATCTAAGGCCGTGTGAGTGTCTTGAGACCTTGGAGAGGGGGCACAGCGACGTGTGGGAAGTGTATCGCGGGCTACCTCCACAGAGCGGGCTGGACTACGATAGCTCATAGCGTCCACTGCATCCGGACTTAAGGTGAAAATGAGTACTCTAGCGTAGAGCATTAGCCCTGTCGAGTGCGCTTCTTGCCGAGCACCGGCGCACTGTGGAAAAGCAACACCTGCGGAAGCCAGCTCCGGGGGTATTGCTTCTCCGCTGTGCACTTGTGCTTGGTAGGTAGTGTGCTCAATGGGACCGCGAAGACAAAAAGTATGAATTACAGGGAAACACCATTTAAATTAAGCGGTTTATGAATACATTAAAAACGTAGCGAGACAACCAAAATTGAAAAATCTGTTTAAATTAACCAGAAATATGAAATATCCTAGCTTCAATTATCGCGACCCTACTGTATTTCTTTGTATATTTGAAAAGATACTGGTGTTCAAAGCACAGATAATTGGAAAGGGCTTACTGTTGAGGGCTCATGTCGCTCATATGCCACAACCGGACAGCATCAATCCACCACTTCCCCGGAGAACCGGTACCCCCTGGCAATCACTTCGTTCGAGGATTCCTCACTAGGGATGCCGCAAACTTTTTTCGAACCGAAGTTTCGACTATCGAATCAAGTGGTTCGAAAGGTTTCGAATTTTTGAACTTTCTATATTGTAAAATTCGACGGAAGTAGAATTTTCAAACTTATTAAACTAGCAAGTTCGACGCGGAAGACTCCCGTTCTGCTGCAGGTCGCTCTCTGACTTGACAGCTCACGGAGGCTTCAGCAGCTGGGAGTTGAAACGCCGTGACGACGGCAACAGTTGCGTTTTCTTTCGGAACGTCCGCGCCCAAACGCCGGGATCGCAAAATCCAACAGCCTGACACTCCGGCTTTTACGACATCGTTTGTTGCCACTTCTGAACCACTTTCGACGCGTGGGTGGGACGGACGCTAAACGGTCCAGTAGGAGACTCGTTCCAAGCGCCGAAATTCTCCGGTAACGTTTGGCGGCGGCATACTTCACTCCACAGGGGCCGTACGGATGTCCCGACGTACGGCCTCCCGTGACAAACACCCCTTGTGTCGCAGACGGGGAAGCTGACCCGGCTCTCGGAGCAGCAGCTGGTGGACTGCAGCTGGAACCAGGGGAACAACGGATGCGATGGAGGAGAGGACTTCCGCGCCTACGAGTACATCCGTGCTCACGGCCTCGCCACCGACGAGGACTACGGGGCCTACCTGGGACAGGTGCGCTTGGGAGAAATCTGCTACTGGAGCTTTTTTTTTTTTTTCATTAGCGATTCTTTGATGCCCAACACTTTACTTTGAATACTGGAATCGTACAGGACTCTAATGCGGTTTTAGAACACACGGAATAACAGAAGTCTGGTTTCCTAAAAAAAGTACCTTTTTTTATTAGTGTGTTGCAAATATTTGAATTATCAGATACAGTGTAGACCGCATATAACGTATGTCGCGGGAGTCGTGAAAATCCGCACTATAAGCGGTACCGCGTTATAACCAAAACATCAATTTTTCAGGCCAAAATACATGCCATGAGACAACTTACCTTTGTAAAAGAATTTATTTTATGTTAGATGAAAAATAAAGCTTAGTTTGAGGAAAGTCTTTATTTCACCAGACTAGTACAGTTCTCTCTCAAGTGTGTCGCACATTTTGAAAGAAATGAGCGACTTCTGCCTGGCGCAGCCTTTTATTGGCGTCGCGGGTTGCGGGCGGACTTTGCGAGCGTTCAGGATTGCTAACCCTAATCACTTTTCTCAGGCGATGAAAATGCGTAAAATTTGCATCCTTCATACGGCACGCGCCAGTAATACCTTGAACTTGAGCACATGCATGAAGTGCACCAAATAAGAAATCCGGGCGATGTTCGAGGTCACAAATGCTTAGAAAGCACCACTGTAGTCGAAGTAAACAAACACGACGACACGGGCGTTTCTGCTGTCTTAAGAGTGCCGCCACGACATCGCCGCACGAGTAGGTGGATCTTCCCTTCTAGTACGTGCTGGGTTATCATAGCGACACACAACGAAAATTCACAGTCAAGGATATCGCTTTTACGCGGAACGATGAGATGAACGGCGTCTGCGACGACGATTACAACCGATGCGACGCCATGTTTGCGGATAGAAGCAGCCGGCCCGCGACCGGCATGCATCGCGCGCGAACACTTCTCCTCGACCTGCGATTGGTCTGTCGTTGCGGTTGTTTCGAACGCAGCAGAGGGACGCGCGCACGTGAACGACACGTGCGTGTGTCCCTCCGTCGCTATGGCAACTGAAGCCTCTCTCTTCGCTCCTCCCCCCTTCTTCGAGCAACCTCCTTGCCCCGCGAGTGCCGCTTGCCATGCTTGCTCGCGCCGTCAGCGCCGCTATCTAGTGTCGCACAGGGAAGCGTGCTCGCTGCTCCGGTCGGCGGCGCGGTCGGCGGGCTGTGCCAAAAACCGCACTACATAACCGGTATTTCCCTTCGCGCGCCTGCATTTTAAGCGGTATGTAATTACATGGAGTTCTATGGGAAGTGAACGGGTGGTTTAAAAAAACCGCGTTATACCCGGTTCTGCACTATAAGCGGTTACGTTGTAAGTGGTCTATACTGTAGTAGTTTCGAATAATACGCTATTTGATATACGCTATGAGATATTATGTGATACTATTCCTATTTTTTTTTTTCGAAGTGTTGATTGCAGCGGGTTAGCCCTGTTGAGCGCGCTTCTTGACGAGCACGGGTGCACTGCAGAGAAGCAACACCCCTGGAAGCGAGCTCTGCGGGTGTCGCTTTACTGCGGTGCACCGGTGCACCCATGCTCAACAGGCCTAACCCACCGAAATCAACATTTCAAAAAGTACAAATATTGCAGGCATGTGCATAGGGGGAAAGCACACTTTCAAAGCAGGAGGGTGCACGCGTGCGCCGGGTGTGTTTAAAAAGAAACTGAAGCTGTGTGAATGTTGATTGAACTAAAATTTTCAAAATTTAATTGTGGCGTTCATGCAAGAGTATTTGTTGGAAAGAGATGCCCTGACTATCTGTGCCTATAATTTAAGATTTTTTTTTATTTTTATTTATTTAAGATTGAAGAAAGTATATTTGCATATAGGAAGTTTTATAAATCCCCTTGATTAGGTATACCTGGGCATCTCTATTGATTTCATTTTATGTCAAATTCATCCTTTTTTTACCATTACACTGTAGGCATTCAAATTTCCGAGGTCACGGTTCATAAGTATGGTTAGATTAAAATTAACTTAGCTTAGAGATGGACAAGTAGAAGCCTGGAAGCAACCTTCATGAGTTCAGCTGGGTTTTCATTCAAGCGTGGTGCAACTGTAGTGAAAGGCTTAGAGAAACTATACAGTTAAAAAATATTCGGCCAAAACCAACCACTATTCGCTTCGCAGTAAAAATCAACTGCTTGCACATCACTACTTTTTTCATAAACATGTTGGAAGTGTTGCTCGTGAGTAACATTTGGTATCTGCAGCACTAATTCACATCGATTGACTGAAAGCAGTTATGACCTGGGAGAAGGCACGGGTGCATTTTGAATTTCGCGCAGTAGAGAATGGTATAACCAAATTTACAATATTTGCGCCCGTTTTTCTTGATGCAGTTTTGAGACCAGTGGTGCACGCCATCACGCTATCCACTGTCGGCTTTGGTTTTAAAGGACGAGGGATTGGTTTCCAAAACGCATTTCGATCCTTCACTGCTAAGCGCAGGTATCCTCATTCGTTGAGAGGCACATGGCTCGGGAAAAATAAATCTTGAGCTGTTGTTCCTTTTCAATGCTGAGCGTCAAAGGGCTAATCTGACTGATTAAGGATCTTCAGTCACAAACTTGCATAATTGAAACAGTTTTTTAAAGCACCACATTTTTTAAATAAGGGGTCTCCCATCATCTCAGCATTCATTTGCTTATCGCATACTAGTTATTTTTTTGTCACTGTTATAATATGAATGTGTCAATTCATTTTGTGTGCTGTTTTTTTACATTATCTAGGTAACTATTTGCCCTGACATTGTGTTAAGGGGGGACACTGGCTAGAGGTTGAACTTCTGAACTACTCAAATGATCGGAATGAAATTTGCAGGGGAGATTTAACTTCAGATGTAGGTGTATTGTGCAAGCTTTCAGCTCTCTAAGACAACTTTACATACCTGCATAAGAAGATGTGTCACTCTTCGTTAAGAAATCTATGATATGCAAATGAAGCTATTAAGCACCATTTTAACTGCTTGAGTATAAAGTGGGAGATGTGGGACTTCGGGCTATCTGGTTTTTATAACTCAAATGTAAATACTTCAAGAAGAGTGATTACCTCAAAATATGAGATGCATATCTGTCCCATGTCAATTTTTGAAAACATAGCTTTTTTTCAATGAGGACTTTAATGTAAAACAAAATAAAGTAGATAACCCAATTCCCCAGTAAATTTCAGTTTAGAAACATCTTGATTGTGGTATCAGAATAATTTTACCTTCGAACAAAAGATTCCTTCGTATGACATTTGCAGCAAAAAGCGGAACTGAGAAAAATGCATTCGAACATTGAACTCCTTTACTTTGTTACTGTCTCACATTGTGTCGAAAATATTTTTTATCAACATAACTATTTGGTGCATGGCTATGAACTTTAGTGTAAGGGTGTATAATTAGTTTCTAAAACCGAAAACCTCAAAATTGAAAAATGACTTTTTTTTCAAAAAATTTTGAAACTCAGGCCCATGTCCCCCCTTAATATTTATGTATTTTAGGTGTTTCAATATCAGTGCCTGTTATCGTAATATTTTATAAAAATTGGCCCAAACTAGCCAAATTGGCTTGTGCTGAGATGGTCTTTTAGTAACTCGTAATATGCATTGACTTTAATAAAAAAAATTGATTGATTGATTGATTGATCGACATACCGTTTTCAAAATTCAGTCCTCACCCTGTGCAGAGACGAGCACGACGCCGTAAATGACGGCATTCCACAGCTTCTTCTCGGCAGGAAAGGCGAACGTCCTCAAAAGCAGAAAGTGAGGGATCGATTCTTACGTCAGTCCTTTTACGTAGCCTTTGATTGACAAAGTCTAGGGTGCTCGATTTAGCCAATCTCGTTCTCTCGTCACCCTCATTATGCGGAAATATTGGAGCTCTCGAGACTGCCACCAGATGGCCCTTCTGAGAAGGATCTATCGAAATGAAATTCCCCCATCACATCAGCCTCAGCACTGTGATTGTCGACATGTCTTCGCAATCGAAGATTCCGTTTGCCGAGGTTCTGGACAAGATTAAGAACGATTCAAACGCTGAAATTGGGAGATAAGCGTATATCGGTAAACTAGAAGGTCTACAAAACTGAAGCCGTAAGTGAAAAGACCAGATCCAGTCCGCGGGCCACCGGTTTCCGAACCCCGTTCCAGAGGATGGCTCCTTGGTTGCAGGACGGCATTTGCCACGACACCAAGGTGAACGCAACAGTGACCACCATCAAGAACTACATCAACGTGACGGACAAGGAGTCGCTGCAGAAAGCCCTGGCCAACGTGGGGCCCGTGTCAGTCTCCATCGACGCGGCGGTCAAGGCGTTCACCTTCTACTCCAATGGAGTCTTCTACGACCCCAAGTGCCGTAAGCACCGGACTTTTTCTCGTTTGTGACTCGGACGCACGGTAGGAAAGTAAAACGGTACCGCTCGGAAAACTTGTTAGCGCGGGCGGCTAGGGATGGGCATGTGGAAGGGGACACAGATAAGCTGGCGTGTGAGTACATGCTCGATCGTAAACTTACTCGCACTTGTTTGTAACAACGGGTCTTGTTATGTATCGTAAAAACCCGCATACAATGCAATGTTTTGTTCCCCGGTTTTTAAAAGAATGGTTATCTCTGTGGTCGAGAGCATGGGCAACGGTGAGGTGGGACAAAAGTTTACGACGAACGGAGGCTGCGTTCATGGATGGAGGAGATCGAAACATGCCGTTTTCGCGTGCGAAAGCTCAAGAAAACATTTTTGGGCGAGGGCCGAAGAAAGCGAAGTTCTCCGAAACCGGTCTGGACCTGACTTGGTTCGTGAAAGAACAATGTCCTCTACACCATGCCGTAAACACTGTGCTGCTGCGGGCAAAGGCTATGGACCTGCATGTTCCTGCGTCGCTCTATATCTGGATCAAACTTTTTCTCTTTCTTTTCACGGGTCTTGGATTGCATTTTCTATTATGTGCAGGTTTTAGGGTATGTGTAGCTGGGGAAATATGAGATTTGGAAGAGCATGCAGTGACATCCTGTTTTCTTACTTTGCCGATAAATCAATAAATTGAAACACCCTCTGTAGGGATTTTGCTGGGCTGAATTGTGGCGAGAACCTGCGCATCAGTGGCGTAGCCAGATTTTTTTTTTTTTCGGTTAGGGTTGAGGTGACTGGGATCCATGACTTGGGGTGCGGAGGGGGGGTTTAAAATGCATGTGTATATATTATAGGGTCGGCTGAATTTCAGGAGAGGCTGAAGCACCATAAGCCTCCCCCCTGGCTACGTTACTGCCGCGCATTAGGTAATGAAACGCTGTAAGATAGTGGAATGTGTTTGGGTCAAAACTGCATTCCACTCAATGACTGCCACAAACTGTTTCGTTTTTTGTTAATTTGATGAAAGAAACATACAGACAACCTTTGGTGCCGGAGTGAGGTCTCGTTTATTAAAGGTAAAATTAAATAAAAAGGAGATGCCTCGGGTTTTAGTGAGTGTCAAGGACACATAGGTGATGACGCGATATGATCCATCCTCCTGTTCTTGACGCAACAATGCTCCCAAGCCGTGGGATGACGCATCTGCCGATACAGTCAATCTTTTGGTGACGTCGTAAATTCCAAGAACGGGGCAGGTTGAGAGGATTTACTTCCACTCTCTGAAGGCTTTCTGCTGAGGATGATTCCAAACGGAGTCCACTTTGGAACTTTTGTTATGTTTGCAACCCGATAAATGTTGCAGAAAATCGATCGTGTGAAGCCACCGTATAGCAGACAATTGATCTGCTGTATGCTGATGACTTAGAGGCAAACCATTCCCAGTTGTGAAATTTTCTGCTCGTAAAAAATATTTCCAGAACTGCACTCTCCAAAAATCGCTATATATCAAGCCCGCAAGAGCATGGTCGTTTATAAAAACAAAAACAAAAGTAACTCCCTTGATCGTGCTGACTAAGGCTGGGAAGCACAGAACGTGTTATGTATTAGCTGAGCACATGCTATGTGTATTTGTTGTAGGATCTCATGAGGTCACAGGACTGGGATGTCACATGATGTCATGGTGTCACAACGGCATTTGACATGATGACATGTCATGACGATGTCATAATAACGTCATAATGTTGTTATGTGACGTCGCGGTCTCTCGTGACGGTACGACGGGCTTTCACGACAGTTTTCTCGTAGAATTCGACTGATAAAACACTGTGTGTTACTAATGCAGGATACAATTTCTTGCTTTCCGTATCCAAACCTGTCGTTTTAAGCCGCGACCTCCGGGTTTTCGGCGCGCTTGTCCCCCCCAGGTAACGACACGGACGGCCTGGACCATGCCGTGTTGGCCGTGGGCTATGGAACCCTGCAGGGGGAGCCCTACTGGCTGATCAAGAACTCCTGGTCCACCTACTGGGGAAACGACGGCTACGTGCTCATCAGTCAGAAGGACAACAACTGCGGGGTGGCCAGCCAGGGCACCTACGTCGAGCTCTAGCATTTCAAGACGACGAGCCCTTCTGCACAATACCCTTGCAAAAGGTCTCTTTTGCAGACAAGGTTAACACAACTGGTTTACATATATGGAGAAATAGACACAATTTTTCTATGTACATAAAGAAATGCCTGCAATAAACGGAGCTGAACGTTTGTTTAAAACGCGGGAGGTCAGTGTGGTGTCTTCGCTGTAGATGAGAAATTCAGCCGTCGTGGTGCCACTGCTAGCCTGGGGTTTTTAACATGCATCCCTCAGTTGTGATACACGATTGCATGCCGGTACAATGTTCAGATCGAAACGGGCAGGGGTGGATTTTGAATCCCCCGGAATCCGTAGGCGCTGCAGTGCGAGCTTCCGGGACGGAGGAATGCGGGGCAAAAAGCAGAGAAGCCGACATAACTCAAGGTCCAGGAGCGTTCTACCATACCAGTGGCGTCGGAAGAAGAAAAACGGAGCGGGGGGGGGGGGGGGGGGGGTTTCTAGCCCCTTCTCCCCCCCTTCAATATATTTCTTACTGTTAAAGAAAACAATATGAAGAATGAGGTCGTGGTCAAAGTTATTTTAATCTGAAATTAGTTATGCACATGGTTGGGGAAAAAACCCCGAGACTGCGGGTAAACGACACAACACTAAAAAGTCTCTCAGAGACTTTTTAGTGTTGTGTCGTTTACCCGCAGTCTTGGGGTTTTTTCAACCATGTGCAATGTACACCAGCTTGTTTGCGCCCTTACTTTTTGCTCATTAGTTATGCATATATATAGCTACTGTGGCTCTTCACTGCATAAAAGATCGCGTAGATGGTCATTGTCGGAAACTCATTGAGTTTGGCAAGCATCAAATTTTGCAGCGTAATAACTTAGAATGTTTGAAAAGGATCTAATTTTGAATGTAATAAGTTCGAATGTTCGAAAAACATTGCATTTCTGAATGTGCAAAGTTCGAAAAGCATGAAACTTCTTAGTTCACTTGCTCATTTGTTGACTTGTTTATTTTCTGGTCCTCCAGACTACAACAGGCACCTAATCTGGTCCTTTAACCATAAAGTTTAGAGACCCCTGATATTCAGCAATTATTTTTTTGTCCATGAGGCTGCTGCTTCAGGAACTACACCCCTCATTTACCTTTCTTATCAATGCCGGGACATTTTTCGAGTATTCAGGTAGCGCGCATATTCTCCGTAGGTTGGGGAACATTCTCATGCCCGTGTCCATTTCTCTTCAACAACGCAAACTTCATCACAAAACACAGAATCTATAAAAAAATAACAACCGTGATGAAATGTCACTGAATTCGAAGAAGAAATAAGCCTGTAAACGCAGAACCCTAATTGTTACCAGCTCGCGAATATTTTATTTATATTGCAACTTGCAAGCATGTTAGCATTAATTTAAATCAACAGTGCGGAGGATGCTGTTGCTCTCCAGATCATCGTAAAAACAATATTGATATACGAATTGCGTGCAAGATATGCATCTACCTTTTTAGAAATAGCTGGCAGAAAACAGGGTTTTAGGATTTCCGGGACGAAACAATAGCTTTGTTTGATTTACCTGCACTTCCTGCACCGGAGCAGAAAAGTGTAGGGCAGTGTACTTCCTCGGTATGTGTGTTGAAATACGGCCGAAACTACACTGCCCTGCACTTTTCTGCACCGGTGCAGGTAAATCGAACAAAGTTAATGTGTGCCTTAGGAAGGAGGAACTTGGGGGCGAAAATATAAACCACAATGATTGGTCGAGGGAGTGCCTGCATTTGTTTGAGCACATGCTTGCACATTTTCAACCAGAACCTCAACCGGCGATTTTTAAAAATGGTTTGTTCGAATCGACAAGCTACATAGGGGTGGAGTGCTTGCCACAACACAAGACATTAAAAAAAAAAATGTGAAGAGCATTTGGCATGTTCTCTCACTTTAGACCAGGTATATTTGATGCTTGAAGTAGAGAAGCTGGAAACCATGATGATAAAACCTTTTGAAGGCCCCCAAAAAAGGTACTAGCTCCTAAAACTAGGAAGATGCAATGAAAGTATGAAGTGTCTCGTATCGCTTTGCAAGAAGGTCCACAGACCTTGAAACATCGATGTTTGGCAGCTTGGAGAATTTCAATTGTGCTAAACAAACAAAAAAAAAAAATATTCCAGCACAGTTAAATAATTTGTGCCCCCCCTTTGATTCTTTATTCGTTCAAGGGTACTTGAGCAGCGGTCCATACCACATGAGCAAGTGACATTTTAGCAAACAGCGACATCTTGGCAAATAACGGGGGTGCCGAGGCTGTAAACGCCGCTTCGCGGCGGCCTACTATTTAAAGGGTCATTCGGTGAAACGTTGGCGTTCGCTCAATCGTCATCCGATCAAGTCAGTGCCTCCCTTTAATATTATGACAGTAATGTACCCAGAATTAATACTACTTTTGAATAAGGAGCTTTCTTTTTAGCCAAAAACATGCTCTCCCAGGCTGGGCCCGCAGGCCTTTTGGTATGGACACTCTGCCTTCTGCGGCCCTTGCAAGCCTGGATCTCCTAAAACACATACGCAAATAAAGTATTATTATTATTATTATTGCCAAGTCGAATTGTCTGGTTCGAAGTAAGTTCTTTCCTGTGGAAAGAAAAGTTTCTTCCAGAATTTATGGACATTATTTGGCGAAATTATTAAGGTAAACTTGTTAGATATGTATTTTAGAAAAAAAAATTAATAAAATAGCGCGAAGGTCAAAGCAAATTGTTGCTGCCTCAGTGGGTGTCTGGTGTCTCAGCTGCAGATGAGTAATTTAGCCAGTGCGGTACAATCGCTAACATGGTGTCTTTAAAAGCCGACGTACACTTCGCGCTTTCCACTTTTGCCCTCCCCCTGCTTTCATATATCCTCTCCACTTTTAAGCTTGCCCCAACTTGGCTTTCCTAGCAGATTAGGAGAGGGGAGCGCTAACAGGATTATCTTCCCTGCAGAAAACCGAGGTTGGTACGTCGGCCTTTAACGTGCACCAGGCAGTAGTGATACACGGGCACTCGGCCACCGATCCCCCTTGCGCGAAAGTCAAATACACACCGAGAGAGAGAAGTCTTGCAAAAGAGGAAAAACCAACGTTGGAGTTACAGCCATGGGCCGAACGGCCATCGTTGGATTGGGGGGAGGGGCCACCGATCCCCCTTGCGCGAAAGTCAAATACACACCGAGAGAGAGAAGTCTTGCAAAAGAGGAAAAACCAACGTTGGAGTTACAGCCATGGGCCGAACGGCCATCGTTGGATTGGGGGGAGGGGAAGGGGATAACAGCTGATAGAAGAGAAAATTGTGAAAAGAGGAGAACTGTTTCGCCAAAGCCGACAAGCGGGGTGCGAGGAGCCACAGAACGTGGCTGGCAGAAAAGCGGGCGGAGCAGAGGAAGGAAGGAGATCCTTTAGAAATGTCCAAGCGCTATTTCAACGCTCGAGACCACTGAAGAAATGAACCGAAAAGTAACGCTTATCTCAAAAAGAGGGCGCCACCAACTTCAGGAGTTTGTGGAGAGGAGGTAAGAAGTTTTTTGTTTTGGTTTTGGGGTGAAGTGAGAAAAGAGAGAAAACGGATGTCACGTGACATTGTTGTCCGCCTCTGAACATGGCGATGTTTACGTTATCGCACTAATCAAGCCGTACCGGGAGTTGCGCCTGTTTCCCGGTGGCAGGACCCGGTATCCAAACACTATGCAGCAAGAAGCGAGCAAGGAAAAGCCCGTTAAGAAGAAAAAAATCCGGGCGTGGACCGAGGCAGCGCGCATAGTAAGTGCTTTCTCGCGTTAGGCTTAGTGACCTATTTAAGTTGTCAGGGCAGTCGGCCCAGCGATCATTAACGTGTTTCGGCGATTCCAGACACCAACCACATACGTCCGGCTTGGCCACCCCGTCTCGAAACGCAAGATTCGACACAGTCGACGGAGCGAATCTGCGATGTCCGCGGTCGACTGTGCCGCTCTGCTCACCGCGATCCCTACTGACTTTGGGGTCGTGGACTCCTGAGATGCTTCTTGTGGGGGCTGATAACCTTATAAAGCCAGTTTTGAGCCTCCGCAAATTTCGCCTGCATGAGGGCCCATTTCGGGGGAGCCGGACGTGGTTTGTGTGTTTTCGGTAGGTTTCACTCGTCCAAAGAGCTGCTTGTGGCCTCTTTTCACGAGTACGTGCAACTTCGATCGCGGGATATCCCTCGCGTGTGCTGCGAGAGCTCATTCGATGCTCTGCTCACATTCGGCCGATGTGTACGGGAAAAAATTGGGCTGTGTTGGAGAGTGTCCTTTGTCGCAGTGGAGGCCTGTGCGTCCGTGGAGATGCGCCGGATCGAGCTCGGGGCGAAAAGCTTGTTGGTTTTGCGCGAGGTTTTGACATGCAGACGCCTGTTACGAGTTGTGTGGCGATGTCAGATTTGCCGAAGCACCCTTGGAACCGTGTGGTTGACAGCTGATGCGGCTGTTTTCAAGCGGACGAGTGTGCACCACATCCGCACTTTGTGCCGAAAAACACGATATCTAATAGGATAGGAGTTAAGGTAATTCCTGTACAGTGGGTTTGAACATCCTTCTCTATTCCTGTGGCTCGCGAACATGTGAAACACCTTTGGATCACATCTGTAGCAGTGTGACTCAGTGACGCACTTCATGCAGCGTCCTTGTTACCCAGTAATACAGTCAGGTACCAAGGACGTCGTAGGAACGTCCCAGTGTGGATGAATAGATGGATCTGATGACACTTCGAAGATGTATTCACACTGACTTTAAGGGGCTGATTTTGTATTTTTCCGGATAGGACCTACAAAATCTCTTGAGGATTTCTCTAGGATCAATCTGCAAACATCCATAGTTTATGTTAAAAATATTTTAAAAGATCTTTGAGATGTTAATACATCAGGGTTTTCCGACATACTCTGGATATCATTGGAAGTACAGCGAACACGCGTCAGTTCAAGCCTCACTGACCGCATCGCAGGTGGTTGAACATGTCCCGATAACGTCCAGAAATGGCCTTTCTCGGATAGTTCAGAATGTGTCATTCGGAGAATGTCTACAGGATAGCCTCGTTGGGACGAAAACCCTTGGAGTGTTTGCCATTTTGAGGAATACTTTGCTCCTGGAACGTTCGGTAGGAACCATGGAGTTATTAAGTACTCTTAATAAATACAGGTGCACTAGCGGACCTCAAGCCGTAAAAACAGATTGTGTTAACCCTGTTCAGCTCCCAAATTTTGCCCTTATTAGAATCGTGGGTTATTCTTTGCCCCCAAGTCCATACAAAAGAAGCCTCCTTCCCTACCCTTCCGATATCCCGGCCGAGGTGCCCGCAATCTTACAATCTTACACGGCGCCTCCTCCGCTTATTGCGGAGGAGGCGCCGTGTAACCGAGCTTTCAGTTGCACGTCAAAAGATCCCCAGGTGGTCCAAATTAATCCTCAGTCCTCTGCTGGGGCGTGCCAGATGCCCGTTGTTGGTTTGGCACGTAAAACCCCCAAATTTGACTACCCTTCCGACGAGCGCAACGAGAGAGGGAAAGTTGACCAAATACTCCCGAAACTATTTTGGCTGGTGGCAGCAGTTTTGAAAATTGCAGATTGAGGGCTATGCATGTTGTTTGGATAGGAACCTATGCTACATTTAGAACTACAAAACTGTGATATTGTGCCCATCACTGGTTTCCAAACTTTGGGGTGCAGCAGGCTATCAAGGCAGTGGTAAATGGTCCCCAAAACTTGGCAGGGGTCTCGAAAATTTGATGTAACCTGGTTAGATCAGAATGGGAATCGGGTGAAACCAAAGTATAGGAAAGGAAGTTTTTTTTTTGCCGGGGTACCCTGAAGCGTGTGATTATCTCAGTGGTCATGCGCTTGGCCGTACAAAGCGGTAGAATTTAATGGTCGCTTCTCCCCCCTTTTGAAGTAAAAGGCAAAAAAGTGCCGGTGTCATGTTTGTGCTAATGGTGTCGTGCAGTGCACACCCCGAAATGCTTCGGGGTCGCTCGAACACCCCGTCTGATTTTGTCGTCTTGTATGTTTTTCAGGTTCTCGAGCTGCACCCTCACACACCCATGTCCCACAAGGAGATCTTCTCCGAAATATGCACCCGGGGACTCAAGGACGCGAGGTGAGCTCTGCCTCTTGTTGTCAGGTGGCCCCAGCACCGGAGGTCTGTCTTTGAATTGCCGTTGTAGCGGACAAGCACGCTTGGCACAGCGGAAAGGAAACAATGATGGAAGGTCTTGAGAGGTAGCCGTGGTACAGAAGCGTATGTGCATTATCGTTGGCAGGGTCTGTCGGTTTCTGCCCTGCTTTCTTCTGTTCGTGTCGAGGTGGGGAAGGGTTCCTCGGCTGTCAATTCAAAGAGATGGGTTTCCCAGAACACACTTATGGGTTCACCGAGCAGTTCCCCAGAACTTGGGGATTCCCCAGATAATCTTTGTGGGTTCCCCGTGTCCTCAACCATCCCTATCACTAAGTGAGACATCTTTCCTGTTTAAGCATACTTTTAGCAGATGTAAGCCAAGCAGTCCTTAGCGCGTTGAGACCGGAACTGGTTCTTGGGCTGGAAACCGAGGAAAATAGCAGGTTCTCGAGATTGAAGAGTTTGAGAATCCACTGGGTACTTTGGCCGTCGGTTTGCTCGCGTCTTCTGGTAAAGTTTTCGGGGAGCATCTTGGGTGGCGGGGTCGTCACACGAGGGCCTCGTCGTTCCGTCCTTCCAGTAGCCCGGCTTCACTGGCCTGCCTTAACGCTATGCTGCACGCACACTCAAGGGGACCCGAGGCCATCTTCTACAGGGTCTTCGGGGCCACCAGCGTCTTCGGTCTCAAGGTATGCCTCCCCGTTTGCACATTTTGCTGGCGAGCATCGGCTCGACAATAGTGCCTGGAACACGTCTTTGACTCGTGCGTTTTAATGCATCCTCATTCGTAGTCCCTCGATTTCTGCCTGAAGGCGTCACGCCCATGTCGTGCCGTGGCATGGCACGAACACCAGAGGTACCACAGCGACGAATGTGGGTAGGCAGATGTCCGTTCTGTTGTAGGTTGCTCTCCAGCGCAATAGTCCGCGGTGGTCAGATGCTGAGACACCGCGACGACAGTGACGCTTCTGTTTGCTGGTTCACTTTGTTCTAACTTTCCTATGGTGCCTAGAATGTGTCTTCGACCGGTGTGCTTAGAGCCTAATCCTGTGCATACGTCGGAAGTGCTCCCGAAGTGGCAGCAGACGACATCACGAAAGCCGGCGTGCCATTTCGTCGGACGTTGCGGTCCTGGCGGTTAGCGGCCCTGGTGCAAAATAGGAGCGAATGGGAGTGTCACCGTAGTCGTGGTGTCCAAACTCCTGGCTGCCGAAGCTTCCGTGGACTGTCGAGCTGCAGCAGAACGGTCGTCTGCCACATACAGCACTGCTGCTGTGGCACTGCCAGGGTCGCGACCGGCGACAGCATGGCACTTGGACGACGTTACGGGAGGAAATGGAGAGAGCACTTTTTGGGAGGCCTCAAGCGCGCCAGTCAGAGAATGTGTCCCGGGCAGCAGACTTCTGCGACCAACCTCCGGGATTGGCGACATCGTCTGTTCCCACTCCGGGACCACTTTCGTTGACGTATGGGCGGGATGAGATGCCAACACACACCAGTTGGAGACGCGTTTCTGGGATCATAGTACCGTTCCAAAGCATCTGAAATGCATGGGAGGCTGGTGGAAGTTTTCCTCTTGATTTGTTATGTCAACTTTACCCTCCTCAAATAAACTAACAATAATCTGTAAAAAAAAAAAAAAAATTTTTGTGGTAACTCTTTGCGGTCAGATGCTCTGACCAACTTAATGGTCATTCCGGTCAGGAACTATTTTAGATGCATGGGCCTCGGAAAAGTAAAATTATTTTGGCGTACCAAGGTAACGTCTCGCACTGAACGTAAGGACAGGAAAGTCCGGGAGATTGTTTGTGTACAAACTTTGGAACAATGTTTGTGGCGGAGCGGCTTCACGGCCGCTGTGTTGCGCAGTCATTTCATATTCATCACTACTTTCACTCAAGTCACAGAGGTCGCCTCTCCATCATCTGATGGAGGGATATAGTCGTCCTCTTCACTGAAATCGTCGTCACTTTCAATTACACCATGCAGAGTTGCATAAAACGAGCGTGACTGGAACGTGGCTACAACCGTCGTGCCAGCGAAGTTGAAATTGACGCGTCCTCCGTTGCGCGAAAAGACATGCAACATAGAACATGCCTTTTTTTTTTTATGACTAGTCCTGGCCCTCCATGAGAAGAAACTCGAACCCTTTCAAGTGTGATATGATTGAAGTGTTTTCCAAGAGATGGGGCGGGGGGGGGGGCACCACCAATCCAGCAAAAAGAGTGAAGGTGCATGTTCAAAAGGACGCGAGAACAAACGTTGAGCGACGCCAGACTCCTGACCGGAAGCACGTTTCTCCGATGTCGGGCCTGGCCCGACAAATGACCGCAAAGGGTTAAGAGTCTTAAGACATTAAAATCAATTTCTGGGCTAGTTGGTTAAACACCATGTCTACAATAGAGCAAGATTTCGGCTAAACATCATGTCTATAATGGCGTTTTCCCTCAAGAGTGAAAATTAACATATAGTTCCAATTAGAAATTTGCTGGGCATTATCGAAAACCACTTAATCGGTAATTTTTAGAACAACCTTGAGCTCGTGGGAAGCGCAGTGTTGCGCTAAAGTTACACTTGTGCAACAGGCACAATGCTAGGGTGAGAAAACTCGAAAAATAAGACAGAAAAAAAAATGCATGAGCGCGTCATTGTTTTGCTAGCTTTGCTCATGCTGCACAAGTCATAACTTTTGCATTCCAACCATGCTCACCACATGCTCCGAGTCTTTCTAATATTGGCTGATTTAGTGACTTTCAATGACACTCGGCAAGTTTCAAGTTAAAACCGTACGTTTATTTTCAATAATTAAAATGTTTGTGAACGTATTCTAATCAATTATCCAACTGATCATTACGATTAGCCCCCTATACTCTGTCCCGCTGTCCGTATTACTCATCTGCACAAACTGCATTGTGCAGCTTTCACAAATTTTTTTAAACAATTCTGATAATCTTAAAAGAAACGCCTCATATATTTTTTCTATCTCCCCAAGCCACGTCTTCTCAGTCTTTTATATCCATGCACAAAAAAACACTTCTTTTAAAGAGATAAGCAGACAGTGTAGTTGGAACAAGCCATATTCATTTGCAGAGCGACATTCCCAGCAGTGCAGTCAGCATGGAGGTGGACGAAGATTCAGGTCCGGAGACGGAGGACTCGGAATCAGGAGTGGTCAGCTTCGTGCGGGACCGCAAGAAGGCCAAAGGCGAGTGGCTTTATTGAATGCAAAAGCCTTTCTTTCAACAACCCCCTCCTCCCCCTCCCCTTTCCTCCCATCCCCCACAAAGCGATGGCAGTGGTCCTTGGGCATACACGGGGAATACCTTGAAAAACTCACCTGTGCTGTGTTGATTTTGCGTTTCCTCCGTAGGGATAAAAGTCCTGGTCAACCTCAAGCAACCCTTGTACGGCATGTAAACTAACGCCTCTAAGGTACTTTAGACGACCCGCAAAGATGAGCATCTCTATGTATTGTGCTGCGATTTACTATGGAGGTGCCAGCAGGTAGTGAAAGTTTACAGTGAAAAAAATCAAGGAAAGAACTTCGTTCAAAAGATTAAAAACACTAACCTGTTCTGGGCAGTCTATGCCGCCACTTCGCAGACGATGCACGCATATTGAGAAGTGTTACAAACAGATGACGTCGTCCTTGAGGTCACCACGTAGAAAGAGCGCCGGCCAATTTTTTTTTTTTTTTTTTTCGGGATCATTTGTTATCTTAGTCTGAATTGTCTGGTCGTTCCTCAATGGCAGCGTATGCCATCTGTTGGCTGAGCTTATCCCTACGCATGCATCATCTGCGAAGTGGCGGAGTACATTGCCCAGAAACATTTTTTTTTTTTTATCCTGGAGTTGTTAAGGGTTAGTTTCTCCAGTATTGTGTCCATGGACAAACAAGTGTACACACAAAACTCCAGACAGCTACCACCATCTATGAGCGGCAGCAGGTAGACACAAAACTCCAGACGGCTACCACCATCTATGAGCGGCGGCGACAACCTTTCCAGCCTTTCCACTCTGGTTTTCACCAGAGTGAAAAGGCTGAATATCTCTAGGAATCACCCTAGCAATCGTCCTTGGGGTCATCCTAGACATCGTCCTTGAGGTCGACCTCGAGGTCGTCCTCGAGGTCGTCCTAGACGTCGTCCTCGAGGTCGTTTTTGAGGTCATCCTAGAAGTCGTCATTGAGGTCATCCTATAGGTGTCTTCCTCGAGGTCGTCCTAGAAGTCCTTGAGGTCCTTTAAGAAGTGGAAGGGCTCTACATTTTTGAAAGAGGCACATTCATTCTTTGATTTTTTTTTACTGTAAACTTCCACCACCTACTTGCACCTCTGCAGTAAATTGAACCTTAATATTTTGAGAAACTGTAAAGGGGAAACCATGTCGAAGCAAGCGAAAAGTGAATTGCCAGATAACAGGTTGACGGGCCCCGTTCATTGCAGTACTGTACGTCAAGCTGCCGGGCAACTTCCGCTCAGGCAAGGGTCTCTCCCCGGATTCTGTGGCGAATGGGGAGCCCAACGTTCTCCTTCCGATGGCCAACGGGTCTTGCAGTGCTGTCGAGTTGGGCAGAGAGGTCCTGGTGAGAATTCTTTTTTTCTTGTTTTGCTGGTGAAAGATTTTAAACACTCATTTTATATCATCAAGCTTCTTGTAACCCATCAAGAACAAGTTGTACTGTTTTTCTATTACAACATTTGACGTCATGTTTTCGATGCGGGAACAACCCATGTATCATGGGAGCCGATATAAGATGCATATCGTGAACAGAAACGTCGGAACTTGCCACCAACTCTCTTGTCACGCATACTCGTGCCGAAGATTGCGTGGTCGACACGATTCCCGTCGAACATTGCACGGGTGGGCGACGTTCTAGAATTTTTATGTTATGCATATTTAGCCAGAAGAACGGGATGGACAATCTCTCGTAGGGAGGGTGCCCTTACAGGATTTTACGGTATTGTGACTTGTAATTTCGGTTACTGGTTCAGATGTTGTTGCTAGTTCAGACGTCGTTACAAGTTCGGTTCAAACTTGTTCAGACATTGACCCAATATTGAGGCAAATCAGTGACTCTCAAATTTTGCTGGAGCACCCCTTTAGGAAACGGGTTCACACACTTGCACCTCAGGGTGATTGAGTGCATTGTGCTCCCTTTTGATCACTTGCGACGGTAGTGTACACTGGCGTCATCCTTAGTGTGGCCCGGGAACTTTTCAGACCTGCATGTATTTGCTGGGTTTTTTTGCGGATTATTCTTTTTAGTGGGTCAAGAAAGTTTTGACAATTTTATAAAGAATTATTCCTCATGGGATAGCATGCATACTTTTGGTCCCGCAGATACTGCAAAACCTCGAGTCTAGTTATACGCAGTTCCAGGGCTACCTCTTGGACATGTTGGGGTGCCAGCGTCTTCTCTCGTCGTAGGCAATCGCAAGGCACTTGGTCGCATTCGGAAAGATTTGTGCCAACCAGCCTTTAGATTCGGGAGTGTCAAGTGTGAAGCGCGAATTTAATCTCTCCCTATCGGGTGATGGGCCAGTGGTTGCGCGATTCCCAGGCGGTGCGGGGAGGAGGTGGACTTTTAGAAATAAATAGCGTGAAGGTCAAGTACACACTGGCTGTACAAGTGCTAGCTCACAACTGTCATTTTAATATTATACAAAAGAAGTCTCTAGTATGAATATTGAAACGACAGTTGTGCGTTAGCGCTCGTTCAGTCAGTGTGTACTTCACCTTCACGCTATTTATTTCTAAAATGCATATCCAGCTAGCCCACCTTAATATTTTAGGAAGTGGAACTTGTAAACTGCAGTAGATGGAATGCACTAGCAGCTGGCTGCCAACATTGGAAGGAAGTCCCGCAAATGCCAGCGTCTTCTCATATCGATCAACAAAAATGCCGCAGTGCAGTTTTTACGTCAGTGTCGGTTAGTGCCCCTTCCGGGCAAAAAATGCTCGGATACAAACGCGAAACCCCTTTCTACAACAGAGGCACCGCTCTCTCTCTCGCTGTCGGCTTTCTCTCGTTCCCCCTTTTCCCCCCTGTGGGCCTCCACCGTTTCGAAAAACCCATGTAATCGGGTGGAACTTTGCCTCCCCATCGTATCTGCTACATTCAGATACCCTCCCGCAACGCCCTCCTTTCCTCCCCCCTCCCCCCCTGCCACCATTACCACCACCACCACCACCACCCCCACTTCGGTAGCCATTATTGTGAAATGCACATGTGGTTGCAAGGTGCAAACATGCTGCATCGCCTCCCCACTGCTGCCACCCAGTTTCCGTTCTCGTGCCTCTCCGTGCCTGTATAGAACTGTGCACGTGCATATTTTCATTTCTTCCACCGCAGGCACTGTCATCGTTCTAAAAAAGCATTAAAAAAAAATAATAAAAGCAGCACGTCTTTGTCTTTTTTTTCTAATGCATGAAACATCTCGCACAGTCGTTCCACCAGAGCACACATCTCCTCAGACACGTCTCCTACATCAATTCCACTGAAAGCAAAGAACCCATTGCAAACATTGTACAACACACTGACTGAAGGCGAATCTTCTTCAACATACCTTTCCATGACGTAGCAGCTACCGCTGTCAGTTGCAGCACACTTTGCGTGGTCCCTTGTAATTTTGTTCTTACTTTTTTTTTGTGGCCATTGGTTCGAAAAAAGCAAATGGATTTTTTTTGCCTTCCTGCAAACCTTCTAAAGGCTGTCCACACAGGACCTGCTTTTTGCTGTGCACAGCGCTTGCTGGACGGAAGCGTAGGATTGTTCTCCGCTTCCGGTTCACTCTGGGACGCTTCTTTGCCAGGGGTAAAGTCACCCCTCGCCTGCGTCTTTGGTCAAAGCATCGTGCTCCTGACGCGGGGTGAGACACATCCACTCGCACACTCTGCTGATTGTCGTCGAGGCCTCTGCCGTTGTTGTCGGTCCCCAACCTCCCGAAAACGAGAAAGTGGAGGAGACGACAGCAAGGAGGAAAGCCGTATTTGCTTGGTTGACGTGCTTACTCAGAATGTATGTGTGCGTCGAAATGTTCACATATCTATTTACAGCAAAGCTGTCAAGGGCTAGTTTCCCCAGTATCGTGTTCGCAGGCAATCAAATGTCGACACACAACTCTGGACAGCTACCACTATCTATAGACGACGGCGGCAACCAGAGGTTGCCCGTTGTCACTCATTAATGGCAGCAACCTTTGCAGCCTTTCCACTCTGGTGCAAGCCAGAGTGGAAAGGCTGAATGTCTCTAGGTGTCGTCCTAGAAATCGTTCTGGAGGTCGTCCCTGAGGTTGTTTTTGAGGTTGTCCTTGAGGTTGTCCTCGAGGTCGTCCAAGAAGTTGTCCTTGAGGTCGTAGACGTCGTCCTTGATGTCATCCCACCATAGTACAGCTTCGCTGGACTTAAAGGGACAATGAAGGCAATTTCGGATATTTTTTTGGCGATTGAACTGGGTTCCCGGCACGGCTCAGGCCACGTTGCCCAAATTTCAGCCAAAACCGGCGCTTGTGTGCCGCGCAAATCAATTAAACAGTCACGGTGATAATCGTACCGGGATCGATCGAGGCGACGCCCCGAGCGTTGCGGGAGAAACCAGCAGAAGCGGAGGTCACGTGACCCTGCGGGGCCTGGAAGCGTGACGTCACAAGAGACGTGTCAGCGATTGGTCGAAACGAGACACATGCCCTCGGTCACGCTTTGATTCGTGGTTTTTATGAACATTGTTCTAATTCCACTTGAATAACCAAAAAAACTATAAATCGAACCGAAAATGATAACTAAACCGTAAATAAAACACCATAATTATTTTTCTCTTTGCTACACTGCACGCGAAACGGGCAACGAGAAAAATATGGGCAAACAAAATATATAAAATAGAGAACACAGCGCGGAGCACGCGGGAGTTTTTTGGTTCTGGTTTCAGATGTCGGTGCCGTGTTTACTTTAGGAACACGGCACTCGAGGGATTCTGCAAAGCGGTAGTCATGCCAAATTTGTGCGCTGTTGAAGGATGTTCAAACGGTCGACTGAAGACCCGTGATCGTTCGGGCGACGCTAGTTTTCACCTACTCCCAAGCGATGAAGCATTGCGAAGTCTCTGGTTGAACAGCGTTGTCTTGCGCAGAGGTCTCGGCGATGGCGTCAGAATTTGTTCGCTACATTTTCGGTCAGGAGACTTTGAACAGAACCTTCAGGTTAGTCGGAGTCTGGGCGTAGGTGTGAGGCGAATTACTCTGGGTCGGCGGCAATTCTGGGGCGTCCTCACGTAAAGAGGAATTCCAGAGTTCCGTGTCCTTTGGAGCATCTCCCGTTCTGTTGGTGTCAGGTCACTGAACGGGAGCCCGAATTCGCTCGCGAGAGCGGCATTGCCGTCCATGTTGGTCCGACGAAACGACCGCGCCACCGCGCTACTATAACCCACCGCGGTAACCAGAGTCTCGACGCCCTAAATGCTACCGGTACCGACAATTCACATGTGACGTCACTCCCTACGTCACCTCCGTTTTCGGAGGCCCAAAAATCAGAAACGCAGATAGTTCAGTTTCGGTTTCTTCAGTTCTTTCGTAGTTACAGAAATACGCGTCACAAATGTGTATAAAAAATTGGGCAGTGTACCAGGTTCCCAAGAAGCCTAAAAACATCATTTAAAAAAATTTAAACAAATCGCCTTCATTGTCCCTTTAACAAGAGTGGAAAGGCTGAAAGTTTTTTTTTAGAAGTGTGCACGCTTTCTTTTGTTGTGAACACCAGAAAGTGTGTCCTGTGTGGACAGCCTTTGCCCTTTCTCTCTTAGTGCTTTTCTGCAATCCACAAACGGTGTCGTCGTTGTCGTCCTCGTGCAGCCACCGGCCCTGAGCTACGGAGGGGTGCGCCACTCGATGCGGCAACAGAAGCGCGCCAACGCCTGCCTGGACTTTTCCGAACAGCGGTCCGTAGCCTGTGGTGAGCCCTCCTTTTGGCCTGCGGGGACAATTTGTGGCTCGGAGACGCCGGATTCATGTGTTTCGCTCGCACTATTGATGCTTTGGATACAAATTGCGAGTGTCGCTCGTGCCCTCCATTACCATTCCAACAGTGCCGCAGAGTAAAGAACTCTGGAATGAATGAATTGGATAGTTGGGAATTAATAGCGAGAGCAACAAAGAACTTCTGGAGGCCAGATTAATGTTTCGTTTGATTTTCATACCAGTTGTCGACATTAAATAAAATCTTGCGGTATGTTTTAGGGGAGGGGGGAAGAAAGTCTTCGATGAGTTAAAGGTACTTCAGAGAACCATGGGGCAAGCACTTGTCCCATGTTATTTTGCAGATATTTATTTAAAACAAATTTGCAGAAAAGAAAGAAATGGTAAGAATGAGACGAGTACTTGTCCCATGTTCTAATTCCTTTACATAGCCACTTTTGGTGCAAACAAGTGATCTTTTTCTTCTTTTTTTTTGTCAGAATTGAAGGGTTGTTATTGAGACTATTCTAGTCACCGAGAGGTTAATCGTGAAATGTTGTTTCGAAGGTCTGAGCTATATGTCTGTTTGGAATGCTTGTCCTCTATTTATATGACCCTGGTTCATTCATTTGATCGTCCAGATCCATCTACTAGCGTAAAAAGGATCATTCTGCTTTCCTGGGGAGCGTCTTTCCCAATTCTGTAAATATTTCGCTCTAGGTAACCAATAAGACATGTTTGTTGTTTGCGCAAGGTGGCAACGTAGGCCGGACTCAATGGGCGAAGCCAGAACGTCGAACATCACTCTCACGGCGGCACCATTATGACGTCACGTACACAAGTCAAGGAACGAGATCCGACTTCTGATGTTACACTCGGATGATTGTAAGATAGCTGACCTCATTGAGCTCTGGCGTTGCCCATTGCACCACATTTGGCTTCTAGTCTTCGAGCCGTACACAGCACTGTATATTTGTGATACCATTTGTTGTGTCGCTGAGGAGAATTTGAGAGAATCATTTGCAACTCAGATCGGCCAACCCACGTCCCGACACGATCGTCAAATAAGCAGCCGAGGATGTGTTCTCGCATCAACCAGAACATTGCCGATCCGTTGCAGAACAAGGCCGAGAAGGCTGGAAATAAAAGCGAAATGAATCATTTTTTTGTCATGTCAAGTTACTGCCGAGGAAAGTTGTGGTAAAGGGAACTACAGTCGAACCCGTTTATAACGAACCCGGTTAGAACGAATCATGTTCTATATCGAACACACAAAATTTTAAGATCAATATTCTTGAGAAATATACACCTTTCCAAAAAACGCTCCTAGGCCGCCGCCATGTTGCTGATGCTGATGCGGCTGGTGCGACTCTCGCGCCCTCTATCAGCTAGAAATTTTCTGCCACTCTCTGGGACTGTGAAGATCCGCTCAGCGCGGTTCTCTACCTACGTTTTTGCGGTTTTGCATTCGACGTTTTCTCGCCCCTTTTCAAAGTTTCCACTTAATTTTTTTTTATGCGTGCTGCGTACCCTTTTTGTGTTATCTTCCATTGTGATAAATAAGGGTGGTAAGTGCCTGCCATTCAAGCTTTTCTGCTTTACATTCACGGGAAACGAAGGAGGTGAAGGACGTCGAACGACCCTCGACGCGACTTTGCCAACATTGTTCTCCCCCCTCCCAGAGATAATCCGCATAGAATCCTCAGTCATCTCCAAAAATAGTTGTCCGGGTTGGGGTGAGAAACGGGTCAGTCGCGTTCGTTGCTTTGCCTTGGTGCGGTTGTGAAAAAAGGAAGCTCTCCCCAAGACGTGCCCCAAAACGAAGTCATCTCGGATTCTGTCCGATCGTCAAAGTGTGACTGTCGTCGACTGTGACTGTGTTATTTGAGATCTTTCTCAAATAAATTCTTTTCGGATAACGCTGCATCGTGTGGTACGTACGATACATTCTTCGAATGTTAACACTTCCTCAATTGTTTGTTTGTGTCCTGTCCATCAGTGAACACGTTATTTGTGAGCGTGAAAAATGCATGCCTTTCGGCCGTCTTCTGTTGCAATTTATTTTTGACGGCAAAGCGTTGTCGTTTAACATGTGGCGAATCCCGCGGCGCCGTCAAAAGCTGCCGTAAGAAAAAAACACAAATTAGTACTAGAACTATACATTCCAGCCGCATTCGGTCTGTCGCGCGCGTACCCAACAAAAATAGTTTACAGTTTTCTTTTTGTTTTTTCAAATGTGGCACAATGCTTTTTCAATGTCTTCGGGAAGGTACACGCACCATGAAACATAAAATATAGCGGGAAAAGACGAGAATTTAGCCGCCAGCAGCGTTTGAAACTATGCCTACGTAGGCTGCGCCTGTTGAAATCACAGTCCTCTCGATTAGGGTTAGGAGGGACGCCGGTGAGAGTCTAGCCTCAAACTCAGTGACTGGGCTCGAAAACGGTTTGTTGCTCCTGGGGTTGAGTGTTTTTTGGAAAGGTGTATACTTTCTATAACGAATCACACATCGGATATATCGAACTGCGAGCGCCCGCTACCGCCCCCGTGGAGACGCGCGGGCTTCCCTGCAATGCACAGAGTGACAGAGGACAAGAGAAAACCAAGAAAAACACGATGGCCCTTGAGAAGATGAGTCACAAAACTGACTGCGAACGCCCGCAACCGACCCCCGCGGAAGCGCGCTGGCTTCCCTGCCATGCACGGAGCGACAGAGGACAAGAGAAAACCAAGAAAAACACGATGACCCTTGAGAAGATGAGTCGCAACACCGACAACGAACGCCCGCAATCGGCCCCCGCGGAATTGCGCTGGCCAATGATAGAGCAAGCGTGCAATGACGTTCTGATGACATCATCCTGCAGTCGTACCAGGCCGGACATGGCTCTCTTGTTCCTAGCGTTTTGCCGAGGAGGCTCGTTGTTCTTTGTGTCCTTCCTGTTCCCGCAAGAGATGGCGACCGAGGTGCGTTCATCGTTACCGTTCTCTACCAAGGTGGAAATAATCCGGCGCGTTGAACGCGGCGAGAAGAAGTCAGAAGTCGCCGCATCCTTCATGATCGCCAGAAGCACGCTGAGTACGATACTGAAAAACAAGCCAGCGATCCTGCAAAAGGCCCGAGATCGACCGAACGCCGACGGAAAGCGCATTCGGGCGCCTGCCTTTGACTGAGTGGAAAAGGCGCTGTACGCGTGGTTTTTGGATATTCGCGCTCGAAACCTTCCAGTTTCGGGCCCCATGTTACAGCAGAAAGCAAAAGACTTTGCCTTTTTGCTCGACGTTCAAGATTCGCCGGCGACAACTTTGTTGTCGCCGGCGAATCTTGTTGTCGCCGGCGAGAGTCGAGCAGTCGACAATGAAAGCGTCAAGAAGTGGATCGCCGAAAACTGGCCAGCAATTACGGAGCAGTACAGGCCCTGCGATATTTATAATACCGACGAAACCGAAATTTATTGATAGAAATATGAATACATATGTTCCATCATGAAAGCTGCCTCGCGATAACACGGCTCTGAGCGCCGGCATGAGGCTCGCTACGCTCGGCAGCCTTCGCCGCTATTCCGCGCGGTTTCCTTTCATCTCTCTCGCTTTTGCTGTCCTCACGAAATAGCGATATTTGCTATAACGAACTACTTGATATATCGAACTAAAATGCGTGTCCGATGGAGTTCGTTATAAACGGGTTCGACTGTAATGGGAAAACCCACAACTATAAACCCGACTCTGGGAAAGTCAAAATGTCCTTATACTGCGCCCGCGAAAATAAACTGCCCGAGGCGGATGTGCTGACAGGTTATGTGCACATAACCCTCCTTGCTACTGACTTTGCAAAGTTTTGGGTTCAAATTCTCAGAATTCTTTTGGGATTATAATTTTTCATCGCTTGAACTTTATGTTTCATTATAATCGTAATCCACAGTCGGGTTCCACAACCGCATTCCTTGTGGAATGTGAGCCGTGGCGGGACGAGCAGCGCGGTTACGACGGTTACCAAACGACAGAAGACCCGGACGTGTTTGAGATCGAAACTGTATTGGAGCCACGTGACATAGTGTCGTACTGCTAATAGAAGGACTCCTATAAATACCTCAATGTTTTTATTACTCGTCATTTATTATTCGAGGATTAAATAATGTTTTCAAACAATAGGGCAGCCTATTGTTTGAAGATTGGTGGCTTAGCTGCATTTCCATAAGAGTTGGGCCTTTTTCTTTTTTTACTTTTTCCTCAGGTATGTTTGGTCTTTGCAAATTTTGCAGAAAAAATGCACCACCTGTGGGTAACGTGGCACAAAATCGTAGCGCGGTTAATTAAGAAACCGATTTTGCGGTCGATTTAAAGAGCCGGGCCGCTATTTGAGACACCCTGTAGTTCCTGTAGGTGTGTACTGCTACATACTCTACAAAAAAAAAAGTGGTTCGTATTATATGTAATACTGAGTATAATAGTCATATTAGTCCATTATTTATTAAATTGAATATTGTACAGATTCCTAATCAGTATTATTATTAACTTTTTCTTGCATTGAAAAGATCTTTTTGCCAAAAAGAAAATATATTCATGTCTATTTCCAACCTTAGGATGAGGGAGGTTACCTATGAAACTAGGTCTGCAGACGCATGTTTAGTGCCACACTCCAGGACGAACTACGGAAATCAGACGTTGAAATGTATAGTACCTCGTTTTTTAAATCGCCTGAGTGAGTTGAATGTAGAAGTTTTGAATGAAACCATAAAAAATGTATGTTTCATGTTTGTGAGAGAGTGCCCCTGGAATTTGTAAACTTGGCTAAACCGATTACTTTTCCCCCTTCCCCCCTCCCCCATCTAATGTTGTTTATTTTTGTGCTATAAGTGTGATGGTGAAAAAACATTTGTATGTAGATGCTGTCCTCTTTCGCTGCTGTGGGGAGGCAGAGGCTGTTCAAGCAACAACTGAGTTGCTTTTTTCTCTGTCTCCCTTCTCCAAACGGAGAGAAATAAAGAGTTTGAGTTAGAAAGGGCTCTCTAGGGGCACTAATCCGAGCTGCAAGATTTTGTGCCTGCTAAATACCCTTTCAAAGCAAAATGAGACCGCCAACGTCGCCTTAGCGTGGTCGTGTGGTGTACCGTAAAAACCCAAAAATATAAGGAAAAGTATTTTCTGATCTCTGCCTGTAAATTTTGTGCTTGTGTCATGTGCGAATTTGAATGATTCTAAGCTCTGGCGGGGTACATGCAAGCTAGGATTCATGTGGTTTCGGTTTCCGGCCTGCGCCACCGCCCGATCCCGATGGCAAGCTGTACGTGTTTGCCGAAACATTCTCACCTCCCAGTGTTTTCGACGTCGGCGACGCCTCCGGTTTTCCCCACACATCCCGCCGATCTACATGATGGCATCGTCGCGGAAGCGATGCTCAGCTGCGTGTAAAAGAAAGATCAACTTAGTGGCCAGGAGTGTCAGCAGCAGTGCAGCGAGAGAGAAGTTTATGGCGAACAAAAGTTGCATTTGTGGATGGAGAGGACCGAAACGAGCAATTTTTTTGCAAGGGCGCGAGAGAACTTTTTTGGAGGCCGAAGAAAGAAAAGTTCGCCGAGACTAACCTGGACCCGACTCCGTTTGTGAAGGTTCAATGTGCTCCACACCTTGGTGTAAGCACTGAGCTGCTGTGGGCAAAGGCTACGGATCTGTGTGTTTCTGAGCCGCGCTATACGCAAATCAAACTTTTTTTTTGTGGGTTTTGGATTGCATTATATGCGGGCTTTTACGTTACTTGCTATTTTTTGCACAGTGGTTTTCAGAGAATCGTTTCCTGCCCTGTCTCGTAGACTTTGCACATTATTTTGACGCATTTCTGCAGGGAGTTTCAAAAGTGCCTTTTGCAATTCATTTCCATCTGTCGGTGCGCAGCACCGGTGGCGGTGCAGCGCAGCTCGGCGCGTGTGGCAGCCAAGAGCGTGGGTACGGCACAACAGTTGTCGGCGGCAGATCGGCCGCAGACGATGAGCGAGATCCTGGCGTCCCTCCCCGGTCTTGGACTGAAGGTGAGCAGACGTGCGAGGGAGTCGGGCATTCTTGCTCCAAAGTCCGGGGTTCACTGCAGATCTAGCAAAAACGTGTGCGTCGCAGTTTTGCCATGAAGATGTTCCTTCGCACAGTGGCATTTTAAATTATAACTTTACATTACTGGTACGTAAGTGCTTTGCATTAAAAAGCAGTGGGGGGGTCTTGAATAGTAAAAAAAAAAAAAAAAAAAGAATTGCCTAAAGTTTTATTTGTGAGTCGCGATTTTGAAGCCTCTATAGTCCCGAGCATGATCTCACAGAGAATGAATGCTGAATTCAATCTTGGTAAGCGTTGAAGGAATCGACTTGACGCCTAAACTATGAAAATCGACCGAACTTGAAGGAGGGGACGTCATTGACGCTTTTCGAAAAAACGCAAACACCACTAAAGAGACGGACGCCTTTCGAAAAATGTGCACGATGGTCTATTATGTTTTTTTACCGCCAGGCTTGGGTTTGTTGCGCGAGTGGTATCTGTAGCGCACAACCATGCTTTTCATGTGAGCCCCAAGTTTTTCCGAAATGACTGATTTAGTGGGTTTTGATGATGCTGAGCAAGTTTCTGTTTGAAACCACATGTTTATTTTTACTAATTAAAAGTTAATAAACAAGATTTAGTTAATTATTCAACTCGCATGACAGTTAACCCCCTACATAATGTCTTCCTTGGCCGTACAACTCGCTCATACAGCAGGCTTGTACAAGATACTCACGAAAAGTATTTAAAGGGCAACTCCGCTTCTTTTTTGATATTCCAAAAACTATGCAGCCCTCTTCAGTATCATATAGGAAGACCCAGTGTCAAATATTACTATCTAATTTTGTCTATATATTTAATAAACTGGCCAGCAAACCTTCAAGCGAGCCAAGTCGCCGAAATCTGCCAACTCTAGCGTGCGACGTGAGGTGCAATCGTCGGCGCAGTCAATGCGACGGAGTTGGAGCGGCCAACGTTGAACCACTACGTCAGAGGCATGACTACGTCATTCTTACGTTTTGTTTGTTTTTACTTCTCGGAGCGAAATTGAATGATGACGTCATGAGTTTTGGCTCAACGGCGTCCACGTGATCACCGTAACGCGGATGCGCTAGTTTGCGGTGCCCTGCGCGCTTGTTGGTCTGTTTCTCCGCTCCCCCTCTCCTCTTTCGTCTTCTTCCCTTCCTCCTCTCCCCCGGGCCATCCCACGTTGCGTGTCCTGTACCTCACCCCCACGAACATCACAAGACCACGTGGTTCGACGTGACGTGGCCATGACTCTGACGATTCGAGACCAATGTTGCCTGACGCAACCGAAGTTTCGGTATCAGCTGATGTTTAAATTAAGATTACACAAATATTATTCCACCTTTCGCGAATCCGAAGACGTAGAGCTGTTTAGTAGCGCTTTGTGAAATGGAATCACATGTACCGTATTTACACGATTGTAGGTCGACTCAATTGTAAGTCAACCCCCACATCCACATCAGCAAAAAAAAAAAAAATTTTTTTTTTTCAGATGCGCATTTTATTGCGAACACGTGAGAATGGCACAGTATCTGTTTCGAAAGCCGAGCCTCCAACACGCAATCGATGCCTTCTGGCGTTCTCTGGCTGCGCATGCACGTGCGAGGTGCATGAGATGGCCAGGCGTTGTCGAAACTAGGAAGTTCACGCTGGAGGCGGGACAACTGAAGCTGCTCACTGTCGTTCTCACTCCGTCCGCAACTAGACTACGACTCGTACACACTGGTGATGTCAGTCCCGTCGTCATCACTGCTACGTTCTCGAAGTACGTCGTCGGCGTCGTCCCATGAAATATCGCTCTTCGCAAATGACGGGATCAACCGCATCTTCCGCGCTTGCTCGGCGATCACGTTGGACGTCATGGTTAGGGACCGATTGCGCACGTTTGCGGCGTACGTTGCAAGCCTGACCTCCAACACCGGAAGGCATCCCCACCTATCCAGACTTTGGCCTGCGGAAGCTTCTTCGTTTGCCGTCACACTTTCAGATTCCGCCCCACCGCAGACTCCACTGGAGCATCACCCACTCCGACGGGTCGAAGTTGCGTCCAACAGCACAGTTGTTGGTTGCTTGCGAGTGAAGGATGGCCATAAACGAGCACTGAAAACCTAAACTGCCCGGATCACGCGTTTCAATACAAATGAACATAGTTAGCGCACCAGCATGATCTCTTACTTGATCAAACGATGTGCGACCGTGAATCGTGCGAAAAACTGCGAAGAGAAGCCGCGGTGCCGCGGGGAGAGGGAGCCAAGCGAGCCGAGAGGCTGTTCCAGCCACACGGCCTCCGGAGCGGCTCTTACGAGAAGTGCCGCCACCCCCCGTGAGTCGGGCGCAGCGTCCGTGCTTTGTTCACCGCCGTGCATTCTGGTTAATTTGCGAGTCGCTACCAATAATACTCGTTCGCTCAAATAAAAAATAATTAATTCGTAAAATGTGCGCACAAAACAGTGTAATCCTTGGGGTACAGCCGGCTGAACTCGTAACAAGTCGAGGTGTCCATGATATTGCGATTGTTTCGTTTTTGCCGGCGGTGGAATGCTTTCGTTCGATTATAAGTCGACCCCCCCACTTCAGATTTTCGAAAATCGGAAAAAGGGTCGACCTACATTCGTGTAAATACGGTAAGCCTAAATTTTTCGGAATTGAGCGGAGTTGCCCTTTAAAGGGACCATGAAATGACCTTTTTACTTTTTCCAGATAACTTTTACATTAAACCGTCAATGTTCACTGAATGCCGAACAGGCATCCGTTTTCGTCTCGGTTTATTAACTTTTGCACAAAAAATTATTGAAATATCGACTTTTTCATTCTCTCCAACTGACCGCAAAAGAAGCCGTGACGTAGACCGTTTCCGGAACCGGAAGTTCTCTCGGCAGTAGGAGAATGGGAGTGTTAGCGGCAACGAGTTGGGGTGCGCCGGTAGGTTTTACTGCGCTGATGTCACCGACGTATTTCCTGAATCGGCGCCTCTCATCGCCGCATCGCAGCTGAGCGAAATTCAATGAGATATGTTGCGCTACAGCGACAGCATGGGACTAGTCCCATACGCCGGTATGCCTGTTGGGAAGTGCAGCGAGTCTTGTCACCACCCCGTCACTGTTGGCAGAAGGGCCGGCCCGTGTCAGTCGTTTGCAAAGCGACGTAGATGGCGTTTTTCGCGGCCTCGGAGATGCAGGAGCGAGCCGACGTTAAAAAAGATACGTTTGAACTACGAGTGTCAGCAAGAGCCACGTAAATACCTGCTTACACTCGGAGCGGACGCGCGCGCTTGATGGAAGTCTTGTATTCGCGCTGTTGGTAAGCGCTTCGGGACCGTTCTTTTACGATTGCAACTCGATACTGACGCGACACTCGGCAAAGAAAGGTTGGACCGGGGTCGACAGTGACGTGCACTCTGTCAGAATAAAAATGGCATACCAATAACAAAGTGTACATACCGTGTTACGAAGGCAATCCATACGGCGTTTATTTCAGCTCTATATCACACAAAACAAGAAGATAGAATCGACGAGAGTCCCTTTTCGACGAGTGTTCGTCAACACTGCCTCGGAAAACAAGGGGAAGAGATTGACCTCCTCACCTCTTAATCTAGAATTGAGGTCAGTGATCAAACTATAATACGGGAAGGGTCCACAAGGGTCGCGCGGGCATATTCCATTTAGCACGCCAGCCGGTCGTAGGCAGACAGACGGTCTTGCGACGAAGGAACGCAGCGCCGAGTCGGAATGCCTGCTAGGCCTATACGCTTCGTCGGAGTCGGTGAATCCAGCGTTCTTGTTCGTCGTGGTCTGTTTTAAATACTGTTTTCTTGCTGCTTGAAGTCGGCGCGCGCGGGAAGAACACGTAGAAAAATAAACGTTCAGTCAGTCGGAGTTTTGAGAGGAAGGAAAACAAAGAAAATAAATGTTCGTCGGTCGCCGTCACCCAAGTAACTGGCGGCCCTGCCCTACTGCGCACGCGCAGTGGTTGCTTCGTTTACCACACGATAGATGGCGCTTGGCTCTCAGCATTATCAAATTTGGCAATTTTCGCCACACATCTCTAATTATGCTACAAAATGTGGATCTGAATATTATTTAACAAAACTTATAGGAAACATTCGCCGGCTATTTATTGTTTACGATCGCGGTGCTGGTGAGGTAGGCTCTTACCCAATAGGCGATGTGGATTCGGCTGACGTGCACCGATTCTGCGTATGCATCGTAGTGAACAGGCGAAGGAAGGAAGGCGCAAAAGAGTCCAGTTTTCTTTTAAAAGTTCTATAGCAAATAATTTTTTTGGGCTCCCTATTTTTGTGTTTTTGTGTTTCTTTTCACACCTTTTACGACGTGCGGTGGATGAAACTCGATTTTAAAATCATTTCATGGTCCCTTTAAGTTAAGTTACTGAGTATCATGAAAAATAGTAACTGAGTAGAGTACTAAATACTCAAATTGTAAAGTAATTGAGTAAAGTACAAAATACTTAAAAAAGTAACTTGTTACTTTCAAGATACTCTCAAGTTACATTTTCTCTGCAATTCATTGTCAAGCACAACCCAAGTCAGAAAAAATTCTTCCTCCCAGCTACTAAATCTGGAAATCTCTTAGCTAGATTTTGGTTGCCATTCAGGCTTCTAGGAGGTCCCAAGCAAGGAGTCCCAAGTAACTACAAGTGAAACAAAAATAAAAAAGGGTTTCTTCTATACCCTTGCTATGGCGAGGACATAGGCGAGGGCAGCGCAAAGCCCTTTCGCCCGCTGAGGGAGTTTTTACACAGAGGCTCGCCTCTGATGCTCCCCTTGTGCCCGGGTGTTCATTTCCGCTTCCCCTGTCAGTGCACTGGCGGTGCCGTGCAGTCGGGGGTCGGGGACTCCAGGTCAGGGGAGAGCGGGCGCCACCGTGGTGGGCGCCGGTGGTCATTCGTGCTACCGAAGACAATGCTGCGTACGCCGCGAGCGATGGGCCGCCGGATTGGAACCGTGTAGTCGTGTCTTACGATTCTTGTGTGCGAAGAGAGCCTAGTGAAACGAACGAGCGGCGTGTGAGACTGTGTGCAGATGTAAAGACATTCCTGAAGCTGGAAGGCTTTCTTTTATATGCTTTCACTCCATAGCATAGGAAAATGAACTCCGGTTTACTGTCGGCTCTTACCAGACACTTGTCGAACCCAACCTCTCTCCGACACAAGTGCCCTCCCTCTGGCTTGTAGCCTTGTACACATTTTATGCTTTCACCCCGCATGCCCTTCTGCTTCGGAATCTCTGTTGCTCTTGGGCTTGGCCACAAACAAATTGTAAAAAAATGTGCTTTGACGTTTTACTTAGTGAGAAGACACGACACACATCCGCTCGGCTTGAGGCTGCGACACCTGCTTCTCTGCGTCACCTCTTTCAGCAGACGCACGGAACTGCACTGTATTACTTGGCATGAAATATATCTGCAATGGCAGGGTGCCTAGCCAAAATAACTGGAGTTCAATATTTTCCAAGCCAAAATTTCTTCTAAAGAAAATAAAAAATAGAAAGTAACTTAAAAGTAACTTTAAAATGAGTACAAGTTACTTGAAAAAGTTAAGTTAGAGTACCAAACACTGACGTTCGAAAGTATTTGCAAGATACGAAGTTACTCTCAAAAGTATTTAAGATACAGTAACTTGAGTAGAGTATTTAAGGGGGGACATGGGCCTAAATATTAAATTTTTTTGAAAAAATTCATTTTTCAATTTTAAGGTTTTCAGTTTTATAAACTTATTATACACCCTTACACCAAATTTGATAACCATACGCCAAATAGTTACGTTGATATAAAATATTTTAACACATTGTGAGGCAGTAACAAAGTAAAGGAGTTCAATGTTAAAATGCATTTTTCTCGGTTCCACTTTTTGCTGCAAAATTCATACGAAGGAATCTTTTGTTCGAAGGTAAAAATATTTGGATACCACAATCAAGATGTTTCTGAACTGAAATTTACTGGGGAATTGGGCTATCCACTTTACTTTGTTTTAAGTTGAAGTCCTCAGTGATAAAAAACTAAGTTTTCAAAAATTGACATAGGACAGATATGCATCTCATATTTTGAGGTAATAACTCTTCCTGTAATATTTACATTTAGGTTATTAAAACTAGATAGCCCGAGGTCCCATATCCCCCACTTTATATTCAGGCAGTCAAAATGATGCTTATTAGCTTCATTTGCATATCATAGATTTCTTAATGAAAAGTGACATATCATCTTATGCAGGTATGTAAATTTGTCCTAGGGAGCTGAAAGTTTGCACAGTACACCTTCATCTGAAGCTAAATCTCCCCTGAAAAATTCATTTTGATCACTTGAGTAGTTCAAAAGTTTGACCTCTAGCCAGTGTCCCCCCTTAAGTTACATACAAGTCTGTCGTATGGACAGCATTAGTGCACCTCTAAAGGCTTGTTTAAAGTGAATGCTCTAAAACATAGAAAAGAATACCTTGTATCTTGAACCTGCTTGTTTGGTTTTATATCAACATATCTAGGATGGAAAGAAAGTTGTTAAAACTACCGGTGAAGAAAAGGTTAGGTTTTTATTGTTTTTTCAGCTACAAAGAATGTAACATCGCGTGGTACTGACACGAAACACGAGGTGCAAGGTGCGAGAGAACGCCAGGAAAGTAACGCCACCTAGCAAGGCGGTGACAAACTGTTTCCCAGTGCACGCAATGACGGAGGTCCTTTCTCTCCTTGCAGCCGCACAAGCGATCCTCCCGCAAGTTGAGCATGAGTAAGTTGCTACACTCTCGGGGTCTGGGCCAAGGTTTCTAACTTTGCCCCCCACCAATTGCGACAACAGCCGCCCAGATCGCCGAGACCAGGAAAGGCCTCGTCGACCTCGAGACTCCCGACTCCATCTTGGTCAACACCAACATCAAGGCAAGTGTTGCGGGGCATGTGGCCGTTCCGACCTTGACCGAGCTGCGTCGCAGGTCTCGCTGCACAGCACCTGCCACATTTCTCTCTGGCGTGTTTTGCTTTAAGCTATACACTGTTGCAGGTTAAGAAAAGCGGGCCAAGGTCCTCCCACTAAGCCCTCCACTTTACCAGAGAGAACGCTGGGAAGGAGATGAGGAGGGACTTGCCTCATCTCTGGCATTCACTTGGCTAAAACGGAAAGACTGGAGGGCTTTGTGTAATAAGTTTGCCCTCTTTTCTTAACCTGCAACGGGGTATAGGGTTTTATATTTTCAGACTTTATATTTAGCAAATTTCAAAAGGTGGTTTTCGGAGTTTGTACTGACCGTTCAATGTGAGGAACTGGCTTTTTATCGATAGTATGAGGGTGATTATGATGTATACGTTTGATGGTGGCCTGTTGGGAAACAGCAGCAGTAATAGGTATTAATATGGTAGAATTGCCCAGGCAAAACAGCACTCGCTCGTGACTACCGTATTTATTCGAATCTAGGCCGGCCCCGATTCTAAGCCAACCCCAGAAAGTGCGAAGCCAGGAATAAAAAATACCGTATTTACTCGAATGTAACGCGACCACGATTGTAACGCGAGGGGTAACTTTTCACAGAGCGCAAAAAAACAAAAAAAAAGAACACGAATTAACGCAAGTTAAGTGAGGGGGAAAAAGAACCTTAAAAAGTACTACAACATGGTCCGCGGAAGCCTTTTCGGCCGGGTTCACACTTGAAGAGCACTTCACGCTGGAGCCTCCACCCACGGATAGTCGATTCTGTCACATCTACCCGTCTAGCCGCGGCAGAATTTCCGATTTCCTCGGCCATCATAATTGCACTTCTTTTAAAGCGGGCGTCGTACTGAGCTCGTCGTGTCGCCATTTGCTCGAGAGTCCAGTCGCGGAAGCATGTAGCAGCAGCTCACAAAACACGGGCACATGGGTACGGTAACCCTAACAGAAAGAGAAAGCGTTGTGAAGGTAACCCGTAACCCTAACATGGGTGCAACGAGTCGCAAACAAGAATACGGTGATTGGATTGGCTGTTTCCAGCGTGTATATGTTGCCAGCACAAGATTGAAAGATTGCGAGATTTGTCGTAGCCATTTTAAAGAGCCTGTGCTGCGACACCGCCAAGGCAAATTTTGAGGCGTTTCGATTATAACGCGAACCCCCAAATTAGGTAAGAGAAATTCGGAAAAAAACTCGCGTTACATTCGAGTAAATACGGTAACTTGCCTCGAATGTAGGTTGAACGAAAAAGCGAAGACAGCGTTCACAAAAATAAGACATTTATTGAACATGAAGATGCCGTGCTCATTCTAAGTTGTCATCGCTGCTAGCCTTGTCGCTGACTTGTTTACCACTGTCATCATCAAACAGTGCGCTATCCTCAGTACCATCACGCGCTTTTGATATGCTGCACTTTTTGAAGGAGTGCACGATCAAAGTTCCAGGGATGTCGTCCCACGCTGCAGCTATCTGGAGCACTTCTGTCGTTACTGGAAGGGCAGCTGCTCGCTGCGTCCGAACGAAGTCGGCCAATGCCATCTCCATTTCGTGGTGACCGCCTTTTCGTGGTCCGGTGAATGCCATCCTTGTTGCGGTGCATGCAAATATTTTCTCCCGTTGCCTTGTCTAACGACGGACATTTCTTTCATCCACGCTAAAGTCTTGCCCGGCTTGAACGTTCGACGACAACTCCGCGGCTAAAATAACTTTTCCTTTGAAAGCGGAACTATAATCGCACCGCCTGTTTGGTGCCATTGTGCTGTTGATAAAAAGAAAATTCCACGCCGCACGCAGGCCACTTTCAACGCAGGTCAAAATGGCGGCACTGCCCGTCTACTTAAGTGACTACTGGCTCGGATAGTAATGGCTACAATACTTTCTTTTCTAGGTGGCGCTGGCTGCGCGCCACTTCCTTCAATTTTACTTGGTACTTGGCAATTGGCTTGTTTTTCAAAATCCTCGAATCTAAGCCGACCCTAGAGTTTGATGTATCGGTATTTAAAAAAAAGCTATCGGCCTAGATTCAAATAAATATGGTAGTTTTTCACAAAGCCCTTCATTGTTGTCTTTGTAACTCATTCTAAATTTCATGGTAACTTCAGTCTGTATGTACCTCACTGTTTTTTGTATGCAGAATTACCGCTCATTCACACTGGAAGCGGATCCGTGTTCCAAAGCGGTTGCGAACGCGGTTGTATAAAGATCCAGTGCAATTGCACGTGCCCTCGATGACATTAAGTGCGCGTGCAATTTTACTGGATCTTTATACAACCGTGTTCGCAACCACTTTGCAGACGTTTCCAGTGTGAATGAGCGGTTAGACTGATCATTTGATTGATCAATTTCAACTAGCTTCTGGGATTATATTGATTGATTGAAGCCCTGTCATTCTAAATCTCATGGTAACTTCAATCCTCACTTTGCTATTTTTGCTTAAAAAAATGGAGTGATTGGTTGAATTGGTTGATTTATTGATTCAGACTAATTTCTCGGTTCAGTGACTGACTGGCTGTGTCATTTATAGTTTGATTGACTGCCCTGTCACACTAAATCTCGTGGTATGTTCAGTTCTCACCTTTCTGTTTATGTGTTGAGAAATGGACCGATTGGTTGATTGATTGATTTCCAGTTAACTGCTGGATTTATTGACTGAGTGGTCGGGTTATTTATTGACAGATTGATTGGTTGGGGTTAAACTATCATTTTAAATCTCATGGTAGCTTCAGTCCTTACCTCGCTTCTTTTGCAGGTCAAAAATGGAGTGACTGGTTGTTTGATTGATAAACAACTTACTGTGGGTTTAGTCACAAACTTATATATTGAGAGATTAACTGGAGGAATGTTATTCTAAATCTCACAGTAACTTCAGTCCTCACCTCAATGTTTATAGACAGAAAAATGAACCGATTGGTTCATTTTACCCCTGGGCTTCTTGACTACGGTGTTGGGTCACTTACTGATATAATGACAGGCTTTGGTTACTTTGTTGCTCTAAATCTCTCTCGCTGTTACTTCAGTCGTTTCAGTCCTCACCTCGCTGTTTATTAGTAATGAACTGAATCTGCCGAACTTCAGATTTAGCGAAGTTTGGCAAAGATTCGGTGAAATTTGGCAAACGTCTGCGCATGCGCGAGGTGTGCAACGAGGCCATGGATTGCAAATGGACGCCATGCGGTTATCATCGTACAGTGTAGTGTTACCAGCGGTTCCGGCGAGGTGTGGAATAGGCGACATAGTAGCTGTGTGGTTGTCTGCCTTTGTGAGTGCGGTTCTCTTCAATATTTTCTACCTCAAGAACAGAAGCAACCAGGAATTGATGCAGTATACTGTGCAAGTGACAAATGATGTGGTACATCACGCATAACATGATTTTCATTTGATCTTTCCAGTGAGGTAGTTGCAACATTGACTGACAAGTACTTTAAAGTAGGGGTGTGCGAATACCGAATAGTAGTAATCGAATACCCAATCAAATTAAGGAAAAAGAGCCGAATATCGAATAGAATATTGAATAGTGATTTTATTTGTAGGAATTTTTTAGTGTGCTGTGAATGAGATGATGATATGTGCAGAGAATGCGCCTGGTGCAGAATATGCATCTCATATGGAACAAAAGCTCATATGCATGGAAGTTCTGGTGAAAAAGAGAAAAAGAAAAGCAGCTGATGGTGGACGTTGGGCACGAAAGATCCAATTTTATGGCGGAAACATGATCTGTCTACCCTAAGCATCACAAAAAACCCAAAGTTCCAGCCACGTGTGCCTTTTTTCTCGTTAAAAGCACGACCTAACACCGCAATGTCCTTTTTTTTTATATATGTATATCTCAAAAAAGGGGCATTTTTCGATATTTGGTCTCAATTTTCAGAGAGAAAAGGGGAACCCGGGATTTTATTTTATATATATATATAAATAGATAGCTGTTAAATCTGAGTAAACAGGCTTCAACAATATATTCTAAAGAAACAAAAAAAAAATGTGGTTAGGTGGTTCAAGCCACCGTCCAACTGCCGCTATGCATCCATTCCTCCGTCTATCTATCCTGCTTTAAAGAGCCCAGATTTAAAAGAGGAAGCAAACGAAACTGAAACCACTGAGACGGCTCCTGCGCAGATTGGTCGTAAGTGCGCGTGTATTGTGTTGTCACATAGAAAGAAGGCGAGCACGAGCAAACGTAAGAGCCTTGACGCCTGCCCGATCGACACTTTCTTTTCGTCACCTTCTCGCTGTTTGTAATTCAAACGTGGCGATCGAACGGTTGGAAACCCTCTCAAATCTAGGCACACTACTGTTCCGTTACGATTAGGAATTTGCAGCTTGCGGTTCCAAAAGAACAATGACAAAAACTCGGCTGGTTTCGTCGGCGTGGTTCATGGTTTTTTTATGTGATCTTGCAGTTGCCGATTTCTGTGAGTGTGGCAGGTGTGTTCTATGTCGGCGCTTCAATTTGAAACGAGGGGCTTTACTCGTGAATAGAATTAGGCATGGCGCGGAATTCCGGCCTACCAATAATTTCTCTCGTGAAGCGGCGCAAACAAGATGTTTCGGTTGTGATTCAAGGCTAGATTGTGTCACGTTCATGAGTAAATCTATGTGGCGTTCGTTACTTTTCTTTTTTCTAACCTGCGCATTACATTTTTGTGTAATGGTAGGGTCAATAGGTCCTTCTCGCATGGTCTGTCTAACATTGTGACGCTAACATTGGCAGAAAAACGGCTGTTTTGTCAGCTCCGCGCCGATTGCGCGTCTTTGGCCGAATATACCGAGTATTCAAGTGACCAAATACTAGGAATTTGATTCGTGAATTGAATTATTCGGGAGCTTGCTATTCGATTTGAATTCGAGTATTCGCACACCCCTACTTTAAAGCACTTCTCGCAATTATATGATTTTTTTTTTTCAACTGACAAGTAGTGTGTGCCGAAACGAAATAATATTGCTTTTTAATTTGCGTTATTTCGGAGTTTTCATCTATCTGCATAAAACTAAACACAGAACTATCAGCTCGACATTGCACATCCAACATTCCTAACTCTTCCCATCTTCCTAAACGTCCACGTGTGTCCTAAAATGAGAAATTGGCATTTTAAAAGTTAAAAATGAGACTTTGCGAATATGTGACGCTCACTTTCATGCAAAACTGGCGTCAAGTGACTCAAATCAAAAAAACATGCATACTTACAGTAATATTATCTCTTCTGGTGGAGGCATTCTCACGCGCGAAGCGGTGACCCCAGGGAAAGTAAGAACGCAGTCTTACCACCTTTATTTCACTTTAACAATGCACAGACACTTGCAGACTTGTGCTGATGAGGTTTCAAGATGGAAACTCGCGGACCGTGACTGCGCCCACTGCTACCCAACCTTGTTGTCGCGGCAGTTCTGTTAGAAGCCACTGTAAAATTGCTCGTAAACATGCAGAAATGACACCAACACAATTATCTTTTATATTAGGACCTTATTTAGAAACAGTGTTGTACACGTTCCTCAATAAAAGGAATGAGAGCTCGTTCCTCATTCCTTCTGATATTTGGAACTCGTTCCCGTTACTGTTAAAAAAATGGAACGTATCATTAAATACATGTTACATTTGTGTTTTGCTGATTACCATATTGAGTTAGATTGAACCAAGTTTATATTTTTATATGTCCCATCAAATGCCAACATAGGAATTTGAATGCCATGATGGAAAGGCACCTGGAGAAGAAAACAAGCGGAAGCAGAGATTTATATCATGATATATTCACTATTAAAAATCAGCTTTTAACCATATTCATCTTTGTGGTGGGCTATGCAGGCGAGCCAAATGTACTGTTTCATTGCACGAGCGTTTTACGACAACCTCCTTGTGTTTCAATCTAACAAAATCCCGTGTTCAAACTTAAGAGCAGTTGCTTATCGATGTTGCTGTCTGTAAGACGAGCAAGTGAAGAAGAGGGTAGGTCTTTTGGGAGGTCAGTCTTGAAAACTACAAGTCCTTCTTCGTGAAGGTTGGATTCGTTGTTCAGTTTGAAGGAGGGGAGATTGAATAACGGTAAATTTTTGTGTATTTTTTAAGTGACCAATGTTCGGTATAGAAGAGCGCGTTCAATGTCTAGTAGCCTGCTCTTTTGCTGTGACTGTGTTTCTCTTCGTGCAAGTTCAGTGGCGGCTGTAGTTGGCCTCAGATTTCTGCGTGTATGAGGATTTGTGGAAGCAAAGCACGTAGCTGAGTTTGAAACGTCCGTCTTTCTGTGCCTTTTTCCCTTGACTAAAGGTTTTCGGTTTTGCTCTTTGGACTGCAGCCTCGGGCACTAAAAAAAGAATTAGTGTCCACCAGCTTTCATGTACCCAACTGTTGCCAAGCCAGGACCACACAAAATAAACCCTAATATAAGTAACCGAAATGTTAACGAGATTCTGCTCTTCGTAAAGACATTGTTTTTATACTTCTAAAATTTCTCTCTTAGAAATAAATTAAAAATTACCCCGATGGCGAAAAAAAAAGAAACGCAGTTCCTTTTTCCGTTTCAGTAGAAATGTAACGAGTTCTCGTTCCAGTTCCGCCAATGCCAAATGGAACGACGGCGTTCCTTCGTTCCTCCGTAAAGGAACGCGTTCCAGGAACGCCGTTCTGTAAAACACTGTTTAGAAATTACTGTGTCGGTGCGAATTATACGTGGCATTTAAATAATTAAAAAAAAGAAATAATCTTTAAAAATGTTTGGCAAAACTTTGCCTCTGCCAAATCCCAAGATTCAGCACTGAATTTTCAATTCAGCTAGAATTCGGCCCATCGCTATTGTTGATGCTTTGAAAAAATGAACTGATTGGTTGGTCAATCGAATGATTTCCAACCAACTGTTGGGCTTATTGACCGAGGGGCCGGGTGTTCAGGGAACGATTGGCTGCGGTTACCCCGCCTTTCTAAATCTCGCCACAACTTGGGTGGATTCAATGCTTACCTCGCTGTATTCGCTGGGCCAAACGGGCCGACAGGTTGCTTGACCGGTTGATTGTGCTTCAGGACCTGCTGACGAGGCACACGCTGTCGCTGCTGCCCCCGCTGTACCAGTACCGGCTGGTGCAGCTGCTCCCCGCAGCGGACCGGTGCGCCTGGGACGCGAGCTCGGTGGTGCGGCTGAGCGGTTCCGCCCTGAGCAACGAGTTCTTTGCCCGGGCCTGCCAGGAATGGCGAGAGCGGCTGGCGGACGGGGAGCTCACCCACGAGAGCCGGCTGAGGGCCAGGGCAGAGCGGGAGCGCGCCTCCCGCCTGGACCCCTGGAAGGTGGCCAACTTCGAGGACGTCTGGGGCCACAGGTGGGCTGGTTTGTTCAACATGATATGGTCGGTCAAGGGAAGCTCCTCCCACCCCTTTCCACTTTAGCAGAGCTGGGGAGGAGACGACCTCATCTCCGGCGTTCGCTCTGCTAAAGTGGCAAGAGGTGGGAGGAGCCCTCCCTGAACCCTTGACCTGGCAGCGATTATAAATATATCGGGTGTTTCTGCGAATGCTTTTATAGATTCCTGAAAAGTCGATTTTGGGAAGACTCGAAGCACGTGGGAAGTGCGGGAGTGCGCTAAAGTTACTACTGTCGAGATCGGTTATAACGAAGTCAACGGGACTTAGAAATTACTTCGCTGTATCCGCCCTTTTGTTATAATCAACTTCGGTTAACGAAGGGCAAAAGGGAATGGGAAATCCTGATTGCTTCGCTGTAGCCGCTATTTCGTTATAACCGACTTCGTTATAACGGGTTTCGACAGTACTGGTCCAGCGGGCACAAGGCTGGCGATGCGAAGACTCAAACGACACGAAAATTGTCCCCGTCTTTGCATTGCCAGTCTTCGTCCACAACAAGTTGCTCCACCGTCCCCTCCCCCCCCCCGGTGCATGCAGGCTTCCGTCCGAGGAGCGCCTGGCGTCGCTCAGCCTGACACCGGGTCCCCTGGCGGTGCCCTCTGCCAAGGGGGCGCACAAGAGCGGCCGGCCCCTGAGGAGGGGTGCCTCCGCCCACAGGACCAGCCCCTCCAGGCCCACTCCGGTGAGTCCGTCTTCCGCCTTCCGAAGTCCCGACCGATCGATCGCTTCGGTCTCGAGGGGAAACCGAAGCACTTTTCAATGAGTCTTAGTTAGTGCGGACTCTTATGGCTTTTTTGTCCTGTGAGTTTGATTGTCACACTTAATTAAGTAGAAGTAAGCCTAAACTGTTCCATTGGAAAGAATGCCGTACCGCATTTAAAAACATTTTATCACGGAATGTGTTGTGGTGCCGGGTTTGGCGAGAAAAGCGCCGCGTTACGCTCGACCAACGCGCGGGGTCGGGCTGTCCCACGACACCCCAATGTCACGTGACACCGTGGTGCCACAGACACGCACAGCCTGTACCCAGCTCATTTGCAACACATTCTGCACATATCCGAGTTTATCAGACTCAATCGAGATTTGCCGAACTTTAAATTTTTTTCGGTGCCTCGATAGTAGACACTTGCCTCGATCGAATCTTTTCCCAAGAAAGAAAATCCTTACCGCAATATTTACGTCGCGAGACTGCTGCCAACTTGGAGTTGCAGCAATCTCGAATTGCGCTTGTATTTTGAGACGTCCATCCTGGGATAGACACATGCGTAGGAATCGATCAAATAAGTCTCGCTGCGTAAACATTTCAGTCATCTTCTATATTTTTTTTTTTTTCTTAGTAAAAGTGTGTTGTGTGACGTACATGTCTTATCCAAGTACTTAAAAATTGCTTTTTGGAAGTTCAGTGTCCCTTCAACAGAATGACTGCACTTTTTGAATAACTCAGCCTCATTTAATTCACCTATTGCGCCTCCGTGAGAGTGAAAGCCTCAATCGATTTAATAATTACGCATCATGATTGTCATAGCTAGAGACACAGTTTAGGTTGATTTATTGTGTCGTAGATGTCCGAGCATTCTTCTATCATTTATTACACGTTCGTCGGAAGTGCAGTCAACTGATTTATTATGTGTTCTTGAAAAGTGTACTTCCGATTGAATGTATGGGTGTCCATAGAAGGCACAGCGTAAATTGACTGGTTCATATGCTTACATATAGGGTAGCTTCAACTGCCCTATGAGCAATGTACTATCACTCAATGATTATTAGTGGGGTTCTACATTTTCGGTGTGTTTCTGGTGAACCTTGAGAAATAACCCCAGAACCGGTTTTACAAAATTTGGAAAAAACAGTGGGGAAGAGACGTATTCGAGCTGTTCTCGAAAAAGAAAACTCGAACATCATGCGGAAAGAAATCTGTAGGTACAGTGCTATTTTGTTTAGTCCTGGAACATAGATGTGTCATGAGGCTGCTGCGTTTTTTTTTGCGAACCACACTTATGTTATCTGTAATGGGACGTTTTCTGCATTGTTTAGCCCGTCTAAATAAACTATGCGTCCCTGAAAGCCCGAGCCCCGTGAGAATGTGATGCTAGCGGTTGGGATAGTAGGCGAACTTTAGAGAACATGACGTTCCTCAAGGTTGAAAAGTTTAATGTCCCCCGCTCTACAGTGCCTGGAGGGTGGGGGGGGGGGTCTATGGTGGAAAGTTTGGCGAGTTAATGGATGCGCTCCTATCCCTTTTCAACGATCCGCGAGCAGGTATCGAGGGGACGGTGTCCGGCAAGGCACGCGGTGCGGGGCAAGGCGTCGCTCAAGCGAGCGGCGGCCGCTAGGAGGGCGGCGGAGAGCCCAGCCGCCAAGAGGCTCAAGGAGGTTCCTTCCCCGTCGCCGGCTACTCCAGGTTGGTTGCATTCTCTCTTACAGCCTGTGGAGTGCAGGTCACGCATAGTTAGGCGGATCGATTGATTCAGAACGCGTATTTATTAAATTAATTAAATGCGTTAGCTCTTACTGCCTCAGTATATGCAATCGTCTTTGGTTTTGAACGTCGTGATTTGGACCGGACTGTTTTTGGTTTGGACCGGACCGGACAATGGTTTCATGAGGCCGCGGCACAGTTTCTGCTGTGCTCTTTCACCGTGTTCTTTTGCTCATTATGTCCACTTTTCCTCTTAAGTAAGAGGGTAAGAGTCTTCTGGCCTGCTTCCAATGACGCGGGAACGTGAGGGGAGGGGATTGAGCGGCCCCGGCAAAACGTTTGAGGTAAAGCAAAACTGAGGAGCAGCAACGACTTTGCTTGCGCTAAAACCGCCGACATTCGGGAGAAACGATTGGCTCTATGAAGACAACATTATGCAGACTGGCCAGGCGGAAAAGAATGCTGCGAGCTTGGTATTCCCATCCTTTGTTGAGTCGGAACCCCCATGCTAAATGCCGACACATTTCATCAAGAATCGGCAAAGCGACAGCGGCGATTTTGGCGACTTTTTTTTAATGAAGAGGTTCGCCTGCCTATGCCTTGGTTGCATAGGCAGGCGAACCTCTTAATTAGGCAGGAGGGATTGGAGTTGTGGCTGTAAGGGCGGGGTAGGGTTATGATTATGATTTTGTTTTATGACACGATGGATTCCGGAGTCCCCTGCGTAACGTATCGGGGAATCCACGATTCGCTTCTCGTGCCGTGCCTGTCCTTTGGTGTGGGTCCAGTCTTCCAGCTGCTTTGGGTCTTGTACAGATCAGCAGAATCATCCTATAGTACACTGTGGCATACCTGCCAACTCTTCCAAATTTTTCGTAAAATGTACGAATTGGGACTAATTTTAAGATTTTACGAATCTTGCTTCAAATGTTGCAAAAAATATTTTTTAAATTTTTGTTTTGTCTTTGTAACTCTGTTGTTGGCGGTATCTTGCACCGCCACAAGAGGGCAATAGGTACCGTCCACAGCAGCGTCGTGGTTTTTACCATCCGTCCATCCGGTGGCCACGGATCGAAAACCAATCCAAAGCTCAAAGCCTTTGTTTGTGTGTTCGGCGGTGCACGTTGGTTCAACGTGTTCAGACGTTGTTGGACCTCGTTGTTTCGGCCAGTTTCGAGGCGGGTAGTACAGCGTCTGTGTTTATTGCACGTGTAACTGTAGCATTCTCCTGGTTACTGTGGCTTTGCAGTGCAATGGCAAACTCCAAACCTCAGAAGAGGTACTTTCAGGTGTTCCTGAAGTCCTACACGTCGAAATTCCCGTGCTTCGTGACGCCCAAAAAGCGAGAGAAGTTTGGATTCTGTAGCACGTGCACATGTGGTGTAAGCGTTTCACACGTGGCCAGGCTGACATTAAGCTGCACATCGCTTTGCGTAACCCCCCCTGCGGCCGCGGGACTTTTACGAACTTGAAGGTACACAGGTTGGCAGGTATGCCGTGGGCACACAACAATTCAGACCCGCTTTATTTAGGTTTCGTAAATCGGTACTGTGTGCTCTGACACCGTCAATTGAACGCTGAATTGTGGCTTGGTGGTGCGTTTGTTTCTTAGTTGAGCCTCCTTAGGCTAAAAGTAAAAAAGCGTCCATCTGTAAAATTGGAACATCTTACAATCAAATCCCACTAGAACAGAGTTGACTGGCAAGCAAAAATTATTGCGCATCTCTATGACGTAATGCTTCTTAAAGAACCAAGAAAAACAGCAGTTCTGCACCGGCTGAATTTCCCATCTACAGTGTAGACCGCATATAACGATGTCGCGGGAGTCGCTAAAATCCGCACTATAAGCGGTACCGCGCTATAACCAAAACACCAATTTTTCAGGCCAAAATACATGCCATGAGACAACTTACCTTGGTAAAAGAATTTATTTCTATGTTAGATGAAAAATAAAGCTTAGTTTGAGAAAAGTCTTTATTTCACCAGACTAGTACACTTCTCTCTCAAGTGTGTCACCCATTTTGAAAGAAATAAGCGACTTTTGCCTGGCGCAGCCTTTTAACAGCGTCGCGGGCTGCGGACAGACGTTGCGAGCGTTCGGGAATGCTAACCCTAATCACTTTTCTCCGGCGATGAAAACACGTGAAAATTCGCATCCTTTATACGGTACTCGCCAGTAATACCTTCAACTTGAGCACAGGCACAAAATGCTCCAAATAAGAAATCCGGATGTTCGAAAACACAAATGTTTAGAAAGCACCACTGTAGTCGAAGTAAACAAACACGACGACACGGACGTTTCTGCCATCTTGAGAGTGCCGCCACAACATCGCCGCACGAGTAGGTTGATCTTCCCTTCTAGTACGTGCTGAATTATCATAGCGACACACAACGAAAATTCACTGTCAAGGATAGCGCTTTTACGCAGAACGATGAACTTCCACCATGCCGTCTACGACGACGACCACAACCGACGCCATGTTCGCGGATAGAAGCAGCTGGCCCGCGACTGGCATGCAACGCGCGCGAACACTTCTCCTCGACCTGCGATTGGTCTGTCGTTGCGGTTGTTTCCAACACAGTGGAGGGATGCACGCACGCACGCACGTGAACGACACGTGCATGCGTCCCTCCATCGCTATGGCAACTGAAGCCTCCTTCTTCGCTTCTCCCCACTTTTTCGAGCAACCTCCTTGCCCCGCGGGTGCCGTTCGCGGCTAGCGCCGTTATCTAGTGTCGGCGCGGTCGGCGGGCTGTTGGAGAAACTGCACTATAACCGGTATTTCCCTTCGCGCGCCTGCATTTTAAGCGGTATGTAATTACATGGAGTTCTATGGGAGGCGAACCGGTGGTTTAAAAAAGCCGCGTTATACCCGGTCCTGCACTATAAGCGGTTACGTTGTAAGTGGTCTATACTGTATGGCAGAAACGCCAGACGCCCACTGGGGCGGACTTCCCGCTGTCTCAGCATGCGTGCAACACAATTACTTCTACCGTATTTACTCGCCAGAAAGCGCCATGCTATGGGCATTTCTCGCAAGTCAAGGCGTCAAAGTTGCGCGTCGAACGGCACGTGCAATCTAGCCGATTGTGCTAAACTCCAATTTAGCGATACCGATGCTCGTAAAACGAAAAAGCTCATTGGTGAACCGTGCAAAGAGGTGTGACTTATACCACAGCCGGACCTGAAGCACGCGCTCTCTTTCTCTTCTTACGGCCTTTGCAATTGGGGCAATCGCCACCTCCCGCCGCAATTCGCGGGGGACGCTGTCACCTCGCCCCTGGGCTACCCTTTGCCGTTTGCACAAAGCGCGTCTGACAGTGTATCTCAACAGTGTCGCAACTTGAGGCCGAGATTTTATAGCCTTTGACACCTGATCCTTACGTTTAGACCCTCAGCCACTATCTAATGCGCTTCTGATGAGCCCACAACGGTGAATATTTGACGCACATCTCCAAGAGATTCGGGAGTAAAAAGTAGCAAGTAGAGACAGCGAATACAATTGCGGAAAAACTATGCTCGTCTTTACCTCCAGGACTTCTGTTGCAACTCAAGAGCAGGAGGAGACGGACCCCTTCTACGTGGAGGAACTCTAAATGATAAATAATTCGTACACTCTCATGAAGTGTAAGCAGACCCAATCTATCTATTGCTGTGGTCTGCATCATCATATCATAGGCCGCTCATGAAGTCGGTCAGCTGCTCTAGACGAGGGTGTAGTAGTCTGTACAATTTTTGCATAGTGCATATTACAGCCTAAAGTGCTTCCTTGAGGGCTTGTGCATATATCCAGCTGATTTTTTGTTTCTGTCTGTGACCGTCTTTGCATGGTTAATCAGAAGTATTCTGAGAAACCGTTGCCAAAACAACAACCTACGAAGCTCGAACACCAGCGCAAAGCAGCTCGAAGGGACTCTCCAAGTGGGATGAGGTGGTTGCGCCCCTGGTGGCAAGCAAGTGAACTACATACAGAGAAAAGATGCCACTGACTCCCGGGTGATTGCAAAGGCCGTAAGAAGTGAAAGAGAGGGCGCGCTTCCAGTGGCCGTGCTTATGCGAAGGTGCGACTTATATACCAACTTGTCCACAAAAACGGCTCACTGTAACGGATGTGCAAGTTATACAAGGCTGCGACTTATAGTCCGGAAAATGTGGTCTTCAGTCTATCAAGTTTGGTTCCATGCGATTGGGGAATACACCTGACCAACCTCACTTGTTTCGCTTGTTCTTTGATATACACTAAAGACAATTTAATTAAAATTTTACTGTGGTGGGGCACTTTTATGAACTGCCTAGAGCGGCAAAATGCTAACCCCGACTCTGGTCAAGGAGTATGTCTGCGTAGCGTGCCTAGATTACAGAGTATGTGGATTGAAAGTTTGTCTGCTTCTTTTGCAGGGGTTGTGGTGACGTCAGAAGACCGAGCTCTGATTGAAGGATAGTGGCTAGCCCTCAATGCAAGCTGTCTTGAGGTCTATCCACTATCCTTCAATCAGAGCCAATCAGAGCTCGGCGTTATGATGTCAACACAACCCCTCGCAAAAGAAGCAGACAAACTTGCGCTCCGCATTTCCAACTGCGTGATGGGGGTCACGTGATTTATGGGCTGCATTTGCAATACAAGCTGATCATTTCCGCTTCTCCGCCCGATTTCCTCCCCGCCACGGTAACGCAATGCAGGTGCACTTACGACCGGTCTGTGCAGGAGGCGTCTGTCGTTGGATTGCACGGCTTGAGTTGATCCCTCTCTCAAATCTAGGCTCCCTACATCTGCGTTTCAGGGGTGGAGCCTCTGGTGGCCGCCAACGAAGCCCCCACGGCAACCGACCAAGTTGAAGACGAGCCCCAGGTTGTGCTTGTGGCAGAGCCCGAGGCTCCAGCGTCCCCTCCCCATGCAGCCTCCTCCCGCCTCGAGGAGGAACCCCCGGTGAGAAGTGCCACGCGTGGTTTTCGTCGGAGATGTCGGCGAGCTGGCGAGGTTTGAACGTGTCCAACCTTTAAATGTTAAAAGTATTACGGTACAGGGTGTCCCCCAAAAACAGCTACGGAGCATTTACGCTGCAAGACTAAACTATGCGTCGACAAGCGCCGAGTCTGTCTCGATGTAGTGCTAGCAGTACGAACTGGATGCTAAAGCTTCGGAACTAGCCATTGTCTGATTATAAAAAAAAAAAAAAAAAAAAAAAGAAATAACTGATTTTAAAAATTTTAATAGGAAAATGTTTGCCAACAAAGCCCACAAATACGGGGAGCTGAATGGTGCGAGCTACCGGGAATAGGCCCCATTTTTACTTCGAAATTTTCAGAAAAATTCGCTTACGAATCATGTAAGCCTAGTTCTTACTGCCGGCTCGGAGCCAGTAGAAAGAAAGCCGATTAGCCCTTCCCTCTTATTATAATCTTTTTATTAGTACCATTTTACGGTCCGGCCAACGGCACTTTGAGCCAGCCACAGTGAAACGCCGCTCGAACGAGCTGCCGTCAACAAACTGTTTGAGCGAACAAACTTTCGTAAAATTCCCCGGCCAAACCCCATTGTGTACAGTGCCTTCGGTTGAGCGAGCCTTCTATCGAACATGCTTTTTGGCTTTTTGTCGAGGTCCCTTAATTTGTTCAAGTGGTATTTCACCGTAGTGTAATGCGTCCTTCGAAATGCCAAACTTTTCTGTCCGAACCGGGTCTTTGACGGTTAACCGTTCCAACGCTTCCCGTCGCAGCTCTGCATCACCCCCGAGGTCCCGTCTGTGGCTCCCGGGTCGGCCAACACCCCGGGACCCTCGGACGAACCGTCGGAAGGTCCGTGTCTCGACGAGGAGCTGGAGACGCTGTCCGCCGAGCAGCTGCTCCTCAGGGTCTACGACGAGACGGACGTCAAGTCCGACGGCCCCGACGAAGACCCGGACGCAAAGTACGACGATGCAGATCTGCACAAGTACGTCGAGTGCGCGGAGGAACTCGTCGTCACGCCGGCGCCCATCGTCACTTCGGAGCCGTGCGGCTATGACGTGCTGTCGGAGGACGGCGTTGCGGCCGAGGTGGCAGTCACCGTCGAGGCTGCCGTGGCATCCGAAGAGGACGACGAGGAGTTAATGCGGGTGGCAGAACCGATGCCGGAGGTCCGCGCTATGAGTCCGCTCCCGCCGCCGGCTGTGGAAGAGGTGGTTGTCATGGCGGAGGAAGAGGAGGAGGAGGAAGTGATGCTGGTGACGACGGTTGAACACGACGCGCCCGTCATCCTGGCGACTGCAGAAGGCGTGCCACTCGTCGAAGGGCTGCTGCAGACAGAGGACGTCTTGGTCTTGGGTGCTGGGGAGGAGGTGGCGCCGCCCGGCCACGCATTGGATCACGTGGCACTGGAAGTGGTGGCGCAGGAGGTGAGCGTGACGGCTGCCGAGCTTTTTGCGACGTGTTTTCATTTGGGGGTTGGCAGTTGTTGGAGGGCTGAAGCAGAAGATGTGTTTTTTATGTGGGTTTTGGGAAGGACAGGGCAGTCTGGTGGCTTAGTCTCAGACGCAGCTCTTGTGTAGGTTAGTCTCAGACACCGCTCTTTTGTAGGTTCCGGAGAGGACAAAACCGCTCTGCAGCTTGGTCTCGGAGACGTCCCTTGTAAAGGTTTCAGGAAGGATAGGACAGGTTTTCAGCTTACTCTCGGACACGTCTTCTGTGTAGGTTTCGGGAAGGATGGGACAGTTTTGCAGCTCAGTCTTGGATGTGTCTTATGTATGTTTTGGGATGGACAGGACAGGTTTGCAGCTTTGTCTTGCTATTGGCGACTCCCGCGAAATCGACACCATGTGGCAGCAATGCCAAGAAGCTCTGGAGAGGAGGTCGTTTCGACTGTCTGCTATTGCTGCTTTGTTCTCGTAGACAGCATAGAAACAAACATTGTTTCCAGTAATTATTTTTATGCTTCCACCGTGTCATTCCTACGTGCTGACCAGAATAGGTTTCTACTGTCGAAAAATCGTTTTACTTTTATATCTAAGACCAATTTGTTGCTGCAGTGCAAGAAATTTATGGTTGTCCGCGTGCTGAACGACGAAAATGTCCTCCTTTCGTCCGCCATTTTGCCTGAGTAGCACGTCCCCGATAGTTCGCTGGAGTTGCCAATACTGTGTTTGCTCTTTGTTGCTACCTGCCTTAAACATATTGTGCATGCCAAACTCCTCAGTTTAGGTACGCCGAACTAAGCAGATGGAAACTGACGACTCTTTTTCTCCCAAGGAACCGCCCCTGGAGGCCCAAGTGGTCGAGGTCGAAGAAGTTCCGCTGGAGCTGGACATTGCAGACCCGACGATCGCGATGCCGAGGCTGCCGTGGGTTTTCCAGGAGCCCGCGAGGCCGGAGCCTCGCAGCGCGACCCCGGAGCCCGCCGTGTCGCTCCAAAGAACGGCGCAGGTGCCACGGCCGTCCAGCGTCCCTCTGGTCGTCTCTGAGGGCAGAGCGGCTCGACCCTCGAGCGCTCCCCTTGTGGTTCCGGAAGGCGGCGTCGCGCTCCGAGCGGTCCGCAAATCGCTCAGCTGCAAGGACCTGCTGGCACTGCAACGGCAAGGGGCATCCGCCGTCTGCATATCGCTGGAGCCGCTCGCAGCGACGACGGTGGCACGCCTTGTTCCCACGGCGGCAGCGGGCAACGGGCGGCGGCCAGCGCCAGACGGTCGGGGCACGGGGGACGGGGCCTGCGGATGCAACCTGAGGGCCATGGCCATCTGCCGCAAGTGCGGAGCCTTCTGCCACGACGGATGCATCGGACCCTCCAGGCTGTGCGTCACCTGCCTCATTCGGTGACCGGAGACCGCTGCCGGTCGCGGTGACGGTGCCTGTTACGGGGAGACACCAATATTTATTTGAAGGGGGAAGGTATGGAGCGCGTTCCTCTTGTTACAAACTTTTTTCTTTCTTTTTTTTTTTTTTGACATGTAAATACATTTTTTCAGTCGAGCAAAATGACTTGCCTCGTTTCTCGTGTTTTTCGGTGGCTGCCTAGGGCGGCCTCGAAACGGCTCAGTACCGAAACGTGAAGACGGTAATGGTGAGGAAGACGACCGTCCAGCAGGAAGATACCAGGATACCGAGCAGCACGGATGGGTGGGTGAAGCCCCAGCCCTTGGACATGACCGATCGGAAGGCCTCAGCGGGTAAAGTGAGCGGCAGGACGTAGCTCAGCCAGCGCACATACTTGGGGATGCCCTCCACGGGCCACAGGATGCCTGCAAGGCCGTCGATTAGCCTATTCTCACCGACTGGACAAGAACAGCAGGGCGGTCCTTCGATCGTCCCACCTCCAGAATGAGTTCCCTACCTTTGACGAAACTAGACTGTCCCGTGAGTTTCGGAACGTCCCTGCACATCCAAAACGCGTCAGTAGGCAAAGGGCACATGCTGGGGACCGAGTGTCGAAAAGAGATGCCCTGCTGCTCTCATTGGCTGGAACCGTTTGGCCTATTGTCGTTCGACAAGTTCGATCCAGAGCTCTCAGTAGAGTATGCGTTCCGACAAGATAAAGGGCAGTGTTACAGAACGCAAGTATTTTTCATTGGGGCGCTCGAGCAGAGCTGCGGGGACAGTGGCACTGACCGCTGATCATCATGCTGGGGTAGTTGATGCCGACAGTCAGCATGGAAGCTGCATGTGGGGAGTCCAACATCGACGAGATCATGAACCCTGCAAAATAATATTCAGATTAGTGTCTGGCAGTCACGGGTCCCGGCGTTTTTATGGGTAAGCAGCATGAAGCCTCGGTTTACAAGGTATATTGTAATGTGCACGTGTATGTGGTGAGGAATCTTGTGAGGAACAAAACAATGGTCCGTGAGAGAAAATTACACCCATTTCCTTGGCCCACCCAAACACACCATGTACTGCAGAAAGCTTAAACTCCGTGAGAATGCAGGGGTGGGACGGCTGCGCCATTTGCGCCATTTTGTGCCAGACGCATTCGTCTGGGCCATCCTGCGCCATTTCGCGGAAACTGCGCCACAGCCAATACCTTGCGCCACTATGCACCAAATCGCACAATGTGTGCAAAACAAAATTGAGTTGTGTCTTGGTTTCAGTTTCTATAGACTCGATTGGCGACAATGAGCGCGTTTAGCTTGGTCGGCCTTGCAATCCTTTGTTCTGTTTATTCTGTCTGTGTATCCCGAGGTCACTGAGCGAAAAAACTCTGTGATCGGATTTGAAGTGCTACATCTGCAACTGGATAGTTTTCTTCAACCATCAGCGGTTAAGCAAGTCGACCGAGGTGAGGTCGAGTCGTTAAGCGTCAGATTGCCTGAGTCTCTGCGGCCCGGGATCCGGACGTCGGCCAGTTGAAAGCAAATGAGCCAAATATTCCTTTTAGTACTTCATCGTTAGAAGTTGGAACCGCATTCCCTAGGGTGACCACCCGTCCCGCGACTCGCGGGACCTGTCCCGCATTGAGGGCTTGTGTCCTGCGTCCCGCAAGATGATCCAAAAAATGTTCATAATGTCCCGCATTTCACGCTGTCGTAAAATTCACAATTTATCTCGTGGCGCTGCCGAACAAAGGGGCGCGGGGAAGCGTGGAGGCCTCTGGTAATCGTGTAAATGCGATGGTGTGCTATTTACTATCCTAGCATTGCGGGAAGCGACCGTCGTTCTTGCAGGAGATCGACGCGCATGTGCTGTGGTGCCCCTCCCCCTGGTGGGAAAGCACTGCAAAAGAAAATTGCTAGTCAAAATGTCAGATATAAATTATTGCAATTATTTTTTAATTAAACTGTGTCAATGCAAACGGGTTGATGTGAACAATTTTTAGTGAAGACGTAGCGCCTGTCCTGTTGTCTTTGTGTCTTATTGTCCTCGTTTTACATGATGGGGAAAGCAGTTCAGAAAACACTGACTACGAAGAGAAACAAACACGACAGGAGATGTATAACGTCCACCAACTGGCCCAGTTCTCTACCTTATTACTGTCCTCGTATTGTTCGCGTTTTTATCCTTTTAATTCAGTCTGGGCCAACTAGCCCAAACCCAAGTTTTAATAAAAACATAAGGTTCTAAATTTGAGTAAGAGTATGTTGGTAAAAGTATATCGACAGGAAACAATAAGCAAAAAAAAGGTTTACTGTTCTTTACCTTTGATGCATTGAGCTCTGTTGCAGTCAATTTTGATGTTTTAAACTTAGACACATTTACTAGCTTGTCATTAAAATAAAAAAAAAAATATATATATATATATATATATCACTGGGTGTGAAAGTTATTTGAGCTTAATGGCCGCAATACAGTGTGCAGGTGTATTATATGCTTTCAGCCACCTCCAATGTATCCTTCGTAGACCCTCCGGGCAGTCAAGTGGGGTAGGGAGGCTCAAGTGAGGGTGGGTGCAACTGCTAGATCGGCGATCACGGGACATGGACGCCATTTAATTGCTAAATTTTGCTGGGAGTCTATGGGGCATAGGGTCGTTTTCTTTCCTAGCTCAGGTCATAAAAGCCCATTAAGGTGCTTGAATAATTTACACAAGGTATAAATGATTACTTTTCCATAGCCACCAGTTTTGTTGCGATAGGTTAAGTATTTTTTTAACGCGAAAGGTGGTAAATTCCGCCATCTTGGACGTTGCTGCTTGTCTGGCAACCCTGCTTTCTCCTCTCGACGTTTCAGGTTGTCTTTACCTATCGAGGAAGGCACCTACTAAAACTCCCTAATGGTAGAACGACACAACCACACACGGATGCACACTTATATATTTAACGTTTGATCGATTCTTAAAATAGTCGGTAGTGTAACGCGCGACAACACAACGCTCGAAGTTCGTAATAACGTAATCTCGCAAGGGTATGCCGGCGGCGCTGCCGATTTTAGCCGTCCCAGTCTTGCCTCACTTGGCCACGGTGGCGCTGATGACCAACCGACGATGGCGCTCTCTGGGAGCCTGCCCAAAGCCCTACCCCCCTATCCCCCCCCCCCCCCCCCCCCCCCCCCCACCACTCCCCGGTCAGCGTGTCCCACATTTAACTATCAGGAAGGTGGTCACCCTAGCATTCCCGCATGATAAATTGTGATTTGATAGAACTGAAACGTGGTCCGATCCGAAACCTTGCTGGCCAGCAGCAGTCACACGAGCGGTAGATCTGCTCGGCGTACTTTAACCTTGCTCCTGCTTATCGCTTTGAATACGATAACTTCGTTAATCGTAGTCTGCTGCTTCGATATTGAGCTGCACGATAGGATAAACTTGAAATGAGTTGCCCTTTGTCAGCGGTGGCCGAGTGCTGACGTTACGTTATTTATTAATGCGACGTTGATTTGAGAAAATTAAATAGCGTTTATTATACTAGATTAACTTCTGATTACATGGTCTCTTTTGCGTGCGTATACGTGGCGTGCCTCCGGTCGTTCTGTGAGAGGTTTCTTCCCACGCAGGCACAAGCGGTGTCTTCTTCCCAGGCAGGCGCTATGGGCGAAGTTCAGTTCACGCTCTCGCGGAGCGTAAACAAGCTGGGCCCGCAACCCCGTGCGCTCGCAAAAGTCACGTATTGAGGATCCATTACAGATCCCGCCGAGGCAAGACAAAACAAGTATAGACAAACGAGCTGGGCCAAGCTAACACCTTCCTCCACGCAACTGCACGTCCGTTGCTTACGCACCGTCAAGAGGTTCGCACATATAATTACTATGTCGAGCATGTGTGGGTTGTGCGATAAGCAGTGCTAGTTTGCATTTGGAGCAGCTGAAAGCCACTCAGAAAATGTCAAGGACACCATCTTCAGAAACATATGGTACTTGCTTTTTGGTTCTCATTAAGGCTCCCAAAGTTTCAAGTTTTCGCATCATTTACACTGTTATCCCATCTACCTAGGTCCCTAACCACTCATGTTCATCTGTGCTGCTAAGCACAATCGAAATTGCTCCCGAGCTCGTCTAAGACACAAGCTAAAGCGCAATGAAAACTGATCTGAGCTGCCCCTAGCATGCTCCAGAATGTGGTTTTAGCTGCTCCCAACCTGCTCCAAAACAGCGGTTTCAGCTGCTCCCGTGGCTGCTCCGAAATACATTTCATGAGTTCCAGCCCTGGAATGTGACACTAACTATGCTGATATAATGCAAAAGGTCGAGAACATGACAGTACCTTGGTCAAAAGACAGAAGAGGAAAAACGTTTGACCTGACATCTACCTAAGCCTAATATTCATTGAATAAAAAAAAAAAAAAACATTGTGGGCACCTGGAGCATTTATTTCGGGAGAAACAGATGTTGGCAAGAAAGAAAGTAACATTGCCTCTTGCACATGACGTCACTTCCGATGCCCTCCAGAGAAAAGGGGAAGAAGGAGCTTCCCTCTTATCAGGACCCTCTTTTGTGGCTCCCGGATTTGCACAGGCGTCGCTATTCTCCTCCCAGAAGATTATAGAAGATTAACCTGTCACTCAAAATTCTTACAAAAGCAGCTTCTCTCTCCTCCTTTTACTTGGTGTTCAGAAGTATGCGATCTGCACCGGTGCAGAAAAAAAGGGTTTGAACAAGTTGTTGCGCCCTCATTTTGGGTAGTACAAGCTCACCTGATTGAGCCTCGCACTACTTATGGCACGTTGGTTGAGCTTTTTTTTAATCCTGTGTGGTGCTGAAGAACGAAAAAACACCTTTCGGCGCCAGAACTGGGCCTGACTCAACGTTGCAAAACAATCGAAAGTGTCAAATTAATGACACCACCGCTAGGGCACGCGTCTCTTATCTCTGGGTGGTGACGTCAGAACACTTGTGTCGCGACGCTTTCATTTTGTTTTCATTTTCATGTCTACTTTGGAACGCGTGAAACGGCATCTCTTGGCTCACGTGCTCTTAGCGTCTTAGCTCTGACGGCGCTCGAATTTTTGTTGTTTCTTTGTATTTTCATTGCGATCTCGCGCTCCGCATCAGAGCAGGCACGCTTCGGCATGCGTGACAGTTTGAGACGCCAAAATTTGTACTACCCAAAA